TGTCCTCATGGGTCCATGAGGATGGAGTGGCCATGCAGGACCAGCACAGCCTCAGAGGTCGCACATCCCAACTTTCACTGGCCAGGTTCTGGACAGAAGTAGGACATCCTTCTCCCAGGATGAGCCACCCTGGCTTCATCATCCTTTACTGAGCATCAGTGAAGCCTTTGCTTGCAAATTGGGGCCACACATTCTAATGTCACCCCTTTTATGGTTACTCTTTATGGTTACTAATGATGGTAACTCTTTCTGATTTACAGTTCTATGAGTTTTGAAAAATGTATTCAACTTTGTAACCACAACCAGTTCTGTCACACCCCAAATTCCCTCAAGTCCCTTTATTGTCAGCCCTGACTCTGAGCCCTTGGTGGCCACAATTCTAAATGTGTGGACACCTTGGGACAAATCATCAAATACACAAGGCAAAAACTGATAGGAGAAATAGAAAAACCCACCATTATACTTAAGAGACTTCACTACTCCTCTCTCAGGAATTAATCAAACAGACAGAAGATGGGCAGGGACACAGAAGACCTGAACAGCACCTTCCTGACCGAACTGACTTTTATAGGACTCTCCACCCAATAACAGCAGAAGACACATTCTGTTCAAGTGCACGTGGAACATTTATCAAGATAGATTATATTCTGAGCCATAAAACAAACCTTAACAAATTTAAAAGAATTGAGGTCTACAAAGCATTTTTTTCCCTCACCATAATAGAATCAAACTAGAAATAACTAGGAGAAAGATAACAGGAAAATCACTAAACATTGGGAAATTCAACACCATGTTCTAAGTAATCCATGGGTCACAGAAGAAGATTCAGAGAAAGTAGAAAATATTTTGAAGTAAACATAATTGAAAACACAAGAATTTGTGGGATGCATCTTAGAGGGAAATTTATAGAATTAAATGTTTATGTTAAAAAAAAGAAGAACTATCTCAAATAAATGGCCTTAAGAAGCTGGAAAAGGAAGAAAAATTAAGTACAAAGCAAGCGGAAGGAAGGAAATAATAAAAATAAGAGTAGAAATCAACGAAATTGAAAACAAACATACAAAAAAAAAAAAAACTATAGAAAAAAGTCAGTGGAACCAAAACCTGGTTCTTTGAAAAGATCAGTGAAATTAATAAACCTTCAGCAAGACTGACCAAGTAAAAATGAAAGACAAATTTACAAATATAGAAGATGAAAGAATCATTGTCGCCAGAGACCTTACAAACACAAGAAAGATAAGGAAATGTTATTAACAACTCTAGGCCCATAAATTTGAAAACTAACATAAAATAAATAGACCAATTCCTCAGAAGACAAACTACCACCTGTACCCAGCAAGAAAGAGATAGCCCGAACAGTCCTGTATGTATTAAAGAAATTGACTTCATAGTTAGAACTCATCCAACAAAGAAAGCTCCAGTCCCAGATGTGTTTACTGGCAAATTATTCCCACCCTTAAGGAAGAATTAATACCAAGTCTATGCAATATATTACAGAAAGTAGAAGAGAAGGGAGCACGTCCCAGAGCATTTTATGAAACCAGCATTACTCTGGTACCAAACACAGACAGAAACAGTATAAGCAGAGAAAACCACAGACCAATATCTTTCATGAATATAGACACAAAAATCTTTGACAAATGTTACCAAATTGAATCTAGCAATGTATAAAAAGGGTGATACACCATGGCCAAATGGGGTCTATGCCATGCATGGCTCAGCATTCAAAAATCAACAGTGTAATTCACCTCATCAACAGACTAAAGAAGAACCATATGCTCAATGTTAATAGATGCAGTAAAAGTACCTCGCAGAATTCAACATCTATGCATGTTAAAAACTCTCAGAAGACTACAAATAGAAGAGAACTTCCTGAACCCAATAAGGAACCAAAACCCACAGCTAACACCATACTTAATGGTGAAAGACTGAGGGTTTTCCCCATAAGATTGAGAACGAGGCCAGAATGTCTGTTTTCACCATTTCTTAACAACATTGTGTTCAAGTTTCAGTCAGTAAAATAAGGGGAAACAAAAGACAGAGAGAGGAAGAAAGGAAGGAAGGAAAGTCATCCAGCTGGGAAAGGAAGAAATAAAACTGTCCCTATTCATGAGCAAGATAATTGTCTGTGTAGAAATTCTGAAGGAAACAAACAAACAAACAAAAACAGCTTGAACTAATAGTGAGTTTAGCAACATCAAAGGATACAAGGTCAACACACAAAAACTATTTCTACATGTGAGCAATGAAGAATTGGAAACCAAATTATTTAAAAGTACCATTTACAATTGTACCAGAAAACACAAAATACTTAGGTATAAATCTTAAAAACTATATGCAGGATCTGTATGCTGAAAACTACAAAATACTGATGAAGGAAATCAAAGAATATCTAAATAAATGGAGAGATATACAATGTTCATGGATTACAAGACTCAATATTGTTAAGATGTCAGTTTACCCAAAACAATTGTATAGATTCAGTGATTTCAAAGCCACAGTAATCAAGACTGTGTGTTATTGCTGAAAGGAAAGATGCATAGAAAATGAAACGGAAGACAGAGTCAAGAAATAGTCCCACACAAATATGAGCGATTGATTTCTGACAAAAGTTCAAAGGCAACTCAATGGAGAAAAAATAGTCTTTTCAACAAATGGTGCTGAGACAATTAATTGGCCATCCATAGGCAAGAAAAAATAAAGAACTTCGACGCATACTTTACACATTAAAAATTAAATATGCTGTTAGGAGAATCAAGAGACAAGCTACAGTCAGGGAGAAAATATTCTCAAATCACATATCTGACTTTTTTTTTTTTTTCCATTTTCGTGTGCAATGGCATGTCATTGTGATTTTTATTGTCATTTCCCTGATGGCTAATGGTGGTGAGCACTTTCTCATATGCTTATGGACCATTAGGATACCCTCTTTTGTAATGTGCCTGTTCACGACATTTGCCTTTGTTAAAATTGGATTGTCTTTTCTTGTTGATTTGACAGAGCTCTTTATGTATTCTGGATCTGCACCCTTTATCAGAGATCTATGTTGCATACATCCTTTCCCAGTCTAGATTGCCTTTTCACTCTTAATGGCGGCAGACATCTGGGGACCAGGAGGGAACTCCAAGCAGATCAGAGGCTAGGCGGGACTCACGACTTGGCACCCAAGCCGAGATCACAGGGCCACCCCTGCCTCGGATGTCTGTCCTGTGAGAGAAGAAACTTACTCTTCTCTGTTCACTACTGATCTGCATGGAAGTGATTGAATGCAACTCGGACCTAGATGCCCGTCTACACCTCCATCCTGCACACACCTTTCCTTCATCAGACCTCATGGGATTCTGCCTCTTTGAGGATCCTCATGGCACTGTCTTCTCAGAGTCCTTGTTTTCCCTGTAACACACGCACCATCCACCCATCAAGCTGGTCCCCTGTGTCCTCTGACACCTTTGAAATCAGGACCCCTGATTCCCGGCAACAGCTCTATGCTACAGGTCTATCCTGAGTTTTCTGGTCCTCCTAGGGTGGGGGAGCCAGACAGGAAAATGAGGGGCCGGGATGTGCATCAGATGGTCCCCAGAGCGCTGAGTTGGACGGCCTGTTTCACGGCCCCGTTAGTGACAGGCTGTAGGTCATGTGTCACCCGATTTCAGTGAGTCCATAGTGAAAATTCCAGCTATAATTCACTTTCCATATTTGTCCTTTCTGTGCACTTTCACCATCTGAGGGAGGGCAGTCCGGGCCGACCCCTCTGTCGTGCACAGCCGTCCGTCTCTGGCCAGCTCTGTGCCGTGGGCCTGCTCTGAAGGAGCCTTACCTCCACGGGTCTGGGGCCCTCCCCCCAGAGCCTCCGTGCTCCCGCCTTCGTGTGTCAGTGTGAGGGGTGAGAGGTGAGGGGCCTAGAGAGTTCACAGGTCTGGGGGTGCAGGGTGTGAGGGTTCTCATTTGGGGCTTTTCTTTTCTCTGTGAAGAGGGAGGTGGCTCGGGTCACACTGGCGTCTGAAGAACACGCAGAACCACAGTATTTGCTGATCTCCATGAGCGCTCCCCCCAGCCTTTCCTGTGTTATCTCATTCAACGCTCTGGGGGGTAAGCACCACTTCCCCGGCTCAGGGCGGCGCACGACCTGCTCAGGGTCACAGGCTCCGAGGTGATGGAGCTCCGATGGGGACTGACCACTCAGCTGCCCGTCCTGGAGGATGGAGGGTCGGGCAGTGGCTGCCGGCAGAGGGTGACTGAGCATGGTCCCGGGTACTGGACGAGAGGCTTCTTTGGGGGATGGGGTGCAGGGCCCAGGACGGGGGTCTGCAGTCATTGCGGGGGACGCGCCAGGGCGGGAGAGATTGCGTCGGGTGGGGTGTAGGAGGGGGGAAGGGAGCGCAGGGAGCTTCTGCCTCACGAGCCACCGATCATCAGGGGGCGCAAGGGGGAGGCGCCCGAGCGCCCGGGGCTTGCAGGGGGAGCCAGGGCCGGGACTCCCCACCTCTGGCGGGACCGCCCTGAGAAGGATGTTCTCCCGACGCGGCGTGAATAGGATGGAGTTAGAAGTGGCCCATCTCCGCCTCGAGGCGCCTCCAGGAGCGTCCCTGAGAAGGAGACACCCAGCTTGGGCGCATACAGGGACCCGGGGGTCTCTGGGGCCGGGGGGACGGCGCTAGCGCGGGTGCCCGTGCGCCTCGGAGTATGTGTGATCCGTCCGACTTTCCATCCCCGTCGGTTTCTTGGGGCGCAGACCCGCGCGTCCCCCCTAACCCTGCGGCTCAGGGCTATCCTGGGCCTGCCCGTGACAATCACCTCGCTCAACTTGCACCTTATCGAGCCGCTGCATTTGTCCACCTCCCCGTCTCCCGGAGCGCAAAAGTCCAAGATGGGCAAATCCAGAGAGCCCCTTGGAGCGCCCCGGGGCCCACCGAGCGGGGGCGGATCGGGCGGGACTAAGGCCCGGCTGGGGCGTGCGCGAGGGGCGGGGCTCCGGGTTCGCGCCCTGGGCACTGTCCGCGGTGCTGAGCGCCCGCCGGGGCGCAGGGGGCGGGTGCGCCATGGGGAACCGCACCGCCGCGGACGCGGACGCGCTGCTGGCGGGGCGCGGGCCGGGTGCGGGCGGCGGTGCGGGGACCCCTGGGGCGGCGGCGGCGTTGGCGGGGGGCGTGCTGCTCATCGGCGCAGTGCTCGCGGGGAACTCGCTCGTGTGCGTGAGCGTGGCGGCCGAGCGCTCCCTGCAGACTCCCACCAACTACTTTATCGTGAGCCTGGCGGCCGCCGACCTCCTACTCGCCCTGCTCGTGCTGCCTCTCTTCGTCTACTCCGAGGTGAGCCCGCGTCCACCACCGCGCGCACCCCTCAGCTGCTCCTTCATCCCCTGTCCCACTTCACCCCAAGGACAGCGCGCCCCGGCCACTTGGCTGCTCAGGAACCTCAAACTGGGCGGTTGCAGGGGCGCTGCGCCTGGTCTCAGGACAACCGGAGCCTCCGTCTCCCCGAACTCCACTCCCCCCCATCTCACAGTCCATCTGTCCGCTTTGCTGTCTGTCTGCACTCCCTCTTCTGTCCCTCTCCTCTCTGCTCCCTCTCTGTCTTGGCGTCTGCTACCCAAGAGATGCCTCTATCCTTCAAGGCACAGACCCCAGAAACAGGCAACTTTGACAGTCCAGCCGCCTCCCCACCCCCTCAGCTGGGTTCTGATCCCCAGGGGAGCCAGCTGGACAGACAGGCAGATTCAGGCTAAGCCCCCCTGGCTTCCCCTGGGGCAAAGAGACACATGTCACTGTTCGAGGCCACCAGGAACACCAGTGCACCCCAGGGAAGGAGACCCTCACTCACGCACAGACTCGACCCACAGCTGGAGAGACGCTAGCTGCCAGGAGCTGCGGGGCAGTGAGCACGGCTGGAGGGAGGGGTGGCCCAGGCCAGACTGTGGAACCGAGGGGAGGGGTGGCTGGAGTGAGGGGAGAAGCCAGAGCCAGGAGCCTCCACCCCCCAACCAGGTCTGGCCCTTCGGTGGGTCTCCCCTGGTGCCAGCCCTGTCTGCTCCACGGTTTGGGTCGAGGAAAGCTGCTTAGGTCTCGGTTGGGGACACAGTGTCCTGGGCTGGCGGGGAGGGGAAGCTCGGTTTTTCTAAGGTGGGCACTGTGATTCCCCGCAGGGCTGGGGCAGAGGCCAGCAGGACAAGGACATGCATGACCTGCCGCTCCCCTGGAGCTGCAGACAGACGTCACAGTGATGGCTCTTAAGCTCCTAATCGTCCCAAATCAGCGGGAGGGGATTTAGAAGGGGGGGGAGGAGGGGGCGACTGTCTGCTCCTTTGCCCTTGGTGGGAGCACAGGGCCCCATGCTGAGGCCTTTATATTTTTTAACTCATTTATCCTCAGGACAATTATGTGGGTACTGTCATCACCCTCATTTTACAGATGAGGGAACAGAAGTGAAGTGACTGGTCCAAAGTCCCAGAGCAGTGACAGGTTAACAGGCTGATTCTTAGCTGTATTCGGGCGAGGAAACAAGGGCAACGGGCTTCATGCTCCACGGCAGCTGGGTCCCCCTGTCCCAGGGACCCTGAGCCCCAGTCATCAGAGATGAGAGTCCTCCGGCCTTTCCCAGCTCTAACCGAAGCAGACCTGGGGGTGGGGGAGGGATTATCGCTCCGCGCCCAGTTCAGGGGAGGCCTGCCCAGGTGCATGGGCCAGAGCAGAGTGCGCACAGCTGCCTCTGGTTCACTCCAGCTCCCTTTCTGTCTGATATTCAGCCTCTGCTCCCCAAAATAGTGGGGGTCAGAAAGGCAGAGCGCCCTGTGGGTGGCGGTGAGGGCTGCTGGCCTGGCCGTGGCTGGTGGAACACCCCCCTGTCTTGTGTCTGTTGTTGCTGCCCACCCCACCCCCCACCTCCTTGCGGCCCAGGTCCAGGGCGGCGTGTGGCTGCTGAGCCCCGGCCTCTGCGACGCGCTCATGGCCATGGACGTCATGCTGTGCACCGCCTCCATCTTCAACCTGTGCGCCATCAGCGTGGACAGGTGGGCCGCTCACCGCCCCGCTTCGTGCCCCTGCCCGCGCGCCGCGCCCCCCGGCCCCCTCCCCTCTCCCCGCCGCCCTCACCGCGCTCCCCGCAGGTTCGTGGCCGTGGCCGTGCCCTTGAGCTACAACCGCCAGAGCCGGGGCGGCCGTCAGCTGCTGCTCATCGGCGCCACGTGGCTGCTGTCGGCGGCGGTGGCCGCGCCCGTGCTGTGCGGCCTCAACGACGCTCACGGCCGCGACCCCGCCGTGTGCCGCCTGGAGGACCGCGACTACGTGGTCTACTCATCCGTGTGCTCCTTCTTCCTGCCCTGCCCGCTCATGCTGCTGCTCTACTGGGCCACCTTCCGGGGCCTGCGGCGCTGGGAGGCCGCCCGCCGCGCCAAGCTGCACGGCCGTGCCCCGCACCGGACCAGCGGCCCGGGCCCTCCGGCCCCCGACGCCACCGCGCTCCGGGGCCCGCTGCCCCCCGACGCCATCCCGCCCCCTGGGCCACAGCCCCCAGACGCAACCCAGCTCCCCAGGGCCATCACGTCTCCCAACGCCATCCCGTTCTCCGACGCCAGTGCGCACCCGGACGCAACCCAGCTCCCCAGTGTCACCCCGGCCTCCGACGCCACCCCGCCCCCCAACGCCACCGCACCCCCTGACGCCACCCCGCCCCCTGACGCCATCCTGTACCCCGACGCCACTGCACCCCCTGACGCCACCCTGCCCCCCGACGCCATCCTGTCCCCGGATGCCATCCCGTCCCCCGATGCCATCCCGTGCCCCGATGCCGTCGCACCCCTCCACGCCATCCCGGCCGAGCCCCCGCTGCAGGCCCGCAGGAGGAGGCGCGCCAAGATCACCGGCCGGGAGCGCAAGGCCATGAGGGTCCTGCCTGTGGTGGTCGGTGGGTGCCTGCCCGGGTGCGGCGCGGAGGAGGAGGCGGCGCCGAGGCGGCGGGGGGGACGCTTGGCTCACCCCCGCTTCTCCCCAGGGGTCTTCCTGCTGTGCTGGTCGCCCTTCTTCGTCGTGCACATCACGCGGGCACTGTGTCCCACCTGCGCGGTGTCCCCGCGGCTGGTCAGCGCAGTCACCTGGCTGGGCTACGTCAACAGCGCCCTCAACCCCGTCATCTACACCGTCTTCAACGCCGAGTTCCGCAACGTCTTCCGCAAGGCCCTGCGCCTCCGCTGCTGAGCGCCACCCGCCTCCCCGCCCCCCGCGCCGTTGTGCTAGGACCGGGCCAGATGCCAGCGGGCGGAGGGGGCGGGCCGGCAAGACTGATTCAGCAGATTCCTTCCTCTACGCCCGCTGGGAGGGCTCCTGGGGGTGGGGGGAGGGGGCGAGGAGGAGGAGCTGCTGCCCCACGGGGGGCCTGGAGAACAGATCCCCTGAAGTCGGCTGCGGGGGTGGGGGGGCGACCGGCTCTGCCCCTGGGCAGCACAGGAGGCCCTTGGGAGGTTGGCTTAGCTCGGCCCAGGGAGAAGCATCGGGAACCACAGTCGCCCCTGCCTGGAAGCTCGCGGTCCCTGTGCTCACAGCCTCCTCTGACAGGGGGCCCCCTGATACCTGGGTGCCAGCTACAGCCCCCACCAGCTGTTCCGGGGCCAGCAGCCTCCTCCCTCCGTCCCCTGGGCTGTTTCCCTTTGGCCCAAGGGGAGAGAGTGGACAGCTCATCCTCAGAGGGAGCCTGGCCCTTCCCAGGGGAAGACAACCGGAGAGGGCAGGTCAGCAGCCAGGCCTCACCCAGACTGACCCCTGCTTCTCCAAGGACCAGCCAAGGTGGCCTGTTCCATTGTCCCTGCAAGACACAGCTGAGCTGGTTCTGCCCACCATTTGGCAGCTGCCAGGAGGTCAGAGCACAGCTGCCTGCCAGCTTCTGACCAGAGGTTGCCCAGAGCCCCGAGGAGAAGGGCCTGCGTGCTGGGTGGGCCCACCGAGGCAAGTCCCCTCGAGGGAGCTCTGTGCGTAGACCCCAGGGCGCTCAGTCACACTCTGCTCAGCGATGCCCATGTGGCCAGGCCCAGGGTGCGGGAGCAGGAGGAGGTGCAGGGCCCAAGGCCAGGAGAGTCCCCCAGGAGGCCCCTGTGTGCTAGGGCTGCCAGCTCCCCCGCCCACAGTGTGGCTGCCGACCCTAGGGCGGCAGGGGCAGATCTTGGCCCCACCAACCAGGGCCAACCCACCCCGGACTTCGTCTTGGCTCTCCAAGTCCCAGGGCCATAGGAGAAATTCATCTCCGCTCGCCAGTGCTGCGGGCTGAGCGCTCCCGTGGGGAGGCTGCTGTTGGTGACAGGCAGCTGCTGCCAACTGCTAAGTCCTCTTCCGAACGTGAGAAATTATGGGCTGAGGTCCACGGCACCAGGCAGGACTTCAGCATGTTAAAATATCCTGTGGAGAGGGGGGGCCACCCCTTCCCCTCTGGGTGCTCACCCTCTCCTGCTCTTTGCCACCTCCTCCCAGAAGCCTCCCTTATCACCTCCTAGGCTCAGCCTGTCCCCATCCCCTTGGAGAGACTTGTCCTCAGGGAACCGTCTGACTAACGATGATTCACATCTGTCTCCTGCTGGGCTGGGGGCTGACAGGGGCGCTATGTCCCCACACCCACACAGGGTCTGACAGGCAGTGGGAGTTGTGGGGAGGGCACCGGGGCGGGACCCCGGCTCCAGCTGCTGCTTGAGCTTCGGGCACCTTCTTGCCCATGAAGTGTGTGGACGGCTGCAGCAGACACACTGGGTCTCCCCCCAACACAGTGCAGTAGCCCCAACACTCAGAGGGGCCCCAGGTGGCACAGCTGAGCCCCTGCCCAGCCGGCTGTTCCGGGCAGCTGCCCCGAACCAGCCGATGGTGCCTCTGGGAACCTCAGACTTGAAGTAAAGACCAGGGAGCGGGGCACTGGGCCGTGTCAGGCCAACGGCAGGGTCGGAGTGAGGGGCCGAGGGCAGTGGTCGCTCGGCCCGCCGCCTGGCTCTGCTCCCCAGTTCCACGTGCCATCCCGTGCCCTCGCCCATCTCCGATGCTCGCTCCACACGTGCCTGCTGGGCCTGCTGCGGCCCAGCGTGGAGCAGGTCCCCGATGTGCCCACTTCAGGCGGTGGGAGCTGGTTTCTGCTGCCACCACCAAGAGGACCTCACCCAGCACCTCACCCAGCAGCCAGCTGTGGGCACCTGTGGCTCTGCCCACCCATCCAGGTTCTGTCCGCAGGGGGTGAGGCCACGTCCCCATCCTGTGTGCTCCTTCTCATCACCCAGATGTGAGGACAGGGCTGACCACGCTCCTGAGGGTTAGGGCCAGGCCAGTGAGCTGCACCTCCCTCAGGGTCGTGGGTGGGCTGGGAGCTGCTGGTGGCCCCACACTGTCTCTGCCAACCTGTGGGCAGACACTTGCAGCCCCACAGAGGGGGACAAGGTGCACAGGAAACAAAGTGGACACTGGGGACAAGGTCAACATGGGAGACAGGTGGACAGGACAAGGTGGCCGTGGAGAACAATGTGGTCACAGGGGGACAAGGTACAGATCTACAGAGAGCCCGGTTGACCAGGAGGCACCCCTTCTGTTCCGGCATGCTCACTGGCCCCCGCCGCCAAGGGCTGCCCTGCCTGCAGCTCTCTGGAACCCCGGCCTGGAGGACCTGCGGCGCCCCGCACGGCCTGGCCCATGCTGACCGCGGGCCCACAGAAGCCGGCCCCTTGCCTGTCCCCCGCAGCAGCCGGCAGGAGATGCCATCAGAAGCATTGACACAGAATGCTGACGACTGCTGACAAACCCTTGGTGCCCCTGAGGGCAAATTTCCAGACGCTACACCAAGGCAGCGTCACAGGCTTAGAAATGCCTGCTGCCCTCGGAAAACTGTCCCCGGGGCGTGCAGTCCTGGGGCTTCTATCCTAAGACGAGAAGGGAGACGAGCCATCCCTGTCCAGCGCCGCCCGGCCCCAGGCCACACGGCTCCCAGAGCCCAGTCCCCAGAGGTGGCTGTGCAGAGCCGCCCGCCACGCTGGGCAGTGGCCCTCCCCTGAGGGCCGCGCCCCGGCCTCAGCCACATGCTCTGCGTTTCCAGGGTGGAGGGAGTCCTCCTCGGGGTGCAGGTCCCTTCGCAGCCCCTCCTGCGATGCTGACGGCCTCTCCCTTCCTGTCCCCACGCTCCTGCCGCTGGACGCCCAGCAACCACAGAGGCTTCTACCCAAGCACAGCTGAGAAGCCCCCATGGCCAGTCACTCTGTGGGCACCATGAGGAGGGGCCCGGAGGGGGTCTCGGGGGCCCTGTGCAGCCGTGCTGCCCACGTTCCCACCTGGACTCCGAGAGGTGGCGGCAGAGCAAACGCCAGGACGGCAGGCACCTCACAAGAACTTGTTAATGTAAGTAAAACACCTGAAGACCCCAGCTTAGTCCACAGAGGGGGCTTCTGGGGGAGAAGGCCCCGCCCGCCCCCCGCTCCCCTACCCCCTCTCGGGAGCCAGGCTCCTGCGCACACCCTTTCCCGTCAGGGCTCCGCCGTCCCCGGGCTCATCCCAGAGCCAGTGTCTCTGGGGCACTACAGCCTTGGAAAAACCTTCTGGAAGCAGGAGCCCAAGGAGGGTGCAGGACTGGGAGAATTCCTTCATGCCCATGGTGGCATGAACGTGGAGGACACACAGCTCACGGAGACAGCGCTTGAGAGGAGCATCAGAATCAAAGTCTGGGGGCGCCCGGTGGCCGAGTGGTTGTCTGCCGCCTGGGGTTTTGCCAGTTCGGATCCTGGGCGCGGATCTGGCACCGCTCATCCGGCCATGCTGAGGCGGCGTCCCACATAGCACAACCAGAAAGACCCACAACTAGAATGTACAACTATGTACTAGAGGGCTTTGGGGAGAAGAAGGAAAAAAAAAATAAAGAGGAAGATTGGCAACAGCTGTTAGCTCAGGGCCAATCTTTGAAAAAAAAAAATCAAAGTCTGTAAACTGGCCCCGACACCGGGCCTCCACGCCCACCGTGGCGAACCCTCACCTTCTCCCCAAGGCAGGTGGGGCTCTGAGCCTCCTCAGCGCAGAGAAAACAAGGCCACCGCAGGCCCAGGGCTCTGGGGCCATGAGGGCTTTTCTGGAAACCCAGGGAAGCTTCCAGAATGTGGGTGACTGCTCCACGGCAGCACTCTTAGCAGGGCAGGCAGGTCTCGAGCTAGCTGAGGCTGACACCCAAACGTGCTGGTGGCGAGTCCCCAGGTGTGGGCCCCTGGCTGACCTCCTCGTCCTCCTTGACCAGCTCCTGGGATAGGCCGGGCACAGGGCACAGACGAGGAGGTGCTCGGCACAGGCCACGGCCCCTGAGGCCCCCGGCCCGGCTAACAGTCAGGCTGGCTCCCCTGCCCAGCTGGGCCAGGTCAGCAGGCGCAGGCAGGGGCTGGGGAGGGAGGCTGCCGGCCAGCACCCCAGCCGGTGGGCGGGGCCACTGTGGTCAGCGCAGGGAGGGGACGCAGGACTGGCCTCCCCTCCAATGGGCCTGCGTTCTTGGGGCTCTCGTGTCGGAGGGAAGGAATGGAACTTCTTCGGGGTACACACGGACCTCCCCACACTGGCCACAGAGGCGGCAGGACCAGATGCCATGTCACTTCAGAGACTGGATGGGTGGCTCAGCCTTCCCAGTGGGGCCGGAGCGACCCAAGTGACTGGAGCAGTGCCACCCTCGAGCTCGCACCTCTGCTCCAGCTCCTCGGGTGACAGACACGGGGGAGGACGCTACGGCGGCCTCGCCGTTCCCCCATGGCAGCGCCTCTGGGTGGCAGCCTCCAAACCGCACCCACAGAAGGAAGAAACCTGAGGCCGCCGGCCTGCGGGCGTGAGGACGCGGGAGTGGAACCCCCGTCCGGGCGGAGCGGGGACATCCCCTTTATTGACAGACACATGTATGTACACGAGTGTTACAGAACACGACACACCCGTGGGTGAGACGGACACTCATGATCCAAGGGATAAAAAAGAGCACCGAGAGGAGCCGCCATCCCACGCGGCCCCGCGCTCCTCGGGGCTTCCGGCGGCAGGAGTTCATTGCCAAGGGACAGGTCACTCAAAGTCTGTTAATAACTTGGCCAGCAAGTTTCTTCACCTTCTCCTCAACAACCCCAAAGTCCTCAAGGGGTCCTGCACCCGCGACAGGTACACGGCACCGCGGAGAGGGGACCCGGCAAGCTCTCACACGTTGACTTTCTCTATCACGCTCTCAGTGACGTGGACTTCGTCGGCCTGAACGGTGACGGCCGCTGACTGCCCGCACATGTGCTGGTGATCTTTCCAGTCCTGAAAGGAAGGACATCCACGTTACCGGGGGCTGCTGCCCCAGCCAGAGTGACATCTCCCCGGGGAGCAGGGCCAGGTGGGACCCTCCAGCTGAGGCTGCAGCCTGCGCGAGCTGTGCGGCCGGCCCTCCCGCTGGTCTCTGCCAAGCCCAGCCTTGCCCACCCTCGTTTCTAAGGGATCAGCTCAAAAGGCAAACAGCTAACGAGCCTTGAAAGACCGAGCGGCCCAAACACGTCATTCTCTGAGCCCGTCCCCTTTCAGGGGTCTCACCCAAAGAAAGAACCGTCCACGCAGAGAAGCGCTGACACTGATGTTATCATTGCAAAGGAGAAGAAACAGAGCTGGAGCCAGCCACGTGTCCATGGGGCGGTCGGTGGCTGTGGCTCACAGGATGATGGGGGACAGTGTGGGCGCTGAGGGAGACCCCAGCTCCTCCCATGCCCACTGCCCCACTCCAGGCAGGCGCCGCCATCAGCCCGGCACAGGCGGGACAATGGGGCTGCCACACAGGCCGCCCCTCCCTCCAGAGGAGGCCTGACAGCAGGGAGATGGCTGGACAGAGGTGCACCAGACACACGGCGAGGGCGGGCAGAAGAGACAGGATGGGACAGGACACACACACACACTGGGGTGCCTCCCACAGCAACGGGGTTCCTGGACGGCAGAACTCCAGCTCCTTGTCTGTGGGCCTATGTTTTCCAAATTCTCTACAGTCAGTGTACCTGACTTGTATAATAATAAACTAAGATTTGAAATCATTATATCAAAAGAATGAAAGTTTAATTTGAAAATTACCTGAAAGGGGACTGTCCGTCCATGCAGTATGTAAAACTTCACACACACCGGGCCAAGTCCACGGCGTTTCTCACCATACACAGAAATTTACCAAAAATGGATCATAAACCTAAATATAAGAGCTAAAAGTGTACATGTTTTAGAAGAAAACAGGAGATTTTCCTAACCTTGAGTTACACAAAAGTGCTCCGACACCACAGTGTGATCTCCATGAAACAAAATTCTGATGAACTCTGGACTTCAACAAAACTAAAAACTTCTGTCCCGCAAACACCAACCACTATTAGGAAAAGAAAGAGACATGGCACAGACTGGGGGAAAACATCTGCAAACCATGTACCTGACAGAGAAGCACAGAACTCTTGATGCTCAATAAGAAGAGAAACGATCCAACTGAAAAATGGGTGAAAGATTTGAATAGACATTTCCCCCCAAAAGATACTCAACTGCCTACTAAGCACATGGACAGATCATTAGTCAACATCATCTGTCACTAGGCAATGCAAATTACAACTCCCCGTGGCATCGCTGCACACATGGGACGGCTGTCCTCACACAAACAGTAACACGTGTTGGCGAGGAAGCAGGGAGACCCCATCTGCTGCTGGTGGGAAAGTAAAACGGGGGGCAGCCACTCTGGAAAACAGTCTGGAAGTTTCTTATTAAAGTTAAACATTAGTTTACTCTATGACCCAGCAAATCCATTCTAGGTATCCAGCCAAAACAAAACATACATCCACCCAAAAGCCTCTATGTGAATGCTCACAGCAGCACTATTCACAGTCGCCAGAGAGGAGAAACAGCTCAGACGCCCGTCACCTGCACGGAGGCACACGTGGTCCACCCTCCCAGGGGAAGATCGTGCAGCCAGAAAAAGGAAAGAAGCACTGCCACCTGCTCCAACATGGACAAACCTCGAGAACACGCTGGGCGAAGGCAGCCAGATGCAAGAGCCCACAGGCTGTGAGAGTCCCAGCACAGGAAATACCCAGAAAAGGCAGATCTCTGGACAAAGGAAGTACATTCGTGGTTCCCAAGGGCTGCGGGGGAGCTCAGAGGTCTTTTTATGGTAACGGAAAGTTCTAAAGCTGAATTGTGATGTTTGCACAACTACAAATTTACTAAAAAAACATGGAATTGTATCCTTAAAATGGGTGAATTTTATAGGATGTAAATTATACCTCAATGAAGATATAAAACACACACGTGTGCACACACCCCTCATATGGGATTTGGAAAGAAAATGAAGTCTGCAAATTAAAACCCAAAACAAGTCATGGTCCTTGTCCAACTTGTGACAAGACAAGCAGCCTGACCACCTCTCCAAGTCTTCTAAGGAGCGCAGAGAACGAGGGAGCCAGACCAGATGGGACCGGGAGGTGTGAGGCCAGCACTCACCATTTACCACAAGCAGCTGGCCTCCTGTCTTTCAGATCCTGTTCATCTTGGATCATTTGTGCTCATTTGGATCCAACATGAGAATAATCGTTTTTGAAGTTCACTTTATATCAATTTAAGTAAATAGAACCCAGAGCATATGTCTTTATCAAGCAGCATGTGAAAAGAGCAAAAGCTTCACTAATCAAGGGAAGAAACAGGTCTGTCGACAAGATTGGAGCAACAGTGTGACGTGCCCCGTTCATGAAGAGAGGTCCCCAGACTGCAGGCTGCACTCAGAGAAAACGTCATGTGGCTGAAACAATTCCATCAAGAAACAAGCCCGCGAATCTTCCCGTGATGGCTCAAATGCAGGGAAGCTCTAGGAGCCGACCCCTCGGATCACAGGCCAGCACAGAGCCTGGCCCTCCCGGCTGCCACCGTATCTTAGCCCCTCCTCCCGCGGCCCTGGCACTCGTCACGGCCCCGGAGAGCAGCGAGGCGGCTGTGGATGCCCTCTTCTCGGTGCACGAGCCTGGAGCTGAAACCTCAGGGGAAAGCAGACTTCTGGCTCTGAGTCCTAAATCTCCAGCACCCGGGACGGGCCAGGGCTTAAGAGCAAACCCGGGGGGCAGCTCCCACCCCAAGAGACACACCTAGGGGCAGCAGAGCTCTTGGGGTGCCAAATGCAGGCAGGCCCCCTGGGGTCCTGCAGGATGCGAGGACAGGCTCGTTCCTTGTTGTCCATCTCTACACGGCACCCTGGGGGGCCCTCAGGCATCTGAAGACTCCAGAGGTGGGATGAGCCACGTGCCCACACACTGGTCCTAGACGGCCACCTCCATCCCCCTCCCAGCCGACACCTGCCCTCCTGAGGGTTTCTGTGGATGGAAGGGCACTTCAAGAAGCCACCGCATGGGGCACCCCGGCCGGGGAGAGGCCGTGTCCAGATGCAAGTCCACCTCGCGGAGGCCGCGCAGCGAGGCCATGACTAGGTGTGTACTGTCCATCCACCCAGCATACGGCGTTTTAACTGGGACATTTCACATGGGCACAAAGAAGAGGGGAGAACAGGCGGGGCTGCTCCCGGCACAGCCCCTCTCTGAATAACGGCGGGAGCAGCGATAACCTGAACCGGCGGGTGCTACTCAGAAAATCCTCTGATTTCCTTAGAATCGATGGCTGAATGATGGCAACAGAGATACATGTGAACATCACTGTGACTTCACGATCTAGGACGAGGCGTCCAGGGCTGGGAAGCACTGACCGTGACAAGGTCAAAAGCCACCTTGAGCAGTGGCCCTGCCCCTGGGCTACAGCCGCCGCAGAGCAGGGACCCCCATGGGAGCAGGGACCCCCATTGGAGCAGGCCTCCCGATGGGAACAGAGCTCTGGGGCCTCGCATGGGCACAGCACACACCACGCGCGGCTGCAGCAGGGCTCTAAAGAAGCCTGCAGACGCCACGGGGAAGGCCGAGGCCTGGGGGACAGGACGCTGTGGGTTGGCAGTGCCTCCGTGGAGGGACAGCCTGGCCGGCAGGGAGGCCTGGTGGCCGGAGACCCAAGCACCCAGGGGGCCTCTCACACCAGGAGGGGTGGCGGGGCGTGGGCACGCTACCTTGCGCTGGCAGAAGGTGGAGCAGTAGTTGACTTTGTGGCAGCCGGTGCACTCGCTCAGGGCCTCCCGGCCACAGTTGACGCAGGACTGCTGCAAGAAGGACACGAGAGGTCAGTGCGGGGACGCCCCGAGCCCTCGCCCGAGACGTGGGGGACGAGGGGTGCCAGTGCACACAGGATGAGGCCCAGTCTCCCCGAGGACTCTGACATGTGTCCCCGTCCCCACAGCTGCCGAGACACACATTCCCTCTCTTTCTCGAAAGGGGTCTACCCTCGGTGACTGGAAAATTTGCACCACGTCAACACGTAAACTTCTCTCCAAACTGCAGACTTCACTCCCGCCAAGTAAGCACAGAAAACCAGCCCTGGGAGTAACAGCTCGCTCACCATCGAGAACATTCCCGGAGCGTCTGTCTAGGTCCTGGAGACGCCCGCAGGGCCTCTGCGGCCGGGCACGTGTGGACTCTCGTCAACAGCTGCCTGCGGCTCCAGCCCCAGCACCCACCGCCCGAGCCCATCCGTGTGGGCCACCGAAGTCGACGCTTGGTGTGCTTTGTCCCTAAATTGCATGACTGCAGCTTTCTTGCCAATCCACCGCGGACTGCACACAGGTAAGGAAGGCCGTCTGCAGTGCAGACACGAGCCAGGTGGGGCTGGGTGGGGCCCGGCGAGAACTCCTGGCGACCCCAGCAGGCGGGGCCTTTGCTGACGGGTCAGCGGGTCACTGTGGCACCAGCACACGGACAGGCCCGACACGCCTGCTGACATCCCGCTGCATCCCACCTCTGCCACGCTTTCCGCACGTGTTCAAAAGAGCGAACTGGTTCCAGTCTCTGTTCTGGATTTCAGCTTCCTTCTTTGCAAAATGCTACGTTTACTGTGACTGACATTCTTCCTCCATAAAATGACCCCAGCGTGCACTCGCTCACTTCAGAAAATGTGAGTGTGAGGCAGACTCTGAGGGACAACTTCAGTGCCCAACGTTAAGTGACTAAGTCTGCCAGCACAGAGAGAGGTCTCCAGAGGGCAATGGCGGGTGGAGCTCCCGCATCTGCATCCGGGGAGAAGGGGCTGTGGGGCGGAGGCCCAGCACACTGAGCCAGCACAGCCTTGAGAGGCTTCCTCACCGTCCTCAGGGGCTGCAAGTCCCCTTGTGTCACACCCATCCCCCCCAGAGCACGCTCACCTGGACCTGCACCCGGTGGGCCCCTCGCACCCAGCAGGGTTCTCGGAATACAGTAAGCACTTAAGAAATAGCTTTGAACTGCATCAAGAGCCTGTCCTAACAAGCGAGCCCTCAGGCGCTGGCGCCTCCCTGCACAGTGAGTACTTCCCAGCCCTGGGCCTTCCCCCACGCTCCCTCAGGGAAAGGCATTTTTTAGCAAACAATACTCAGGGGTGCGGATTGGAGTCAGACACTGGCAGCACCAGCTCACGTCAGCTTCCTGCACAGGAACAGAGGGCCGGGGCGGAAACACTGAGGCCGTGTCGGCACACACACGGCTCCGTGCCGTCGGCTGAGGGCCCGCAAGCAAGTAGCCCACTACGCCCAGATCCTGGCTCCTCAGACTGTCCTCCAGCGAAGGAACCAGGGCCCCTTGGAGGAACGGCCGGTTCAGGGCCGGGCAGGAGATGCCCAAGGCGGGCCAGAAAGGAGGCAGGTGCTCAGGACGGGGCGCGGTCAAAGGGACACAGGAGCCAAAGATGCAACAATGTGAGCAAATAAATAGCACAGGTCTGGGTTAGAACCCCAAGTATAAAATATATACAAATGAGCCCATCTTGATACATCCACACGAACAAGCAGACTGCCACACAGAAGGTTCCAGAAACATGCCTAGCTCCCCCCATCCAAGACGAGGACCTCCCCGAGTGGATCTGCTCGGGGACCAAGTGTGGAGAGGGGGTCACTTTAAGGGGAGAAACCTCTGAGCCCATACACGGCCTGTGACACCCCCTGAAGTGCACACGCAGAGCCTTTGAGGATAGATGGGGCCACGAGCGTGGGGCCCTGTGACGGGATCAGCGCCCTTGCAGGAGAAGAGAAACCAGAGTGCTCTCGCCATGCGCGGCACAGCCAGGAGGAAGCCTCCCCGGAATCCAGCCTGGCCGAGCAGAGAGCTGCTGCCCTGCTCCCCAGGGCCCTGTGCACGTTCCTCCTCCAGGGCCCATCTGTGCTGAGCTGTACTCACCTCTGAAAAGGGAAGTGAGCACGATCAGAAAAAGGCTGGGCAAGGGTGAAGAGATGCGGACACAGACCAGAGGAGGAGGGCTCAGGCCGGAGCACGCGGGGCTGGCGCCCAGCTGGGCCATGGCAGTCACCCAAGACCCTGCAGCCACGTGGCCGGCCTCTGCCGGACACCATGCCCTTGATGGGGAAGGGCATCTGCTCTTCTGCCCTGTTTAATCTCTGCAGGGCTAATTACACACACGCGGACACAAACACCCCACGATCAAAATCCGGCAAAAATCTCCTTAATGGTTTCAGCGGGGCTAAAGTTGATTTTTTTAAAATTCTAAATAAAACGTCGAAGCAGGCAGCCCCGAACCTCCCCTCCCTCTGTTGCAAGGCCCTGCGCTCTCGCTCACGGAGCTCACAAGGGAGGTTTTCTGCAACCTCTTTCTGACTCCGATGGCTTCGGCGTCTTCCTCCCCACGCCCCAGCGCTCCCTGCAGAGACCGGGGCCCACGGCCCTCTGCAGTCCCACGGCGTCTGCCCCTCCGACCCGGCCTCTTCCCAACATCACAGTCAAACAGAAGCACGACCAGCAAATAAGAACTTCTGTTCATCAGCAGAGGCGCAGGGAAGGGAGATTTGCGGCCAAACTGGCTGGTGTCGAACTTTCTCATCACAGCAAATCCCTCAGGAGAAAGTCACTCAGCAGCTCTGCAGGGAGCAGCCGGGTCAACACCTGCCTCCTCACTCCTCTTCCCTGAGACCCAGGCCCGACTCCAGACCCACGGCCCTGACCCTAACCATGGGCCATGGTTGGAGTCCCTCCAGCCGCACGCTGCTCAGATCGCAGCTTCCAGCACTCCTGCACTCCCCTCGAGGCTCGGAGCCGCCAGTTCTAATTCCAGTCATCATCTCACAGGAACCCAGCGCCCAGGGGCTGTGGTCATCATGGTGCCCCAGGGGTCAGACCTGTTGCCCCTGTGAAACAGGTGACACACACAGAGCCAGACATGGTTAACGTGGCTGCAAGCACGCGACTGCCAGCTGGGCTACAGAGAAGCAGGCTCTACGCCACTGGCATGTGGACCATCAGACTCCACGCGTCGGGCTGCGGCTTCCACTCGGGCCTGTGACACCGACAGGAGCATGGACGTGTGGCACCTGGCCACCCCTAGGCTGTGTGCTCAGCCGTCATAAAATGACTCAAGAACAACCCATCCTAGGGGGCTGGCCCTGGGGCCTAGTGGTTAGGTTCTCATGCTCCACTTCGCTGGCCCAGGGTTTCGGTAGTTCACATCCTGGGTGCAGACATGGCACTGCTCATCAGGCCATGCTGAGGCGGTGTCCCACATGCCGCAAACTAGAAGGACCCACAACTAAAAATACACAACTATGTACCGGGGCCTTTGGGGAGAAAAAGGAAAAATAAAATCTTAAAAAAAAAAAAAGACCCATCCTGTCGACAGCTCGCAAGAAGGGAGGCGTGCCCGTTGGCTCCAGCCCTTCCCAGGGCTCAGGCCGCAGGACCGGATGGGGGCAGCGGGGGCGGGGAGCTCGGCTCGGCCCCGCCATCTCACTAAAGGGCTTAGCATTCTCCTACCAAATGGGGGATTTTGAGGATAAAGGGATTTCATGTCGCATTTCTTTCTTAGAAATACATACGATTACAAATAAAACACAAAGCCCAGCCTTTCAGGGGTGGGAACTGTGTCAAATCAGCGACAGCAGACACTCCTGCTCAGGGGTGGCAGGCGGCCTGTGATGGGGCGGGGGACAGAGCCAGGAGGCTGGGGACAGCCTGCCACCTTATCACAAGTTGTGGGTCACATCAACTCAGCTTCTGGACCCTCTACAGTGAGAGGAGGAAGAGTGACTCTGAGCTCACTGGCTACTCCTCTGTGAAAAAGAAAACGCACAGAGCCGACTCAGCACCCTCCACTTCCCTGAAAGTTACTGACACCGGGCGAGGGAGGGATACTCCAGTGTGTTTTAATCTACTTTTGTTTTCAGTCCATGTGTCATTTGACAACTTTCACTGAAGGAGAAAATGTGTCTAAATTACAAATTTTACTCTGTGAAAAATGGTCCACAAAACTGGTAATGAAAAATGTAAAACCAAAAGTTAAAAATATTTTCCTCTTTCGTTTCCTCGCCAGCGTGAAGTTCAGCTTTCTATGCAGCTGGTGCTCCCCAAACCCGAGCTGCCCCTGTGTTCCCGGGGAGGGAGAAAAGCCCAGATGCTCCGGGCCCTGACAGAGAAGGCGAGGAGGGCACAGGTGCACACGGCGGTGTCCCCAAATGCAATCTCGGCAGCGGGGAGCTACCCTCCACCAGCCACCGGGGGAGGGGCGAGTGCAGACCGGGTCCCTGGCCGGTACCCCAGGGTTCAGGGAGCTTTCTAAGTGAGAAGGCAAGAGGTTGCTCTCCAATTTACAATTTTGCGTACAATCTGAATTAGCAAGACATGTCAGACACTCCTTCCTTTTCATCCCCTGCACACGCCCCGGGGCAGCTGTGTGAACAGGCTTTCTTTACCTGAAGGACAACCGGCCATAGAGCTGGTAGCCGTCTCCCACACAGTCTGGGGCGTGGGGCACGCAGCAAACAGCCATGTCTCAGGTCCCCATGTCTCCCTCTAAAATGACCTCAAATGCCTTGTGATTCTGGGAGAAAAATTACAAAAACCAAAAAGAAACATTACAGGACCCAGCAACACTTGTTCAGTGGCTAGAATGGTACTTGCCACATAACAGGCGTCAATGCTATTTACGGAATCAACGAATAACCTTAATTGTTACAATTACTTTGATTTTTTTAAAAAAGTACTTTTTCTAAGGAAACATGAATAACCCAAATTAAAAACGGGCCAAGGATTTGAAAATACAAACAGGACATACAAGTGGTCAAGAAGTACAGGAAAAGATGCTCAACGCCCTCAGTCATCAGGGAAACACCAACACTGCAGCGACACCACGCCACACCCACGAGGACGGCAACACCCACAACACCCTGTGGAGACACAGGAACCCACAACGCGGCTTCCGGGAACACAAACGGGGGCAACCACTTCGGAAAAGAGGGTGGCAGTTCCTCAAAATGTTAAACGTGGAGTTACCAAATGACCCAGCAACTCCAACATCCATGAGACATGAAAACATGTTTATAAAGAAAGTTGTACACGACCTTCAGAGCAGCATTATTCCCAAGAGCCAAAAAGGAGAGACAACCCAAACGTCCAGCCAGGCATTCAACCACCTCCTGGAGCCAAACTCAACGCTTTTCCAGGGAAGATAACAGAATCCAACACAAGTCAGAGTTTCCACCATGAATGAACCAAAAAGTCCAATAAACACCCAGAAATTACTGGACGTGTAAGGAGAGGAAAACAGGACCCATCGGCAAGAGGAAGGCAGTTAACAGAAACAGACCCTGAGATGACCCAACGTTGGGATTAGCTGCGATTTTACAAGACACGGTTATGAAGATGTACACTGAAGTCAAGGAAAAGATGATCTTACTGAGTGGCCAGCTGGGGAAAGACGCAGAGAAAAGGATACTGCTGGAAGGAACAGAGTAGATTTTCAACTTAGTGCCCCTCAGCATGCAAACCCCCTTTGCCATCTTCTCCATGAAAACACAATCCTCGGGCATCTCCCCTGGGGTGGGCATGATGGCACGCTTTCTCAGGAGAGGACGTAAGAGCCGACACAGAAGGAGGGGCTCTCCCGAAGTTCCCGGCACAGGCCAGGGGTCGTGTGGGTATCAGGACACCCAGCGGAGCACTGCCCAGGCTCGGCAGGACACAGTCTCTCTGCAAACCTGCAGCCTTGGTCTGCCCTGCGTGTTCTGAAGGCTGCCTGGACCCCTCTGCATGCTGCCCTGTCAGTTCCCGACTGCCTGCCCCCAGCAACACACAGGGGGTCATTTGCTTGCCGGCAAACTCCAGGCCGGCTCCAGCCAGCCAGACCAGCAAACTTCTCTGAGAGCCTGTGAACCATGCCTTCAGCAGCAAGGTCCAGATGCCAGCCTTGGAGAGGGAGCCCTTCCCACCGCACTCTGCCCTGGGTCCTTTCCAGCAGACCAAGCGTGCCGCGGAGTTTCTCATATCCTCCTCAGAGTTAATGATTCTTTAAAGTTTCTGTTTAACCTGCCGTTCTAGCTCCTGATTGGACTCAGCATGCTGAAGAACCAAACAGAAACTCTAACTTTCAAATTCTAAATCTAGAAAGCACAATAATTGAAATGAAAAATATACCAGATGGGCTTACTGGCATCTGGGAGACGACCAAAGGAAGGCTCGGTGAACCAGAAGACTGAGCAACAGAAACTATCCAGTCTGAACAACGGGAAGAAAAAGGACTAGGGACCAAGGGCCAGAGGCTCACGACCCACAGGTGCTGCCAGGCATCAGCACACAGAACACTCGTAAGGGAAAGGGGCGGAGGGAGAAACCGGGTGTGAAGCATATTTATAAAACCAGTGACAGAAAATCTCAAAACTGGGGGGAAACCAACTTGAAGATCCAAGGAGCTCAGCTGGGCTAACTCTGCTCTTTATTTTCCGCAGCCAGTGCTCCATGTGCCTGGGCCTCAATGACACCAGAGGGTGAGCGAACTCCTGGAGACAGTAAACAAGTCGCCCTTGAGCGTGCCTTTCAGATGGAAACCAACCAGCCCCGGGCCCACACCCCAACCTCCTCCTCCAGGGGGCTCTCACTCTCTGGGCCACTGTGCATCTGCCCTGATCACCAGGGGACAGCCCTTAGGCCCCAGAGCCCACCGGCCAACCCTGAGCTGGCTCCCCCTGCTGGGTCCTTCCCACAGACACCACAGGAAAGGCTCTCCCCCACATTTTCCCCACTCTCTCTGCTCCTGACTGACCTGGTACTTCCTCACGTGGCCCGGTGTGGCCAAGTGTGGCCCAGCGTGGCATGGCGTGCCTCTTATTTCTAGGGAACGGTGAGTGTAAACTTCTTCATGACAGTCATTCTGTATCTGCATATCTTCCCACACCTGATTAAGACAATCCCACATGCCCTTAAAATATCAGCAACCCCAGGAACCTAAGATATGAAGAAAACCACACCCAGGCACCTCATAGACAAACTGCTAAACACCAAAGACAAAGCAAAATTCCTCTTTTTCCCTTTTTTTTTTTTTTGAGGAAGATTAGCCCTGAGCTAACATCGGTGCCCACCCTCCTCTACTTTATATGTGGGACGCCTACCACAGCATGGCTTGACAAGCGGTGCATAGGTCCATGCCCGGAATCCAAACCTGCAAGCCCTGGGCCGCCGAAGCAGAGTATGTGAACTTAATCGTTGCGCCAGTGGGCTGGCCCCCAAAACCAAGTTCTTGAAGCAGGCAGAGAGAAACACTACGTGTAGGAGATCAAGAACACAGACGACGGCTGAGGCCATGGAGGTGAGAAGACGAATGCCATCTTCAAAGTGCTGGAAGAAACAAAAGCGACGACCTGGAATTCTGTATCACTCAGAAATGTCCTCCAGGGGCTGGCCCTGTGGCCGAGTGGTTAGTTTGTGCGCTCCGCTTCAGCGGCCCAGGGTTTCCCTGGTTTGGCTCCTGGGCGTGGACCTACACACCGCTCATCAGGCCACACTGAGGCGGCATCCCACATAGAAGAACCAGAACGACCTACAACTAGAATATACAACTACCTACTGGGGGGCTTTGGGGAGGAAAAAAAAAAACGAGGAAGATTGGCAACAGATGTTAGCTCAGGGCCAATCTTCCAGAAAAAAAAAGAAAGAAATCAATAATGGTAAGAAATCAAGAAAATCCTCAAATATTTCAAAATGTTAACAGTCATTATTGATTTTTTTTGCCTTTATGCTTTTCTCTTTTCTGTAAAATTCAGTGTTGAGTATGTGTTAGTTTGGAATTATATATTTTTGAAGTATTCTTAAATTATGTTTCTTCAGTAGCAGAAACATTTTTCTCCCTTGAAAACAAATTAATCGCACATTAAGAAATCATTTAGAAAATTAAAAAACGGAAAAGCTTTTCTTCCCTCTGATCTATAAAAAGTAGGGAGTAAATGAAAAATATTTTCCTTATATAGATTTGGTACAAAAAACTTAATGAGACTTTAGTTTACAAACTGAAGTCCCCATTTACTGCAACTGAGAAAGCTCCCATTAAAGCACGTGGCTCTGCTTTGCACGGCCTTCCACCTCCCGCCCTGGAAGCCCCCCTGGGCGGCAGAGTGGCACAGGCCCTCACGGCCCCCTCTCTCGTCCCAATTCCTGTAACTCCTGGGGCCTCCCAGGGCCAGAGCCTTCTCTCTGATTCCGGTGAGTCACCTCAGGCATTGCAGTGGTGGCCCCAGCTGCACCCTTAGTTGCCTGGAGGGCTGAAGCCCTGAGTCAGCCAAAGACCTTCTACAAAGAGAAGCCGAGGGGCTGAGTGGCTTCTGTGCTTCAGGAACAAGAGGCTGCCCAGAAACGCTTGGGGTGTGAAGCTCTGTGCACAAGACCCTACTTCTGAAGAACGCACTGGAAGCCGGAAGTGAACCGTCCACGCACGGAGAGTGGGGGAGACAGTGGTCCGAGGGGCCCTGAGGTGCAGGAGGAGAGCTGGGGTACAGGGGAGGCCGTGCATGTGCCCCGACAGCTGCCTCACAGCCCCACCAAACGAGGTCTCTCCAAACTCGATAAAATACGAGACGCGTTTTCACTGCACAACGACAGGCTGGAGTATAAACCGTGGCCATTACGGGTGAGTGTTCCAGACAACGGCTGGCACGTGTGTGTAACTGTTTCCTCTTCTGAAGTAAACCAATCGTATTTATAAAAAACACAAACACTTCACCAATAACAGCTATCGCTTGTCTATAAGAAAAGCTTAATTTAATTTACAAACGATTCTCCGAGTCTTCCTTTTCCAGGAAAGTGGGGAGTGGGCTCTGTAAGCCAACGTAAACACTGACGGCAGGCCCCAGGAGCCAGCACGGCCCACGCCCCTGCTTGCGCTGACGTTACCTCTTTCCGCTCCGCATCGGCCTGAGCTCTGGCCTGGGCCACAGCGGCCTCCCGGTAGGAGCTGGCCTGCTTGGCTTGTTCGAACAGCGTCTTCAGTTGCTGGGCGGTATTGAGCAAGGAATTGACCATCTCTTCCAGGTACAGCCAGCTCCGCTGCTCCGACATCTCCAGCCCATTGACCATCGTGGGAGGGACGCCTTTGGTGGGGGTAGAGGGCGGGACGGCCAGGGCTGGCAGGGATGTCAACACTAGAATGTTTGGAAAGCAAAATGAAGCAAGAAATTAATATGCTTCCCAGCTTCAAGATGCCCTCCATTAACAATTCTCATCAAATGGTGGAAAGTCTGGCGGTAAAGCGATCACCAGGTGTAAATGGCACCTGACCCCCTCCTGAAAGGCTCCAGAAGACGTGGAGACGCTGGTTGGCCAGAGCTCCAGGCCACAGCTCCCAGTGCCGCCTCCAGAGCACCCCACTGAGGCGACCGCGGGCACAGGCTGCAAGCCAGATGCTCTAGATGACACCAACAGACCACAAGCGAAACGTGCTCTGCGCAGGGTGCCATGAAGCATCCCTGGACCCAGGAGAGGACAGGGCAGGGGGCGGCTCCAGACTGAATCAGTAATTCAACAGTAAACCAAAGAACGAAAGTCTCCTGGCTGGCTCTGCTCACTAGAAAGTGCTCCCGGACGTCTGTGGTCACCATGGGAAGTGACTCAGGATAACGAGACTCGCGTTTCTCACAGTTTGAGAAGAAAGTTACAAAGATGGAAAGGGAAGAAACGAGAATGAACCCTGTGGTTTTGGACAGGAACTGGAGACTCAACACATGTAGACAGATCTGGAACACAGATGCGTGTGTGTGTGCACATTCCCCACCTCTGTCCACTGAGAGGGCTGGGGCACGGACACCCCAACCGTGATGAGTGCACCCAGGGTGTGCTGGTAAATGTCTGACATCCAGCCTCCCAGGAAAAAACCCTGACTTGCAGCATTTGCTGATTTCCTGGGGAGAACACTCCACCAAGACCTGTTCCCAGCTCCCAACGTGGGTCACTGGACGTGGGCTGGAAGGAGACGCACACAGCGCTTGAGAGCCATGACGACCAGCTCCAGCCCACTGCGAGCAGGGCCAGACTCGGCTTTGAAACAGAATGTCCCAGTAACAGGGTCAGGACTCCTGGAGGAACCGAAAACCTAAGATGAGCCTCCAAGGCCTCACTGTGCCACAAATTAGGGAAGTGCTCCAAGACAGACAGGGCAGGTCAGAGGACAGAGAACGCAGCAGCGGCTCAAAGGGCTCCCGCCGGCCAAAGCTGGACTAATCCAAGCATAAACAATGACAGTGACAGGTTACAACCCACTGACTAAAACAGGAAACCACGAGGCCACATTGAAGGGAGCAAATGATCTCACAGGCGGGGCGTGGGCTGAGGGGCGTCTGCATGCAGACACTTGCCACACAGGGAGGGCACACCTCCTTCATCCAGGGCCAGGCAGGACCCCCAGCCCCAGCAGATTCACCAGGGATGTGGCCCGGCTGAGGGGCTCGGGGGGCTGGGGGCTGGGGGCTGGGGCCGAGGCAAGGTGTGGGGAGGAGCAGAAGCACGGTGAGCTTTCAGGATGGAAAGGGTTTGAACAGGCAAAGGGGAGAATTAGGAAACCGACCGGCGAGGATGAGGTGAGGTGTGATTACACTTATGATCAAGTTCCTGTCTCGCTCCACTGTCTACGAGAAAAACATAAGAACACAAACATCCACCGCAGGGATGACGGGGCTCCTTCAGAAAAGTCTCTCAACACAGAACTGTGTCCAGAGTGTGCGGGTAACTGAGAAGGCCAAGTCCAAACACACACGCAGCGGGACACCATCTCCAGGTGTGGGGCCTGGGGACGCCAATGTCGGCCTCCAGCCCTTCTGTCAGCACACGGGAGAGCAGAGCGGCTCGGGGTGGGCCCCACCCTGCCCGGCGAGCACGCAGCCTCACGGCACAGACAGACCAAAAACCCAGCTTCGTGGTGTCCGGCCTCTCGGGAGCACTGCCGTCTGGGAACGCAGCCTGCCAGCACACACCCCAACACGGGCGCGGCGTGCTCTCACAGAACCTGACTCAAACACCGGCAGCCCCGACCCGGTGCGTCCCCCACCCGGACCCTCTCTCACAGAAGCAGTTCCGAGACAGCGGCCTGCACGTGCGCTGAATTCTTCCAGACTGACCTATCTTGGGATGAGCCGTTGGCAGCGCAGCTTCCGGGAACGGCGCAATCTGACAGCTGTCCTGGTAGCCCGGGTAGTGGGGCTCCGGATGGCCGACCCGGCACGGCGGCTGCACGCCCGCTTCCTGGACTATCGGGAGAGAGGGGGAGAGACGGCCTCGTGAGCCGCCTGCACGGCCGGTGAATCCCGGACCGTCCACGGCTGCACCACTCACGGGGCAGCTTCAGCCCACACATGGCTACGGAGCCCGGAAACGGCAGAAGCTGAATTGTTAAACGACAGTATTTGGGGTACACTGGGTGAAATAAAATACAGTACAAAAGCCACTTTCCATGTTTGCTTCTATTTTCCCAACGTGGCTGCTAGAATGTTCACAACTACCCACCACGGTCACCATGTTCCTGTTGGACAGTGCTGTTCTAGAGCAGGAGCCCCCAAACCCTGTGGGCACTGTCAGCTTTCAGGACCTGTGCCCTCTGCCACAACTATCAACCCCACAAACACCCTATCTGCCCCCATCCTACCTGCCCCACCCACACATACACCCTACCCACCCCCACCCCTACCTGCCCCACCCCCACATACACCTTACACGCCCCCCACACACCCCTACCTGCCTGGTGCCTGCAGGGCTCGCTACCAATGAAACACCCCTGCCCGAGGCCCCCCCTAAGTGCCAGGCTGCCTACAAACCCCACCCAGCAGGGGTGTGTGGCCATGGTGGGAAGGCGCTGAGACAACTCACCTGTAGCTCCTGCGAAAACGTCACCCTGGGCCGGACTCTCCGAGATCACGGCGGTGGCCTCCACAGTGGATGCCCGGTCAAAGGTCAGAGCGCCAGAGGTAGTGATCTGTCCTGAGGGGGTCACGGTGACTGGAAAGGCAGAAGCGCTCTTTACTGCACGGTGGGGACCCCAAGACCCGCCCCGCAGCACAGATCTCAGAAAGACCCCAGGAGCTGGGGCCAGAACGCAGACACAGCACACACCTCCCGCACACACGCCAGGCCCCTCTGCAAGGACCAGCGACCCCGGGCGCCCGTTGGGGGAAGACTTGGGGCTGTGACAGACTCCCCTACACATTGTTCATACTGTTTGAATTTTGAACACGTGAATGTATTCTCGGGAAAAAAAAATAAAACTCAAAATCATTTAAAAACTACTTTGTAGTTTGAATTAAGAAAAGGATTTTCATCCAAGTTGAAGATAAAAACAGTCATGTCCCCAGGTGTTTCTGCCGCTCCAGCTCCTCTTGGCTGACCTGCACAAGGACGCTGCCACCATCCCAGACCAGGCTCCACCCTATCCGGGGACCCCTGAACTTACCACCCAAAGGACTTGGGCCAAGAGCGCCAACAGGGGCTCACGGACATTTCTGTATAAAGGCCCACGATTCAGACGGATGGTCTTGCACAGTCTCTAACAAATGGGCGAGTTCTAACGTGTTCTCCCGTCGAGGCCTCTCCCGTCTCTAAATCTTTCCCACCCACCTTATGGTAAAAAAGCCAGATTTCTCCCCCACCCTCCCCATCCCCCTCTCCTAGACAGCTGTGCAGTTTTACATACGACACGGGAGCGTTTTGAAGGCTGCTAAAAGCAAAACTCAGAGAAATCCTCATTCGGAAGGCCTTAACACTGTCACCTCTCGGAGGGGCCTGGGCAGGCTGGACAGACCAAGGACCAAGTGTGCGGCCACCCCGCTCTCAGCAGCCCGCACCCACGTCACTAGGAAGGCCCTGCCCCCGAGCCCCAGGGGCACAGGCAGGTCAGGGAAGGAGGAGGGGGTTGCTGACTACCCCGCCGGCCCCATGGCGTCTGCTTTCAACTGAGGATCACACAGCCGAGCCCCGTGTGGTGGCGCAGAGTGCGCAAACGAAGGCTGTCCACAGAACTCACAGGTGGTGGCAGCGGTGGCGGGAAGCAGCGCGATGTTCTTGGGGGAGTCCTTCTTCACCGGGGTGGTGGGCAGCTCGTTCTCCTTCTTGCGCCTCTTGTAGGGGACGAAGAGCCGGACGGGGCCGCTCTGCAGGAGGAGAGGGAGATGGAGGGAAAGGCTCGAGGTGGCCCGGGCTGTCTGCGTTTTGCTCCTACCAAGTGACAGCCTTGTCTCCTGGCCACACGAGCGACACAGCGAGAGTACAGTAGGACGGCGAGCTGCGCGTAAAACCCTTACCTCTCTCCGAGGCCCAATTCCTTAAAATGACAGAAAAAACGCTTTCACAAAGAACACATGACTCACGATGCTTCGAAACCAGAAAGAGCATCGTCAACACACAGCATTTTTAGGAATTCCTAGAAGACAGAAGACAATTGGGAACCAAGGGAAGAAGAAGGGAGCAGAGACGACCGCCCGAAAGCAGAGGAGCGGCGCCCAGCTCAGTGCCGGAGCCCCGGGAACCTGAGGGACGCCGACCCGCGGGCCCCCCTGCTGCCAGGTAAGTCTGCCGTGGAGCCACTCCGGCGAGTGTTCATTCTGTTCTTCTGCTTTCAGTTCAAGAATCTCCACCGGGTTTTTTTTTTGAGGAAGATTAGCCCTGAGCTAACTACTGCCAGTCCTCCTCTTTTTTTTGCTGAGGAAACCTGGCCCTGAGCTAACATCTGTGCCCATCTTCCTCCACTTTATATGTGGGACGCCTACCACAGCATAGCGTGCCAAGTGGTGCCATGTCTGCATCCAGAATCCGAACTGGCGAACCCCGGGCCGCCGAGAACGGAACGTGCGTACTTAACCGCTTCGCCACCAGGCCGACCCCTCCGCTGGGTTCTTTTTTGTAATTTCTCTTTATCAATACTCTCCATGTAATGAGACTTGGCATCACACCTTCTGCTCTGGACTGAACTGCGTCCCCCCAGAATTCACGTGCAGGGCCTGAGCCCAGTGCGGCTGTACTGGAGTAAGGAGGTGCCGAAGGGTAACTGGGGTCACAAGCGTGGGGCCCTGATCCACGGGATTAGCGTCCTTGTGGGAGGGGACACCAGAGCCTCCGTCCCTCTGCCAGGTGCACACACAGCGAGAAGGCAGCTGCCTGCAAGCCAGGAACCAAGCCAGCACCTGGACCTTGGACTTCAACCTCCAGGATGGTGAGACACCGGATGGCAGGCCACGCAGACCAAGACGGCTTGCGAGAAGTCCCTGCAGCTCTCGGAACACAAAGAGCGCAGCCTGGGAGCACCCGCCCGTGAAAGCCGAGCCCTGGGCGCTCACGGCAGCGTCTGCTGCCTGCTGCTTTCCTTCCATACGGCTCACACTTTCTTGTTTCTTGGCATGTCTCGTAATTTCTGCTGAAAACTGGACATTTCAGGCAATCTTTTATACCAAGCGTGGGGACTGACTCCCCCTCCAGGGCTTCCTGCCGCCGCTCGTGTCAGGGACCCGACTGCACTCCTCTATGAAGACTCCACCCGGCAGTGAGGCCTGCGGCTGCGTGAGCACAGCCCTGGGCACACGCTTGGTCACCTCCGGCTGCCAGTGCCGTGAGCTGCGTTGAGCTGTCGCCTCTGTTGGTGTCACACCCAGCTGCCGGTTCCACTCGCTTCCAGCTGACGGCTCTGCTGTTCTCCACGGCGCCCCGGCCACAGTGCTCCATCGCCTGAACCGATCTCCTCGGCTCGCAACACGGGTGGCTTCGGAGCAGGTCACTGAGGGCTGTTCTCACCCCAGGAGGGCTCTTGGGAGCTGTCACTCTCCCTGGACCACTGCTTCAGCTTGTGGCTCCCACAGACTGCCAGCCTCCCCTGACGCTCACCTCTGTCGTGCGCCACCGGCCTCCCTTCACACTCACCATAGAAACCTCCACTGTTCTCAAGGGCACCCTTAGGCTTGAACGTCCCCACACTCTATTCCAAATAAAGCCAGTTCCTCCGGGGGGACCCCTGGAGCTCTCTGTCCTCATGGCCTGCCTCTCCCTTGGGGCAAAATCTGAGCCCTGCTCCAGAGCAGGACCAGGAACAGTGCTCACGTCCATCAGCGTGACAGCCCGGCTGGACAAGTCTTCTCACCTGGCCTCTTGGCACAGGCCTCCACCCTCGGAGCGAGCTGGGGTGAGGACGACTAAGGCCACAGTCTTCTTGCCCTGCTGTGCCCGGAAAGAGCCTCTGCCCCCTGAGAAGTGGCTGGGTGAAGGAAGGGAGCCCTCAGTCTCTCAGCCGCACTTTCCCAGAGTTCAGTTCCTGCAACTCGAGGCTGAAGACAATGTGAAATGCTGGTGGCCTGGCCCTCCAGTGCAAGCCTACACCCCTTGACTGGGAGCTATGGGGAGAAGGGCCCCGTTTTCTTGGCTGCACCACCTGGAGTGGAGCTTCCTCTGCGCTGAGCTGGAGGGGAGCGAGGGAGGGAAGCGGTCCTGGCTCAGGCGCCAGCCTCCCACTCTCCTTTCGCAGACCTAGATTTCCTGGATCAATGTTTCTCTATTTGTCGTATGCCCCTAGGACAATTTCCAGAGAATTTCAGTGGTGGTTTTTTTAATAATATCACCAGTTATGGTTATTTCTCTGGGGAGCAGGTCCATAGAGCTCTTCACACCACCATTCCTGCAGTGGAAGCCAAAATTTTAAAATGTGATAAAAGTCCAGTTGACCGATTTTTTTATTTTATGGATGGTGCCTTTGGTTTCATGTCTAAGAAACCCTCAGTCTAATCCGAGGTCATGAAGATTTTCCCCGTGTTTTCCTCTGAAAGTTCTATTTCTGTTTCACATGTGCATCTAGGATCCCTCCTGAACCCGTGTGCGCGTCAAGTGTGAGGTTCAGGTCCAGTGCATCTCTGTGCCTACAAATGTCCACCAGTGCCAGCACCGCATGCTGGAGAGACAACTTCGAGTCTCCCTGTGGATGCGCCCGTCTGGGTCCCAGGTCTGCGGGTCTCGCCCTCTGCCAACACTGCAGCTCCCAGATCACGGCGCCAAGACAGCAGCCTTAAGTCACAGGCCGCGGATTGCTCCAACTTCAGTCTTCTTGCTCAATCGATGCTGTCTTGGCTATCCTGTTTTCTTTGCCTTTCCATATAAAGAAATCGGCTTGTTTATACATACAAAGAATCCTGCTGGGATTCTGACAGGAATCGTGTTAAACCCACAGATGCGTGTGGGGAGAAGTGACACCGGTGCTATGTCGCATCTTGCAGTCCGTGGGCAGAGGACGTCTGTCCAAGTCTTCAGGACTCCCCCACTTCTTCAGCAGCAGCTTGCAGTTTTCAGTATTCAAATTCTATACACGTTTTGTTAGAGTTACACCTGAGCATTTCAGCATTTGGAGTCACTGTAACGAATTCCGCCACGCATCCTCATCTTCCTACGGGAACGAACTCACTCCTGCCGCTCTCTGATCCCTGTAAGATCTCTGGGAACCTCACCTATTACTTTTCCCAAATGAACTTTAAAATCACTTTATATTCACAAAAATGTCCCACTGATTATTCTACTAGAATCACACTAATCTATCCACAAACTGGACAGTTTTAGAACATTTAGTTTCTCCACTCAAGTACCTGACTTGTCTCTCCCATTAAATTGTTTTCGTATCTTCTAATAATTAATGAGATAAATAATCAAAATAAAATAAGGAAATCTCATTAAGCAGCCTTTAAGTTAACTTTAAAACATTTTAAAATAATATTAACACTAATGAAAGCTGACACAAAACTGGTACATTCGTACATTACAAATCAGTCTCATGCTTTTGAAAGCTTTGGAGCAACATATACTAAAATCGATGAAAATATGCATTCTTTTTGAAACAGTTATGAATGCAGGATAAGGAAATATTCCAAAAGACATTAGAAGCTCTATACCTGAATAAGTTCAGTGTAGTATTTTCAAGACATAATGTTAAAAAACGCAGAATATAAAATGCCACATACACATTTGTTGTGACCATTAAAAAAAAGTGTGTGTATTTGGTTTGGGGGTTAAGACGGTGATGTTAGGGGAGCTTTCAGTCACTTAAGAAAGTCTCCTGTAACATCCGTGAGCAGCCACGCAGCGCCGACCACGTGCCTCCGCCGAGGCGCCAGTTATCCGAGTGATGCTTGGAAAGAGACTGTGGGAGACACTGGTAGGAAGCCCCAGATGATCCGAGGGGAGCCAGGGACACAGGGGACAAGCAAGCCCTAGAGAGGAGCAGGGACAATGCCCCTCTCCCAGCCAGAGGACGGAGGGAGAGAGCGCCCGGACGCAGAGGGCTGCGGGCTGGCTCGGCAGCTGTCCGCTCATGGGCGTCTAACTGCACAGCATCCGCCACCAGCAGCTTACCAGGGTCATGTCGTCGCAGCAGGCGGCACAGGTGCAGGAGGCGGCGTGTGGGTTTAGGATCCCGTCCTGAAATTTAAAAAGCATCGTCACACATCACACAGTGGGCCCGTAACGTGACTCGTCCACACTAGATTTCAGGCGGCTTTACCACTTCTCCTCCACTCACAAATATAAACCCTGCAACCCCGCCAAATTCTCCTCCCGACACTTCCCCCTCTGCGACGCCATCGGTAGTGGCAGGACCTACCTCTCTCCTTCTAGGGAGTGAAAGGTCCCGCAGGCAGTGTCCCTTTATCAACACCCAAGGAGCTAAACCAGAAACAGGGACAGGCAGCCCCCTGCTTTTACGAGTAAACTGCAGCAAATGGAAGTGAGGTGCCTTTTAAAAAGCCACGTGTGTGCAAACAGAAGCTGTCACATTGCCTCATCCACTCCTCACAACAGTTGTGTGGGGCAGATATCATCATCTTCCCATTTGAAACATCAGGAAACTGAGAGACAGAGAGGTTAAGTAACTTGCCCAAGGTCACACAGCTAGTGAGTGGAGGATTCAAACCTAGTCTGTCTGACTCCAGTCTGTGGGCCTCGCCTCTGGGCTGGGCAGCGTCGGAATGCCCCACAGCCTGAGCCTTTGGAGACGCCCTCGCTGCCCCTTGAAGCTTTGTGCCGAGACGCAGGGACGAGAGCGCAGGCTTACAGCACCTGAATGAGGCACTGCAGCGGCCTGCCTGCGTAGCGAATGCTCCTCTTCCAGTCCTTACTGCTGGCTCTTCCTGCCATGGCTTCAAACTCAGTTGGACTGTACCAGTTCTCGCCCTGCTTAATGCACCGCCCCCGGCCTCCTGCAACGACACGTGCGTCCACCAGAATGACCACCACCTCCCACGGCCAGGTCCAGCCGGCCGACACCAGGCCGGGCCCCTCCTGCCTTCTCCTCTCCTTGCCGCCTCCCGCCTGGCTCCTCCTCAGACGCCGGGGCAAACCTGCACCTCGAGGCCGCACGGCAGTCTGTGCCTCCGACGCCTGCCTGACCTCTCCAGCCACTGCCCACGGGCACTGCAAGCTCAACCACGCCCCACACAGAGCCCGTGACAGCCACCCCGCTTCCAGAACCCGCTGCCTCCAGGCACCAAGCTGACCCAGGAACTGAGGGAGCGCGTTCCAGCCCCGCCTCTCCCCTTGTTCCTCTCCCCCTCAGGGGTCACCACGTCTTCTCAATTTGCTCCCTAAATCGCCCCGCACCTCTCCACGGCCCTAGTTCCCAGGGCCGTGAGCCACTGACATCTCCTGTCTTCCTACCCACAGCCTTCCGGGGCCCCAGTTTACCGTGGGGAGCTATGAAAGGAGGGAAGCTTTGAGCCCCGCAGAGAGGCGGCCGCCCTCACCTGAGCCGAGCCTGTTCTTGTACAGCGTGCCGCTGATGTTCCGGCACCGCACGGGCAGCTCGCTGTCGTACACCGACGGGTCCCAGTTGTATTTGGTGCCACCTTTTTCTTGGCCAGGAGCCAGAGGAGTTGGAGGAGACTGAGGACCTTGAACAAAGGAAGCATTTGAAAATAAGAGACACCGGATACATCCGAAAATAACTAGAAAAGCCCAAGGAAGTCCACTGGATTCTACCCGCAGACCCTCTGGCTGCTCAGAGACCGTCGCCCCGATGGCGTGGCCCCTTCACTCTGGAAGACCCTCCTGGCCTGGAAGATCCCACTCTTTCTACTTAAACTTAATGTTTGCTATTCCAAATTTACCACAAAATAAATAAGTCAACCCCCAGAATAAACTGCACAACCTCTCGCACACGTTTTGCTCCGGAGAGCCTGGGGCAGGAAGGGCGGTACCTGGCGTGAGAGGCGCGGCGGGCCCCTTCAGCCCGGTGGTTTCCACGATGCTCCCATCCGTGTGCACGACAATCAGCGTGGCTTTCTCAGTGTTCAGGCTGTCCCCAATCTGAAGGGCTGTCCTCCCAGACTGGAGGAGAGAAGTTTCCATAAGTCGTCTCAGGTGACAGTGAGGGCATGTCACCTGTGCAGTGAGACGTGGTCCTACAGCGCCCTCGCTAACTGTCACCAACAAGGGGATGCCTCCCACACCTCCCAGGTCTCCTTAAAGACGTCTCTAAAAGACAGACTCAGAGCCGAGAACAAGAGACAACGCAGGTCTGTGTAGCTGCGAGCAAACGCCCGCGACGCGTCACAGAAGAAAGGTCCCTGGAGACAGGAAGTGCCCACGGCTGTCTGCACAGCTCCTGCATGGCCACAGGCCTCACGGGAGGGCTTCTGAGAGACCACGCTGATCCTCACAGCCAGGGCCCGGTGCGGGACTCCCTTCCGCCAGGGTCCCATCCAGAGCTCTTCACCAAGGGCCACCGGAGCCTGGGGCCTCCCAAACCACACTGCTCACATCCCTCTCCACGCTGCGGGACACTGCCACGACCTCACCCACCTCCCCCGGGTGGGACCCGGCCTCACCCTCCTCCTCGGGGGCCAGGCGTCCCTGTCTGGACTCTGTGGCCAACCAGGCACACGCCTCGGTTGGTCACCTGGCAAACTCTTAAGGCCTCACTCAGACAGCTCCAGGGTAGACTGAGACCACCAAGCAACCTGTCCAGCCCAACGTTCTAGAATGCTCTAACGCTTCCACATTGAGAGGATACAGCGAGCTAAGGCAAAGTGAAAGTTTCTTACACCTGAAAATGTCACCTTCCCACCAGGGGAAGCAAGTAGAAGTTACCCACGCTGTCAAGGGACCCCCGACCCCCCACACGTGCACACACACACATGCCTGGGCCCTCGCTCGCTCACAGGCCTGGAGGGTCAACGCCTCAGTAAGAGCGTCTACACTGCTTGCGTCTGAATCATTGAAGATGTGCAGCTCTCTACTGGGAAAGGTGATGGTTTGTGCTATTTAAGAATCACGAAGGGGCCAGCCCGGTGGCACAGCGGTTAAGTGCTCACATTCTACTTTCGGCAGCCCGGGGTTCGCTGGTTCGGATCCCGGGTGCGGACATGGCACCACTTGGCAAAAGCCATGTTGTGGCAGGAGTCCCACATATAAAATAGAGGAAAATGGGCATGGATGTTAGCTCAGGGCCAGTCTTCCTCAGCAAAAAGAGGAAGATTGGTAGTAGTTAGCTCAGGGCTAATCTTCCTCAAAAAAAAAAAAGAATCATGAAGCATTTTCCTTCTGAAGGCAACTGGGAAATGTAGATATTTGAGATCCCCTCTCCTTGGTGTCATTTCCAAAAGGATCACACCAATTCCTGTGTCTGCAGTCCTCAGAGCCCGCTGGAAGCACCACACCCAGGAGCTCAGACTCAGGGCCGCGCTAGCCCCCCCAGCCTCTGGCTCCAGCCCCTCCTAGAAGGGAGGATGCGATAGGAGGTGCTGCAGGAAGGATGACCAGCTGGAAGCAGGAAGTTGCCACCTGGCTACCAGCTCGTGTGCGTTCTGACACCGCAAGACGTGTACCACACTCCTGAGCCCTGTGCTCCGGGTCCTCTGCTACACTGGTCCAGTCTTCACTACGGTACTGCACTGTCGTCCCCCACCCCCGTATCATGAGTAGGAGCCCGAGGCTGCTGTTGGCTGCCGTTGGCTGCCATTCCAATGACAACACCTTCGCTCTCAGGGTTCTAGTGCCCCAAGAGTGTGATCAAGGCTAAGAGGAAACTATAACAAACACTCTGGCAGAGGTCCCAGGAAAATCCCCCTTTCTGAAGACTCTACCGAGCCCCTGGCATCTCCCACTTAGAAATGAGGCTGTCCCCCAAGTCACCGAAGGCCTCCGAGGTAAAAGCTGCACCAAAGTGATGCAGCAGGATCATAAACGGCTCTGACCGGGCACAACGCTATCTGAGACGTGCCTGGCTTTTGGCAGCCATCTTAAGAGGACAGGGGTCACCATGCAGAATGCATGAGCAAGGCAGGAAATGAGCCATAAATGCTGCGAACAGAATGCTGTGCCAGGCCAAAGACAGTGACCCTTCCACGTGTCTGGAGCTTCATGAACAAGGAAAGCAAGCAGGACCAGGCCACCAGTGAAGCTGGACTTCAGGCCTAGAGAAGCCTGGACCCAGGTGGATGCTGGAGCTCCCATCCTGGGACACTGTGCAGCAATCTGGCCAGGATGGCACGAGGGCTGTCCCCTGACTGCAGGCTCAGAAGGGTTCCTCCCGCTCACCCACAGTCCAGGGGCTGGTTCCACCTCCGCTCTCATTTCCCCACCAAGAGCTCAGCCCTGGAGGCTCCCTGACAGCAGCAGCTGCCACTTCCCTTCCCGGTGCCCAGGGTGCCCGCACTGCTGACGGAACCCTGAGCAGTCTCTGGGGGAGCCGCAGCCACTCCACTCAGGTCTGTGGAGACTCGCAGGGGCTGAAGTGCTCGCAGAGTGGCTTACCAGAACGTGTCCCGAGAGCGAGGCGGCGTTCGCCACTGACGTGGTGAAGACATTGTCTGCAGACGCACCCACGTTAGCCACCGTCACAGTGGTCACCTCTGCAACACAGGAGCCTGACTTAGCGTGCTGTCAGAGCCAGAGGCCCCAACACAGCTTCTCCCAATCAGGTGTCTGTGCTCCCAAGTGCGAGAATCCTAACACTTTGACACAAAAAGCTTAACTGATGTTTCCAGACCATAGTCTAAATGATCTGGTTCTTCCAGGAAAAGAGGCAGCCTTTCCATCCCAGTAGAGCCTTTTATGCACAGCAAAGAGCCGCGCACGGCAAATCCGCCCCCCCGCGTGCGCACTGAGCCGGCCACGGGCTCTGCCAAAGCACCCCCGGCTTCCCACTCCCTCTAGGAGAAAACCACGCGGCTCAGAGGCTCCACCGACCCCACGACAGACCCCGGGCAGCTCAGACACGGAGCAGACAGCGACAGTGCCGTGACACAGAGGCTCACTCTCACTCCCGCCCTCCTGTGTGGGTGGGGCCCCTCCTGGCCCCATTTCCACAGGTCCTCCCTCCCTCCCCAGCTCTGCCTCTGCCCCCTCTTCCTTCTCCCCGGCCACTGCCCTCAGGCAACCTCAGCCTCTTCCTCCTGACTAGCACATCCGATCTGCTGCGGACCCTGGTGCCTCTGGGCAGGGTCCACATGCAGGAGTGCTGCACCCCACCACGTTCCCCCCCAACCTCTCAGCCACCTGTCACCCCCAGACAGGCCACACTGCTCCGCCTATGTTGCATCTCCCTCCCGCTCACTGCCTACCGCTGTTGCACCCACCATTCGGCTCAGGCACCACCTTTGGAGAGCCTTTCCTCGAGGCTCCCTGCCTGGCAGGTGGGGTTGCGCAGCATTCTAGAATGTTCCATGCCTAGGGAAGTCTCTGATACGTGGGAGGTGCTCAAAAAATACTGATTTAAGAGTCCTGTAGAGGGGGGCCAGCACGGTGGCTCAGTGGTTAAGTTCGCATGTTCTGCTTCAGCAGCCCAGGGTGCGCAGGTTCAGATCCTGGGTGCAGACATGGTACCCCTTGGCAGGCCATGCTGTGGTAGGCGTCCCACATGTCAAGCAAGGAAGATGGGCATGGATGTTACCTCAGGGCCAGCCTTCCTCGGCCAAAAAAAGGATTGGCAGCAGATATTAGCTCAGAGCTAATCTTCTTCAAAAAAAGAAAAAAAAGAGTCCTGCACCTTCCACTAACCCAGCACTCACCAAACTGCACTGAAAATGCCCATTTCCTTTTCTGTCGTCACCAGCAGAGAACATGCTTACGTCCCCGTGAGCCCCACGTGCTTAGGGGTTCTCTTTCTGAACACACGCTCAAGTCTAAAGACCATGCAATACAAGATTGTAACCTATCATTAACTCAATACAAATTAAATTAAAAAAAAATAAAAGACCACGCAAGCAGCCGTCTACCCAGAGGTGGCGGTCTCAGGTGAGCAACCTGTCCTGCAAAGTTAGTTACATCTGGAAATTACTTGACCTCAGGAATTCATGACAGAAAAACTTCTAATGCTTTAACGCATGCAAAGACACAAGTATAAAACTTTGCAAAAAAAAAAACACGTAACGTCAACACATTTCTCCGACGTCACAGATGGCATCACATTTCTTTTCTGCATTCAGAAAAATGTGAGCAAAAAGGACAAAAATCTGAAGAAAAACTTCATGGTCCAAAATCCCAATATTAAACCAGAGTTTAGCGATGAAAACTGAACCTTATAAGAACCACAAAACCTTCTTCCCTTGATTTTTCAAGGATCCCAACAGAGCACAGGCAGACCAGAGGCGCCTGGCAGGGCAGGACCTGGACTGCTGGCCCACCACCCAGCATCAACAGGGCTAAATAAACCCCTGAGTGACCAGGACACACACACCAGGACAGGGAGGCTGCTGCCTGATTCTGAAACCTATGAAGCTCCTTAGGGAAAAGCCTTATGACACCCCGAGTCCTCGAGAGCCACCCAGGAGCCACGAGTGGGACCAGGTACAACACATGGGACGTCCTCCAGAACGGCAGTCTGGGGAGGCACTACCTCTGAAGGGTGCTTTGGGGCACGGTTTGAGACTCCATGGGTCACGAAATGAGAATGAGCATGTTCTGTGTGGCAAGAAACAAAAACGTGGCCCAGAGCCACGCTGGCCTTCCCCTGGAACAGGAGCCTGACGGGGTCGCAGGAGGGAAGATGCATAGAGGAAAGGGGGGCAGACAGGGAGGGCAGTCTGAGGAGCAGGGTGCTGACCTCTGGCTTCACTGCCCAAAAGGCCGCCAGCCCTCCCAGGCTGGGTGAGCACTCTTGCACCCCAGCACCCAGGTCACACCTGAACTGGCCCCTAGGATTTCAGGTGACCAGACACGCCCACCCTCAGGCTCCTGAAGGACAAGAGCCACATCTGACCTCCTGTATCACCAGCACCCAGGACAGACAGAGGAGAGGTCAGGCACGGCAAGAAGCAGGTGCTGAGAAGGTTCTGGAAGAAGCCCAGAGTGCTGAACAGGACGGGGTGAGGCCGGCACAAGGAAAAGGGGTTCGCGGAGCAGACGTGCGTGCAGGGCAGGGCCAAGCTGGTCACACAGAGCAGGTGTGCAGGGATGACAAGCCACACAAAGTAGATGTGAGGCAGGTGCTGGGGGAAAATGGGTGGGCCTGTCATGGGGTGTGTGCAGGGCAGGAGCGTCTGGAGAACAAATGTGCAGGGCAGTTGTGTGAGGCAGGTGCAGGCTGGTCATAAGAGGTGTGTGCAGGGCAGGTGTGTGGGACAGGTGCGTGTCGGTTGTGCACGATGCGCGCGGGGCAGGTGTGGAGAGGTGCACGCAGTGTGTGCAGGGCAGATGAGCGGGCGATGCGCCCAGCGCAGATGCGGGCAGGTGCGTGGGGCAGGTGCACGCTGGCCGTGCACGATGTGCGCGAGACAGGTGTGGACAGGTGTGCGGAGCAGGTGAACGGGATGCACGTGGTGCAGCTGCGGGCAGGTGCCCAGGGTGTGTGCAGGGCAGGTGTGCTGGGGCAGGTGAAGGCAGGTGCGCGCGGGGCAGGTGCGGGTTGGTCGTGCGGGGCGTGCTCGGGGCAGGAGCATGGAACAGGTGCGGACAGGTGCGCGGGGACCGCGGGCGGCGGCACTTGCCTGCGAAGGCGGCGGCCGCGGCGGCCTCGTCGGGGCCGGGCAGGGCCTCGGCGCCCATGTCCATGTGCCCAGGCTCGGCGGCCATCACCGCCACGGCCGTCACCCGCCGCGTCTCGCGCTCCGCCTCTGAGTCCCCGTCCTCTTCCGAGTCCTCGTCTCTGCTGAGCACCGGCTCCTCTGCCTCGCCTCCCGCCGCGGCCGCGGCCGCCGCCGCCACAGCGGCCGCGGCCGCCACCGCCGCCGCCTCGGCCAGGCCCAGCTGCTTGGCGGCCGAGTCCGAGTCCTCCATCCGGACTCCGCCGAGCCCGCCCGAAGGCGCAGGCCGGGGGCGCCCGAAGGCCGGGGCCGAGTCCGAAGCGCGCCGCCCGAGGAGGGCCGCCCGAGCCGAGCCGAGGCTGCGCGAAGCCTAGCCGAGGCCTCCCGAAGTCGCCCGCCCTGCCGAGCCGAGGCCGCCCGAACAGTGGCCGAACCGGCACGAAGCGGCCCAGTCGAGCCGAGCCGACGATCAAGAGTCCGGAACCGAAAAGGGCCGAAGCGGCCCGAAGTGCAGAGCCGAGTCGGTCCGAATTGGTCCGAGGCCGCACGAGAGTTTCCGAGCGGCTCGGCGCTAGTCCTCCTCAGCGCCAAGGAGGCCTCGCCGGCCGTCGTCCCTGGCCTACAGGGTCGCCGACTGTGGGGCCGGCTCTCGCCAGGCTTCGACGCAACGCCACCCGGCCAGGAGAACCTTGCGCCGCACGCTCCGCCCGCCCCCGCCGCGAGCGGAAGCCGAGTCGGCCCGAGGCGGAGCCGAGCGGAGCCGAACGGCCCCGAGCCCGGATCCTCCCGAGCTTCGGCTCTCCGCCTCCTCCTGTCCGAAAGTGCCCGAGTGCTGCCGGACTGGCTAATCGGGCCTCGGCCGCGGCTCGGAGTCAACTCCAGAATCGCGGCGCGGTCGGGCCCCTTCGGGAGCAGAAGCGAAAATGGCCGAACGGACGCGGACGACGCCGGGCCGAGAGGCTGCCGGGATCGCGGCGGACTTGGCGGGCGGGGCCGGGGGGCAAGATGGCGGCCGCGCGGAGAGGTGAGGGTCGCTGGCGGGAGCGGCGGGGTCCCGGGGACCGGGGGGTAGCCCACGGCTCAGGGGGTTCCCCGAGCTGAGTCCGCCCCCGCGGAGCTCCGGCGGGCCCGCGGCTCGGGAGGGGTCCCGGGCGGGGATGACCCCGGGAGAGGGGCTCTGTCCAGTCTGGTTCGGTTTGGGGTGGGAGTGGCGGACCAGCGGGGCAGTGGTTGCAGTCTGTCCAGGGTGAGGCTCCGTCGGGGCTGTGAACCGACCACCCCTCCTTGCCGGGCGGCTCCCGCCGGGGCCCGTCCCTGTTCGGGGCCGAGGGGTGCTCCGGGGCCGCGTGCGCATCCTCCCCCGCGGTGCGCCCGGTGCTGCGGGGAGCACGGCGCGCAGGGCCCGCGCACGCTCCTCCTCGTTCCCCGTGTCCCCTGGGCCGACGTCCCCACCCGCCGCGGACAGGCCCCCGGCTCCCGTGGCTCCCGCGGCCTGGACCAGAGGGCGGAGGGGCTCTAATGTGCGGGGCGGCTCCGCCGAGGGTCCCTGCGGGGCCAGCGGGAAGAGGCGGGCGCGGGTCCCGGGGGCTGGTGGGGCCGGGGGTCAGGAGGCGCGCCCCTGGCGTGGAGTCACAGGCAGTGCGTGTCAGCGGCACGCTTCCCCCAGGCTCTCGCCGCGTCGGTCACAGCGCTGACCGCTCCACCTGCCGACGGCTTCTGCTTCGCGCACCATGCGTAACAAAAAGAAAGTATGTGGGCGGGATGGGGCCTCTGTGCCTGCGGCTCGGAACTGTCTGTCTGTCTGTCGTAGGTTCACGCCGACAAAGTCCAGTTTCTTCCCTCCTCTGTCGTGCCGACGTCACGTGCTGGGGGGGATCGGCGGCAGCCACGGGTTGGGCGTCCCCAAAGAGGCAGGCTTTGTGGTCTGTTTCACTCAGGGCTCTCCAGCGCGAGGGTTCCAAACCGCCAGACCTCTGTCCCCGGAAGGCCACTGGTGATGAGGTTTGTCGGTGGACTTTGATTTGGTGAAAAACGAAGTTTATCCCAGCACAGGATCTCTTCGCTCACCTTGTATGTCACCTCGGGGGAAACATTTGTTCTGTTCCTTCCACATTTAACTTCTGTGCTGGCACGCCTGCCTTCTCGCAGCCACATTGTCATTGACTAGAAATGCCAGGTCCTAGAAGCCACACTGTCTTTAGCCAGAGTGAGCTCCTGTAGTCTGAAATGGGTAGAACAGCCTGTCTGATGATAGCTGCCCTTAATGTTAAGTTTTATGTTGCTTAAGGTCCTTACACAGTTTTCTTTCCCTGAGCCCCACAATTTCAGTCTGTGACAGTGGGCAGCTGGCAAATAGACTGGAAGTGTGTCTGGGCTAACCTTCAAGAGAAGGATCAGAAAGGAGGAAAACCCCAGTCAACATGAAATCCACCCCAATAATAACAGACCTCCAGGCAGCCTAGTTTAGCTAGAGCCTGGAAAAGGAGAGATCGGGTTTAAAGAGCACCCTGCCCCGTAACGTGATGCGAGTTTACAAATGATCCGCTCTCCGCTAGCCCTCACCTGGCTTCCCGCTCTCGGCACGTGCCGTCCCGCCTCAGAGCCCAGTTCTGAATCTCTGTCACTAATGTCCTGTGTTGACCCATTTGAGATGCCGACCCAAGTGAGACTCCACGGAGGGCCCAAAGCTGCCCAAGGAGACATGGGATCACCCTGTGACATCCCCCACAGAAGCCCCCCCCCCCCCCAGGCCGGGTCTCCTGGGCCCCCGGGACACAGAGGAGAAGAATGGGCAGGCAGTTCACACCACGTCCTTGGTTGCCAGGTTCTCAGTTTTTATTGACATATCTGCATATCACGAATGGCTACTAGGGTGAGCCTCTTCCGACAGGAAATCTGACCCAGGACACGCACCCTCAAGGATGAGTCAGCTACCTTCAAATCCAGGACCCCTGATTCAGAGGACTGATTTACCTGCTCCGGGCTTGCTCTTATCTCCATGACAGGATGATGGAAAAATGTGTAATAGCTGCAGGGGTGAGGACGAGCCAAGAGATGCACGATTCGCAGAGATTGAATTGCTGATTTAGGGAGCTCTTGTTGTTTGGAGGGATATTTGGGGCAATGAATAAAATTCCTGTGGAAAGCAAGTGTCTGTTATCAATTTCAAAAAAAAGACTTGTTGTAACCTGAATGAGAAAAGGTTTTCATCTAATTATACCTGTGTAGCAAATATGCAGAAACCGCAGAAGTTTCGAAAAGCTGCAGTTTGGTTCCCTTCCAGGGCATTTTCCTTCCCTGGCGGGATTTGTGGAGGGGAATCACTCCCTGGCTGATCCGGCCTCAGGGTTCCCTTCTACTTCCCCTCTGAGCTCCCTCTGCTCCCAGGTACATGCCGTCTCCCAGCCTCAGGTTCTGAGGTCAGATCCTCCTGGGAGGGACGGATGCAGAGGTGATGGAAAAATACCTAGCTGCAGGCCCCAATAAACACTGGCTTCTTTCTATAAACGTGCAATGAAAGGAGAAGCAGGCCGGGCTCGTGGTTGTCGACGTTCATCAGGCCTGGTTCAGCCTGCTCGTGGGATGCGGGCCTCCTGACGTGCTGTCTCTTCCAGGGAGCACCTCCTCTGCCATGGTATCCTGCTGCACCCCATGCTCTCTGACCTGGGCCTCCGCGGATGGTGCCTGATGGTGGAGTTGCCAGCCTGTTGAGTCAGCTCTCTGCTTTTTGCTCCTGTAAAGCCCCCTCTTCTCTAAGTTGTCAGTAGGAATCCCACTTTTGAGTGGAGGGCAGTTCGCTAACAGAGTTAGAGTTGCTCTAACCTCTGAATAGAGCGCACTGGCCCAGCCGACCTCCTGCTCAGCCTGTGCCTCCTGCCTCCCTCCAAGGGCAGGAGAATGAAAACCCCTCAGTTTGAATGCTTAGAGGCTTATTTTAGCATAAACAAACATGAAGTGTACAAAGCTCAGGAAAGTTGTTAGTGGATATTTAACTCCCCCCAAAGGAAAAAATATATTTTATTTGAAGAAAAAAAAAAATCATTGTTTTCTCTCTACTGTATAGCTGGGGTCAGGGTCAGGGTCAGGGTGATGCCACCCGAGGCTGTCCTACCTGCAGTCACCAAGGACCTGCCCAGTACTCTTGCTCCAGACCAGGATGTCCCCTGGGAGGGAGGGGCCTGGCAGGGCCCTGTGACACCAGGAGGAGTATCGATGGAAGCCCCAGTAGGCAGGAAGCCAGCCAGCGGCCCGGACTCCAGGGCCACCCTCAGTGTTTGGGGTGCCTCCAGACAGATGCAGAGTGGCTCCCCTTGTCAGCCCCATGCGTGGGCGCCCCCAGGGCAGAGCTCGTTCCCTGGGCTGAGAGTCCTTAACCGCATGCCAGCTCTCATCGGTCCCCCTTCAAATGCTGCTCTGCCTCAGTGGGATGTGTGACTCCCTGTACTTCCTGGCGACACTCCTGATGATGACATATAAAAGTAAGTGGGGACGGAAAAGCCCAATTGCAGGTGTCGCTGCCCCTGCTGTAACTTGAGTTCTGGTCTGTTGCCCATTGTCTCCAGGTCAGGTTTTCAGTTATCCTCATGAGTACCTGGTCCTCGACCTGACTCTGCTCCTTCTGATGGGGATTCTGGAAGCAGTTCGGCTATACTTTGGTGAGTTGGCTGTGAAAACCATAAAGTACTTAAGATAACAGAGTTGCTGGGTGGACACCGTGAGCCTCTGTACGCTCATCGCTTTGTAGTGGGGCAGTTAGAGGCGCTGTGGATTTCACCCGCTCCACCAGTGGCTCTGCTGGCCTCGCCTCCAGTGTCAGGAAGTCTTAGTTTATTCAGAAGCTCTGTCTGAGACACAGACAGTACTGGCAGCGTCCCTGGGGGAGACACTTCCCATTTGGAAGCAGATCCTGCACAAGCTGCAGGGTGACAAACAGCACTGCACTCGGAACCCAGCTTAGCTGTCAACTGTGGTACCCCAGAATGTTCGCCTCACCCCAGGAGCTGAAGGGTCTGGGAAGTACTGCCATGACTTGGAGAGGTGAGAGGGCTCCCCTGGACGTTCCCCTGCAAGACGCAAGCAGCACAGAAGCAGAGTGAACTCTGCCGCATCTCTGTTTTAAATGGGATCGTACTTTGCGCATTCTGCTGATACGTCTAGGAGACACGCCTGCCGTTGGAATAGCAGGTAGAGCCAACGACAGCTGGCACTTCCTGGGCCTTTGCACATGCTGCCGGGCCCCGAGCACACCAGCACGTTCCACCCAGACACCGGCCCCCAATTGACAGTGAGGAAACTGAGGCATGGGGGGAAGTTCCCTGCCTGTGCCCTTGGCCTCAGACCCTTGGGACTCCGCCATCCTGTTGAGCACGCTCTGGGCCTTGAGTGTCTGCTGTCACAGACCGGAGCCTGTGTGCATGGGAGGGTGGCAGATGGTGCTAGAATTGCTGACATCCACCCCGACTGCTTGTCCCCAGGCACCCCGCACATTGCAGGCTCTCGGGGCGCCCTGGGCACCTGTGGTTGGCTGGCTGCAGCTGAGGATCAGCATTTTCCATGACTGGCCTCTTTGTTTGTAGCATATGTAGTAGTTTTGTGTTTTGTAAGTACGCCTGAAGTTTTCCAGAACTGGCCTTAGCCCTGAGTGAAATGTGTTTGGAAATTTTAAACAGAATCCCATCAGTTCACTTGGGCTTAGGGAAAGGAGGCGTCCGCATGCAGCTGGGATGGTTTTTAGAAAACCAGCCTCCCTCTTCCCCGCACAGCTCACCCAGGGACTGAGACGGGGAGGTGGGGCTGCAGTGGGCCTCACGCTGCCTTTGTGCCCTCTGCTTCCTCACATTCACCCGTCCTGGGTGGGGGTCACAGCGGGACCCTTTCCTGGAGGTCCTCAAGCCCTCCAGGAACATGCTGGTGGTGAGCTGGCGTCTGCCCTGCAGCCGTCACGCCCCAGGCTGGGCTCTGAGGCCTCTCACCCCCTCCCCGCAGGCACCCTGGCGGAGGGTCCTCAGCAGGCTTCCCACCGCACCAGCACTCACTCATTGCATCCCTTCTGCTCTCCAGGCACCAAGGGTAACCTGATGGAGGCCGAAGTGCCCCTGGCCACCAGCCTGGTCCTCACGGCGGGCAGCGGCCTGCTGTGCATCTACTTCCTGCGCTGGCAGACCCTGGTGCTGTGGGCGGACTTGGTCCTTAGCGCCGCGCTCCTGGCACTCCACGGCCTGGAGGCCGTCCTGCAGGTGGTGGCCATCGCCAGCTTCGTCAGCTAGTTGGGCAGTGCCCTGCCCCGGGAACAGCCCTGGACAGGAGCCCCGTCCTCGGCACCCAGTCGTCCCGCAGCTGTCCCCTCCCCCAATGCAGAATGGGAAGGGCATTTTCCTCCTGATTTGTCATGCAGTTAGAGGACGGGAGGGTTTGGAGTGGTTTGTGATCTTTTTGATGGAGAAGGGGGTCAGGACCCAGCGCAGAACAAAATGCTGGGGCCCCGTGTTGGGAACAGCGCAGGTGGGTCAGGAACTGCCCTGGGCGCTCTCTGGGGAGTCACAGGGACATCTGCTCAGTTCCCGTTTTTGGCTGGTAAGGATCTCGCTTCAGCAGCCATCCTGACCCCTGAGGCCAGAGGGTGGACAAGGGCCTTAGAGAGACAGCCAGCGGCCCTGTGGGCTCCGGCCCGTCACCCTCCCTCTGGTGTCTGTGGCCATCTCCCGCAGCTGGGCCAGGAGCCTGGGCCAGCCTGCTAGATCACCAAAGGTGCGGGCTGGGACGGCGCATCGCCTTGCTGTGATGGGGCCTTCCTCACACAGCTCTTTGCTTCTGTACTTTCCACACCGGTCCTAGCCCACAGTGTTGAAAGCCCAGGTTAGTTGGTGGGACCTCTGCTTGGCATGCGATCTGGGGCTCCCTGCTCTCCTGGGGGGTCGGAGCTGCCAGCCGGGTGGGGCAGGGATCCTCAGCCAGGGGCAGGCCAAGGCCCAGACAGATCGCACTCTAGTTCCCAAAAGAAATGCAGTCTAGCCAGTCAGCTCTGCGTTTTGGGGGATTTTCTCCTCCGCCTCAACTCCTTTCTGAAGTTGGGGATTCTGAAGAACGGTGCCCTGGAGACCCAGACAGGGGAGGGAGTAGGGAGCACCCACGGGCACGGTTCTGCCCATGTGGAAATGTCAGTCACTGTCAGTCATATGTGCTCTGAGGGCTGGAGGAGTCCCGCCCAGACCTGTCTGCCTCTCCCTCAGATCTGCCGGTGCTCCTGGAAGGAGAGTGCTCACGTTCCAGGAACTTCCCTTTGTTTCTGTCGCGTGTTTCCTATGTGGGAGTAACATTACGGTCAAATATCTGGGCATTTTCTTTTCACCATAGTTTTTAAATAAAGAGATGTTTCTACTTCCTTGAATTTCTCCTGCTTACGGCCGCTTACCTCCTCCAGGGTTCTCCACATACCCACGAGCACACTGCTTGGTGCCGCCGGCCCCACCTCACCCAGCAGCCCCAGGAGAGCACTTCCCACAGCACAGGGCTGTCCTGGGCCCCTGGGGGGGGCTGCAGCAGCACCCTCCACTGTCTCCTCCCTCCACAGCTTTCCTGGAACTACGCCCCCTGCTCTGGCTCAGGGCCACATGCACCTGCAGCCCCTCCTGCTCACCCCCACCTGCATGCGCCTGAGGCAGAGCTCCACACCCCTGCTGCCTGAGCGCGGGGGCGAGGCCACTGAGAGAGGCTGGGGTGGACACTCCTGCCATCTGGGGACGCTCAGCCCCTCCCCCTCAGGCTCCTGCTGCCTTCAGGGTTCGTGACCTCCCTCCTGAGGAGCTGGTCCAGGCCCTTGACACCCCCATCACTTTGGCCACACAGAGGTGGTGGTTACTTGGCCATAGGGGAACACCACAGCTCCAAGCGGCTGCAGACCAGCCTGGGACTCCAGGCCCCAGCTGCCTCCTTGAAGGGGTCAGTGCTCCTAATCTGACAATGGTCACGCTGATTTCAGAAGTGACAGAGTGTCCCCTCAGCTGCAACCTTCTGAGCCTTCCCACCTTCTGCCCATCCATCTGCGTTCAGCCTCCGGGAAGGGCGAGGGCGGGCAGGTGCCCTCCCCTCTGGGTGCTTGACGAAGAGGGGAGAGAACCAGGAAGCCAGGCCTCACCAGGGCTTGGGGCAGGGCTGGGCCCAGGACTAAAACCACTTCCTGCACCCCCTCCGAGAGCTCCCTGTGATGTCCCAGACAGCTGGTGGGGAGACCCGCCCCTGGGATCCTGGCGGATGTGGGGGAGTGCAGTGCTGCTGACCCTTCAGGGCGGGCGGGCCTCCCTTCTGGCAGGGGCTCCCTGGGAAATGCTCTATGCCAGTTCCAGGGAAACGCATGCCAACTGCCCTGCCCTTCTGGGACTGCAGGCCTGGGACCCTGCCTCCTGGCATACCCTTTCCGGTCCCTCCACTCCAGGAACAGTAGCCACAGCCTTCAGGTCCCTGCACGTGCCCTGGGGTGCCCGCCACTGCCTGGGCCTGCCCCCTCCCCCCTCTTCACTCCCTCCTCACCCAGCTGGCTTGGCAGGGGCATCCTGGGAGTCAGTTCAGGAGGAGGAAGAATGCCTGCCCCATGCTGTGGGCAGAAGGTGGGGCCTGGGCCTAAGGAGGGGGTACTGCCCAAGGGTACCTTCCACCAGCTCTCTGCCCTGGCTCTGAGGACAGCCTGGGCCACAGGCGTCCCCACTCTCCCATCAGACACCCCCATCCCCCAGGGGGTGCCCAGGCAGGGCTGGGGAGGCACAGAGAAAGAGACTTTTGGAGCTCCTAGATAGTGGAGGAGGAGCCCCTCCCACCTGTCCAGCTCAGAAGCAGGACCTGGGGTCTTAGACGCCCACTTGCAGATTGGAGTCTGGCCCAAGGGCTCCTCCAGACCAGAGGGTCCGGCTGAAAAGGAGGGGACCCTGTCCCAGGCCTGGGGGCAGGATGGGCCTCTGCTGAGGCACGTTAGGTTGGGGACTAGGGTCTGACCGCTTCAGGGCACCAGCCCTCCCACTGGGGCGCAGCTCGGCCTGCCCAGGAAGATGCCAGAGCCTTGCCCTGCGCGCCGCCCTGGGCCACCCCGCGGGGAGGGGCGCCCGGCCCTGGGGTGTCTGCACAGGGGGCCGCGGAGTGGGCGTTGGGGACTGAGGCAGGGAGCCTCGGTGCAGGCGGGGCGGGGCGGGGCGTCGCGTCCCGCCCCCTCCACCGCGCCCGCCCGCGGCGCCCGGTGACTCCAACCTGCCGCTCAGGTTCCTCCTCGCGGCCCCGCCCCGGCCCGGCCCGGTCCTGCCCGGCCCCGCCGCCAGTCCCTCCCGCCCGCCGGAGCCCGGGTGCCGCGGCGAGGCGCCGACAGACGGGCGGACGGACGCGCGTACGCGGGGACCACTGGCTGCCCGGGCGCGGACGCGAGGAGCAGGTGAGCGCCACACAGGGTCCCCGACCCTGCGCGCCCCGACCCCCGGGTGCCCGCCGCCCTTTAGAGCAGGAGCGACGCGGGAGCCGCGCGCGCAGAGGGTGGGTGGGGCGGGCCCGCCCCGGCCTCAGTTTCCCCAGGTGGTGATGCGACGCCGGGCTGTGGCCTGGGGGGCATCAGGGCGCCAGGGGGCTGCGCCGGTCCCGCGGGCTTCCCCTGGGCCGGTGGCCAGGAGCCCGGTCCCGCTGCGGCCTGGCTTGTCTGGTCGGGTCCTGGGGCAGCCCGGGTGCGCCTGGGTATGTTTAAGCCAAGGGCCCATGAGTCAGCTGGCCCCCTCCCAGCCCTGGGGCTCGGCGGGGGGAACCCCTTCCTCAGGTGAAGGGGTTGGTGATCGGGTTCTCCGCAGCCCCTCGAAGGCCCCACACCACCCCCCTCCCCAGGCCAGGCTGGGGCCTCCTTTGAGGCCAGACCCTTGGGGTGAGCTAGCCTACTCCCTGTGGGTCATATGTCAGGGAGCACTTCCTGGGTGTCTGAGCCAGGAGGAAACCGGGGCCAGGGAGGCATCAGGGTGGGATCAGACTTCGGGTCAAGGTTGGGGTGTGGGAGTTTCAGGGAGGAGGTTGGGGGCCTGCTGCAGCGGCCAGTGTGGGATAGATCCATGGGGGTGGGCTCGCCGGGCCTGTGGGTGTCCTCCTTCCTCTGCTGGGCTGACTTGGGGCGACCGCTGAGCATGAGGGTGTCGCTGGTGGCAGGGTAGCAGGTAGGCAGGGTTCCCGGTACACCTGAAGTGTGCCCACAGACCACCTCTGCGCCCCCCCGCTGTAGTCAGCCCCAGCCCTCTAGGAGGCAGGGCCCCGCTGGTGGCACCTCCCCTCGCCTGCCATTGCACACCGCCCCGCAGCCCTGCCCAGTCCTCTCCTGGTCCCTGCTGGGCACCTGGGCCTCGATGGCTCGGCGCTCCACCCGGCCTGGTCTGTTCAGCCCTCTCTGCTTGCCTCGGTCTCCCTAGTGCACCCTCAGCACCCTCTCCCTACCCATGGCATCCCAGGCTTCTGCCTCCCTCCCACTGGGAGGGGTGCTCCCCCACCCATAGCTCCCAGACCTGAGCACAGCCTGGGCCTGAGGGGATCCCCCATTCCAGGGCCCCACCCGGCTCCCCCTGGGCCTTAAGCTGACTCCTCCCCAAGGTCACTGGGCTGCAGAGCTGGAATTTGAACTTGGAGCTGGTCCCTCCACCCTCCCTGCCCTGCTAGGGCCTCCTCCCCCTCCGCTGCCAACTGGGCACCATGCTCAGCCCTCCCTTTGCACCCGGAAAATGGCCAAAGCAGAACGAAAGTGCAACCTGGGCCCTGCGGCTCGGGGCCAGTGTCACCCCCACCCCCCACAGGGATCGTGTTCTACTGCCCCAGTCAGCTCAAGACGCCCCCTCTCCCCTCACTGGAGCAGGCCTGTAGGTGGCCCCAGCCTCACATGCCCTCCAACCCAGATGCCTGGACACACCTCCCTGGCTGGCCCAGAGGCCCCCCACCCCACCCCAGGGGGCTGAAGGCCGCAGGCTCCCCAAGGGGAGGGCCTGCATGTCACAGCCTGTGCGTGTCTGTGTGCCCGCAGGCCTGGGTTTCGCCCAGGTGTGTGTGTACCTGGACACACGTGCCTAGTGCCCTTGGCTCAGCCCGCCAGGAATCCTATTAAGCAAACACTCACGCTCACCCACTGAGGTCATGAGCATTCCAGACATTCTCCACGGACAGACGGACAGAGGAATCTGGCCGAGCCCCTTCCCTAACCCCTCCCCGGAGAGCCAGGACCCTCAGTGGTACGTGAGAGGGGTTGGCCCAAGGCCCCCAGGCCCCTGACACATCCTGGAAGCCCTCTCTGTAGGTAGGACCTGGTCAAACCGGAAAGTCCTGGGGCGCTCCCTGCCCTGGAAACCGGCACCCCTGGTTTGTGACCCCTGATCCTGGCAGATTCTGACACACTGAAGCCACAGAGGGATGCCACCTGTGACATTTGATGGGCAGACAGTGTGAGCCCTGAGGTCCCCATGGAGCACAGACCCCACAGGACAAGGACACATCAACCTGACCCAGGGACACCAGGCTCTGCTCATGCCACAGAGGGGGGCTCCCTCTGGATTTCACCCTGAGCTGTAGGTTCCCAGAGGCCCTCCCAACCCCTGGCTCCAGCCTCATCCTGTGCTGCCTTCCTCTCATGCCCAGTCCCAGCCACCTCAGGGCCTTTGAACATGCCTTTCGCTCTGCTTGGAAGGTGCTTTCTCCTCCCGATACCCCTTCAGAGGCCCCAGACACCTGTCTCACAGCCCCACCCCGGACAGCCTCTGGGGGTGGGACACCTCTGCCAGCCCATCCTGGGGGTCGCTGTGGAGGACTGGGGCGAGATGAGGCTGCAGTGACAGCCAGATGGGACAGAGGGCAGGGGTGGTTCTGATGTGTCCTGGGATTCTGGCCAGGCTATCAGGGCTCCAGCCCCTGGATCTGGGTGGGAGGTGGGAGGAGGAGACTGAGGGCCTGCAATGGGAGTAGTGAGGCTGCTGGCCAGGCCCTGAGGAAATGTCAGCTCGACTCACCTGTCCACTCAGGTGTGGGCCGGGCACCAGGCCCTGGACTCAGGCCACACTGAGGTCTGCCCTTCCACCGCCAGCCGCCACCGAGGACGCCATGAGCCAGTCAGGGTCCGTGAGCTACTGCCTGGGTGCTGCCAAGTGAGCCCCCACCCCCACCCGCTCACCCCCTACCCCCTGAGCAGTCCCCAGGGAGGGGTGCGGCATGGGACCTGCCCTCACCAGCCCCTCCTCTACAGTGGCAGCCTGGGCCGGTCTGACGGTGTGGCCAAGATGAGTGCCAAGGACCTGTTTGGTGAGTGAGGTTTGAGGACGGGAGGCCGTGGGGGACAGCCCAACCCACACATGCAGGGCTGTGATGGGCCCCCACCAGGGGAGGTGCAGGTCTGCCCTGGGAGCCCAGAGGGGGCCCTTGGACCCTAATCAGCCAACAGCTGTTCAGGTGTCTCCCCAAAGCTCCCAGCCACTGAGCAGCCCTCCCCTACCATGCTGGTAAGGGGAGAGGCCTTTACTAATAATTCAGGGACCATCAATATTGATTCGCAGTGCTCTTTGCTGCAACCAGATCACCAAGGGAGGCGGGGGTTCAGGCAGGACTGAGTACCAGGTGTCTGCTCTGGGAGGGTGGGGCCTGGCCAGCCCCCAGACCCCCAGCTCTGCCCCTCCCCCGGACACACATGCTAGCCCTCGCCCCAGACACACTGTCTCATTTGTGCCTTTGGACAAGATGCCCAGTCTGGAAGGCAAGGAGCCCCAGGGAGGGGCAGGGAGATATTAGCTGGCAGCTCTTAGGGTGGGAGTGAGGGGGCCCAAACCCCTCCCCCAGGAAGGGGGAGCAGCCCCCATAGGAGGAGGCTGAACCTCCTGTACCCCTGCCAGGGCAGACCCCCAGTCACAGGTGTGCCATCACCACTGTGAGCCGAGGGTCCTTCTCCAGGGGTTATTCTGGAGACAGAGGGACATCCACATTCTTCTGGGAGAGGCCCTCACTCACACTTCACACTTGAGTCCTCCCTGAGGCCCAGCCTGGGAGTCCAGTCCCATGTGGACTGGGGGCTGCTGATCCCGCCCTCTGGGATGAGTGACTCGTGTCTCCCTGTTCAGAGCAGAGGAAGAAGTACTCCAACTCCAACGTCATCATGCATGAGACCTCCCAGTACCACGTCCAGGTGAGGCCGGCCGCCAGGGAGCACCCCCACCCCACATGGCACCCCGTCCTCCCAGCTCCAGGATCCCCAGGCGGGGGGAAACTGAGCCCCAGAGAGAAGTGGTCAGTCCAGGTTCTGACACCTGCAGCAGGTGGCCAGAGCCAGGGACTGCCCCACGCTTGTCCTGGACTCAGCCATAAAGGGGGAGCCTCTCTCCAGTCCTGGGGAGCTCACAGTCTGGGGGACACAGGGGACCCTGGAGCTGTCAGAGGAGAGAAGACACCAGAAGCCAACACAGGCCAGATAAGACCAGCCCTGGGTGCTGTCTGGCACTCCCCTCAGCTGGGAACACCTGGTAGGAAGGAAATTGTCATCCTGGACCCAAAACAAGGGACTGGATTGGGGGGGAAGACAGAAGGAAGACCCTTGTATTGAGCAGCTGCAGGAAAGGCCAGGGCTGCCTGATTCTGCCCGACTCCAGGGCAGTGGAGGAAGGCCGCCTGCACTCTCTGGACAGCGGCCGCTCAGCAAGGTTTTGCTCCTATGTCAAGTTAAAGTCACACTTACAACTCAGGAATATGTTTCTTAAATGACCTCCCTGCTTTTGGCAGCTGGTTGTGTTCCTGGTTCGTGGCCCTTGTCCAAGCCTGCAGGGCAGCAGGCTAGGAATAGCGGAGGAGGGCAGGAGGTGGGGGGCCCCGGAACTGGGAAGATGAGGGGCCTGGACCAGGAAGATGGGGGGTCCTAGACCAGGAAGAGGGGTTGTGTTGGACCAGGAAGATGAAGGGACTCTGGACCAGGAAGGTGAGGGACCAGGAAGATGAGGGGCCTGGACCAGGAAGAGGGGTTGTGTTGGACCAGGAAGATGAGGGGACTCTGGACCAGGAAGGCAAGGACTTCCCTCCTGACAGCAACCTCCCTGCCTGCAGAGGCCAGACGAGTCACTGCTGTCTGTGCCTCAGTTTCCTAGTCTGTGCAATGGGTCCACAGAGACATCGGGAGTCCCCAGGCTCTTGAATTGGCCTGTGTTGGGAGCGGCCCTCCCTGCCAGCCTGGGTAGGGTGGAGCTATTTTGTGCAGCCAGGCTGGTGACTGCTGCCAGCTCATTGTCCTAGGGCAGGGCACGGAGAGTGGATGGGTCAGCTGCATCCCTTTCATTCCCAGACGGCTCGGCCACCTCTCTCAGGGAGGAAGAACTTTGTCCTTCTTGGTGAGGAACCACCTATGCCACTGGGGCCTCCCAGCCCTTCTCCTGGACTTTGGTCCAAGCTGGCCTGTGGAAGGACCCCAGCCCGGGGGCACCGCTCCTGTCTGCCCAGCAGCCAGCAAGGCCCGGGGAGTGGGCGGGGTTTGCCGGCGCCTCCCAGATGAGGAAACTGAGGCACAGAGAGAGAATGAGAGGTGGGGGCAAGATCAGACCCACCCTGACAATGCGGGGGCTGCCGAAGCCTTGTGGGTTTGTTTTTTTTAACTTTTTTCTAAATTAGCATACAGTGAAATTGACCCTGTGTGGTCACAGCTTTCCCCCACCCCAATGTCTGGCGATGCTGCTCTGTCCTCCATCGCTAGAGTTTTGTCTTTTTGAGAATCCCGTATAAATGAAGTCACACGGTTTATAATTATCCTTGTTCTTCTGCTTTGTAAACTTATTTCAAGAAAATGCGTGTGTAGAGCAGGACTTCCCTACAGCACTATGCTGCGGGGGCCCCTGCACGGCACCGCGTCTGTCCACAGGCTCCCTACTGACCGGGAGGCGTCCTTCACATACATGGTTGGGCGGGTGGGTTGGAAACATCTTCTCCCAGTCTGGCTTGTTGATTCGAATGTATAGCTGTCTTTCTTTCTTTTTTTTTGTCTGAGGAAGATTAGCCCTGAGCTAACTGCTGCCAATCCCCCTCTTTTTGCTGAGGAAGAGTGGCCCTGAGCTAACATCCATGCCCATCTTCCTCTACTTTATATGTGGGACGCCTACCACAGCATGCCTTGCCAAGCGGTGCCATGTCCGCACCCGGGATCTGAACCCCAGGCCGCTGAAGCAGAACGTGCGCACTTAACTGCTGCACGACCTGGCTGGCCCCCATAGCTGTCTTTCGATGAGCAGAAATGTTTACTTTTAATGACGTCCAATCATATCCATTTTTCTTTTATGGTTAGGGTTTGTTTTTTGGGTTTTTTTTTTGGTCATTACTTGACCCAAGGCTCTAAACATTTCTTCCTGTGTTTTCTTCTAGATACTTCTTAGTTTAGGCTTTTACCTTTAGGCCTATGGTCCATTTTAAATTCATTTTTGCGTATGGTGTGACTCAAGGCTAATTTTTGGGGTATGAGACTCAAGGCCAATTTTTTCCCCATGGGATGTGCATTTATATTAAAAAGACTTTCCTTCCCTCATTAAATTGCTTCGGTGCCTTTGTCAAAAATCGGTGAATTAGGAATGGGTGGGTCTATTCCTGGACTCGGTCTCTTTCACCCTCTTTCGCTCATTGTAGCTTTGTTATCTATCTTGAAATCAGGCCACATGAGTCCTCCAACTTTGTTGTTTTTCTTCAAGATTTTCTTGACTATTCTAAGTTCTTCGGACTGGCATTTACGTTTTAGAATCAAATTGTCCATTTCTACCACCAAAAAAAGCCTCTTAGAATTTTGATTGGCATTGAGTCAAATCTTTGGATCCTTTTAGGGAGAATTGATATCTTTCCCATTGAGTGTTTGCCATCCGTGAACCCAGTGTCTCCACTTACTGGATCTTCTCTCATTTCTCTCAGGATGTTTTGTGGGTTCACTATAGAGACCTGACGTATCTTTTGTTAAAACACATCTTTAGGTATTTAATTTTTATATACTGTTGTAAATGGTATTTTTTAAATTTTATTTTCCAATTGCTGCTAGCATATAGAAAAACAATTGAAGTTTCATATACTGATGCAGTATCCTGAGACTTCCCTGAATTCGTTGGTTTTTCTGGTCGTTTGCTCTTAGAGTCATTGGATTTCATACGGATACAGTCACGTTGTCTGAAAATGTTAATTTCTTATTTTTAGCCACTTTCTTTCTCTTGCTTCATTGCCCTGGCTAGGACCACGAGGTCAATGCTGAAGAAAAGTAATGTGTGTGGCAACCCTTGACCTGTGTCCAGTCTTAGAAGAAAGTAGTCAAGGTTTTCCCGTATTCTATGCTGTGTGTTTTGGTACTTACCCTTTGTTAGAGGGAAAGTTCCTCTCCGTTCCGTGTGTGCTGAGAGTTTTTATCATGAAAGATGTTGGATTTTGTCAAATGCTTTCTCTGTTGAGAAATCTATCGACTGGATCTGTTGAGACTCATTCACTGCTGTTCACGTAGGGAATCACGCTGATGGACTTTCTTGAACATTGAACCAACCTTGCATTTCTGGGCTGACTCTCATTTATTCGTGGTGTGTTATCCTTTTAATGGGTTGACAGACTAATTGGTAATACTTTGTGAAGGATATTTTGCATTAATGTTTATTAGTTCTTTGCCTTTTCCTGTAATGCCCTTGCAGGCCTTGGTGTCAGAGTTACGTTGGCCTTACAGAACGAGTGGGGAATTATTCCCTCCTCTTCTGTTCTTAGAGAGAGTTTATGAAAAACTGTGATTATTTCTTCCTTAAGTCTCTGATGGGATTCACCTGTGAGGCCCTCTGAGGCTGGAGTTCTCTTTGTCAAGAGGTTTTGGGTTATGAATTCACATTGATGCCTGTAAGACGTGTAATGATGTCACCTCTTTTTTTCTGGCTATTGATAATTTGTGTTTTCTCTATTTTTCTCTTGATCAGTCTTGCTAGGGGGCTATCAATTTCATTAATCTTCCAGAACTGACTCTGGGCTTCGTTGATTTTTCTCTCTTGTTTGTTCGTTCACTGGTTTGTTGATCTCTGCTCTTAATTTCCTTCCTTCCACTTACTCTGGGTTTTATTTGATTGTCTTTTCCTACTTTCTTAAGGGGACTGCGTCGGTCATTGGTAATAAGCTTTCCTTCTTTCCTAACATTCATTTAAGCTACACAGTTCCCTGGAAGAACTCCGTTAGCTGTATCCACGATTTTGGTGTGCGTGTTTTTATTATCGCTCAGTTCAGAATGCTTTCTCATTTTCCTGTGACTTCCTTGACACAGGACTCATTTAGACGGTTCTTCATTTTTCACGTAAGCATTTACAGCTGTAAATTTCCGCCAGCACTGCGTTTAGTGAGTTGGGTTTTCATTTTCATTCGTCTCTAAGTATTTTCTTATTTCCCTGTGACCTCATCTTTCACCCGTTGGTTGTTTAAAAATGTGTTTAAGTTTCCACAAATTTGGACCCATGAGTGATTTAGAAGTGTGTTGCTTAATTTCCAATTTTGGGGGGGTTTCCAGTTATCTTTTTGTTATCTCTGTCTGATTTAATTCCACTATGGTCAGCGAACATACTCTGTGTGGTTTCAGTCATTTGAGATTGACAGAGTCTTGTTCTGTGGCCCGGTAGCAGTTTATTTGGTTTGGTCGTGTTGTGCTTTGCTTAACAACATGTTTTGGGTTTTACCCCGCCTGGCACAGACAGATCAGCTGCCTTCTATCCCATCACGTGCTTATGCCGACTTATCTCTCTAACCTGCTGATGGACCTGTAGGTCAGGTCCAGCCTCTTACTACAAACACTTGTGTAGTGAGCAGCCCCGCACCCATGCCATGTTCTGCACGTGTGCAGTTACCTGCAGCAGAATTGTGAGAGGAAAGCGTGTGCATCTTTAGAGGTGTCACCGATTTCTCCCCAGAGTGGCTGACCATGTGCAGAATGAGGGTTCTTCCGTTTCTCCACAGCTTAACCCATAGATGTAACCCACAGGGATTTGTTAGTACTGCTCAGTAGAATAGGTAAAAAATTCAGTTGTTGATTCATTCCTAACACAATGGTCTCAGAGTTTCAATTTGCAATTCTTCTATTGAATGAGATTGTGCACAATTTTCTATATTAAAAAGTTACTAGGGCCGGCCCCCTGGCGTGGTAGTGAAATTTGCACACTCTGCTTCAGCAGCCTGGGTTCGAGGGTTGGGATCCCACGTGCAGACCTACACTGTTCGTCAAGCCACACCGTATAAAGTAGAGGAAGAGTGGCCACAGATGTTAGCTCAGGGACAATCTTCCTCAGCAAAAGAAAGAAAGTTACTTATATTTCTTTTCCTGTAGACTCTCTGTTCACATCTTTTGCGAGTTTTTCTTTTGGGGTGTTAAACTTTTAGTTATTTACAATTTTTTTCATTTATTGTTGGTATCCTTAATTATTATATTTAACAAAATAGAGCTTTTAACAAAGTAAGCACTATGTTTGTAATGCAAATTGGTCTTTTTGTATATTAAGAAAATTAGCCTTCTTCATATCTATTCGATCTATGTTTTTTTCACTTTGTTCTTTTTTACTTTATATATGGCATTTTTTTTCCAGGCAGAAACTTTTGTTTTTTTATTGAGTCAGATGTATTGGTCTTTTCTTTCGAGCATCTGGATTTTCTTTCTTGCTCAGGAAAGTGCCCCCGTGAGGAAGTCTCACTGTCAGAAATCTCCCAGCGTTTTCCTCCAGCGCTTTCATGGTTTCGTGTTTTACGGTTAGGTCTTGACTGCCTGGAGTCGACGTCCATGTTGATCCAGCTGTCCCAGCGTTGTTTACCGAATCCAGCAAAGGGCAGCACGGACACTTGGGGGAGGCTGGCAGGAGGAGGGGCCTGAGCTGGGCTTGGAGCGAGAGGAGAGGAGGACACTGGGAAGGGAAGGGCTGGGCTGGCCAAGGGTCTCCAGGGGCGGCCCAGACCCCAGACGGCCGCCCAGGACACTCACTTCCTCCCTGCATGTTCATTGACGGCCTGGGCTCTGGGGAGACAGCAGTGAGCCCAGCAGCCGATAAATAAACAAAGAAGCATGCTGCCGGATCACGATGAATAAAAACCAGGGCACGTCAGGGTTGCGGTATCAGAGCGAGGCTGTAGCTGGGCAATCAGGAAGGCAGCGTCCCAGCAGAATCCTGAAGGAACAGAGAGCTGGGGAAGCCCAGGGGAGGGGGGTAGAGAAAGCACGTGCCAGGTCTGCTGGGGGGAAGGGAGGCTGGTGTTCCCGGAGCCCAGCGACAGGAGACAGGATGGGGTAGGAGACTGTTTGTGTAGGGTTGCTAAGGGTCTTATTGGGGCATGTCCAGGGCCCCCACGGACATCCACCAAGGCAGAGAAGAGACCCCCTTAAGGTAGGGTTGTGTGTCTTCAGGCCCCCAGGACAGGGATGTTCCCCCTCAGACCCCCAGGGTTGGCTGTGGCCCTCTGACCCCCCAGGGCACAGCCCTTTGGCCCTGGCTCTTGGCACAAGGAGGGCTCTGCCCTGAGTGACCGCCTGCTGCCGGTCCCCAGCACTTGGCCACATTCATCATGGACAAAAGTGAGGCCATCGTGTCTGTGGACGATGCCATCCGGAAGCTGGTGCAGCTGAGCTCCAAGGAGAAGATCTGGACACAGGAGATGCTGCTGCAGGTCAACGACAAGTCTCTGCGGCTGCTGGACATAGAGTCCCAGGTGCGGCTGCAGGGGCAGGGAGGGCGGCCGCCTGTCCTGCAAGGTGGGCCAAGGATGTGGCCAAGAGGCACAGCTGGGCTCTGTGGGGGGCGGGGAACAGGAGAGGGCAAAGGGCTGGCAGGCCGGGAGGGACCAGAAGAGGCTGAGAGTCCAGGGGAGCCACATCATACAAGGCCATGTCCACCTCTGCCAGAGCCTGTCCACCAGCTGTACCAAGCCAGGGCCTGGCAGTGTCCAGGGATCTGTGTGCCACAGCTGTGGCTGTTGCCTGGTGGAGTCCCGTGTCTGTGTCCACGTCGCTTTTCTGTGCCTGCCAGTTACGCTTGTATTTGCGTCCGTTGCATGAGCTCCACAGGCTGGGCCTACATGTCGCACCCGTGTCCATGGCACTGTGTCCGTCACTCGGATCCATCCCGTGCCCAGGGCTGTGAGCCCACGTCCATGTCCGGGTCCATGTTTGAGTCACGCCTGTGCGACATGGCTGAGCCCGCGTCCAAGCCCATGTCCAGGTCCCCGTCCGAGCCCCCTTGTCCCCCAGGAGGAGCTAGAGAACTTCCCGCTGCCAACTGTGCGGCACAGCCAGACGGTGCTGAACCAGCTGCGCTACCCGTCGGTGCTGCTGCTTGTGTGCCAGGACTCGGAGCAGAACAAGCCCGACATCCACTTCTTCCACTGCGACGAGGTGGAGGTGAGGTGGGGCCGGGCCAGGGCGGGCAGGGGGCAGGGGCACCGTGGCCACCCAAGCCATCCTGACCCCTGTCCTTGCAGGCAGAGCTGGTGCACGAGGACATCGAGAGCGCGCTGGCCGACTGCCGGCTGGGGAAGAAGATGCGGCCGCAGACCCTGAAGTAGGGCGGCGGGGCACGGTGGGGGGTGGGGGTAGTGGGGGCAGAGGGGCCGGCCCGGGGCCGTGGCCAGGCTGAGCGGGGCCTTCGTCCCCACTCCAGGGGCCACCAGGAGAAGATCCGGCAGCGGCTGTCGGTCCTGCCTCCCCCCCAGGGCCCGGCCCCCATCCCCTTCCAGCGCCACGGCGGGGACTCCCCTACCACCAAGAACCGAGTGGGCCTGCCTGTGCCTCTCAGTGAGCCAAGTAGGCAGAGGGGCTGGGCTGGGGGTTGCATGGGGGTCCGTGCGGGGGCTCCAGTCAGCAGCAGCTCTGTCTCCCACCCAGGCTTCCTCCGGCGGGAGTCTCTGGAGGAGGAGCCGCGGGCCGTGCTGGCGCAGAAGATAGAGAAGGAGACGGTGGGTCTTGCTCAGGACCGTCTGGGGCGCCCACCCACCCTGTGCCCCCACGGGCTGCCGCCAGCCAGCACCCACGCCCAGTCCCAGGCTGGGGGGCCAAGAGGCCGCGCGCTTGGGGCTGTCCCTGCAGCAGGCGGGACGCCTGAGGCTGACCTCTGCCCCCACCCACTCTGCCCCCAGCAAATCCTCAACTGCGCCCTGGACGACATCGAGTGGTTCGTGGCTCGGCTGCAGAAGGCGGCCGAGGCTTTCAAGCAGCTGAACCAGCGCAAGAAGGGGAAGAAGAAGGGCAAGAAGGGGCCTGCAGGTGGGGGCCCAGGGTTGGGGAGGGACGGCAGTGGAGGGCAGAGGAGTGGGGCAGCCAATGGGGAGATGGGGAGACCAAGGGGCAGCAGAGGCGGGGGGTGGGGAGGAGGTCAGGGTCAGGTTGGGGTTGGGGGACAGAGGGGGCCACTGGTCTGGGGAAGGTGCCGTCGGAGCGTGTGGACTGCGTCAGACTGGATGGCCAGATCCACTGGGTGCAGCGACAGGGGCAGCCAGGCTCATGGCCACCCCGCCATTCCAGAGGGCGTCCTCACGCTGCGGGCACGGCCCCCCTCCGAGGCTGAGTTTGTGGACTGTTTCCAGAAAACAAAGCTGGCCATCAACCTGCTCGTGAGTGCCCCCGCCCCTCCCCACCCTGTCCCTCTGTGCTGACATTGTTGGGGGGGTCCAGGGTCCTTGTCCCCTGCCCTGTCTGTCTGCCACCTGCTCACTCACGGCCTCCCCCCACCCAGGCCAAGCTGCAGAAGCACATTCAGAACCCCAGCGCAGCAGAACTGGCGCACTTCCTCTTCGGGCCTCTGGACCTGGTGCCTGGGGCTGGGGGGCGCGCAGGCCCGGGGGGGTGGGGAGCCAGGGCCGTGGGGTGACTGCCCCTGGTTGAGGGCGGGGAAAGCAAGTGGCCACCTTAGGCAGCTGGCTGGGGCCGGGCATCCCCCTCCAAGTGGTGGGTGCTGTGAGCCGGCCTCTGGTGCTGCGGGCGGGCAGGTGGGCGGGCCAGGGCTGAGGTCCAGTGGCATGACCCCCTCTGAACCCTGCCGTGCCCCAGATTGTCAGCACCTGTGGTGGCCCAGACATCGCACGCTCAGTCTCCAGTCCCCTGCTCTCCCGTGACGCTGTGGGCTTCCTGCGCGGCCACCTGGTCCCCAAGGAGATGGCGCTATGGGAGTCGCTGGGGGAGACCTGGACACGCCCCCGGTAGCAGAGCGGGCAGGGAGGGGTGGGGAGGGGGCCCAGGCAGGCCAATGCAGGGCACTGGCCAGACCAGAGTGGGGTCCCTGGCAGGCCGGGCTGGGGGCCTTGCGTGGGACCAGTTTGAATGGGTGGGCACGGCTCACCCCCGGGACCTCCCACCCCAGCTCCGAGTGGCCACGGGAGCCGCGGGTGCCCCTCTACGTGCCCAAGTTCCAGAGCGGCTGGGAGCCCCCCCTGGACGTGCTGCAGGAGGCTCCCTGGGAAGTGGAGGGGCTGGTGTCCGCCCCCAGTGACGAGGTCAGAGCACCCACAGCCTCCCACCCCACTGCTCTCCCCCTCAGCCCCCCTCTGCCCACAGCCCTCACCACTCCTGCCCCACCTCCCAACCCAGCCCCCACCCCGCGCCAAGCCCAGACAGTCCACTTTTCCCTCAGCCGACTCCAGGGAGCCGACTGTCCTTTCGAAGCTCCCAGAAGCACAGCCTTGTACCTGAGCCAACATCCCCAGGAGACGTCCTTCCCCCAGTCAGCTCCCCACATATTCTCAGGTAAGCTCCCCTCAAAGTGGAGGAGTGTGGCACTCACCCCTCAAAACACAGAGGCTCTGGCATGAGTACGCTGCCACCAGGTGGTGGCAAATGCCTTGTTCATGCCGTTGAAAATAGCTGTTTCCAAACTAGAGCCAGGTTTTCGTTCTAACTTTATAATATACAGTTGAAGGGAAAATATCAAAGGCTACCTGTAAATTCACAGTTCTAATACATCCTCTCTTTTCATGTCTCCACATTTATGTGTTAGAATCCTGGTTAGAAATTTACTAAACCACTGAACTTAAGTGGTTTCGCCATTCCCTGTTGCCCTGTTGGGGCTGATTAGGCCCAGCCTCAGGGTCAGAGAATGAGACTGAGGGTCTGGCTAGACCAGCCTTTCCTCACCACACACACACATTTCCGCAGACCACATCGGCAGACCCAAGATCGGGGAGCCGCCATCCTTCTCCATCTCTCCTCCCACTTTCTGTTCTGGCTCTGGCCCCCGATTTGCCTAGGGAGGCGGTTATCCTGCCCAAGCCAGGCCGCATCCATGTTTTAACTAAGTGTGTCCGTCCCCTTGCCCCACAGCACCAGCCTGGTACCCGTGGTTCCTGGCCTAAGGCCACGCTTTAAGAAACATTTTCATCCTCTGACCTCCAGCCCCTGGCCAGTCCACTCTGGCCAATCGTGACAGCCCTGCCAGGGCTCCTGGGGCCACCCCAGCCTCAGCCCCTCTCTTCCTCAGTGTCCTGAGGCCTGCACCTGGATGGTCGGGGGCCTGAGTGACCGGGAGGGATGGCCCAGTGTAGGCGGCAGCCACAGGCCTGCTCTGTGCTGAGGCTGGGACACCCCCAGCCAGAGCTGCACCCCCGTGGCCCTGCCGCTCATGGGCAGACCTGGTTGTGTGTGCTCGTGCACTGTCTACAGTGCTCAAAGGGCCACAGCTCTGAAAATGCCTGGCCCTCCTTCTTGGTCAGCTGCTTTCCAGGAGCAGCTGTGACCATGTCATTTCTCGGGTATCTGCCTGGCTCTGGTTCCCCTGGGGGACCGGGCCTAGAGAGCCCCTGAGGTGGCCTGGGCTGGGGAGGGCCTTGCTGTGCCCACAGGCCCCTGCGTCCCACCCGCCTCTGCCACCCCCACCTCCACACAGGGAGCCCCAGACGCTCTGGGGCTGTCACAGTTTCCATTCCCGGCTGATGAGCTGCAGCCTCTCTCTGCTGCGACCTCGGAGAGCCGAACGGGAGGCAGCCACGCACCTGGGAAGCTGCTCCCCCGGCCTGGCCCCAGGTCCAAGAGGAGACCCAAGCCCAGTCCTGGCCCTCAGCCCTTCCCGTTCCACACAGGGGCTACGAACCCACACCAGCCATGGCCAAGTACGTCAGGGTCCTCTATGACTTCACAGCCCGCAATGCCAATGAGCTGTCTGTGCTCAAGGACGAGGTCCTGGAGGTGAGTGGGGGCCGGGTGGGAGGCGGCTGCCCAGGGGAGGCCGGGCCGGGCTGGGGAGCAGGCGGGGGCCAGTCTGCGTCACACTGGGGCCTGACCTGTCTGCCCGATCCCTTTCCCCAGGGCTGTACCATTGGGCTCCAGTCTTGGAATCTGGGTCCACAGCCTGCCCCCCACCCTCAGCACAACCTGGCTGAGGGGCCTCCTTGTCTTGGGGATCTCGGAGGGGGCTCGGGGCTCCTGTGCTAGGTTGGGCTCTGCTCAGGCTGGAGGATGGGCCCCCTCTGTGCAAGCAGGGGACCTTCCAACCCAGCAGGGGCTTGTTATTCATGCCCACCCTGGAGACCCCTCACAGCACTGTCTGTGTTTGGTGCCAATCCCAAATCCAGGCCACCCACTGGGGGACAGAAAGTAGAGCGGGCTGGGGGGGGTACGGTGATCTACATCCACAACCAGGCCAGAGACACCTGGCTCAGGATGCTGCCAAGGTGGGAGGGGGTCAGGGGGAGGGTGGCCCCTATGGGTAGGATGTAAGGGCTGGTGGGGTGAGGGGGCGCCATAAGACTTGGGGGGGGCGCTCACGGCAGGGGAGACACCAGAACTCTCTCTGGCCCATCTGTAAAGAGGGGCTCATGCTGGTGGTCTGAGCACCCCACACTGGTGTCCATGGCTGGAGGAGAGGTGGGACCTGTGAGTCAGGGGTGACTGTGGAGGTGTGGCGCCCACAGGTGCTGGACGACAGCCACCAGTGGTGGAAGCTTCGCAATCGCAGTGGCCAGGCAGGCTACGTGCCCTGCAACATCCTGGACGAGACCCGGCTGGAGGACATCCCCCCAGAGCAGGCGAGTGGGAGGGGAGAGGTGTCTGCAGTCAGGGCTGGGCTGTGTCCCACTTGGTGGGGGAGGCAGCTTGGGGGGTGGTAGGTGCAGCCCAGGCTCAGCCAAAGACCGGGCCCTGGGCCTGAATCCTTGCTGCAGCGGCTGGTGTGGGGGCTCCCGGGGTCTCAGCCAAGGTTAGGAAGGGCTGGCCCCTGGGCCAGGGGGATCCTGGGCAGGTCCAGGGATGGCGAGGGGGAGGGGGCAGGAGAGGTGCCTCACATTCTTACTCTAACACTGCTGGGAGGAATGGAGAGCTGAGCCTGATGGCACCCCTCACCCCGCCTCGCCACACACCCCTGCAGGCCGGGCTGAAATACTGGGGTCCTGCCAGCCCAACCCACAAGCTGCCCCCAAGCTTCGCCGGGAACAAAAATGGTGAGGAATAGGGCCACCAGACAGCTGCGGGCTGGGGACCCAGAGTCACCTGGGGAGGGGGTGGAGGGGGGCCCCACCAGGGGACGGGAGCCCTGGGTCGGCACAGTGGGGGCAGGGCCTAAACCGCCACCCTCACCCCCCAAGAACTGATCCACCACATGGATGAGGTCAATGACGAGCTCATCAAGAAGATCAGCAACATCAAGACGCAGCCACAGCGGCCCTTCCGCGTGGAGCGCAGCCAGCCGGTCAGCCTGCCCCTCACCTACGAGTCGGGCCCCGATGAGGTCCGCGCCTGGCTGGAGGCCAAGGCCTTCAGCGCCCGGTGAGCCCGCAGTGGGCATGTGGAGTGGCAGGGGACCGGCAGTTGCGGGCAGGAGGCCAGCAGGTGCAGGCAGGGGCCTGGCAGGGGTAGACAGGTGGGAGCAAGGGGCCAGCAGGTGCAGACAGGTGCGGGCAGGTGCGGGCAGGTGCAGGCTGCCACGCCCACAGCCCCACCCTCACACCCGACCCCTCTTGGCTCTTGCCCCCCAGGATCGTGGAGAACCTGGGCATCCTGACCGGGCCCCAGCTCTTCTCGCTCAACAAAGATGAGCTGAAGAAAGTGTGCGGGGAGGATGGCATCCGCGTGTACAGCCAGCTCACGGTGCAGAAGGCCGTCCTGGAGGTGAGCTGGTGCCCGCCCTCCTGCACCCCCCCGCCCCAGCACACCTCCACCCCCTTGCAGGAAAAGGGGAAGGCAGAGGGACCCTGACCTGCGCTCTCCTAGGCTAAGACTGCCCCATCCCCCCTCCTCAGAAGCAGCAAGGTGGGTCGGAGCTGGAGGAACTCATGAACAAGTTTCATTCCAAGAACCAGAGGAGGATGGAGGAGGAGAGCTAGACCTGGCTGTTTGGGGCCCCCTTGCACCTGTGGCTGGGGAGACACACCTGCGGGACCCACCCCCAGCACCTGGAGTATTATTTTTGTATGTGTATGTATTTTGTACTGTGGACACGGGATGGAGCGTGCTGCTGGCTGGGGGCCCCTGCACCTGGCTGGAGCCTGCTCACCTGCCTCGTGACACATGGCCTGTCCTCAGCAATGCCCCAGCCCACGCTCACCCACCTGCTCCAAGGCCCACCTCAGCCAAACCTGCTGCCTAGAGGTGCCAGCCCCTCGTCCACCCAACCCCTGAGGTCTGTTCCAGACCCAGCCCAGCTCCCTTCCCACCTCAACCCACACCTCTCCCCAAGGCTACAGAACCCCCAGGGACTTTTCCTCTGGCCTCTCGTGTCCACAAGGGGGTTCCCCCTGGCCCTTGTGACTCTGGCCCTATCCCCACCCTCATGGATGCTCACTTCCACACCCACTTGCACCCAACTGCACCCCTACACCTCTGGACGGGCTGTGGGCCAGAAGGGCAGCCGATCTCAGTTGCCCAGCCACCCTGAGCACTAAGCTGACCCAACTGCTGACCCTTGCCCTCAGATATTGCCCACAGCACCCATCCAGTGCACTGACCCCCAAGGGTGGTGGTGGGGAGCTCCAGGCCCCACTGGAGTGGGCTCCATGCTGTACTCCCTCCCCCATGTTGAGGAGCGAGCATGGACTGGACACATACTCACCCAAGCCCTGGCCTTGGACACCCCCCGCCCCCACCCCACCCCCTTGGCAGAGCCTAAGAAAGGAACTTTTTCTGACCAAGTCTCAGGCCAGCCTCACCCTGCATGCTGTGCGGGTGGCAGGTGAGTCTTGGAGCCCTGGACTCTGAGGGTCACACCCCAGAGATGAGAGGTGACGAGGCTCAAAGGCCATGTCATTAAACCAGTTAAGTCTCCTAGCAGCCACGTGTCTGTCTCCTGGAGGTGGGGGTGGTGTCACTGTGGGTCCTAAAGGTCACCTGAGCTTGCACGCTGAGTAAGAGCCCTGGGGCAGAGGGCAGGTCATGGCCAGGCCGGGCCATGGACAGTCCAAGTAAGGCTGCTCGCCCCCTGACCCTAGTGGGGGCCTCCCCTCCACACATGTCCCTGAGAGCCTGGAGGACGCTCCTAGGAGGTGAGGGGCTGAGGGGGGCCCTGCCCACGCTCCTTGCTGTGGTCTCCCAGGCCAGGTGTCCGGAAGGCCTGAACTGTGGGAATGGTGTGGAGCCAGGTCTGCCTGACAGGCAGGGCCACCAGGGAGGAGGCATGAGTCAGAGGGCAAGGCGGAAACTGGGTTTGGAGAGCTGAGCCCAAGGAGAGGGTGTGGGGTGGCCGCTGGGCTGACAGTCAGCTGGGATAGGGCGGTTCAAGGGGTAACCTTGAGCAGCACCTGAACACCGGGCCAGCGCCACCCCCAGCTCACCTGGGCCCCACCCCTGACTCTCAGAGGAGGCTCTGGCGCCCTCTGCTGGCGGCTCTGCATGCTGCGGGGCATTGCGGCCAGGAGGCACCCTAGCACCTGGCCAGATAGGGGAGTCTTGACCTGCAAGTCCCCAAAGCAGCCAGCAGACCAGTCCTGGGTCAGGGTGTCCCGTGGGCTCAGTCCTGGTGTCCCCTCCTGATGGGCAGGGGTGACTGCGAGGGGTTCAGATGCAGAGGCCAGGTTGTTCCCAGCAGGGCGGGGTGGGGAGGGCTGTCACTCAGCTGGTCCACCACTGAGCCAGGCCTGGGGAGCCCCGAGTCTCAGCTGGGACAGGCCACACTGGGCCGAGTCTGTCCAGCAGGGCTCAGTCAAGGGGAGTTGGGGGTGTCATGCCCTGTGAGCCACCTCCGGAATTTGACCACCATGGCCCCCTCTCCCTGGGAAAGGAGGGTCCTCCCTCCTAGGCCTGAGCAGGACCCTACAGACGGGGAGATGGGGCCCAAGGGGGAAAGGGAGGTATGAGGGCGTCGGTTCTGGCTCCAGAAACCCACAGATCCCATAGGTCCGAAACTGGAACTGCTGGGAAGGATGAGCACCCTGACCCGGCCACCCTGACCAGTCCTACGCTCCTGAGCCCCTCCATGTGGAGACGGGACAGGCACCCCCAGCTCTACGTGCTTTGAACGCGGGTTCTGCTGGCCCAAGGATGCCCAAACTAGAACCAGAGGTCAGAGGGACTGTCCCCAGCCCAGCCCCACCCCCACCAGCAGGGCTCCACCTTCCCAGGATGCTCTGGTCTTTGGGGGACACTGCCTCCCTCCAGACTGGGTCACTTATCTCTTGGGAGCCTCAGAACCTACCACAGCCTACCACCTGCTCTGTCCACCGCTGTCCTCACTCTGCTTCCTGGACAGCCTGAGGAGCCCCCAGCCCCACGGCCCCAAGCCCCTACTCCCCACACTCTAGTGTTCCAGGCCTTGGCTTTCCCGCCTGTCTCCTGGAAGCACCCCTGCCTGAGCTGCCTCTGGGCTCCTGGAAGGGCCTTCCCCACCCCTTCCTGGGATGTTCCCCAGAGCTGGCGAATGTGAGGGGCTCAAGGTCATCAGGGTCGGCGTGAGGAGTTACTCTGCTTTCTGCCCTGAGGGTAGCACTACGCAGGTCCCCAGATTCGGGGTGACTGAGTGTACCCTCCCTGACATCCTGGTCATCTCAGTGCCCAGGAAGTAGGCGAGGACAAGGAACAAGGCACAGGGGGACCACATCACCTGACCTGAGCCCCAGTGCGTGGGAGGGGCCTGAGTTCCAATGCCACTTGGCCGGATTCATGTCCCCAACCTACATCCCCTCCTCCCATGCCAGGCTGTCAAGCAGGGGAGAGGGAGGCTGTGGTGGCGCCAGCCCCAGTGGAGGCCAGGTCTGCAGAGGGCTGACCAGGGGCCGAGCGGAGAACGTCCCAGTCAGCGAGGGGGGTGCTGCTCTGTGCCCAGCTGTGCCGCCAGCAAGCGTCCCCAGGAACAAGGCCCGTCTCTGTCTTGGGGACAGGCACGCCTTTGTGGCCCTCCCCCGACCAGCATGGCTCTAGTCCTTGTCCTCCCCTCCCCCACAGCTGGCCTCGGCCCCCAAACCCACTCAGGCCCGGCCGGGAGCTGAGAGGGGCTCCCCATGCTGTTTAGGAAGAGCTTTTTCTTATTCCTTTCTTTGTAACTTCTTCAAAATATTTGATTTACCAAGAGGTTGATGCATGGAATAGCACAGAGGTGAGATGTCCCTCGCACCTGTATCGAGCTGCCGGGAACAGAATGGAGGCAGGAAGTACACCTTTACCTGGAGGGGTTGGCGCGAGGCAGGGGCGGCAGCAGCAGGGACGGGCTCCCAGGCGAGGCTGGTGCTGAGGACCCAGCTCTATGCTTGGAGAAAGGTAAACAGGACCCCCACCAAAGCCTCAAAGGTGGATGAAGGGTGGAAGTGCCAGACTAATGGGAGGGGCACCGACGTTGTAGGAGGAAATGTGGAAATGGTCTTTGTGATAAAGTCAACAAGCAATTTTCTGCACAAAACTTCAAAATGAGTGGATGAGTTTGACTTCATCAAAATCAAGGACGTGCGTTCATTCACCAAGGGGCCACCGGAAGCTGCTGGCTGCAGTAAACATTCTCAGTAGCTAAGCCAGAAGGAGCAGACACCCTGGACCACAGCTCTCCAGGTGGGGTCTAAGGGGCCCTTAGGGGCCCTGAGCTCCAAACTAGTTTCATGACAACATGGAAGTGTGTTACAGGCTGGCAAAATTCTTATAAGATGAGGTCATTAGGGTAGGCCCTAATCCAACTTGGGTGTCCTTATAATAAGGAAACTTAGAGACATGCACACACAAAGAGAATGTCTCGTGGAGAGGGAGGCAGAGGTGGGGGTGATGCATCTACAAGACAAGGAGCACCAAAGACAGCCTGCAGACCCTCAGAAGCTGGGGAGGAGGCCTGGAGCAGACTCTCCCTCGAAGCCTCAGCGGGAACCACCCCTTGATTTCATACTTGCAGCCTCCAGGACTGGGAGACAACAAAGTCCTGGTGTTTAAGTCATACAGTTTCCGGTAATTTCCCACGGCAGCTCCAGGAAACTAATATAAAGTGATTTGCCTTTTTCACTGGGCTCTTGTTTGCACAGATGGTGCAAAAGCCATAGTGGGCAAAGCTGTTGGCTCCTTAGCAAGGATCCTGGGGGGCCTGCCGGGGCGGGGCTCCCTCCTCCCCTCACTCCCCATGGAAAGAAGTGCAGAGTCAATTAGGGACGTCCAGGGTGAATCAGCAAACATTTCTAATTTAACTGAATCTAGTCTCAGCCCCAGAGGGTGAGGAATGGGATGTCACACCAGCGTCCTGCTCGCTCTGAGGGCCGATGCCGCCCAGGAAGTGCCCTCCCGTGATGTCCAGGTGTGAGCTGAACTGGCGGCTTGAAAGAACCACTGACCGACGGGCTGTGGTTGTTCAGGCCTGGGATCTGGGCAGACGTTTTCTCCAAAGTGAATGAGGGACCCTGTCACTTCAAGGAAAACAAGGGACAGTCTTCGTTGCCGTGGTAAATTCTAGCTTTCAAGTGGAGATGAGAATTCTGGACGCTGCCCACAGTAAGCGAGACAGCTTCCCGCCCTGAAGGCCTGTCTGAGGAGCACGTGGTGAGGGTGCCGTGTTGGACATGGGACGAGTCGGCCTGTGGGAGATCTGTGAAACTCTGTGAACCTTGCTTTCCACGCGACCAAGGCAGGCTGTCCCGGAATCAGGACAGAGCAAGATGGACCGAGGGCGGAGAGGGGACTGGTTGGGCTCACGTTCCAGATCGCAGCGCACCTTAAGAAACTGCCTCTTGTTGGGGTTCACTGTCATATCAAAGGAGACAGCCCACAATTATCCAAAAAGGCTATTTACGTGCCCCTGCCTTTTCTGACTACCGTAGAATCCGTGTGAAGCAGGATTTTCTCCGTACACCTCAACCAAAACGATGTACATAGTCTCCCCAGAGACTGAAGGCAGCCCAGCGACGAGATCCAGCTGCCCGCCGGGCACTGTTCTTGCCGTATTTTTAAAAATAATTCTTTTCCATAGAAATGTGCTCTTTATATGTTGAATGCTAGCTCCCCAAAATGCCACCAAGTGACATGTTGATAAGGCTGTGTCGGCTCACCTACCTTGAGAGTCTCAGCAGGGTCTGAGGGGGCGGGGGCAAGCGTGGGGTGTGTGTGAGGTTTTGGGGTCTGGATTAAGCGGGTCTTTTGGAGGCTAGATTAGGATTGGGCGAGTTTGAGACATGATTCGTTCAGGGTTGGTGGGCACATAAAGGATAGGAAGTGAGTTTAGAGACCCCAGGAGCCTGGCTGAGCTCTGTGCCTCCAGGTCCTAAGCAATTGCTTTCAGGAAGTTCCCCAAACAAATGAGGCACCTGCAACTTCGTCTGCCTGGGGCGCTTCCTGGTCCGTGAGGGGCTGGTAAACTGTGTGGTGCCCATGGCTTCGTCAGCGGTCTGTCACTGCTGTTGTGAAAGGAAGAATCAAGGCATGTTGTGAATTTTCAGTTTTATTTTCTCATACAGTAAATACTGACAGAGATAACCCACTAACAAAAGCGCTTTGGGGCTCTCAATAATTTTGAAGCATGTAAAACTGCCCTGAGGCACAAAGGTTTGAGAATGGCTCCTGTAGAAGCCACCAAGAGAACTCCTGCGGATGGACAGGACGCAGCGCCAGCAATCCCCGTGGAAAGTGGACAAAGCTGCGAATGGGGAGGTCATAGGGGAACCCACAGGTCCAGCTGGTCCTGGAGGAGATGTTCAAACTCCATCATCAGAGAAAGGAAAGAACTCTTTTCACCTCTTGGGATGGCAGATGTAGAAAGCTGGCTAGCACCCAGGGTCGGCAGGCGTGGGGACAGTGGGGGCAAGGTACAGCGAGCTGTGTGGGACTGAGTCACCAGAGGTCTGCTTGTCCCGCCCCCACCTGCAGGCCTGCTCCTGGGGCGGGTCCACAGGGAGGGGTCTGATGCTGCCGGAGAGCCAGGCGCCGGTGGGAGAAAAGGTGCTGAGGGAAAAGGGGGAAGAGCGGGAGGCGGGCCATACAGGTTCTGTGAGTTAGAACATATGGACACGAAAAAGAAGAAAATCAAGTATTAGGAACAAATGCATTTTTCAAGAACTTGTGCAAACAAAGGCCTTAGAAGAGTAATTTAGGGGCAGGGAATGGATCTAAAAGGGAATAAAAGTAGAAATTTTAAAAAGAGAGAGAAATTAATAGGTAATGCGCAGTCCTGTGAATGATCGAATACTCACCCCCCAACCTATGAAATCAAATCCCCGGGACCCTCCCGGTCGTCTCCGCGCCTACTCCCCAAAAGTAATCGCTGTTCTGAACTTGGGATTCCTCCTGCCAATGAACACGTTTCCACGTTTACAACCTGTGCACATCCCCCAGAATGTTGTTCGTGGTCATTGCGTGTGTTTTTAAACAGGAAGTTAAAAACTCTATGTAAGAGGAAGTTAACGTAAGTCTCACCTGCCACCACCCAAGGCTGCAAACCAGACAGGTGCCAGACCACCCGTGCGGGCAGACCACACAGGGAGAGGCCCACGTGGCTGCAAACAGGGACTTCCTGCCACTGCCCTGTGGTGGGACAGTGTGGAAGAGCTCCTCCCTTCCCGGTCAAGCCCTCAGATGAAGCAGCCCTGGCCAAGAAGCTGACGGCAGCTCAGGACCCAAGCCAGGGCCACCCAGCTGGGCCACTCTCAGCTTCCTTTTTTAAATTGTGGTAAGATCGACATAACATTAAGGTTATCATTTTAACCATTTTTCAAAGGATTTTTTACTTTTATTTTCCTTCTTCTCCCCAAAGCCCCCCAGTACATGGCTGTATATTCTAGCTGTGGGTCCTTCTAGTTGTGGCATGTGGGACGCCACCTCAGCCTGGCTTGATGAGCAGTGCCATGTCCGTGCCCAGGATCCAAACCGGCAAAACCCTGGGCCGCCAAAGCAGAGCACGTGAACTTAACCACTCCGCCATGGGGCTGGCCCCTAACCATTTTTAAATGTACAGTTCAGTGGCATTAAATACTGTAGGGGAGAACGACAATTCCTCTGCCCTCTAGGTCCTTCTGGCTGGCCTAAGAATTAAATTCACTTGCAACAGAATAACAGGAGAAAATCAAATAAAGCTTTATACCATGTAGACATGGGAGAAACCCAGGAAAACTGGGTAACTCAGCCAGAATGGCCAGAATGCCCCCTTAAATACCGTTTTCAGCTGAAGACAAAGGAGGATGTTGGGGGGGGTGGGTTTAGGGCTTCAAAGGGGAAGAAGGCAACTCATGGAGATGGGAAAGGAAATGTTTAATAGATAAGAATGGGCTTAGCAAGGACCTTCACAGTAAACTGATACCAAGTGCTATGTGTGGGGATGGCCCGTCCTGGGGACAGGCCTTCTGCCTTAAATTCTTTTAGGCAGTTAGGGGGAAGGTCAAAGTTTCTTTCAGAGCTTTTTGTTCTTAAAAATAATCAGGGCAAAGAGACACATTTTGGGATGGCAAATTCTGATCCCCCACAGCACATTCGCCTTGTGCAACCATCACCACCACCCATGTCCAGAGCTTTCCATCCTCCCAAACTGAAACCCTGTCCCCATTAAACACTCACTCCCTTGGGGCTGGCCCCGTGGCCGAGTGGTTAAGTTCGCGTGCTCCGCTGCAGGCGGCCCAGTGTTTCGTTGGTTCCAATCCTGGGCGCGGACATGGCACTGCTCATCAAACCACGCTGAGGCAGCGTCCCACATGCCACAACTAGAAGGACCCACAACGAAGAATGTACAACTATGTACTGGGGGGGCTTTGGGGAGAAAAAGGAAAAAAATTAAATCTTTAAACATTCACTCCCCACCTGCCTCCCCCGACCCCCGGCACCCACCACCCTACTTTCTGTCTCTATGGATTTGACGACTCTGGGGACCTCATATGAGTGGAATCGTGCAGGATTTGTCCTTTTGTGACTGGCTCATCTCACTCGGCGTGATGTCCTCAAGGTTCCCCCAGGTGGTAGCGGTGTGAGGCTCCCACGACCTGCCTCGGGTCGAAGGAATTTGCTGGAGCGGCTCACAGAACTCAGGAAGCCAGTTCACTTACTAGATCACCACTTTATTACAGAGGATACTAAAGGATATGAACGGACAGCCAGATGAAGAGATACTTAGGCCGAGGTCTGGAAGGGTCCCAAATGCAGGAGCTTCTGTCCCTGGGAGTTCGGGTCCCTGGGGCCTGGCACTGGCCTGGCGTTCTGGTCCACCAACCTGGATGCTCTCTGAACCCCCCTCCGTTTGGATTTTATGGAGGCACCAACCCTCCAATCACAGTTTGTTCCCCTGGCCACCAGCCCTCATCCTTAGGGGGTTTGCAAAAGTCACCTCACTAACAGAAACCCAGTTGTGGTGGAAAGGGGATTGTTATGAATGACAGGACATGCAGCCTATGTTCATCGCAGCCTTATTCACAATAGCCAAGGATGCAGGGTCGGTGAGCTGAGGAGTCGAAAGAAAGATTTCTTGGACACTCAAGATCTGGCAGTAGTGCTCTTTTATTTAGAGAATAGAATAGCATGGGGACAGGACCCATGGGCAGTCAGAGCTTCTGCTGCGTGGGGACAGGGCCCACGGGCAGGAGGAGCTCCTGCTGCTGCCCCGAGTTGAGGGTTAGGGCTGATTTTATAAGGCATGGGTATGTGAGTCATCTTTTTACAAGACAAAGGAAAGAACACGAAAAAAAGTTAAAATGGTATCAGTGCAGGTGGGGTCTGGTCATTGGGTGATCCCATGACTTTTAGACAAGAATCAAATCGGATTAAGTAAAGGTCAGAAGCCACCACCCTAAATCAGTTACATGAGATTGCCAGACAGCAACCAACTTAAATTCTTGTCTCTGGCATTAAGAGTTTCTAGAGATAAGGCCATCCCCCTTCTTCCTGGCACAGAGAGGGAGGCATCTTTACAGATAGAGGTTTCCCTTAGAAATGTAAATATTTCCCAACAAAGGGGCAAGCAAATTCCACTCCTCGGAGCCTGCCTCTCATCTGTAGTTTTAAAATTAACCAGTCTAAAAATCCTCATCAGCCAAGACTTGGAAGCAGCCTAGGTGGCCATCAAGGGACGAGTGGATACAGAATATGTGCTATATATACACAACCGAGTACGACTCAGCCATAAGAAGCTATAAAATCTGGCGTGACAACAGGGATGGACCTTATGTTAGGTGAAATGTCAGAGGGAGAAAGTCAAATACCATATGATCTGACTCATAAGTAGAAGATTAAAACAGCGACAGATAAACACACAGAAACAGAGACTGGATTGGTGGTCACCAGAGGGGAAGAGGGGAGGCAGCAGGACGAAAGGGATGATTAGGCGTAAATGTGTGGTGATGGATTGTAATTAGTCTTTGGGTGGTGAACATGATGTAATCTACACAGAAATCAAAATATACACAACAATGATGTACACTCGAAATTTATATAATGTTATAAACCAATGTTACCACAATAAAAAATAATTTAAAAAAAAGACACCCATGTCACCTTCATGGCTCTGAAGCAATTTGAGGAACTGAGAATGAGAGACCAAATATTCTAACAAAAGATGCTCCCATTGTTATTGTTGCTCAGGAATTTCCAAGCATTTTGGGAGCCGTGAGCCAGGAATCACAGATGAACACCAAATACATGTTTATTATAAATCACAACATCACATATGGATATGCCACGTTTTGCTCGTCCATTGTTAAAACCAAAATTCAACTGAGTAAATGGGAAGCTCTAATTGGCTTCACTAAGCGCCTCTGAATCGGGCAGCACCTCATCTAGCCACTAGAAGGGAGCTCTGCAGGCTGCAATAGGAAGGAGGGTCGGGCAGGGAGCTCCCAGAAAAGAAAAGGAAGGCTAACTTGGGGCCAGGGCGTCTCCTTGTCTCCTGGGGGAAGGAAAGGTAGGGGCTTTGTCACATGGATGCCTCTTCTTCTGGGGAGCCAAGAGGGCCCAGGTGAGCGATTACCCGACTGGTGTTGACCAGAAAATTCCAGACTGGTCGATTAAGATGACGTTTCTGGGAGAGGCTGAAAGTGCAGTTAGATCAGGCCTCAAATCCAGGCTCATGTCATGGGCTTTAGCACAAATAACATTGTTTGGGGCCTGTGGTTTTCTTTTTAACGCCATTCATCCATCAAGGGACACTGAGGTTGCTTCCTCGTTTTTGCTGTTGTGAACAATGCTGCTGTGAACACGGGTGTGCAGTATGTCATCAAGACCCTGCTTTCACTTCTTTTGGGGAAAGACCCAAAAGTAGGATTGCTGGATCACACAGTAATTCTGTGTTTAATTTTTGGAGGAACCTGCACCCTGTTTTCCACAGCAGCTATACAAATTCACATCCCCACCAACAGCACACAACACCCCAATTTCTCCTCATCCTCCAACAAGAAACACTTGTCGTTTTCCGTGTTTTGAGAGCAGCCGTCCTGATGGGTGTGAGGCACCGTCTCACTGTGGTGTCAGCTTGCATTTCCCTCATACCAGTGACTTTGAGCACCTTTTCAGGGGCTTGTGGGCGTTGCCTTTGGAGAAACACCTGTTCAGGTCCTTTGCCGGTTTCTGCATCAGGCTGTTTGTTCCAGAGCTGAGTTGCAGGGGTTCTTTACATATTCTGGACGTCATTCCCTTAGCAGATACACGATTTGCAACTATTTTCTCCCATTTCATGGGTTCTCTTTTCACACTGTCGATTGTCCTTTGACATGAAGAAGTTTTAAATTTTGATGTAGTCCCCTTGATCTAGTTTTTTCTTTTATTGCCTATGCTTTCGTTGTCGGATCCAAGAAATCACTGCGTTCCTGGATTCTTGACCCACAGAAACTGAGAAATAGAAAATGTTTGTTATTGGTTTAAGCCGCTCCTTTCTAGGATAATTTCTTAAACGGGCATAGATAATTTACACAGTTGTTCTCTTCTATTATCATTGCCAATGAGAGTGGTTCCTTAAACCACCTGCCTCAGACACTCAGGCCCATCCTCCTGCCTCCATGTTCACCAGACTCACCCCGCCCCTGCCACAACGCCTCCCCGCAGGACCAACCATCCATCCTGGCCTCCCTGGCTGTCCACACTCCCCTCCTCGCCCAGCTCAGCCCTTTCCCATCATGGCTGCCCTTTCTGTCTTGTCACATTCTTCTGGCCAAACCCCATTGCAGTTAAATCCACCCTCCGGCCCTCCCACACCCCCCAGAGGAGCTGGAGGAACAGGTGACCACACCCAGGTCAGCCACACAGCGCTGGCCCACGCCCCACCCTCTCCCAAGTCTGGCCTCACACCCCCTCCTCCCCTCCCCTAGTGCCCCCCCCACCCCTCACCCCACCACCCTCCGCCAGCTGGTGGACTTGCTTCCTCCCGCATCCCTGAAGAAGAGAAGCGATCAGCGGAGCCTCCCCATGTGCCACCTGCGGTCAGCCCACCTGCCCTGTCCGTGCCCAGGTCTGCTGCCCTTCCCTCCCGTCACCGCCCACGTCCTGCCAGGTGACAGGGGCCACCCATTCGCGACTGCCCTGGATCCCAGCCCTTGTCCACCCAAGGACCAGGCTGAGCACGCCCCTCTCTTCTTCTGCCACAGGCCACAAACGCCTTGTCAGTTCTCCCACGCTGCCAGGCCTGCTCCTTCCACAGCAAAACCACCCCAAGCACCACGTGTGCGCCGGCTCCACCCCTCGTCCTTCCTGCTCCCTCTGACACTGTGGCCGCCCTGGCAAGGTCAGGAGTGAGGCTCACCAAGAGGCCACACCCGAGGCCCTGCAGCACCCCCTCCCTCATCCCCTGAGGCCTGGGATTCTCCTCTCTCTCCGGCAGCTCCTCTCTGACTCCCTGATCCAGCCCTGACCTTGTCCTTGGCCCCCGTCCTTCTCTGTCTCCCCCGCCCCTGGGTGGTCCCTTCAGCCTCCTGGGTCCAAATGCCCCCACACCCAGTGCCTCTCCCTCAGACGGGCTTCTCCAGGCTGATCCCCACCCTGAGCTCAAGACCCCAGCAACCCCTGATGTGCATCTCTGGGGTGCATCCACCCCAAACCAGAGACGCCTGCCCCCTCCCCTGACCTGCTCCCTCCCCTGCAGCCCATGAGACTCCAGCCAGCTGGCTGTCCTGGCTCTTCTCTCTCTTGCCCAGTCCACGGGCATTCCATTAGCAAATCCAACGCTGCTGGCCACCTCACGGCCACCCTCTGGTCACTGTCCCTGCACCCTGGGGAGAGCAGTGGGCCCTTCTCCACCTCCAGCTTCCTTCCACCTTGCTCCCTCAGTCTGACAGCACCCAGCGCCCAGAGGGACCCTTTCAAACCTAAGTTCTGTCCTGTTTGTCCCTGCTGGATGGCCTCAAGGGGTCCCCTGTTGCCTCCAGACTTCATCTTTTACAGTTCCTATGACGTGTGGCATCTCCTGCCTCGGGACCTTTGCACAGGCCTTGGTGTTTTGTCTGTAATGCCTGAGTGGCTCTCTCCCAGGCCCTAGAGGCTGCTCAAAGGCAGCTTCTCAGTGAGGCCTTCCCTGACTCCCTTCCCGGCCTCCCTTCACCTCCGATGGCCTCTGCCCCAGCGCACTCACTTGTCCACGCCCCGAAGTCAGCCCACATCCGGGGACTCAGCGTTTGCTGAAAGAAGGGGCTTGGCGACGCTCTGTGTGAGCTGCTGCTTCACACGCACATCGTGGGCCAGCCCAGTCCACAGCCCCCGGTGTTTGGCGGCCGGGGCTGGCATCCATTGGGCCATTTATCTTGTTTTCTGCCGCCCTCTCTTCGCCTCCGCTTGTCTGGCCTGGTTCCTGGGGGATGATGCTGCAGGCCTGGCGCGGACACAGGATGGTCCTGATCCAGCTGGAAGAGGAGTCCTGGCGTCCTCCCTGCTCACGCCCAGCCATGTGGACGCTGCATGCTGCTGCTTCCAGGGCAGCTTCTCGCCTGCTGACCCATCAGGACCTTCAGCCTATTCCTGGAGTGGGTGTACAGCACTGGGCACCTGGGGTAGGGGGTGCCCAGGAGGTTCCTGGCGGTCCCCTGCTGCCTGTGCAAGAGTGCCAAGGGGTCATCCCTGCCGTCCACCGCCTGGGCGGCCCCAGTCAGGGCTTAAGGGCTCCTGGGAAGGCGCCCAGGCAGCACAGGCTGTGACACAGGCACTGGGCCCCCAGCCCCAAGCCCACCTGGATGGGGTCAGAGCTGGCCAACAGGCCCCTGAGTCTTCTCCCCAGCCCCCTAAGCTCTCCTCCTCCACCCCTCTTCTTCCGTGACCTGAGACTGGTTTCATCCCTTCAGTTCCTCCCCCAAACTTACATTTCAAATGCTGGCCCCTCAAGGCTACTGTCTGGGCTGGCGCTAGAGGGTCCATGTGGCAATGGAGCAACTTATGGGTCCTTCTGGGTCCTAGGGGGTCTTCCCTTTCCTGAGGCACATTGATACCCTGAGATCACGGGGTCAGCAGCAGGCAAGCCAACTCCTTCCTGGTCGCCATCACGCCACCCCCTGCACTCCCGGCCTCCTGCCCGGGGACGTGATGGACCATTTCTCGGGCAGGGACTGAGCCGGTCCAGGCCCAGCACTGCTGGCCTTCCCAGAGATCTTCGGACCCACAGTGTAGCCCAAGGCCATTATATGTGTGAAGTGAGGCCCGAGGTGTCCCTGGGACAGCATCTCCTGTAAGTGACAGCATTGAGTGATGACTTGAGGTTTTGATAGCAAAGCCAGGGAGCCATATTGAGGATAAAGGAAGCTGTGTGGACTGTGCTTTAGGTCTGCTGACGGACGCATCCAACCTTCTTTAATTCGGGTGCCTGGTAACACCAGCAGGTGTTGCCTCCAGGAGGCCTAGGGGGTGTCACAGCCCCTTCCTGCAAGGTTGGAAGCAAACAATTCCTTCCTGTGTTCCCTGAGTCAGCGGGAATGCTGGTGCAAAGTCCGCCGACGCCTCCCTCTCCCACCCAGGTGGTCAGGCAACTTCTGAGACGACGCAGCCCCCGGAGCCTGGGCCTGCGGGATGCCTTCCTCCCTTGCTGACCCAGCACCTCCGTCTCCACCTCTTAGAAATGGGCCCACGAGAGTTCCTGCCTCAGAGAATTGCACCAGGGGTTGGACCTGAGCACTGGTCAGCTGTTCTCACCCCACAGGCATCTAAAATGTCCTGAGCGCCTCGCTGGCCTTGCCAAGGTCAAGGGAGGGCCAGTGCCAGCGGGGGCAGTGCCAGGACGGGTCTCCTGCAGGCCAACAAGCCCAGTCCTTCCCCTGGAGTCGCATATTTCCTTCCCCCCAGGGCTTCTGCTTCTGCCACAGCTGGGGAAAAAGACCGGAGACAGGGAGCAGCAACCCCGCCCCTGGGAGCAGACCCCCAACACAGGCCTGAGCCGCCGGTGGCCCTGCCCCGCTGACGGCCCCACGTTCTTCTGCATCTGTCCCATCTCCCACCCAGGACAGCGAGCGTATTCAGAACAAGGAGGGGATGCCCAGCAGGTGTTGTTTTTAAGGGTTTGAATTTTGTTTTGCATTTGTAATTGCCTTATTTCTTTGTTGTAAAATTCACACACGGTGAAATGCACATTTGGAAGCGTTTTGACAAATGTCTACGCTGAGTGGCCGTTATCCCATAAAGATACAAGCTGAGGTTCTCAGACACTGGCCTGCACGGAATCATCCCGGGCTCGTCAAAGGCCAGGCTGTGGGGCTTCTCCAGGCCTTCTGGCTCAGTGGGCCCGGGGGCCTGCGGGAGAACGACGGTTCAAAAAGTCCCCGGGGGTGCTGGTGCTGCCGGCGGGATCACACTTTGAAACTCTGGTGTAGAAAAGAAGCACCGCCCCAGGGAGCCCCCTCCTGCCCCTTGCTGGCCGGTTCCAGCCTCCCCCAGAGGCAGCCACTGTGGGGATTAGTATCAGGATGGAAGAAGCAGCCTGTCCTTGAACTTCGCGTAAATGGAATCTAGGGTACGTATTCTTGCGGTCTGGCTCCTGCATCCACCACAGTGCTCGTGAGATTTACCCATGTTGTTACGGCACCAATAGCCCCTTCTTTCCATCGCCGAGTGGGTTACGCTGTAAGGAGCCGCCACATTTTATCCAGTTCTCCTGCTGGTGGACATTTGGATTGTTTCTAGTTTGGAGTTTTTATCAATAAAGCTGCTGTGAATATCTGTGTGCAAATGTCTGTGTGGACATTTTTTCTCTAGGAGTGGAGGAGGTGGTTCCCCTGGTGAGTACACGTTTAACTTCATGAGAACACACTGAACTGTTTTCCAGAGAGTTCATTTCGTGCCATCCTGCATTTCCCCCAGCAGGGCCTGAGAGTTCCCGTTGCTCCACATCCCCGTCAGCACTTGGTGTTGTCAGTCTTTTTGTATTTTTTTTTTTAAGATTTTATTTTTCCTTTTTCTCCCCAAAGCCCCCCGGTATGCAGTTGTATATTTCAGTTGTGGGTCCTTCTAGTTGCGGCATGTGGGACGCCGCCTCAGCATGGCTTGATGAGTGGTGCCGTGTCCGTGCCCAGGATTCGAACTGGTGAAACCCTGGGCTGCCGAATTGGAGCACAAGAACTTAACCACCTGACCACGGGCCGGCCCCAGTCTTTTTGTATTTTTGCCGTTTGAGTGAGAGAATAGAGATATCTCAGTGTGGTTTTAATTTGCATTTCCCTGATGAATAGTATATATCTTCACCTGTGAAGTGTATTTTCTATTTTTGCATCCCAACAGACAGAAAAATCCCTTCCACAAAGATGGAAAAAGTGGAGAAAATGACCCTTGACCTCTACCTCGTAATATACACAAAATCAATTTGAGATTCATCCAAGTCTCTAACATAAAGGCCCAAACTAAAATGTTTCTAGAAGAAACCACAGGAAAATGTTTTTCTCATTTTGGAGTAAGCACATTTTTTTTTTAGAAAAGATACAAAAAAGCACTAACCATAAAATTAAAAATTGATATACTGAACTTCATCAAAATTAAAAACTTCTCATCAAAGATACTGTTAAGAAAATGAAGGGACCAGGCCCATGGCACAGTGGTTAGGTTCACATGTTCCACCTCAGGGGCCCAGGGTTCGCAGGTTCAGATCCCGGGTGCACACATGGCACTGCTTATCAAGCCATGCTGTGGCAGGTGTCCCACTTATAAAGTAGAGGAAGATGGGCACGGATGTCATCTCAGGGCCAGTCTTCCTCAGCAAAAAGAGGAGGATTGGCAGCAGATGTTAGCTCAGGGTTAATCTTCCTCAAAAAAAAAAAGAAAGAAAGAAAGAAAGAAAATGAAAATGTAAAGCTAAGCCACAGATCTGGAGAAAACGTCTGCAATATTTGCACATCTGACAAAGACTTGGTCCAGAATATATAAAGATCTCCTATAAATCAATAAATTAAAAAAAAAGAAAGAAAGACAAGCAACCTCATAAAAACCAGCAGTTATGTTTCCCATGACTGATTTTCTACATAAAGCCCGACACCTTTTGAGCCCTATAGCTCCTTATTTGGGACAGATTCCCAGAAGCCGGTTCCCAGAATCAAAGGTGTGAAATTTGGATAACAAAAACCTAATTCAAAATGGAGGCAGGAAGCAAAGAAGGAAAAGCTATTATGCAGATGCGCCCTGCAGCAGCTAATTGACACCAGGGAGCAGGAGGAAGGAAGATTCCCTCCTCACCCAGCAACAACCCAGCCAATGAGAAGCTGCTACATACATCTCAGCCAAGGAGAAGTCGCCACCACTCCAACTCTCTCCTCCACAGATCTTCCATTTAAAGCACTCCCCTCATTTCCGCTTCTGCCCAATAAAGGCGAGCCCCCTCTCCTTTGCTCTCTGGACTTGCCCGTGGTTCACCACAGTTTTCATGTACCCAACTGCAATTCCTCAGCTGTTCTTGAATAAACTCATTTTGCTGGTAAAAATAACGGGCCATTTTCTTTTCAGGGTTGACAGTCAAGGAAGGAAGAACTCCATGCTCGTGGCTCTGGATCTGTGCAGGCCCTACCCCCCAGCCACCTCTCCAGGCCCCTGCTCAGCCATCAGGCACGTCTGACCCGAGCGAGGGCCTGGAGGGCGCGGCCAGGGCAGAGCTCCCGCAGCCCCACGGGGGTCAGGGGGCAGCGACCCAAGCCCAGGCCCGCGCACCCAGCCCACTCCCACCGACTGCCCTCCCCGCGGGGAGCAGTGGCCCGGCACAATCAGGGTCCGGAGGGGCGAAGGCCCGTTTCATGGTTTGCAGCGCCCAAGGGCTGGCGCGACCCACTCTGCGGCTCTGCCCGCCGGGGCGGGGGGGGGGGGGGGGGGGGGGGGGGAGTTTCACCCATCATTGGTCTGACCTGACTACAGCCCCCTCCGCATTGCCCAGGGGAAGGTGACGGGGCGCCCGTCGGGGATCGCGAGGCTCCGGGTCGCATCACTCCGGGGGCGAGGCCGCCCGGCTCCGAGGGTGGGTGTCCCAAGGCCGATCCAGGCCGGGGAGCGCCGCCCCGCCCTCCGCGGCCCCCCAGGAGCCCAGCCCAGCCCCACCCAGCCCAGCCCTTCGCGGCCGCCCGAGGAGCCGGCACGGGGGCGGGGCGTCGCTAGGGGGCAGGGCGTCGCTAGGGGCGGGGCGTCGCCGTCGCCGAGGCGCCCACGCCCCGCCCCCCCGCGCAGCTCTCGGATTGGCCGGCGCCGGGGGCGGGGCCCGCGGGGCATTGTGGTCGCCGCGCCGCCGCCGCCGCTCGCCATGTCGGGGTCCCCGGTGAAGCGGCAGAGGATGGAGAGTGCGCTGGACCAGCTCAAGCAGTTCACCACCGTGGTGGCCGACACGGGCGACTTCCACGGTGAGGCCGCGCGGGGCCCCGCGTCCCGGGACGCGTGCCGGGAGGCGGCGTCGGCGGCGCTCGTGGACGCCGGGGGCGCCCCGGGCCCGGGGCAGAGCAAGCGGGGTGTCCTGAGGGGTCCTGAGGGGCTGGGGGTCCCCAGGGGCCGGGGCCGGGCCGGCCGCGCGGGCGAGGGAGCCGGGGCGCGGGCGGCGGGGCGGGGCCTGGCGACCCGGAAGCCCGAGCCCCGCCCTCGCCGGGTCCTGCAGCCGCGGAGCCCGGAGCCTGGAGCCCGGGGGGACCGTCGGCGGGTCGGGGCCCCGAGGGGCTCGGGGTGGACGGGGAGCCGATGTCCGTGTGGACAGCTGGGGCAGTTCTGTCCAGCGAGTGTTGACTGCCGGCCGAGCAGGAACACGAGTTAGTTCTGGGCCCAGAAAGACCAGAAACTGCCAGTGACACCACCTGCTTTTGAAACCTCCTGTTGCACGCTTTCCGCCCCTGCCCAAGGGACGGCCGTGCCTGCTGGTGACCGTTTGTGGCAGGGGGCCCGACAGTTGCACACCCACGCCCTGGGGTGGCAGACCTGGGTGGATGCAGCTCGGTGCACTGAGGAAAGCCGAGGTTGTCCTGCTGTTGAGTTGACATTTTCCTGGGTTTGAGTCGTGGTCATTGGAGAGCAGGGGAGAACACAGAGAAGTATACAGGAGGATCCTACTGTTAATCCCCGGCTCTTCTGTCCTCCGCGGTGCCCAGACTAGATGGTCCCACCTTCTGTTCTGCTGTGAACTAGACAGGATTTTCAGGAAAATCGTGAAATGCTCCGTGGATATGAGTGCCGTGGGACATGCAATACAGAAGTGACTTCCTCTCTTTTCTGCTTTCTCACAGTGACTTGAGAAACAGGCTTTAATTCCCCTTTGTAACACAGTGTAAGCGGATTGTTTATCTAGCAGAGCCTAGGAGAGTGAATAAGCATGTTTGGCCGCTTACATATGAAAGATGGAGACAGTGATGGCTTGAGTCCAACCCCTGAGCTTGCTAGCGGAGTATGTTAAACCCATTGAGAAAAGTTCCCCACTTGGTGGGAGCTGGGGAGCTTAGGAGACCCAGAGCTCCTGTTACCAGGGAGATAAGGGTCTCCTTTATCACCCCACACTGTCATCCAGCCCTCCTGGCAGTGATACTGATAGGGTAGAAAGTGCTGGGGGAGCGGCTGCATGCTTTTCTGCGCCTGTTTTCCCGGCTTAGCACGTAGAGTCCTTGATCATCTTCACTTCCTCGACAGAGCCCGAGTCCGTGTTGTTTCCACTGCTTCTCACTGGGTGGCAGGGGGATGGCTACTCCGTTACCCATTCTGACAACATAGGGCCAGTAAGGCGGGCGGGGACCTGGGGAATGCTTACTTTTTTTTTTTTCCTTTTTAGAAATATCTAAACCCAAGCACTATTTTATTTTTTTTAATGAATATTAACAACTTTATTAAAAAATACATTAGTTGATAATGTGTATCCATGAATGTTATGTAGTTGTAAATAGGACATTCGGCTCTGTGGTCATTTTGTGAGGTGAAGGTTCTTGCCTCTGGGGGGGTCATAGGCCTCCTTGAAAATATAATCAAAGCTGTGGATGTTCTTCCCAGAACAGCGCACCCACTCCCCCCAGTTTTGCATTCAGTTTAAGGGTCCCTGGATCCTGATGCCCATCTCTTGACCCCAGATGGGGCCTGGTTTTATCTTTAATTTTGCTAAAAGTCAGCTTTATCGGGGAACCGTTGTATACGACCAAAGGCACCATCTTCATGGTCTCATTCCATGGGTTTGACCCACCTGTCTAAGCACCGCTCCAGACCACTTGTCCTTGTTATTTTGAAATAATTATAGACTCACAGGAAGTTGCAAAATTAGCCCATAGGGTCCCATGAATCTTTCGCCCACGTCCCCCAGTGGTGACATCCTGTTTGACCACAGCGTGATATCAGAACCAGGAACTTGGCACCAGCACCATCCTGCAGGCCTGGCTCAGTGTTCACAGTTGTCAGCCTACATGGGGGGCGGCATCCTGTGTGGTGGTCTTATAACCCATGCACACTCGTTTAGCCACCAGGACAGTTAGGACACAGCTGTCCCACGGCCACAGAGCTCTCCCCTGTGCCCCTGAGAGCCGTCTCCTCGTCCGTGTCCTGGCAGCCCCAGGCTGTTCTCTGTCTCTGTAGTTTTGTCATCAGAGGATACTTTGAAAGTACTCATTTGCCAAATCAACGTACTGAACCAGCAGCTCATCCTGGACACGATGAGCCGTGCGATGGAGGTCAAGGCCGTGGGCTAGCTCTGCGCACCCTTCTGTTTTAACAGCCTGGCTGGTGAGACTCCTAGTCAAGCCTTGCTGGTTTCTTGGAATTCCTAGCTTGGTTACCAAGAAAGAACTAATGTGTTAAAAGAGAGAATAGTTTAAGGAAGAAAGGAAGCAGTTGTTGAAGATAACTATGTCCGGTCACTCTGTTGATGCCTTGGGTGCGAGCGCGCCTCCTGACAGCGGTTTGGCAGCTGGAGGCGCCTCGCTGGCTGTGCGGGCTTCTCCCAGCTGCCTCCTCCTCACTCGGAGGCAGCAGTCAGCTCTCGCAGGGGCACGTTTGGTCTCTGGCCTTAGTCTGGGTTCTTGTGCACACAGCTGCCTATTGTCCAGCTTCTGGGACCAGGAAAGAAATTTGCGGGAAGTGTGGCTGCGCCCCAGCTCAGGAGACACTGACTCCATGTGTTTAGGGCTTTAGGGGACCCGTCACGGGTTTCTGAGTGGAAGCCAGTGCTCCACTTACTTTTCTGCTTTCCAAAATTATTTCCCTAGCCATCGACGAGTACAAGCCCCAGGATGCCACCACCAACCCATCCCTGATCCTGGCTGCTGCGCAGATGCCCGCCTACCAGGAGCTGGTGGAGGAGGCCATCGCCTATGGCAAGAAGCTGGGCGGGTAAGTGCCAGGGTTGTGGGGGACACACACAAGCACAAACACCACCCCCCCAACCGAATTCACCTGCGGGGCCGAGGGGCATACTCAGGCCCCATCCCAATCTAGTTGTTTGCCTCCCTCGCTGAATTTTAATTCTTTTTTTTAACTAATTAATTAATTAATTTTTTTTGAGGAAGATTAGCCCTGAGCTAGCTACTGCCAATCCTCCTCTTTTTGCTGAAGAAGACTGGCCCTGAGCTAACGTCCATGCCCATCTTCCTCTACTTTATATGTGGGATGCCTACCACAGCATGGCTTTTGCCAAGCGGTGCCATGTTCACACCTGGGATCCAACCGGCGAACCCCGGGCCACGCGAAGCAGAACGTGCGAACTTAACTGCTGCACCACCGGGCTGGCCCCTTAATTCTCTCTTTTTTTTTTTTTAAAGATTTCTTTTTTTTTCCTTTTTCCCCCCAAAGCCCCCCAGTACATAGTTGTATATATTTTAGTTGTGGGTCCTTCTAGTTGTGGCATGTGGGACGCCGCCTCAGCGTGGTTTGATGAGCAGTGCCATGTCCGTGCCCAGGATTCGAACCAATGAAACACTGGGCTGCCTGCAGCGGAGTGCATGAACTTAACCAGTTGGCCACGGGGCCAGCCCCCAGCCCCTTAATTCTTAAATATTTTTGGCTGCAGGCTTTTTAAGTTTTTCTTTTATATTTTATATTTATTTTTATCAACTTTACTGAAGTGTTACTTACATGTAGTGAACTGCACCCATTGTAAGTGTACAGTTCAATGCGTCTTGTTTACAGGAACATTGACACCCCTGTAAACACCCCAGCCAAGAGACAGAACATCTGCACCCCGAAAATCCCCACCTCCCCTTTTGTAGTCAGTCTTGCCAGCCCTGGGAACCTCTGACCTGCTTTCTGTCATTTTATTATCTTTTAACAGCTTTATTGGAGTAAAATTCGCTAAGTGCACAGTGAGCCCAATTCTCTCTGGTAGATTTATGCAGTGGTGCAGCTGTTCCACAACCCAGGTTTAGAATACATTCACCTCCTAGAATGTTCCCAGGTGCCTGTTTGCAGTCGGTCCCCGCTCCCTCCCCCAGGCAATCACAGACTGGCTCTGTCTCCATAGATTTGCCTTTTCTAGATCGTTTTGTTGTTTGTTTGCTGAGCAAGATTTACCCTGAGCTAACATCCATTGCCAATCTTCCTATTTTTGTATGTGCGCTGCCACCCCAGCATGGGCACTGACAGGCGAGTGGTATAGGTCCACGCCCGGAAACCAAACCCAGGCCGCCGAAGCAGAGTGCGCTGAACTTAACCACTAGGCCACCAGGGCTGGCCCGCTAGATGTTTTAAGTTTTCCTCAGGGTGATAATGCACAGCTGAGAGTGGTGCCTGCAGGGGATTGTGGCCCTGGCTGGGAGCTCATCCTCTCCGGCCTGTCCCTTTCTGGCGCTCCTATGTCTGAGGTCCAGGTGGCATGCAGGTGTGTGATGGTTGCTCTGCACTGAACCTGCCCTCCCCTCCACCCGTGTGCCCCCTGTCCTACCCAGCTTCCTGTTCCCTTCTGCCATGCCCCGACTGCATCAGCCAGGCCTTGGTGCTCCTGGAATCAGGTGACGAGGTGGTGTTCTTAGGGATCACCAGACAGGCCTGTGCCCTCGCCCAGCCCCACAGGTCCCACCCTGTGGCGCACACGTGCTGGAGATGTTCCCATGTGCAGTGGGTTGGGCGAACCCTCAGACTCTGGACAGTTTGGGACACCATGGTGCACCCCACTCAGCTGCCCCCAGGGGACTCCAGAGAGAGTGAAGATATTATTTTTATCAGGTGCCAAAATGGAGGGATTCTGTCTGGAATGAGAAAGTTCTGGAGAGGGGAGATAGTGTTGGCCATACCACAATATGAGTGCTCTTAACGCTACTGCACTGTGCACCTGAAAATGGCTAAGATGGTCAATTTTATACTATGTGTATTTTAGCATGATAAAAAAATATTTTTTTGAGGAAGATTAGCCCTGAGCTAGCATCCGTGCCCATCTCCCTCTACTTTATATGTGGGACGCCTGCCACAGCATGGCTTGACGAGTGGTGTTTTGGTCTGCACCTGCGATCGGAACCAGCAAACCCTGGGCTGCCAAAGTGGAGTGTGCGAACTTAACCACTGTGCCACCAGGCCGGCCCCATAAAAAATTTTTTTAAGCACAAATAAGATGGAGGGAAAGGAATTAGGCAAAAGAAAAGCCGAATTGGTTTTGTAGAATCTTGTACGCTTAAAGCCAACAAGCTTCTAACCTGATTTCCTCCCTTGTGTTTCAGGTCACAAGAAGAACAGATTAAAAATGCTATTGATAAACTTTTTGTGTTGTTTGGAGCAGAAATACTGAAGAAGATTCCGGGCCGCGTCTCCACGGAAGTAGATGCCAGGTAAGGACACGGGGCCACTGCGGGCTGATGGGTTGGGGCCAAAGCATCTGCTTGGGCCGTGGTTTCTCACATGGTGCCAAGTGTTCCGGAGGCCTGCTCCTGTCTGAGAAGCCGTGGCTGGTGCTGCCTGTTGAGCAATTCGTCTCCAGCCCGTGTTCTGGTGTCAATCCCGCGAAGGAACATGATGGACCGTGGGGTCCTAAGTTGCTCCCTGAGCGAGGGTGTGCCAGGGTTAGGGCTCAGGGCTGGCTTGGGGTCCTGCCCCCGCTTCCTGAGGTGAGTGCTCTTTGTCACGGCCCCTTGCTCTCGCAGGCTCTCCTTTGACAAGGACGCCATGGTGGCCCGTGCCAAGCGCCTCATCGAGCTCTACAAGGAAGCTGGGATCAGCAAGGAGCGGATTCTAATAAAGCTGTCGTCAACCTGGGAAGGCATTCAGGCTGGAAAGTAAGTGTCCCCCCTGAGGAGTGCGCTGTCGGGAATTCTGCCTCTACTCCGGGGGTAAGGACCTTGCGGCTGCAGGCAAGTTGGACCTGCAGTCCTGGGGGGCCAAGAGTGAGGGACACAGCCCATAGCTCAAATGAGTCTCCTCACCACCACCCAGAGGAAAGCAAAGTCCCTGTGAGAGAGCCACAGCTGCTGCCTGTCCCCCACCCTGCCCACATCCGCGCGTGCTGACACCGGCACTTCATCAAGAACACATTATTCCTGCACCAAACATATGCCCAGTGCCGAAGACAGAGAAAAATGCGAAAATAGGCCATCTCCTGTGATGTTCTCACCCAGAAGGAGCTGACACCAGCAATGCTTGACCAACCATGTGGGAGCGGTTCATTTCACGCCATCTGTCCGTGCGTTCACTTGTTCCACGTCCCCCAGCAACCACGAGCCTCCTCTCCGTGTCTGGATGTGCCTCTTGTGGACATTTCCCATAAAGGGTCATTGGACACGAGGCCTGGTGCCTGGCGTCCCTCGCTGAGCACGTTTCTAAGGTTCACACGTGTCATGGTGCGTGTCAGGGCCGTGTTCCTTTTAAGGCTAATCCTCCACTGTGTGTCCACACCGCATTTTGCATGTCCGTTCATCCTTCAGTGGACACGTGGTGCTTTCTGCCTTTGGGGCTGTCACGGATAATGCTGCTGTAAACATCTGTGTACACATCTTCCGCCAGTTAGGATGGGGTGCATCCTGATGAACCCATCGTAAGTTAAAAATGCATTCAGTCCTGGGGGCCAGCCCGGTGGCGCAGTGGTCAAGTTCGCACATTCTGCTTCGGCAAACCCAGGGTTCAGTGGTTTGGATCCCAGGTGCAGACCTACACACCGCTTGGTAAGCCATACTGTGGCAGGCATTCCCACATATAAAGTAGAGGAAGATGGGTACGGATGTCAGCTCAGGGCCAGTCTTCCTCAGCAAAAAGAGGAGGATTGGCAGCAGATGTTAGCTCAGGGCTAATCTTCCTCAAAAAACCCCAACAAAAAACGCATTCAGTCCAGCTGAGCTCCTGAGTGTCCTTAGCTTAGCTTCACCTACCTTCACTGTGCTCAGAGCACTTCGCTTAGCCTGCAGGTGGGCGGGATCCTCTCGCACAAAGCCTGCTGTATAACAGTGTGGACTGTCCCACGTGATGGGTTGAGCACTGTCCTGACGGGAAGGCCACCCAGCGGTCGGTATCGATTGTTCATGCTCGTGATTGGGGCTGACGAGCTATGCTCGCTGCTGCTGCCCAGCGTCATGAGAGGTTCAGGCCGCACATCGCTAGCCCGGGAAAGGATCAAAATTCAAACTTTGAAATACAGTTTCTACTGAATGTATATTGCTTTTGCACTATCATAAATTTTAAAAAATTGTAGGGCTGGCCCCTGAGCCAGTGGTTACGTTCACGCACTGCACTTCGGCGGCCCAGGGTTTCACTGGTTCAGATCCCAGGCAGAGACATGGCACCACTCATCAGGCCGCGCTGAGGTGGCGTCCCACATAGCAGAGCCAGAAGGACCTACAACTAGAGTATACAACTATGTACTGGGGGCTTTGGGGAGAAGGAGGGGAAAAAAAAAAGATTGGCAATTAGCTCAGGTGCCAATCTTTAAAAAAAACTGCAAGCCAGAGACCACCTGTGTGAGTTTCCGTGCAGACGTGTGCTCTCTCGTGGGCACATGCCTAGGCGTGGAGTGCTGGGTCACAAGGTCCTCAGTGTTCACTGTGGAGTTGCTTCAGACTGTTTCCCACCGTGTCTGCCATCTGCTGACTCACACTGGGAGTGTAGGCTCTGTGATCTCGCTTCTTTTGTTTTTGTTTTTGTTTTTGTTTTTTTTTTGAGGAAGATTAGCCCTGAGCTAACATCTGCTGCCAATCCTCCTCTTTTTGCTGAGGAAGACTGGCCCTGAGCTAACATCCGTGCCCATCTTCCTCTACTTTATATGTGGGATGCCTACCACAGCATGGCTTGCCAAGCGGTGCCTTGTCTGCACCCGGGATCCAAACCAGCGAACCCCAGGCCGCCGAAGCTGAACATGCACACTTGACCTCTGCACCACTGGGCTGGCCCTGTGGCCTCGCTTCTTGAACACTCCAGTGACCCACAGCGGAGATGCCTCTGAAACCGTCCCCTAGGATGGGAGCCTGTGCTGGACGGGCCTGAGCAGAGGCTCAGCTGTCACACCCTGCACCCCAGCGTGGCAGAGTGTGGCCATTGCCCTGTCCTCGGGTGGACCGTGATAAGCTTCCTACAGGACCGGCAGCAGCCTGGGGCCCCTCGTGGTCAGGGCTCCTCTCTGAGGGTGGAGTGCCGTGGGCTTGTTGCAGGGTGGCCCGGGAAGGATGAGGACAAGCAGGGGGCAGGGGAGGGTGGAACAGGGCAGGAGGGCACTGCAGTCAGGATGACTCGGGGACCTCCAGCCCGGCGAGTTGTGTGAGGAGGTGAGGGGCCAGGGCCCCAGCTGCTGGTGCGGGTCAGGCCAGGGAGACCTGCTGGCTCTCAGGGGACCTCTCTTGCCGTCGCCTTTGTTTTGAAATGGGGGATCTGATGAAGAAAGTTCCGGTCACCTATGACCCACGGGCTGAGGAGAAGTGTGGTGAGTGGGCCAGCTTTGCTCTCGACGGAGGGGCAGCCCTCTCCACCTCTCCAATCATGAATCCCGAGCATCGTCCCATGTTAAAACGACAGGTGCTCACGAGCAGCCCTGAGTGGGACGCCAGCCACTGGCCATGGTCCCTCAGGTCCCTGCCACGCTCATGCCCACCCCATCCCTGTCCCCATCCCTGCAGGGAGCTCGAGGAGCAGCACGGCATCCACTGCAACATGACACTGCTGTTCTCCTTCGCCCAGGCTGTGGCCTGTGCCGAGGCGGGGGTGACGCTCATCTCCCCCTTCGTGGGGCGCATCCTCGATTGGCATGTGGCAAATACGGACAAGAAATCGTACGAGCCCCTGGAGGACCCCGGTGAGTTGCCCTTTGAGGTACCGGGGCCAGGGGAGTGGCTCCAGCAGCACCGCTGAGGCTGAGTGAGGAGCCTGTGCTGTCTGCTCCCAGAGCCAGGCTGGGGTGCGCTGGGTGTGGGGTCAGATGGGGGCACGGGGTCGCATGGACGTGGGGTCGGATGGGCGAGGGTTCAGACAAGGGTGCGGGGTTGGGTGGGTGCAGGGTCAGGCAGGGGCACGGGGTCAGATGGGGGCATAGGGTCACGTGGGGGTGCGGGGTCAGGTCGGGGCGCAGAGTTGGGTGGGTGCGGGCTCAGATGGGGTGGCAGCACCGGGCAGCGCAGCAGGGACTCTGCCTTGGCTGTCCAGGAGGCCGTCCTGGAACATGGTACGTGTCCTCCCAGGAGTGAAGAGCGTCACCAAGATCTACAACTACTACAAGAAGTTTGGCTACAAGACCATCGTCATGGGCGCCTCCTTCCGCAACACGGGGGAGATCAAAGCGCTGGCAGGCTGCGACTTCCTCACCATCTCGCCCAAGCTTCTGGGCGAGCTGCTCAAGGACAGCACCAAGCTGGCGCCCGTGCTCTCAGCCAAGGCGGGTATGCCCCCGGGCCCCCCCTCTTTGGGCCGCTGCCAGGACCTCGGTACCTTGGTCACCCCAGGGTGCAGGAGACAGAGCTGAGCAAAGTGCAGCCGAGGGGTGGGGTCACCAGCTGGGGCTCAGGCAGCCTGTGTCTCACCTGCAACGTGGGAGATGCCGGGCAGTGAGGGCTCAGGGCTCCCCTCTGTCCTCCCCCAGCCCAGGCCAGCAACCTGGAGAAGATCCACCTGGACGAGAAGGCCTTCCGCTGGCTGCACAACGAGGACCAGATGGCCGTGGAGAAGCTCTCGGACGGGATCCGGAAGTTTGCTGCAGACGCCGTGAAGCTGGAGCGGATGCTGACGGTGAGTGCCCCAGGGTGAAGTCGGGGCAGAGTGGAACTTTTGTGGGGACCCCCGGTGTTTCTCCTCCTCTGGCAGCCTGGGCAGTGCCTGTCAGTGGACTCTGCCGCCCTGTGTGATCTTAAGGGCAGTGTCTGCTGGATGTGGTCGTAGGATTGCTGGGACCCTGCCTTGGGGCAGACCCAGCAGCCTGCCTCCCTCCTCCGAGGTGCGGAAATGGGGGGGTTGGGGGGGTTGTGCGCTGCCTGGCTGTGCTCCTGGCACCACTCGTGCTCTCCCTCTCTAGGAACGGATGTTCAGCGCAGAGAATGGAAAGTAGTGTGGCGCCTGAGGCTGGACCGCAGACCGTGCTGTCTGTGAATTGGGGTCTGATTGCACATGCCTTGCAATGAATCTTGCATTTTTTACCAATTGGAGCAGGGACGGATCATAGATTTCTGATTTTATGTAAAATTTTGCCTAATGCATTAAAGCTGTCACTTTTCCCGTGCCGTTTCATATCACTGGCCCCGTCTCCTTGCCCCCTGGGCAGTTGGTGCCCAGCTGTTGGCTGCAACCTGGGCTCCACAAGACAGGATTGGGTCAAGAGCACCACAAGGGCACCTAGTCAGGTGACACAGGCACTTTCAGCCCCTCGCCTCAGGCACAAGCTGCCGCTCGCCCACTGCCAGGCACTGTGACCTGGGAGCCCAGGAGGCCTTTGACTTTGGAGGTGGGGACTGCCCTGAGCAATTCGGTGCCCAGAGCCCCTGATGGCCCTCAGGCCCATAGGGTGTGCTGTGGAGTTGGGGGCAGGGGCGTCCCAGGGCCCCTGGAGTCAAAGCTGCACACAGCTTCCTGGTTATATGGTTGCCAAGGCCAGCCCCTCCCTCTTGCTTTAGGAACAACTCTTCCTGCCTCTTGTCCAGGTGCTGGCCAGGCCGGCCTTCCACGGGATGCCAGGTTCCGGGATGGGGGCACCTCATGGGGATGGCCCTGCCTTGTGGGGATGGCGCCACCTCGTGGGGATGGCACTGGCCACCAGCTTAGAAACCAAGATGTTCTGGATACACCTCTTAAACCCAGAGCGATGGGTGTGGCACAGCTGGTTAAGAGACACCTTTACTACCTTTTGGACTTTGCATGTGACCTGCTGCACTGGGAAGGGCCCCTTCCTCCTCCCCTCCCTAAGAGCCCCTGCCAAGCCCAGACTCCAGCTGCCCACAGCTTTCTGCAGGCACATCAGGCACCAGGCACAACAGGTGAGCAGGGCCTCCCACCGCCCTGCCCATTTTCTGGAGCAGCCTCCTGGCCACTCTCCCCAAGGGCAGGGGCAGCACTGCAGATAGCACAAGCTCTGGGGACAAGGCCTACCGTGGGCTGGGCCACCTCAGGTACCCCAGCCTGGCCCTCCTGGGCAGGTTCAGCCCATCCAGGGTGCTGAGGGGGCCGCCTTGGGGTGGGTGGCGGATGGGGCATGTCACATCACTGGGGTCAGCTGGGGTGTCTAAGAGTGGTGGGCAGGGCTTCACCCTCTGTCGAGTCCCTCCTAGCCCTCAGCTGCCTGGTGGGATGGCGCCAAGTCTTCTCCCCAAGCTGGTCAACGGGCTACATCCTAGGACATGGAGGTATCAGGATGAAGGCTGGGTCAGTGCAGGTGTGACTGTGGACATAACTGACAGACACTGAGCCCACTCACGTCTGCAGTCCAGTGATTTACAAGCCGTAAAGCCGTGCAGCCACTAGCTTTAGAACCTTCCCATCCCCCAAAAAGGCGACATCACGGTCATCTGCACGTTCCTTCCACAAAGACCTACTGCACTAGCATTTTCTGGATGTTTCTTATTAATGAAGTCACATGTGGTCCTTTATGTCTGGCTTCTTTTGCTCAGCATGACGTTTTCAAGGTTCACCCATGTTGTAGAATGTTACAATTTCTTTCCTTTTTATGGCCAAATAATAATACCCCACTGTATGGATACTAACATCGTCCATTAACAAGAGTACCCCATTCATGGGAGCTGCCGCTTGGTTTCCCCTTCGTTACTGTGAATGATGTTGCTGGGAACATCCATGCACCATTTTTGTGGGGTTGTAAGTTTTTATTTCTCTTGGGTAGATGTCAGACTCTGTTTTAAACATGCTAGGCGCGTGGGGAAATCCCAGAGGGCACCTGCACCCACCCCTGCCACCTTCCAGGGTTTTCGTTCTCCTCCTCCTCCCAGCCTCGTGGGCAGCCCCAGCCCTGTGCCCCGTGCCCTGGACCTGGCGGACCCAGGACTGAGCCGCAGCAGGCACCCATGGAACAGGGCTGGCGGGGCCCTCCGCAGACCCACTCTGCGCCTTAGTCTGGAAGGCTGAGAAGCACAGACCAGAAGCCCTCAGCAAGTGTTACTAGCTCTTCGTAGATGACACAGATAATGACCCTAAGGCAACGTATTTAAAACACCCTTTTGTCCAGAAACATCCATCACCACAGGGTGATAACTGCTGACACGGGGGCTGACCGAGGCCCCGCGGGTGGCTAGCCAGACCCACAGTGTGCAGGGCAGGACAAGGTGTCAGGGGCTCCCAACATCATCTTCCCGGGAAATGCCGACAGGAGGGCACATGTCGGGGCATCTCAGCGTGGTCTACAGAGCAGGAAGGAAGTGGCTTGGGACTTGGAGGGGCAGAATGTGGCAAAGCCAGTGAGGAGGGGAATGGGAAGGTGGGAACACACAAGGGGGCCCGAGTGGCTCCTGGAGGCCTCATCCCAGGGCCTCTGCCCAGGCCAGGCACCCGGGGAGGCTGCGGGGTGACCAGGCTGCACTGGGAGGGAGCCGGCTGGACAGCTGCCTGGCATCCCCAGCAAAGGCCTGGCCAGGGCCTGAGAGATGAGGACTGACTGCCACCCTGGCTGACCCGAGGAGGCCACCCGCGGGGCCTCCTTCCAAGTGGAGCTTATGCTTCTGTCACTTCCACCCTGAAACCTGCAGAGCAGCTGCGCAACTGGGCATGGCCACCGTGTCCTCAGGCCACTTGGGTAGGGCCTGGGTGAGCAGCGCGGTCTTAAGAAGCCCATGGTGTTGTAATCAGTTAAATGTCTTTCTCTCAACATCAGAAAGGCTGCAGTAACAGTGCGTCCACCCTGAGGGCCATCCTGGCCTCACAGGGGGTCGCCATCCTGTTTTGAAACCGTGTACCAGGCAAGGTTAAAATTCAGACAGATCCTTCAGCACCAGCCAGTTTCAGGACCAGGAGCTGGTGGCCACCAGAAGACCCCCTTTCATCTTAGGCGAGTTAAAGTGCTGAGCAAGCTCCAGTCAGCTGGCCCCTCCCCACATGGCCCCCACCAATGCCCAGAGGGGTCGGGGGCAGCACACAGGCCTAGGCACGACCCTCACCACCCAGAAGCAAGCCCCTGGGGCGCAGGTCCAGCTGGCACGTTATCCTGCCTCCTGGGGAGGGTCAGCCTCTGCTCCACCTGGGGGGACAGGGACAGGCAGAGAGGAAAGACACAGCCATCCAGTGCCGGCCCCAGGAAGACCAGACGGGCCAAGACCCCACCCAGGACTCTCCAGAGCCAACTCACTCGACACCACCTCTCCGTGGAACATTCAACCTGGAATTCTTCATGACCGCCCAGGGCCAGCACCTCAGCACTCTCCACCTCCTCCCCAGGAGGACGTGCGGGGGCTGGGAGCCGGCCCTCCCCCAGAGCCTACGCTCCTCAGGGCTGATCCTTGGTGCCCTCCAACAATCCGACCAAGCCAGGTCAGGAGATCTGAGAGCCATTCTCAGAGGCTGTCACAGAGGCGGGGTCCCTGGAGACCTGAGGAGTCCAGCTACCTCTGGGGAACACCTGGGCCGTCTGGAGGTGGCATTGGCAGGTGGGCTGGCTCAGCAGGAAACCACCTCACTTCCTGCAGGACAGGCGCCGGGTCAAAGCTCAGGCACCAGCACCAGGGCATCGCTGCCAACATGGCCCAGCAGAAGGGCCTGTACGAGCCAGGTCCCGCCTGCCGCCTCTCACCGGCTGCCGCAGAGAAAGAGCAGGTTCTGCATGGCCGCAACAGTAGAACTGGCGTTCTGGCCGGTGACAAGGTGGCGGTCCAGCACGACGTGTATGGCATCAGGCTCACTGGCTGCAGGAGGCCCGAGACACAGGCCTTAGGCCACACCACTCACTGGGCTCTGCCTCCAGACCCACCCACCCACCCTCTCAGGGCCGTGAGCTCCTAGCGGACTTGCGCCAATGAGTGGGTCAGCCCGCCTGGATCTCAGCGCTGCCGACCACTGGTGTCCACTGAACCTCAGCTCTAGGTGGCTGGCCTGGCCAGGACCGCCCGCAGGCTGCAGCAGGCAGCCCCACTGTCCCCTGCGAGTGCCGCCCAGCTCACCACTGAAGCTGGCGCCTGAGTCCTTCACAAAGTCCTCCACGATGAGCGGCAGATGGGCAAAGCCGGGCGCCCTCACGAGCTCGTACACAGAGGGCTGCAGGGGAAACGGGCACCCGCCCCAGGTCGGGCAGATCCAAATTAGGGCAGAGGACCATGCCCTCCCTACACATGGGGGTGGGGGCATGTGTCACTGCTCTGTGACTCGGACCTCGAGGCTGCTGAGGCAGAAGGTGCTGGCAGCTGGGACCAAGGGTGAGGCCCTCCCGCTGTGGGGTGTTTCAGGGTGACAGGGCCACTGTGGGGGGAGGGGCTGGCTGTCACCCCCTCCCCCAGCATCAGGGCACACAGGTGACCAGAATGAGCTGGGCAGGGGCCTCAGGACTGAGCCCCTCAGGAGTGGAAGGGCTGGAGAGGACCTGGGCCACACGAGGAGCTCAAAGCTCCTCTCCTCCCGCCCCGGCCCAAGCCACCCAAACCCCTCAGCGCGCGCCGCGCAGACTCTCCCTCCCCAGGACCCTCCCTCTTGCTCCTCCGCCACCCAGGCCGTCCACCCAAATGGCAGCACCATTCCTAGAAACGAAGAACACCGTGCACTCAACAGCCACCAAAGCAAGGCCTCGGCTGACCCCACCTCCGCTGCAGCAGAGCCCTCCCGCATCTGCAGCTTAGTCAGCGTGGCTGGGGGCCTGCCCCATGGGGGCCGGCCTGGATGTCAGGGGCGCGGGGCAGGGCGGGTGCTGGGGGTGGTGGTAGACAGCAGGCAGCACGGAGAACTGGCAGCCTGGTGCTGGAACTCTAGAGGTGACCATGGCCCCCTGCCTTCCAGCATGGATGCAGATCTCCTGGGCCCAAGTGAGGCCTGGGACCCCCGCAGTGCACTCACCCCTGTCACACTGTAGCCTTGGAACACCCAGGACCTGTCCTCGTTGGTGGCACAGCAGAGGGCAGCGACGCCATGGCCAACGGCACAGATGGGCTCTGAAAGCAGTGGGCAGGGCAAGCCTGAGGCCCTGGACACCTGCCCAGGCCTCCTGCCCTCTCCCAACCCTGCCATGCAGAGCTCCTGGAGGCCGCTGCCCCCTCGCTCCCCTTCCCACACCACCCTCCCCTGCCGGAAACACGAGGGCTGTGCTTCAGCTGCTTCCAAGCTTGGTTCAGAGCCAGTCTCCTCATGTCTTGGTGGCCAAGAACCAGATCCAAGGAGTCACGAGGGCGCTCAGGTCCATTCGGCAAAGCCGGGAGGGCTCCACACCACCGCCCTTCCTCCCGTCCCTCTGGAGACGGTGCCCGGTCCTGCTGAGCCGTCACCCTGGCTCCGAGCCTTCCTCCCAGAAGGCAGCCTGGCACAAGTGTGTTCCCACGACTGAGGTGGCCGAGAACAATCACTGCCTGTCCAGACCACGCTGGGAACAGGAGGCCTTGTTCCCACCAACAAAGGACACTGTGTAGAGCCCCCAGGTTTCCTTCTGTTGGTCCCTAACGAGTGTCCCGCTCCTGTCCCATCGACAGGCCCATCACAGCTCAATGCCAGGCCAGGGCGAGAGGCCATGTCTCCACAGAGCAGCCTTCCTCCCAGCCCCCTGGCTGGCCTCAAACCTGGAACCCCACCAGGAACAAAGCCAGCATCCTGCCTGCCCGCCTCGGAGGAGCCCGGGGTGGGCGGGGGAGCACGCACAGCCACCAGTCCCAGCAGGGGACAGGCAGAGGGCCCCCAGGGATGGCGACCTGAGGGGCACAAAGTCAGGGGGAGGAGGAGCGGGGGGAGGGGTGGCCCACTCTCGTGTGTGTGGATGGCCAAGCAAGCTTGTCTACTCACTGGTCAGAATCACAGGCTCCTCACATGGGCCCCGTCTGGCTTCTAAAATGACCTGGCGCTTCCAGCTCTGAACCCTGCTCTCCACAGCGGCCACTGCCCCCAGCCCTCACTCCTCACCCTGCCGTCTTCCTCCCTCTCCTCCCTGTGGATGGAGCCCCATTTCTCATGACTCTGCAGACCCCTCACCCCCAGTCCCAGGGGTCACCTACTGCTCTCAGAGCGGAAGTGCTGCAGGATGCGGGCCAGGGACCCACTGCTGGCCAGGTCGGACAGGGCGCCAGGACAGCTGGGAATCAGGAGCGCATGGTATCGGGCACCTGCAGGGAGACACAGGCCAGGGAGTCACAGAGAGCGGGGTTGCCAGTGGGACCAGGCCCTCCACAGGGATCAGCCTGGCTCCTCTGTGCTCCCACCGTCAGCTGCCATCATCTGTCACTCTCCCTACACGGGCTAAGTCTCCCAAGGCCCGGCCACCACTCCCCACCATCTCATATCTCCATGTGCCTGCCGCCTCTCCCCAATAGATGGAGTTTGGGAATCCTAGGCCCAGGAGGCGGGACTGGAGGCTGCCCTGGATGGTTGCAGCACTTTGCGGCAGGCCCCAGTGCTTCAGTAGCAGAGCAAGGGGGCGCTCTGGAAGCTACAAGCCCACCTGGAACCCCACACACCCCACCCTCCAAGTGCTCGGGTGCCCCACAGCTCCTCACCATCAATGGACTCGAGCTTGGCGGGGCTGGCATAGGCCTTGAGGCGAAAGTCCTGCACCCACCGCGCGTTGCTCTCGTTCACGTCCACAAAGTCCATGGTTTTCCCCTGCGGGAGCCCAGAAACCAAGGATCAGCAGTGGACACCCGTTGGATCACAGGGACTGGAGGAAACATGGATGAGGGCTGAGACAGACAGCAGTCCCTCGGGGACACAGGCATGGACAGCGCAGCCCCCTCCCGGGCCTCACCACACCGGACCCCCACCTGCCCCACAGTCTCCTGCTATAAGGGGCAGCAGCTGTCCCACCTACCATGGGGGTGATGCTGGAAACATGCAAGGGGCCAACATATAATGCATCATTGCTATGACCCCAGGTCCCACACCATCAGGAGGTTGAGAACTCTTCCTGGTAGAATCTGAGCCATCCTTGCTTTCACATGTAGAGACACCAACCCACAACACATGGTCTCCCCTTCGCCACGGGTGGGACCAGAGCCTGATGATGCCACTGGGGTCCCGGCCCCTGGCACAGCGCAGCTCCTGGGGTCACACCAACCTCAGGCTCCCTGCTCCTCCCAGAGAACAAGAGCACTCTCCTGACCTCACTCCCAGAAAGGTAGGGACAGCATGCATCTGGCTGGAGAACGGGTGGCCGGACTCACCCCAGGGGTGGCCACCTGCAGGTTGAAGGCAGCGCTGGCCAGCGTGAAGCAGTGGAGGAAGGACTGGGCCGACACACCTGCAAGAAGGGGACATCCCTGGTGGGTACAGGGCGAGACGGCCCCACTCCTGCCCTGAGCAGGTGGGAGGCTGCCCAGACACCAGGGCTTCTCCTGGTCCCAGAACCACCCCAAGGAGCAGCCCCTCCCCCCACCTCACAAGGGCCCACCTCTCACAGCCCTGGCCCACTAGCCCCTTCATCCCCAGAGTGGGCTCTCTCCCCAGCCTGGCCACTAGAGGCCTCTCCAGAAGGCAAACCCACAGTGCCCTTCCCTCACACAGCTGTCTGCTCACCAAACCACCAGGGAGGGGCGGCAGTGAGTAAGGCCTGTGCCCACAGAGGTGGGGCTGCTGCTGTCAGCAGCAGCATGGGGGAATCCTGACCCCTCCCCACAGGCCAAGACACTGCCTGCCCTGGCCCAAAGACATGTGGCCGCTTTCATCACAAGGGCTCCGGCATCCGGAACCCATGCCCTACACTGCTGCTAGCTCTCTGTCCACACCCCGTAGGAAGGCTCCTGGCTGCTGGAGGCTGTGGGACATCTATTTCTAAATGGGCTTGGTCAGTGTTTCTCATTTTTATTTTAATCTTGACACCCAATCTCTAAATCTCATTTTCATCTTTATTCACTCTAACGAATTAACATATATTCATCATAAAGAGTTCACGTGTTTAGCAGTCTCCCCAAATCATCTGCCAGACTTTGCCCAATTCTGCCCTCCCAGCTCCTCAACCCTCACTCCCCCAAGCCCTACCTGCTGCAGCCCAGGGCCCACCTGTCCTGCCCACAGAGCCTAGTGGCCTTTTCAGAGCTGTGCCCCGACTCCATGTCCTCAACAACCCCTCCCTGTGGTACAAACCGGTGCGATCCCTCCTCACTCTTACCCAGTTCCAACCATCCACCTTTGGAGGTGACCCACAACCTCCTCTCCAGGACTGAACCCCACTCTCAATGGCTCCTCCCACCCTAGACCTCCGCATGAGGGGAGTGGCAGGGACCCGGCTCCTCCTACCCTCCTTCTAGAAACCCACTCAGGGCTCCTGGGGCTGAGCCCCCCGTGACCTCATCACCCTCAGTCCTCTCTCCCTCGTCCACCTGGGCAGCTACAGAGCCAGACCCCGGGCCCCAACCCGGGCCCTCCACCTCCCCGAGATGCGACCTTGAGGTCATCCCTTCCCTCGGCGAGAGAGGAAGCACAGGGGAGGACCTGGCAAGTGCTCAGAGCAGCGCCGGGCGCCCTCCGGGTCCCTGCACGCCCCCGTCCCACCAGGACCGTCCCTTCTCCAACCCCTCGGCCTCCTGGGGGTGTGCGAGGCCGGGCGGCGGAACGATGGGCACAGAGGACACGCTCGTGACCTGCCGCTCAGCAGGGCCCCGCACCCCCGGGCCTTCCGGCCCCGCGTCCTCGACACACCCGCCCCGGGCCCCTGGGGCAGCGGGCCTGGCGCACGGAGGCCCCCGGCTGCCCGGCTCCTTCTGCCCGGGCTGGCCACCGCTGCGCGCTCGCAGGCCGCGCCCGGGCCCGTGCCCCCGCGGCTGCCGGACCACACGCTCGGAGCGGCCGGGCCCTTCCCAGGAGGGCTCTACTCCCTCCCGAGCACGCGTGCGCGGGGCCTCACCCTCGGCGGCGCCGCTGGCCACCAGCAGGCAGGCGGGCCTGCTCGAGAGCCGCTCGGACGCCATGGGCTAGGCGGTGGCCGGGGCGGACTGCGCGTGCGCGGAGCGTGCCTGCGCGCGTGCGTGAGCCCGCAGCCGGAACTCACTGTCACGTGCCGCAGCGGCCCGGGGACCGAGCCGCGAGTCGCGCTGGGCGCATGCTCCCCGCCTCCTCCCGCCGGACTCCCTCCCTTTCCCTCCTCCCGCTGGACCCCGCCCTCTCCCTCCGGGCGAGCATCCGGGTCCGGGTCCAGGTCCGGGTCCGCCCTGCGCCCTGAGGCCTGGGCCGTCCGAGCTCCGGGGGCTTGCAGAGGGGATCTGGGCTGGGCCGCAGGGGACAGGAGACAGCCCCGAGGGTCTTCCCGGGCCGGAAGCCTCAGCAGCCCTGAGCAAACCCCCGCCCCGGCGCTTTTCGCGCTCAGGACCACAGTTCCTTCCCTTTCCCTTGTCCCTTATTGGCGCAGGGCAGTGACCCCCGTGGACGAGGGTCCCTCCCCATAGACAAAGGTCCCCCCCACCCCTCCCCTGTAGACGAAGTTCCCCTGCCCCATAGATTCAGGTATTTAGCATTCGATCACTGAGAGCCACCTGTGTCACCCTCCGAGCTGACGCTCGGGACACAGCATGGAATGCTAGGGCAAAGCAACCTGCCCAGTAGGGCTGGTGTCCTGGGGATGAGGGCTGGACCGTGGGTTCATAGAAGGTCACTGCACAGTTTGTTAGAGGGTGAGAAGGGCAGGGGAGGCTGGAGGCGGGAGCTCAGATGGAGATGATGGGGGCCACATCTCGGCAGCGAAGGCTGCAGCTCCAGGCAGGGCACTTTGGTGCCTGCAGCACTGGGTCCCTGTGAGGGTCGGGGTGGGAGCCCAGAGACCAGGGAGGGGTCTACAGGCATCCGTGGAGGTGGGGGTGGATGGGTTCCACCTCAACCAGCATGGTTGAAGAGAGACAGAAGTAGTGAGGTCACTGGGTTCACCTGAGCCCCTGGGAGAATGGGGTGTCCTTCCTGAGGTGAGGGTGCTTTGGGGGTGCTGAGTTGGTAAGGGAATCAAGGGTGCCCTTTGGCCAGGCTGCATTTGAAGCAGCTTTTCCAGACTGGAGGAGGCAGTCGGTGGGGGGTGTACAAGTGGATCATCAGCAGATTGGGGAGCGCTCCCTAAAGCCTGGGCTGGGGAGAAGGGAGGCTCCCCCCTTGCCCTCCACAGTCCGCCTCCAGGACTCCCTGCTGCCAGTGTGGAGGGGCCACAACAGGGTTCCCTCAAGGTCCTGCCAGCCTCTGCACTGATCGGGGAAACCTTTGTCATGGGTGGGAACTGCCCAAGTGGGCGAGTATAGGCCGAGGCACTGCCCCTGGGCACCCTCTGCCTCCACAACCACTGGCTCTGCCCTCTGCCCAGCCCAGCCCAGCTCCACACCCCAGGCCCTGACCACCAGCTACACAGTGAGGAGCACCCTGCCCTCACCCACTGCGAGGCCCTCCCCCCACCCCAGGTGAAGCAGAAGCTGGGGGCTCCTGGCACTAGCGGGGCCTGGGGACAGGGGACAGGAGCCTGGAGCCTGCATTGGGTGCACTGGGGAGATCAGATGGAGACCCACAGCCCTGAGGTCAGACCACAGGCTGGGCCTGTGAGTGGCCTAGCCACTCAGAGCTTTCTGGATCTAGGGAGGGGGTGTCTGTACCCCCTATGCACATCCTTGAGTGTCATACCCAGGAGCTGGAGGAGCCAGCGTGGAGCAGGAGCCATGAGGTCCCCCTGCTGGCCCAGCCCCACCTGCACTACCCCAGGGTGTCCCTAAGGCACCAGAGCCGGCTGAACCGGCCACAGGTGCAGGAGGGAAGACCGGTGGGGAAAGAGCTGAGTCTGCAGGAGCCTGCCACCGCCTCCTCCTTGAGCACAGGGACTCATTAGCTGAGTGGTTTGTCTCTAAAGAAGAGGATGCCCTGGCCAAGACGCTGTGTGGTGGGGTTGGTGTGTGCGTGCACATGTGAGCGTGCCCCTGTGCTCACAGGCAGTGTGCATCCTAGTGTACACTTGGGACTTCGCAGGATGCCTGCCAGATGGGCCCACACAGCCAAGCAGGGGGAACAGACCCCCGAGCCCAGGTCCCTTGCATGCACATAATCTCAGGTCCAGGTCTCACATGTGCACATGACCCCAGCCTCAATCCAGGCCATGTGTGTGTGAGTGACCCCATTCCACTGCAGTGCACTTGGGCATGTCATCAGCTCCCGACGTGGGTAAGCCTGTGGGGGTACAGGTCCCCCATGGTATTTGGAGTTGGAGTGGGCATCCTGCACAGGGGCAGGTGGCATGGCGCCTCGCCAACCAGAAGCCTCGTCCCAGGTCTGGCGGTTGCCTCCCTCTCTCTGTCTGCCCTGTGAACAGTAAGGTAAGGACACAGACAAGATGACCCGTGAGGCCCTGTCATGGTGACTGGGGTGAGCCTGAGATGAGGTGCCCCCGCGGGTGGGCTTGTGGTCGGTTGCTGTCCCACCGCTGGGCAGCAGCCCCCAACCCTTGCACCCACCCAATCATGCTGGCTCATCTGCCCCCTTCCTGAGTGGGTTCCCATTCCAGTGAGTTGGCCCCTGCCCCCCACATCCCTTACCCCCAAGTGAGGACAGGATGCTACTCAGGCCCTGCCTCAGGGCCGACGTCAGGGTGAGGCGACAGTGCACCCCTGGGCATGACGGGGGCTGCTGGGGGAGGGGCGCGGCCGGCAGGGAGCCCCTCCTCCCGGGGCTGAGCACAGGAGGCCTCAAGGGGCCAGACAGGCCTGCAGCCAGCCTCCCGGGCCTGGGTGACTGTCTCCTCGGAAGGGTCCAGGCCTGGGGGAAGGGCCTCCCCCTCCAGGGCCCCATCTAGGGGTACCCCTTCCCCATCCTGCCGAGCCCCCTCCCAGGGCCCTTGTCCAGGGGTCCAGGGTCATAACTGAGGTCCTGAGGTGTGGGGCTGGCCTGCCTCCCCCTGGGCGTGCGGTTCTGGAGCATCCTCCAGGTGTTGTCCAGGTGCCTCAGCATCTGACAGAGTGCCCAGGAGGGGCGGGCAAAGATGGAGGAAGGCTTGGGGGCTGAGCACAGGGGCCCTGCTGGAAGGGGTCGTGCCCTTGAACCTGGGGTTTGCTTTTGTTTAGAGACCCTGGGACACAAGGTGTGTGTGTGTCACAGGACACATTGTCACGCACCAATTAAAAGCTTAAGTTTCATTCTTGTCTCTGGAACTTGCTTGCACTTGGGGCCACGGATGAGTAGGGGGGCGTTCCTGGGGGACTCTCTGCCCTGCCCTGTGAAGCTGGCCAATGCCTCTGGCCCTCTCACCCCTGCTTCCTTCCTTGGCAACTTCCTCCTTTTTGGAGCACACCTGAGCCTTTCCCTGGGTGTCTCAGCACTTGCTACTCCTCCGTCTGAAATGCAGGAGCTCTTCTCTGCCTACCAAACTCCTAACCATACCTGAAAGCCCATGGATGACCGGGATACTCTCTGCCCAGTACTCCCTTTCTAAGAACACCCCCGACACCACAGAGCTGCCCTGAGTGCCTTTCTGTTAGCTCAGCGTCGCCACTGGGTGGACCTCAGGTTTGGGGACTGGGGCTCTCTCCCAGGGTGGGCATGTCATGGGCAGCCCTGCTGTCTAGGCAGCCTGCGGGGTGGCCCATGTCCCAGGTCCCAGATGCATCCTTCTTCCTAGCTTGGCTCAGGCCCTTCAGCTCCGGGTTCTCCTTTGGCTGAGGCCAGGCTGGTAGAGTCTGGAGACTAGGACCGCAAGAACCCGTGAGTTACGCAGACCCTGAACTGCAAAGTGGAGGGTGGCAGGTGACAGCCCAGAAGTATGGGGCTGCTGGGACCAGGGCAGTGGGCTTGGGTAGGAGCCCCCCTACCTCGAGTCGGGCATCAGCACTGTGAAAGGGTGGGAGCAGCCACCTCTGCTCCCACTGTCTGCCCCCTAGACCAGCAAGGCCAGCTGGAAGATGCCAGACAGGTGGGCAGGTGGTGGCGTTTTGTGGCCTGTAGTAGGGTGATTGACAAGGAGACAGGCTCCGTCCTGAGCTGGCCTGTCCCGATGCCCAGGCCATAAGGACAGGGAGCAGTGGGTGGGTCCAGAGGAAGGCCTGAACGGGGTTCCCCTCAAACACACCTCTGGGTACCACTGGGCTGGAAGGGGGTGGGGGCCGACTGCTGACTTACTCCAGCCGTTGTTCCCACGCGCCAGGGGTGGGTCCCAGGGATGCCACCTCAGCACTTTCTTTGACAGTACAAGGCGTAAGCTTTTCTCCTGCCAGGACAGTTTCCCCCACAGCACGGCCCCTCACTCTGCTCAGCAACCCTCTGACAGTCAGCTCCTCCTAGGCCAGACACCAGATGGAGAGGTCCAGGCACACCAGGACTGGCACTGGGACATGGGGAGCCTCTGCCTGCCTGGCCCTGGGACCAGGTGTGAGGTCAGGGAGCTGCAGGGCCAGGGGGCCACTGAAGACCCAGGAGTCAGAGAGGCTGGACCCACAGCAGCTGGGGTGAGGGTCTGGAGCAGTGAGTTGCCCACCAGCTCTGCCCTCCCACAGGCCTTGGTCACCGTATCTGGGGAGGGCAGGTCCTGAGGCACTGGCCAGCTCTACCCGAGTCACACCAGGAATGCATTCCAGGGCAGGGGCCTCAGAGAGGAGTTGCACACTCTTGGGGGAGGGGAGGGGTGCTAGAGAGGACCCCCATACCCTCTGCAGCCTAGTAACATGAGCACTGGAGCCCTGGGAGCCCATGTGTGACATGACACATCACGATGGACAGGGATGGATGGCCTAAGACGCTGGTGCAAGTGCTCAGAAAGGAAAGGCTGAGGGCTGAGGGCTCAGGGAGGCAGCCCCGAGGAGGAGCAGGACCTCCTTCGGACAGAGCTCGGCCTATGGACACCTCTGTCCTGGGAGGTGCTGCTGCCACCTACATTTCCTGTTTTCCAGATGTCCTTGTAAGTTTGATTTGCATTTACACTGTGTACTTTTTTTTTTCTTCGTGAAGAAGATCACCCCTGAGCTAACATCTGTTGCCAATCTTCCTCTTTTTGGTTGAGGAAGATTGTCCCTAAGCTAACATCTGTGCCAGTCTTCCTCTATTTTGTATGTGGGACGCCACAACAGCATGGCTTGATGAGCAGTGTGTAGGTCCATGCCTGGGATCTGAACCTGCAACCCCGGGCCGCTGAAGCGGAGCGTGTGAACTCAACCACTGTGCCACTGGGCTGGCCCCAGGTGTGTAGTTTTTCTGCACGGAATCCCTTTGATACCTGGTATTTTGTTTAGACCTTAAAAGTAGTTCTATAGTTAAAATAATTTAAAGCAGCCCTAGGCATCCCCAAGAAGGTTTATCATTTTGGAAGAGTCCCTACGTTACTAGGTTTAGGACACGATTGTTCAGAACCTGCCACCGGGCCCCAGGGACCTCAGCTGACCAACTCTAACATTCCAGGGGAGGGGACGCCAGTCACTGAGCATGTGTGGGAGAGTCAAAGAGAAGAAACAGGACATCATTACAAGATGATTCGACAGCTGCATTCATGACAGCATGGCCTCCGGCAGTGCGGGCAGACCCCGGCTCAGAACAGGCCCTGGCTGTGCCGGGAGGTGAGAATGAGAGATGGGTCCCCAGAGGGGACCATCCGCTTCCCGATACTGGGCAACGAGGTCTGCTTGACGGCACAGAAATGACATCAGAGCTCCCACTTCCTCCACACACAAAACCTCGCCAGACGGATTCAAGGCCTGCAGGTGCGTCACTGCCGAGACTATGAGACGAGTACAAGCGAGAAGCTCCTTCTCCCTGAGATTCCGAGAGCTCGTGTGGGAACAGGGAGGGGGGTCACAGGTGATCAGCGAGGACTGTAGAACTTCTGTCCCCAGGAAGCAGAGTGAGAGGCAAGCCAGCCACTGAGTGGAGATATCGGCAATGTGGCAAAGGGTTAGGATGCACAACACATGCAGAAATCCTCCCAAGAAAGGAGAAGAAGGCATCGCACCCCACGGAAAAATGGACAAATAGCACCATGGGAAAAATCACAAAAGGTGAGACCTAGACGGCCAAGAACCATGTGAAAAGGAGCACGTCGGATCCGTGCGAGTTCAGAAGCCAGTTTGCCCTGCCTGGACTGGGAAAATCTCGAGTGCTTCATCCCAGCCTGTGTCGCCAGGGTGAGCGGAGCCGTGGGTCTCACAGCCAACCCGTGGGCGCAAGATGGAGCAGCGGAGTTTACAACGCACACGCTGTGGAGGCGGCAGTCCCACCTCTGGGACCACATCCAGGAGAGGTGAGAGCAGGCGCCCCAGAGATGTGCGCACACCGGTGTTCAGAGCAGCGTGACTCACAACAGAGAACAGGTGGGCGCAACCCACGTGCCCATCAACAGACAAACGGATACACAAACTGAGGTCCACCCACACAATGGAATATTACTCAGCCTTAAAAAGGAAGGAAATTCTGACACGTGCTACCACAAGGATGGACGTGGAGGCTGTGATGCTCAGTGAAACAAGCCAGTCACTTGTACCATTCCTCTCACAGGAGGTCCCTACAGTCAAATTCATAGAGACAGAAAGCAAAATGGTGGGCGCCAGGGGCTGGGGCATGGGACGGGGAGTGAGTGTTTAATGGGGACAGAATTTCAGTTTGGGAAGATGGAAAATTCTGGAGACGGATGGTGGCGATGCCTGAAGAACAACGTGAATGTGTTTCACGCCACTGAACTGTGCACCTAAAAGATTAAGATAAAATGGTAAATCTTATGTGATATCTATTTTCCCATAGTAAAACACACAAAAGAAAGACGTGCACACGTTCGCACACACCCCAGAGAGACAGGGCACCGGCAGTGTTGCAAGGATTTCGTCACTCCTTTGTCTAAAGTGACAAAAATTTTGAAACAACCTAAATATCCTTTAATAGGGAATTGAGAAATAAAATGAGGAAACATCACAGGTGGAGTATCACATCATCAAAAGAACCGAGTCCCAGGGGCCGACCCAGTGGCGTAGTGGTTAAGTTCACGTGGTCTTTTTCAGTGGCCTGGGGTTCGCAGGTTCAGATCCTGGGTGCAGACCTACACGCTGCTCATCAAGCCATGCTGTGGTAGGTGTCCCACATATAAAATAGAGGAAGACTGGCACAGATGTTAGCTCAGGGCCAATCTTCCTCACTAAAAAGAAAATGAAAGAACCAAATCCCAGACTTCCAGTTGAAGATGACAGAGCCCACCCTTACAGTCACCTCTGCTCTCTCCCCAAGCCCCCTAAAGTGTCAGAAGGACGGGCAAGCCATGGAGTAGAGAGAATGGGAGAGGGGACTGGACAGCAGGAGAGAGTGGCGAGTGACCCTGAAGCGCCTGAGTGGCGGGCCTGGCACCTGGTGGGGCAGGCGGACCGGAAGCTGGAGGTGTGGGAAAAGGCTGGGCCACTGCTCGGCAGGCCCTCCCCTCGGTGTGGGGGTCTCAGGACCCGTGGCCCCAGGGCAGGTGGCCTCCTGGACTCAGAGGTGCTGCAGGATGGAAGGAGGGGCGGGGCAGGGCCGAAGGTCTGTTGGTCTGTTTAGGATGTTTCACCCCAAGGAAGCTCTCGGGACTCGTCTGCCTGAGATGTGGGCACAGGGAGGGGGCAGGCCACCCTGGGAGGGGGTGTGCCAGGAAAAGAAGGGACAGACGTGCCCCCCATGCCAGCTGGAAGAAGGCCAGGGGAGGGGGCCTGGGTAACCAAGCGCTTCTGGGGCCCAGTGGGGCCTTGTTTCCCCAGCCTGCGCCCTGACAGCCTCACCCACAGCTGGGGTCACATGCAGGCCTGGCCAGTTGGACACCTGGTGAGAGTGGGCTCAGGGAGTGTGGCCAGGAGGTGATGAGAGGAGGAAACCCCCTCCTTGCAGCTTCTATGCGCTCCCTCCCTGCAGGGATGGAGAGCTCACTGCAGAGAGGGGTGGAGAAAAGTCCCCACTGCTGGAGAGGTCAGCCTGAGGGCCAGGTCCCCCTCCCACTCCCGCATCCTCCCTGGCCACTCCCACTCCCAGCTCTGCCCTGTGCACTGTGGCTGGCAGCCGGGGTCCGAGGCCAGGTCCTGCAGCCCCTGGGTGTCCATCTGGGGTCAGGGCTGGCAGGAAGGGCTGCCTGTGTCTGTCTGGGATGGAGAAGGGCCCCGGCAGGGCTGTAGGTAGAGTCCCTCAGGATCAAGCGCATGAAGGTGGCAGGAGGGGCTGCTGAGGGGCACCTGGCACTCCCTACCCCGCCCTGGAAAGCCTGCAGTGTGGATATGTGACCCCCACGTCCCAAAGGCAAGCCCCCAACTCTCCCGACCGTGTGCAGGTGAGGACGCAGCTCAGCCTTAGACAATAACGTTTATTTCAGACTCAGCCTCCACTCAGGCCCAGGGTTCCAGTAGGCAGCTGGCCAGGCGAGGGCACGTCAGGCTCACACAGAGTCCACCACCACCCTCCAGAGCCTGCCCGCGGCCAGCACCACAGACCAACCTAGGACCAGATGCCCTAAGGACGGCACAGCACAGTCTCCCTGCAGGTGCATCGAGGCAGTGGACATGGGTGACGGTCACCCACCAAGCGGTTCTACTCTACCTGTTATTGCATTTATACGCTTGTTAGACTCAAAGGACGCGGGGTGAGGCAGGTGGGGTCGTCTTGGGGGCTGGGCAGGCATGGCTGCTGGGCAGGTCCTCCATATGTCCCGCCTCCCTGCCAGGCTCTCAGCTGCCCCAGGACAATTGCCGCAGGATGGGGAGGGGGCTCAGGGCAGGAAGGGTGGTAGCCCAGCCTCAGGGGCTCCCCTGGGTCACTAGCCAGAAGGTGAACTGCAGGAGGCCCTCCCCGGACCGAGACTGGCCTTTGGACTCTCTGTCTACCCAGCCAGGGCTCCGGCGACGAGCGGAGGTGGCACGGAAGCTGCGCCAATGTGACTGCTTGCCTCAGGTCAGCCCCACTGTATCAGGCCACCCAGATGGACCCCCACCTGCCAGCAAAGAGCAGAAATCAAGAGTGAAAGAGGCACACCCTTTAATGTCCCCATGGGGGAGCCCAGGTCAGAGCCCAACCCGGACCCCTGCCCTCCCTGGGGGCTCCTGCTCTGGGGACTGGTCAAGACGCTGCAGCCAGGAAGCTCACAGGACCACTGGGAACTCTCGGGACAGGCTGGCACACGTGAGTGTGACTGCTGTGGACACACCTGCCTGCAGGCGGGCAGGTGGGCCACACTCAGAGTCCACTCCTTCCACTGCCCCGGGGGCCCTGGCCCAGGCTGAGCCCCCCACTGAGGTCAGAGCTCTGCCCGTGCTGCTGGGTAAACTGGAGCCTGGGCTCCTTCTGCCTCAGAAGGCAGGAGGGGGAAGCGCCGGGGGCCAGCCAAGGGGGCTTGGTTTCCACTGCCGGGGGCCCTGTCCGTGTCTCTCTCCCTCTGCGTGTGTGTGGGGGATATATGTATACCTATTATGCATGTACGTATGTATAGATAGCTGTGTGTGAAACAGGCATGCACTAATTCCCGAGGTCTGTACAGGAAGTGGCTGTGCCCCCGACTGGGCACCAGCTATCATTTTTTCCGGGTCAGGAAGGCCACACCAAGAATCAGGGCTGCGGCTGCCACAGCCATCCCCCCAGCCACCAGCAGAGGGGTCAAGTTCTCGAATGGGCAGCGGCCTCGGCCCCCTGGACCCCCGCTGGGGGCCTCGTCCTCCTCGGCCCCATCCCCAGGGCCCTTGGGCTCGGGGGTTGCATCGGGGCTGCTGGGGGCCACGGGGGCCGGCTTCAGGTTGCTGTGGTTGTTGAGAAGGGCAGGGTCAGCCTTGGCTGGGGTCTTCTTGGCAGGAGGCGGGGTGGGGGCCTTTGGTGGCTCCTGCTTCTCCACTTGGGCCTCCTTCTTTCCTGGCTTAGCTGAAGGGGCTTTCCCGTCTGCAGCTGGGGGGGCTCTGGCTTCAGCAGCGGCCTGGGGTGCCTTGGTGTCGGGCTTGGGGCTGCTGGCCGACTTCCCTCTGGACTCCATGGTGGGCAGTGCTGGCAGGCTGTGTGTAGGCGTGCGTGGACAGGCAGGTGGCTGGACCACAGCGGCTCAGGACAGCTCACCCCTGGGCATTATATGGGCCTGGAGGGAGACACAATGAGGCTATGGCAAAGGACTCTTCCATCCTGTCCAGGCCCCGCCTTGTCCCCATAGAGATCCTGCCCAGTTCTCTGCAGCCCCTCAGGAGCTGCAGCTCGGGACCCTCCTTGTCCAGGGCCTGGCCTCCATCTATCCCCTACTGCTCCCTGACAAGCCCTTCCAGCCACACAGGCAGAGGCTAAGGGCTGGGGGTGCGTGATGAGACCAGCCAGAGGCCTCAGTTTCCTCATCTGTGAAATGGTCTTGCCCACACATGTGCTGTGTCCACTACTCCAGCGCGGGGTAGGAAAGCCCTGAGAAGGGTGTGTGGTGAGGAGAGGTGGACAGCAGCCACGGTAGGCCTGGGCAGAACCTTCTCAGGAAGGGGACTGGGTCCAAGTGGAGGGGGCAGGGCAGAGCAAGAACCTGGGATCTGCGCTCGCAGGTGCTGCTGGGGTGGGAGTAGGCCCGAGGCTGCTAGAACCGGATGCAACAAACCTGAAGTGTCTCCCCAGGGACTGGAGAAGCCAGGCGGGCAGTGACAGGCCTATGCCTCCCGGCAGGCCATCTACCCCTCCCAGCCCCTGGGCCCACCCCTGGACCCGCCTCACCTGCTCCAGCTCAAGGGCAAGGAGTCCTTCCTGGACCTGAGGCTGCGCCTGCCTCTGGGGTCAGAGGGGGTCCCTGGCATGAGCCTGGAGTGGGCACACGCTGTGTTGGTCACCTCAGTATCCCCGAATCTGGGCCAGGGCAGAAGATGAGGGCCCTGGGCTGTAGAAAAGGTGGGGCCCAGATCCTCAATGTCCAGGGGTGGGGGGAGGGGACTGGGCGCCTGAGTCGTCCTTCTCTGAAGACCTAGACACACCTGTCTGCCTCTCCCCATCCCCTACGCTGCAGAACCCCACTCCCACCCACAAGGAGAGGGAGCCCCATTGGGAGGCGGCAGCTCGTGTTTCCCACTCTGGCCAGACACACTAACCACACCGAAGGTCGCCTGAAGGTCACAGCATGATGGGGTGTCCTGGGGAGAGGCCTAGCTGCTGCCACCCTTCCCAGGAAGCTGCAACAGCCCCTCACCCGGAGCTGTTCTGGAGGGGTACCCAGCTGCCAGGTGTCAAGATGGCAAAGGGCAGGTGGTCTGCTCTGCCCGCAGACCCTCAGTTATTTTGGGCCCATGCTGACGTCAGCCGGCTGCCCCCTCCCCCTCCCCTGGCCGCTGTGCTGGAGAGAGCAAGGGGCTGGCGCGCCCCGTGACCTTCAAAGCGGGCACTGGGCTTTGCTCCGCGGGGGACCCAGTGCCCCCCAACTCCCCCCACCCCAGGCCCAGGTCTCGGAGCCCCCGCTGCCTTACGCTGCTGCTCCTGGCGCTCCCACCTCGGTGCTGGGCGCTCTCCGCGGGTCCTCGGCGGGAGGCTGCAGATGCAAGGACTGGGAGTTTCCCACAATGCACTGTTCCCGGCGCAGGAAGGGGGAGGGGGCCGCATCAGCGCCGGCTCCGCCCGCTGTCACCGCGGCGCCCGGACTGGCCGGCCGGGAACTCTGAGGCCCCGGAACCCGGTTCCGTTTTTGATCCCAAGGGCAGCTTAGGGTCAGGGAGGCGAGGGGCTGAGGCTGCCCATCCTGCACCCCCAACCCAGACCGCGCAGGAGTCAGGATGTCAGAAGGCAATTGCGCCAGCACCCCCTTCAAGCCAAGGTGCTGGGGAGCGACCCAGGTCTGCAGGGGGAGGGGAGCTGATTAAGAGAAGAGGGGACTGCCCTCCCCCCCAAGAGTCTCAGAGAGGAGGCATCTACTTAGAATATTTATTTATCTTCTTACATGACAAGACACAAAAAGTTACAACTTCTTAAAACTCTTCAAAAGAAAAAATAGAATTCTGTAAGCAGCAGCAGCAGCTTCCAAGGTACAGATGTGGTGGGAGAGGGCAGCTCCCAGCAACAACCTCGAACTAGTGGGGCCCAGGCCGGAGCCCCAGGTAGTGTCACTGGAAGGGGCCTCCACAGGGGCCGGGTTGGGGGACACAGCACCAGGTCAAGGTCAATCACCAACACAATCACGTGACCGGGGGCGGGGCAGGGCGGCCTGCCTCAATTCACAACGTCAGTGGGTCGGGGCTGGGAGGGCGGAGCTTTAGAGGGTGTGGTCCGGGGCCTCAAGCAGAGGCCCAGAGAGCAAGACCCGCCCTCCCAGGGCGGAGGGAGCTCCTGCCCCCCCCCCCCCCCCCCCGTAAAGCAGAGCAGGTGCCCTAGGCTCCATACTGGTCCTTATGTCTGCCCTCTGCTTGGCCAATCCTGGACGTGCGGTGGGGGTCCCAGAAGAGGGGCCAGGCAGGAGAAATAAATTTCTGGACGGGGTTAGCGGGGAACCTAGGGGGCACGAACCATACACACACACACTGCACACACATACGTTGCCTGGCCACGTGGGGGAGAGCAGCAGCCCCCCCACAGCCCCATCCCTGAGGGGCCAGGCCAGCTGAGGGCTGGTGGGCACAACCTGCTACCCACCACATTCGCACATGCACACACACCTCACATGCTCTGGGCCCCCAGCCTGGGGTGGGGACAGAGGGGCCCACCAGAAGGGATGCTGGGTCCCACAGTGGGGGGGTGCTTGCCCTGGGAGTCAGAATTCAGTGTGACCCCTGCCCGGGATTCCTGGCTCAATATGGGGGGCAGGAGACCCCGATCCTCCTGCAAGGCTGGCCGGGGTGGGGGGCAAAGTAGAGTTCTGGCCAAGGGCAAGAGCAGCAGCAGGGGGAGGCTGGACTGACGGACGGAGGGATGGACAGAACCACTTGTGCCTGGCAAGTTAATAAATAGGTTTGTGCGGGGTCCCCTTTGTGGACTAGGGGCCAAGCCTCGGGGACGAGAGCTGGTAGACTGGAGGGTAGGGTCCAGCTTGCCCAGCCCAGGCCTGGGGCCCCCAGCCCAGAGACCAGCTCTGTCCCTGGGGGTGTTCAGGCCAGGGTGGAGCTGGGGCAGGGCTGGTTCCGGGAATGTAAAGATTTCTGCGTTTTCTACATAAATAAGACATTGATCCCAGTAGTCGTGCAGGCAGGACCCCGTAGGGGCCTGTGTGTGCACCACTGTGTGGACCCCGTGCCCCTTCCTCTGCCCCCCCCCGCCCATGTCGGGGGGTTGGGGAGAGACTTTCTCTTGCTTGGTCCTGGGCTGGCCGCCCGGCTCCAGCCCCACTCTGGTCCCGCTCAGCTGTGGGCGTGGGGCGGCCCTGGGCTCAGGGCTGGGGGCGCTGCAGCAGCCCCATCAGGGTCTCGGCGATGCCCAGGAAGTAGACCACCTGAGCAATGCCGAACAGCGGGGCGATGACCAGCGCGCGACAGTAGGCGCCCTTCAGGAAGGCGGAGGGGCCCTCGTGCCGCAGGATCTTCCTGTGGGGAGATGGGGGTCAGGACTGGTGTCACCCCCGGCCCCGCCCCCTGGGGCCCACCCCCTGGGGCCTCACCCACCTGGTGCAGTCCAGGATCCCCGAGTAGGTGTCCTCGTTGACACCGCGCTGGAGCGACTGGAGCCGCGTCTTCACCACTGCGGGGGGGAGAGGGGTCAGCGTGGGGCCCCGTTCACATTCGACCCCACTCCCTCACAGCCCCCATCCCCAGCCTGGCGCACTGACCGTCACAGGGGTTGACGGCCACGGCCGCTGCGCTCCCGGCCACGCAGCCGGCCAGGAAGGACACATAGAAAGGAGACTTCTCCCCAGATGCCGGCTGGCCCAGCTGGTTCAGGTTAGCGAAGAGGGGAAAGTACACGATGGAGAAGGGGACGTCCCTGCAGAGGAGAGGCCGCAGTGACTGGCCGGTGCGGGGCGAGCGGGCACACCTTCCTCCTCCCGCCCTCCCTGTCTCTCCCACCTGAGCAGCGTGGCCCCCAGTCCCTTGTAGAGGCCGGCGATGCCGCGGGTCCGCAGCAGGTCCCGGGTCAGCTGCATGGCCGTGGGCCGGGGGGCAGCCGGAGTCTCCACCGAGGGCTGGGCACCCCCCTGGGCTGAGAGGTGGGCCTGGGCAGCCAGTATCTTCTTCTGGGCGGCTGGGGAGAAAGGGGACGGGCCTGTTGGCTCTCCCTCCCAGCAACAAAGAGGGGGCAGGGATCCATCTGTTGTCCCCACTCCGGCACTCTCTCCCTCAACACTCTCACCAATGCGTCCTGCATCCTGAAGCTGGATCTTCAGCATCTCCATGGGGGTGGTCACGATTACCTGGCAGGTGCCAGCTCCGCAGCCCGCCAGCATCTCCTTAAACAGGGTCAGCTTCTGCCTGTAGCGGAGAGGGTGGGGGCCGCGGAGAAGAGTCAGAGGGCCCTGCCACCCAGGGGCTGCGTGCTGCGTCTGGGTGTGAAGGGGGATGGGAGTGGTGGAGACAGATGCAGCTCTGTGAGGGTACAGAACCCCCCAGCGTCAGATACACCTCCAGGGAGCCCGGCAGACAGATGGCCCAGGGGCAGGGCCGGGGTAGGGCAGAGGGGCCATTCTCGAGCAGAAAGAAGTAGAGAAGTGTGTGTGGGGGTCCTCAAGTGCCCCAGGGGCTACCATTTCTGCCCCACCCTTTGGTGATGGGAAAAGCTGGTTGGTGCCCCCCAAATCTCAGCCTACACAGTGCAGCTGGCAGTGGCTTGGGGCCAAGGACCACTGAGGCCTGAGCACCACTGACTCAGCCATCTGCTTTACTCCACGTGGGGGCGGGAAGGAGGGAGGAGGATGATGGAGAAAGAAGGTAGAGAAGGAGGAGCAGGATGGAGGAAGAAGGTGGAGAAGGAGGAGGAGGAAGATGGAGAGAGGAGATGGAGGAGGAGGAGGAGGAGGAGGAGGAAGGGGAGGAGGGGGAGGAGGGGAGGAGGGGGCCCTGCAAGGTGAAGGTGAGGGCCTCAGGAGGGCACAGCCTCCGTCCTTTGCCTGCAGGCACAGAACCCTGCCCCCCAGCAGCCAGGCAGGCCCAAGCCCCTCACCCATCCTTGGAGAGGTGATAGCGGAAGAAGTCGTTAGCTGCCAGCTTGATGGCCTTCTCGGGGGTGACGAGAGTCAGGTTCACGGCGGCTCCTGGGGGCACACGGGGGACGGGGCGCGGGCTGGTCAGTGGCCCGGGCTGGGGAGGCCCTCAGCCAGCACTTGCCTCCCAGCTGGCAAAGCCCGACTCCAGTCGCTCCTTGGCTGCCTCCTCCTGCCCTCTCACCCACATTTGTGCCAGGCAGGGGCGGGCACCAGGCGGGCATGGGGCCGTGCCTCCTCCTCCAGGCACCCTGCCACCTTCCCGGGTGAGCCTCCCTGAGGAACACCTCCCCGGGGGACAGAAGGTGCTCGCGCTGGAGTGGGCACCGAGCAAGAGGACTCAGGAGTACGTGGCCGCGTCTGGCCTGCTGTGGGCCGGAGCCAGGCAGGCAGTGGCAGGCCCCCCTCCGCGGCCAGGGCTCGGGACCGCACGGCCTCTGGGCAGATCCAGGCTTGGGGATTGTCCGCTAAGCTGCTTTGCAGTAATGCCGCCGCCCCCTCCCAGCCTGCCAGCACAGATGGGGTCTCGCCTGTTCCAGAAGGCAGGGGAGGAGGCTGCAGCCACCGTGGTAGAGCCACATCGTGCGTGGCGAGGGGGTGCCAAGAACTGCCACTCCCCAGACGTCCTGCCCCTAGTGCAGGTGCAGCCAGCCCCCAGGGACACGTCCATGTGTCCACTTACACACCAGGCCAGGCGCTGCCCTGCCTTCCCACCTGCCTCCCAGCCAGCCCCCCTGGGGGACCCCTCTGAAGCTGCCGGAGGGTGCCACCCAGGCCTGCACGTCCGAGGGTTGAGCCTCACCACGGTACATGCCGAAGTAGCCCTCCGAGCGGATGGTCTTGATGAGGCAGTCAGACCTGCAGCCAAGGGGATGCCGGTGAGCTGGGGCCGCCTGCCCTCAGTTTCCCCTTTTGTTAAACAGGGTAGGGGGAAACCGGAGCCTGAGCCTCACCCTGCCCCCACACCACATGGCCCGACAACCGCCCTCCACCCCCATGCCGGGCACACTCACATGCTGGTGTACATGCGCTGGCCATTCTGCTGGTTCTGCAGCCTCGTCTTGGCCAGGTCAATGGGGAAGACGCAGGTGACCCCTATCAGCCCAGCGATGCCGCCATTGATGAGCTTGGCTGGCAGACTGTGTGGGAAGAGGGAGGGTCAGGACCGGCCTCCTCGGCCACAGGTCAGCGAGCAGGGTGAGGAAGGCATGGCTGCGCTCTGACCTGATCTGCTTATCAGCCATTTAACTCCAGCACACCGAGGTGGGAGCCCCGAGAGGATGCCAGGTGGGGGAGGTACTGCCGGAAGAGGGGGAGGAGGGCCAGTCCTCCGCTTCCAGGGGAATTTCAAAACCACCGCTTTGGTCCTAGAAGGAAGGACTGGAATCAGTGGGGGTGGGGCAGGCCACTCAGGTACACACGCACCAGAGGAACCCACTTCCCCCAAAGCCCCTCCCCAGGTCTTCTGCATGGGCACCCAGCCCCTCACCACCACCTAGCTGGGCCGTCAATATGTCCCAGGAGTGCAGCGTGGGAGGAGGTGTCCGCCATCCGGCCCCATCCCTGGGGCCACCCGGTTTCCCCTCATGTCCCCTCACGGCATCAGCGTTCTCCCAGCTGGCCTCTCACACGTTCACAAGCTCACGCTCCTGCTCAGCCTTTAAAGGGCCATGCGCCTCTGGGGGCAGTGGCGGCAATGAGCCAGTGAGGGCACCTGGACCTTGGACGGGCTGTGGCTACCCCCTATCCTTGAGCAGAGGCAGCTGGTGCCTGCCCTCTTCAGGATGGCGGTGGGAGTCTCCTCACAGGCTCCTCCCCGGCACCCCAGGATCCCCACCTGGGCTCAGCTCACAGCTGCCAGGTAGACAGCCACCACAGGCGCAGTCCCCTGCCTCCCACTCTCATGGTAGCACCATGCTGGACCCAGGGACATGCCCTCCCCTCAGAGAAGCACGTACTCCCCCACACCCAGTCCTGCGTCCCCCCGCCAGGAACTTCACTCCCAGACAGACAGACACACACACACAGGAGCTCAGCAGTCAGAACCTCTGGAAGCTTCAGGGGTGTGTGGGGCACAGGGGAGGGGGCCAGCAGACCTTCTGAGGCTCCCTGTGGTTGGTCCCCGCACCCACACTACGGGTGGGGGTAGAAGGCGCCCCTCTCACTTGGCGCAGGGCTGGGGAGCCAAAGCCAGCCTCGGGGGCCTCCCATGGGGAGCACAGCCATGAAAGCTGAGCTGCAGGGGGCCTTCCCCTCCGCCTACCCCGGTGGCCCCCTCAGAGGCCAGCTGTCACCAGCTCGCCCCTGCAGCACTGCCACCCAGGGTCACACGGCTGGCTCACACCCCCGGTTCCTCCGAGGACTGGTGACCTTCACCTCAGCTTTCCCTGGCCAGGCTGTCCCCTGCTTCTCCCGCCCCTGCCATCCCTGTGCCGCTCACCCCGAGGTGCACAGGACTCTTGCTCCTCACGACTATAGCCTTTGGACTCGGGGAGAAGATGAATGGGCTGAGGGAGGTGCTGGCCACAGGGATTGGCCGTGGGGAGGGGTGGGGTGGGGCGGGCCTGGGGTGGGGGGGGGCACGACTTTCTCTTCCACTTTGGGAGAAGGGATGAGGGGTGGGACAGCTTCTGGGAGGCAGGGCCTGGCCTCAGAGACCCCCTTAGCCCACAGGGCAGTGGGTCTGATTCAGGCTGACCCAGTCAAGCCAGGCCACCTGCCCAGAGGGACCCAGCTGCTCTGCCGGTTTCCACCTGCAGCCTACAGGCTGATGTGCCTAGAGCCCCAGGACCCTGAGGACGGGGCGCTCTCTCTGCCTGGCACCCTGTGTACTTCCGTGTGAGGAATCTGGTGCTGTGGGTGGAGATGGGTCCGTGCCCACTCATGTCTGTGGGACCTATGTGTCTGTCGAGGGAACGTGCCTCCCAGAGAAACCTCAAGCTGGGGGGTGCAGAGGAAGACATGGCTGTCCACTGGAAAGGCCAGGGAAGGGGTGGCTGGGTCTCAGAGGCCACTGGCTGGTACCCACAGGCCTGCTCACCTGGCAGGTCCAGAGGGCACAGGAACTGGCGCTCCCAGAGGCCTCTGCTCTGCCGAGGTGCCCCCCACCCCCACCCAGGGCCTCAGTGCCAAGGACCTGCTTCTCTGTCCCCAGCCTGTAGAGAAGAGTCTGACCTCTGATCTTCAATGGCTTCTCCCTTCCCACCCCCACCCCCTAGGTGTAGAGTGGCTGCAGCCAGCTCTCTGCTGCTACAGGCCCTCCGGGGCAGGGTCTCCATCCTCACTCTGTCCTCTGGTGACTGAGTGAGCCCTGCCTCCCTGAGCATCCCCAGACCCCACCTCCTGTTTAGGGTGAGGGACTCCTGGATGATGGGGGGTCCTGGAAGTCAGACAGATCGCCTAAGGGGGGAGGGGAGCAGTTGTCCCAGGAAGAGGGAGGCAGGCAGGGGGGATTTTGAGCCTGAGGAGACAGTCAGTGGCAGGAATGAGAAGAGTGCGAGCTAGGGGCTCTGCCTGGCTGGGGACGGCTGGCGGGGGTCCTCTGACCAGGAACCCCCTTTTTCTGTCCTCACTCCATGGTCCCCCGTTATGAGACAGCTGTGGAAGCCTCCCCCCGCCCCGCCCTCAAGTTGCCACAGAAACCCTGCAGCCCCAGCCAGGCCCGAGGCCCCAGGGCTGGCAGCCCTCACTGTCCCCCCTGCTCTCCACTTCAGCAGCCAGGGAAACTGAGGTGGCAGGCAGGCTGTGCCCCCCACAGAGACCACCCACAGGATGATGATGCTGCTTCCAGACCCCCAGGGGTAAAATCTTTCACAGATGAAGCTCTCCACCCCCCCAGAAAGGTGACAAGGGGTGAGACTCAGAGTCTGGGACTGGCTGCTTGATTCTCATTCAATCCCCCCATAGTCCCATTCCCCTGGGGTAGGCGCCTTCGGTCCTGCTGTCTGGGGGGTGTAGGGGGGGCCCAACCTGCGGACAAAGGAGGCGTGGAGTGTGGGCTGTGGGATCCGCTCAGAGGCCAGCTCAGCCCCCTGTCCAGCTGGAGGGAGTCCGGACGGGGCTCCAGACGGTCACGCTGTCCCCCGCCAGGCGATGGCGACTCCAGCCACGGCACGTGTCCACACGCATCCAGCGGGGTCCCACGTGTGCGCCTCCCCACGGCCCGGTCTTTACTCCTTGGGCTCCGGCCCCAGCCTCCCACCTCGCGGGGACACGTGTGCACGGGGAGCGCGCCCGGCACCGCCCGCGGCCGAGCACGGCCTCCTACACCCGCGCCGCAGCGGGTCGGAGCATCCGCCCGCCCGGGCCCCGCCAGAGCCGCCTAGTCCGGGCAGTTGTCACCTCCCCCGGCCGCCTCGGCGCCCCTCGCCCCCGCAGCCGCGCCGCACTCCGGTGGGCGCCGCGGAAGGGAGCGGCCCGGCGAGCACTCACCCCGCGATATGCCGCTGCCGCCGCCGCCGCGCTCGCCTCGCCGCCTGCCGCGCGTCCGGCTGCACCTAGGCGCGGAGGCGCGTCCGCTCGGCGCCGCGCGCGCTCCGCCCCCGGCCCTCAGCCGGCACGCGGGCTCCGGCTCCCCCTCCTGGCCGCCGCGGCCACTGCGCCCGGCCGCACCCCAGGCTGGGCCGCAGGTCCCCAAAGTCCTTCCTTGGTCTCTGGGCTTCGCGCCCCTGCATGGGCCTAGGACCCAGGGATTAGTGCCATCGGGCCAAGAGGTGGCGGGGAGCACTGGAGCGAGAGTGTCCTAGGGGAGAAGCGGTTGGGCCACACAGTAGGTGCTTGGGGGTGGAGGGGGGACTGCGCTGGCCACGTGCCCACCAAGGAGGTGGCTGCACAATTCCGCAGACAGGTGACTTTGTATCCATAGGTGCTGCAGCTGCTACTTTGTAGCTGAGCTCCTCTCCCTCTTGGGGAAGATCAGGACTGAGAGGAGGTGCCAGGCATGTAGGAGGTGGCAGAGGTGAGGGGTAAGGAGCAAGGGCTGTGGGGGAGTCTGCACACAGGGCCCCTCCCCGCAGGAGCCACCCCTGCCTTCCAACCACCCCTCCACCCAACAAATGAACTGAGCTCCAGGCAGCAGCCAGAATAGGGCATGTTTGTTACGCACTGGGGTTACTGTCTCCAGACATAGGGAGGACACAATGGGGGGCCTCTGACCTCTGGCCAGGGCATGGCAGAGGCCAACCCAAAGTCAGTGGGGTCTAGGCCTGGGCAGGCTCTAGGGACTGTGATGCCGAAGGGCCAGAGGGGCCAAGGTCCCCAGGAGCCAGGCTCGTGCGCCGGATGCCATCCTGGTACTTGCGGCGACCGAGCTCCAAGACAGCCCGAACCTCTTCAGCCACGTCCTGCCGGTCGCTCCGCTCCAGGGCCTGCACCAGGAGCCCCACAGCCCCAGGCTGCCCAGCCTGGCGCTCAGCCCAAGAGAAGAGCATATGGCGGATCTGCCCGTCCAGGTCGTCCCTGGGAGGAGGGGGAATGGTGATGGAGGAGTCCAGTCCAGGACTACCCACTACACCCAGGGTCCTGCTCGCCCGCCCACCCAGGGTGGGTGTCCTGCTCCCTGGGCCAGGTGTAGCTAGACCGTCCCTTTCCTGCCCTGCCCCCACTGCCCCTGGGTAGAAATTCAGCCAGCCTCAAGTAGGGCCCTCCTGGCAGCCAGGACTCAGGCCTGAGGCTGGCCAGGGGCCAGCACGGGAGGCTCACAGGAACTCACCGGAACTCATGCCGAATTCGCTGCAGCTCACGGTAGGGCAGCCCCAGGTGCAGGGCCACAGCCGGCCAATCAGGGCCCAGACGTCCAGCCACACTCAGCAGGTTGCTCTGGGTCAGGAAGCCGGTCTCAGCATCGCCCAGGTTCAGAGGTGCCAGGGAGAGGCTAGCCCCCAGCCGCTGCCCTGGTCCCTCAGACCCCCGCAGTCTCTATGGGGAGAAGGGAAGCAGTAAGCCCTGGCCTCTGCCCCTGGCTCCACCCCTGTGCCCCTGGCCACCCCCTGGGCCTCTGCACTGCCCCTGCCCCCTTCACACACACTACCCCCTGCCAGGCCGCACCGGTAGCTTGATGGGCAGAGTGGCCATCCACAGGGCATCCGCACCCTTCCTCTGCCGGGCGGCCTCAGCCTCCTCCGGCACCTCCTCAGGCACTGCTCCCCGGTAGAAGGACACCTTGGGGTGGGATGAGGTGGGGTTCAGTGCTCTGGCCGCTGTCCAGACATCCTGGGGGACCCTACTCCATTGGCCCACCTGGCCCCTCACAGCCTGAGCCTGCCGGTCCAGGGTGGTGGTCACATACACCTCCTTCACGTTCTTCAGGTGCGAGTAAAAGACGAAGCAGACCCTGCCCTCCACGCAGTCTGGGCGGTCTGGGGGTTAGGGAGGGGCTCAGCAGGGAGCCTGGGGCAGACCCCAGGGCCCCCTCTCTGTGGGCGGGGGGGGGGGCATACCGGCATCCACGTCAATGCCCCTTTCAAAGGCAGCAAAGAATTTCTCGCCCTCAAACATCTCCACGGTGTCGGAGGCCTCGGGGCCACGGTACCGCTCCAGCAGCCGCCGCAGGGTGGCGTCCACCTGGGGGAACACCCATCAGCTCAGAGCCAACCCCTGCACCCCCACCCTGACCCTCTGGCCCCCACCCTGTGGCCCTCCCGGCCCTCTGGACCCCCTCCCTGACCTTGTTGCGGGGCAGGCACTGCAGTAGGACCTGCTCGGGGTCCCGGCGCCTCTGCAGTGCGATGAGGTTCACACGGTGTAGCCGCAGCCGCTCCCAGGCCTTCCGCGCCAGGCCCCCCACGCACGTCTTGGTGGTGTACCAGAGCCAGTACCTGGGAGGGCTGGGGGGTGAGGTGGGGCTGGATGGACCGGGGTGGGGTGGGGACTCAGGTGGACTGAGGAAGCTGGGGGGGCCACTAACCAGGAGAAGTGCGTGACCTGGAAGCGAGCATACAGGTGGGTGAGCTCCAGTGCCACCTGAGCTGTGATGTCATCCCAGGTGGCTGCGGGAGGGGCCCAGTACAGCAGGTGCAGGCGGGAGCGGTCCAGACTCAGGCCTGGGGATGGGAGGGGGCCACAGGCTCAGGCCTCCCTGGCAGGGGCTCCCCCTTTGACCCCTTATCCCATGGCCATGAGTCAAGGTATGCCACATGGCCACCTCTCACCTGTGACGCCAGGGGGCAGAGGCAGCTGCACAGTCACTGGTCGCAGGAAGCTGGGGTCGCCGCTCTGAGAGAGGCCCAGCAGGGGGCTCACGGCCCCCTCAGGCTCCCCCAGCAGGGCTCGCAGCTCTCTGCTGGCCATACGCACCACCTGGGGCAGACAGGCCACCCGAACTCTTGCCACTGTGCCAAGGCACCACCCCTGCCCTTGGTGGATGCCCAGGGGGCATGCAGACATACCTGCATGCAGACATGAAGAGGCTCCTCGGTGGCCCCAGGGGGGAATGTGACCTTGACCCCAGGATGTCCTGAGGAGCACAGCAATGTCCCCTCTGGTGGCACCAGGCAGGTGTCAGACACAGGGCGGGAGACCACAAGGAACCACGAGAAGTGGGGCACCTGGCAGTGAGCCCAGAGCCGCTGGGCAGGGGGGGTGAGAGGGAACGGAGTCAGAGGGCAGTCGGGGTCAGAGCAGAGCTGCCAGGCAGGCCTGGATGGCCCTCACCTTGGGTGCCTCCTCCTCTAACTGGGTCTCCAGGTCACTCCAGCTGTCGTCACTCAGGGTCCTGACCACCACCTCACGGCAACGCCGGGCCCGTGGGGGCACAAAGAGCAGCCACAGGCCCACCTCCTGCCGGGCAAGGGTGGTGTGAGTGCCAGGGCCACGCCTGGGCCCTCCTCACCCGCCCCCACCCTGCGCTGGCCGTGCCTGCTGAAAGGCCACTCCATGGGGCTGCAGCTCCAGGACACCACTGAGCAGGGAGTCGTGGGGACCCAGGGGGACGAGGCGTGGCTCTGGCAGCCACAGTCGATAGTGGATGGTGACAGGGGTAGCAGTGGCCCCAGCGGGGAACTGCAGGCGGACACCACAGGCCAGGGTCACGGAGCAGCCTTGGGAGGTCACAGGGAAGCTGAATGAGGACAGGGTAGGCATCAGGTCAGACAGAGAAGGGGCTGTACGTCTGACTCTGCCACCCCTGGAGGATCCTAAGAGAAGACCCCCAAGGCATGGGCAAGGTGTCTGGGGTAGACAGGTGCCCCTCCAGCCTCACTGCTCCCCCATCCCACACCTGTCCAAATCTGAGGTCAGGAATAGTCTGGGCATTTCCCGGACCACGGGTGTCCCTGTAGAAAGACAGATGAGCCGTTAGGACAGTGATGGTACCTGCGTCCTGCACGTGAAATCCGCTCCTCTCTAGCAACAAGCTTACCTGGGGGACTGCAGGGATCTGGCGGGGCCTCGCCCAAGGGGTTCCCTTGAAGGCGCACAAAGGGGGCGTCCAGGAGCTCAGGGGGCACGTCCCGGAGCTGGTTGTCCCTCAGGTCCAGCCGGGTGAGCAGCGGGAGGCGGTCCAGGCCGGCAGGCACCGAGACCAGCAGGTTGCTGTGCAGAACAAGGAGCTGCAAGGACCGAAGGCCCGCTGCAGGCAGGCGCCAGCTTAGGACGAGCAGAGGACCACTCAGGGCCACCCCACACCCTGGGGCACCAGGCCAGGCCAGGACACTCATGCTAGGGCCTCCCAGAGAAGCCCTGTCCTGTGGCTAGACTCAGAGACTCGGGTAAGCCTGCTCAGGGAGCCTCGAAGGCTGGAAAAGTGGGGAAGCAAACGAGGACTCACTAGGAGGAGTGGAGGCTCCAAGGTGGGCTGAGCCTGAGTGTGCAGAGCCACGCAGAAGCCGAGAGGGGCCCCTGGGAGTGGAGGCCGGGCCACGGCTGAGGGGCGCTCCCCATCAGGCCCAGTGAGCCAAGAGAGGCATGGCTCCTACTCACCAAGGGAGGCCGGGAGGCTCTGCAGCCGGTTGGAGGCCAGATTGAGCTCAGCAAGGCTGCTCAGGCCTCCGATCTCAGGGGGCAGAGTGTCCAGAAGGTTCTCAGAGAGATCAAGGCGCTGCAGGGTAGTCAAGGCCCCCAGAGCCGTGGGCAGAGTTTGCAGGCGGTTGTGGGTCACAGAGAGGAAGGTGAGGGCAGGGAGGGCCCCTAGGGCCTCAGGCAGCTCTGAGAGGCGGTTGTGAGAGAGCAGGAGGGCACCCAGGCTGCGCATCTGCGGGACACAGGCCGGCAGTGTCTCCAGGTTGTTGAAGCTCAGATCCAGGTGAGCCAAGCAGGCCAGGCCACTCAGGCCGGCTGGCAGCGTGGTCAGGGAGCCCCGGAGGCTGGCACCCCCTGCATCCCGGCGTTGCCCACCTGGGAGGAGGGAAGGCAGATGTGGTCCTCAAAGCCAGAGTCCCGAGTCCCAGCTTGGTCCTGCCAGCCAAGGCACAGACTTCCACCCCAACCCCACCCGGACAGAGACAGACAGAGATACTGGAGAGACACCAGCCAACGGAGGGAGGCAGGGACAGAGACTGCAGGTTCATCTCAGCTTATGGCCATCACCCATGACCCACCCCAGGAGAAACACCCACACTGGGGTCTGCTGGGAGACCCCACCGAGCAGCCGCAGGGTCCAGGAGCTGGGACTCTGCCAGCTTCACCTTGGGGAGCTGAGTAGAGCTGTACGGAGAATAGTGATAGAGCTGGGCCCGGGCTGGGACCAGGTGGGACTCACCTTTGAGGACCAGGGAGCGGAGGCGCAGCAGGCTCCCTGGCACCTGGGCCAGGGTGGCCTCCAGCAGCTGAGGGTCTTCGTGGCCGCTCAGCTGCAAGAACTCCACCTCCAGCAGCTGATGGGGCTGCTGAGCACAAAGGTGCAGCAGCCGGTGGCAGCCCCTGGGGTACAGGTCCAGGCTCAGCCGGTTCCCAGCCAGGAGAGGGGTCACCCCGGGCCCTGCATCCACAGCATCTGTAGCATCTCTTGCAGCATCTTCTGCAGTAGCCGCCTGGGGCTCCAGCCCCTCCACCACCGCATCCATCGCCCACCAGCCGTCCTCGGGGGCCAGACATGTCCCAGCTTGCCAGGCAGGCCTGCTCAGGCAGGGCCCGGGAAGGCTGCAGAGTCAGAGGGAGGAGCGGGTGGGAGTGGGGCTGGGCCCTCCTCCCAGTCAATGGAAGGGGGACTCTGGCTAGGGAGAGCCCTTGAGCCAGGCCAGCTGGTCCACAGAACCCAGAGTCCAGGCTGGACAGGTCATGGCTGAAATGGGGCTGAGGAATGGGACCCCCAAAGCTGGGAGGGCAGCAGGCAGGGAGACCCTTGTGTGCAGAGGAGCTGGGGAAACCTGCATGGGAGAGGAGGAAGTGAGGGTTCACGTCCTAATTCTGGGCATTTGGACAAGGGACTCCTAGAGCTGTCAGCTCATCCTGGCTGCACCCGCCTCCCCTCCTGGGACAAGAAGCTAGGGTCCTGTGCCACCTTCAACCTTCACACTCATCAGCTTTGACAGGAGGTTCCTGACTCTCATCCACCACGTGGGGGCGGTGGCCCACGCCAAGGAGCGGGTGATTGCGCCCGCGTATGTCAGAGACGTGAATGTGAGGGGGTAACCTGGGGTCTGAGCCACTAGGGACGGGACCCCATTTCCTGATGGCTGGAGGAGGGCTCTCCCACCACTTCCAGTTCACACCTGGGTCCGCTGGAGAGGGCGGTCCCAAGCGCATCTGGGGCTCACACGGCCTGGGGGGCCGGTCCCGGCGGGAGAGCTCGCCCTCCCCGCACCCTCGCCGTCCCAGGGCAGGCCCGCGGCCCGCGGTACCTGCGCTCCAGGCCGGGCGCCGCCTCGGCTGCCGGCTCGGCGCTCCGCGCCCGGGTTCCCGCCGGCGCGCTTCCGGGCGGGCTGACTCCAGGCACCGCCCCCTCTGGCCCCGCCCCGTCAGAGGGCGCCCCTTGCTCCCGCTGGGGTCCGCAGGCGAAGGCCTCAGGGTCCCCCCCTGCCTTGCCTGCCCTCTGCAGGCCGGGCCGCCCTGGAGATGCGGACGCGACCTCTTCTGCCGAGCCGCCTGCCCAGCCGCGCTCAGCTTCCTGTTAGTCTGTGTCCGTCGGCGCCGTCCAGGCCCGCCTTGCGCGCCATGAAACCCGCCCTTTCAGAGGTTCTCGGGCCGAGGCTCTGCTCGGGGGCTGTGCACTCCTGGCCCCACGTTAAAATCAGCTGGTGCAGTCTCAGGGCGGGGGAGCGAGGGGGCTTCAGGGGCTGATGGCGGCTGCTGCCCGACACCCACCGCCTGCCAGAAGCCAGAGCTCTGAGAGTGTTGTGTTCTTCCCCAGCCAGCCCCAATGGATCCCTTCTCCGGAAGGCCTCCTCTCAGGCCCTGCGGAGACCGGGCCCCAGCTCCATGTCCCAACTTTACAGGCTATCTCTCTGGGCCAGGTGCTGGCCTTCCCCACAAGCTGCCTCCTTCGGTCTACGTCTGCATCCCACCCGGGGAGGAAAAGGAGGCTCTGAGAGATCAGATTTTGCCCAAGGCCAGGTAGCTGGTCCATGCCAAAGCCAAGAACCTCAAACAGGGTCTCTGTCTGACACTCAAGAGAGCCTTCCCCACCTGTGCTGTCACCCCGCTTCCTTCACCCAGCGCAGCAGGTGCTCTGCAAATGAATAGAACACATCCAGTTCTGCCTCAAGTCACATCGCGGGCACCCTCTCTCCTCCACTTCCACCTCCCCAGCCACCACCATCACTCCCACCGGGATGGGCAGTTACTGCCAGGCTTCCATTGTCCCGAGCTTCTGTCCCCCATTCAGTTTCTTTTTCTTTTCTTTTTTTTTTAAAGATTTTATTTTTTTCCTTTTTCTCCCCAAAGCCCCCGGGTACACAGTTGTATATTCTTCGTTGTGGGTCCTTCTAGTTGTGGCATGTGGGACAATGCCTCAGTGTGGTTTGATGAGCAGTGCCATGTCCGCGGGGCCAGGGTTCAAACCAACGAAACACCGGGCCGCCTGCAGCGGAGCGCTCGAACTTAACCACTTGGCCACGGGGCCAGCCCCCGCCCCCCCGCCATTCAGTTTCTGCAGAGCTGCCAGAAGAATCTTCTAAAAAAAACCCATCACAGGAGTATTATTCAGCCTTAAAAAGGAATAAAATTCTTACACATGCTACAGGATGAATGAACCTTCAGGACATCATGCTGAGTGAAATACGCCAAACCAGGGGGCAAATACTGTGTAATCCCACTTATATGAGGACCTAGAAACGTCAAATTCACAGCGCCAGAAACTAGAATGGTGGGTGCCAGGGGCTGGGGGAGGGGGGTGGGGAGTTAGCGATCCGTGAGTATGGAGTTCAATTTGGGAAGATGGAAAAAGTTCTGGAGACGGATGGTGGTGATGGTCGCACAACAATGTGAATGCACCTAACACCACTGAATTATATGACTAAAACGGCAGACTTTATGTTATCTATTATTCTACCATTAAAAAAAATCCGAATGACAATATGCCACTTGCCTATGTGATTACAATAAAGTTCCATCCTTCCGCGGATGGTTTCCCTACTTTACCCCAGCTGTGTGACCTTGAGCAAGAAAATCTTTGTGCCCAACCTCGTCTATAACATGGGGGCGAGGACTGCATGACGCCTAGGGCAGCTGTGTGCTTTGCGTTAATATGCCAGCGCTTGAAGCCTACGCACGAGAGCTCGCCCTGTCCTTAGAGTCCCCATGGGCCGGCTGCTGCCTCGGGACCCATCTCCAGCCACCTTGGGGTCTCAGCATCTGACCCCTCTGCCTGCTGCTCGCCCCAGATCTTCGCAGGCCGGCTCCTTCTCGTCTTTCAGCTCAGGGTCACCGCCTCGTTCCTTCAGGGTCTCTCTCAGCCTGGGGCTGCCCCGTTTATTGGCTTTGAGTGTCCCGCGGAATCAGGTCGGCTGTCCCCTCAGGACGCCAGCCTGCAGCGGGGTCCCTGACACGGAGAAGCGAGTGACATGTGATGTCCGCGTGGACGCTGAGGTCAGTTCTGAGCCAACACGGCCAGGAGAGGGGCCGATCCCTCGGGCCCAGCCACCCCTGAGCTGGGGGGCAGCCAGTAGGCCCAAGCGGCTCGGTTCTGCAGTGTGAGCGCGAGGGGCGGCTCGCCTACCTCACCCGGGCCGGACAGATTGGGCGCCACCGGCCCCGCCGGACACCAGCGCTCTGTGCCCGCGGCCGGGAACTACCGAGAGCCGGAAATGCGGCGCTCCGCTCAGGCTCCGCGCGGCCCACGTGCAGCCCGTGCAGAAGGCTGCGCGCCCGCACTTCCGGCAGCCATGCACCATGGGACTTATAGTTCGCTGACTGCGTCGGCCGCTCCCGCAAAGGGACGCGTCCCAGGCGTGGCGGCCGCGCTGCATGCTGGGAGCTGTAGGCGCCGCGTGGCATGCTGGGAACTCTCCAGGAGAAACACTCTCCTTCGGGCTCGCGCCACGCCTCGCCCTGCCGCCCCAGGGATTTCAGGAGACCCCCCTCCCCACGCGGTACAAGAAGGCTGCCCCAGAACTGCCCTAACTGCCTTTTGCCTTTGCTCGGGCGGCTGCGGGACGGAAAGGGACGAACGGGACGATGGCTTCTCCTGCGTCCTCATTGGCTGGGCGCCGCGTGACGTCACTCCGAGGCGCCCTCGCGGGGCGCGGCGCCCGGGTCCCGGAGGCTTCTGGGTAGCGGATTACCCCCGCCCCCTACGCCGGCGCCTTCCTTTCCGTCCCCGACGCTGCCGAGGTTGCACGCGCGAGGCCTCTCCGTCGCCGCTGCCGAGTGAGTGGGACGGCCCGGTGGGGCCGGGGCTCGGGCCAGGTCGGGGCCGCGGGGGCCCCGGGGCGCAGGCGGGGTGCCGGGCGGGCTCAGCGGGGGCCCCGGGCCGGGCCACGCGCGGCCGCGGTCGGGGCTCCTAGTCATGCCGCCGCCCTCTTCTCCCCTCCCGCCGCAGGATGCGCTACGTCGCCTCCTACCTGCTGGCCGCCCTCGGGGGCAATACCTCCCCCAGCGCCAAGGACATCAAGAAGATTCTGGACAGCGTGGGCATTGAGGCGGACGACGATCGGCTCAACAAGGTAGCAGCCCGCTACCGGCCCGATACTGCGCACAGAGGGTCCTCTCCTGCTCGGCTGGGTTTACCTTTGGGAAAGGGCACTTCGACGTGCCTGCCCATGCTGTCGTTTATTGGGTTGCCTTTGGGGGCCCTGATACAGCCCAGAGGAGGCTAACGTGGGTGTGAGGCCAAGTCCCGACCCGCGTGGTTGAGTAGAAGTATAAGTCACGTGTAATTGAAAGTTATGTAATAATTGACTTTTTGAAAAAGAGAAGAGGGAAGAGTACACTCTACTGCGTTATTTTTCAGCCTGTTTATTCTAGGTGTTATTTCCACGTGTAGTAGTGAGTCTTAGAAATCTGTCGCTGGTTCCCACTTGGAGCTCGTCTCCATTCAGAGATCTCAGTTATGGGTAATAACTGCAGTGGGGGGTGCAGGCTGAGAAGCTTCAGGGTGTCTCCTCGCTGTGCGGGAGGCCAGCCCTGCCCCTGGAGAAGGTGGTTAAGACCAGGGGTGTGGTGGTGGTCCGTGGTAACTGTTGGGTGTGCTTGTCTGCTTCAGGTCATCAGTGAGCTGAACGGGAAGAACATTGAAGACGTTATTGCCCAGGGTGAGAGTGTGTGGGGGGCGGGGAGGCTTTGTTTTCACAGTCCATCCTAATTCCTGCCGGTCAGCCTGTGGCCTGCCAGGTTTCGCTTGTGGACCAGAGCACCCTAGGAGCCTCACCCAGAGGAGCTGGCAGGGCTTCAGTAGGCTCATGCCACGGGCGCTTCTAGACATTCCCAGGGGCAAGGCTTGCCCTCATCTCACTGGGCCTCTCTGCCTTGCCTGTAGCGTTGGGGAACGGGGACTTTGTAAACAAGTCTCCTCACGTGCTCTGGATGAGGGCATTGGGAGTAGAGCCTGGGGTTGCCAGGGATGACCACATGCCCCTGCCTCTCTTTGCTGGGCAGATGGTTTTCTGGTGACATCAGGCTGGAACTGATGCGACTTGTTTGGAAGCCAAGCTGTTGGGGCAAACGATAATGTCCCTGGACATGTGATGGGGTACAGCCAGCTCAGCAGACAGTCTTGTTTATGAGCTCACTTTGGGCATGAGGATCAGGACACAGGCAGCAGACTCAGTCCTTGCCTGGTTATAAACATGTTCAGCTCTCTACGTGGTGAGGCACAGTGGCCCAGCATCTTGTGGAGGGATTCCTAGAAGTCAAGTTCAAGATAGGAAGTTTTTCAGGGTGTGTGACAGGTCCTCCTACCCAGGAGAAGAGGGGAGCCTGTGCATGCACTGAGAGACGGGCCCCCGTACATTGGGCAGACTGTCCCTTGACTCCTCTGAAGTAGCTTTCAGGCTGAGCCCCTGCTCTGGCCTCACCTCACCTCACCTCTTTGGTTTCGGTAGGTATTGGCAAGCTGGCCAGCGTGCCCGCCGGTGGGGCTGTAGCTGTCTCTGCTGCCCCGGGATCTGCAGCTCCTGCTGCTGGTTCTGCCCCAGCCGCAGGTAAGTGGAGGCTCAGGCAGCTGTCGTGGTGGCTGCACTGGGGTCTGCTGGGAGTCTGCCCGCACCGCGGGCCTCACTCACTCAACTCTTCCTCCCACAGCGGAAGAAAAGAAAGAGGAGAAGAAGGAGGAGTCCGAGGAGTCGGATGACGACATGGGATTTGGCTTGTTTGATTAGAATCCTACTCCCCTGCAAATAAAACCCTTTTTAAGTATCTGTTCAGCTGCCTGTGATCTCTTTGTTAGAGTCTGGCCTCAATGCAGGGCAGGTGGGGACCCCACGGTGGGCTGGCAGGCCTTACCGCAGGAGGATGCTTCCCCAGGGACAAGGAGTGGCTGAACCACGGTGGAGACAAGTCTTTGGTACAAAAATGAATACTTTGCGGGGGGGGTGGGTGGGGGGTAGGGACGGGACACTTTCTTGGGTGTGGCCAAACCTTGAGCAGGCTCTGGAGGGTGCAAGAGTCCCCTTCTTGGGTGACTGCCAGGGCCTTCCCAGGGAGTGCAGCCTTCAGGGGGACACCCAGGAAAACCTCAGAAGCAGCGATGAGTGGTCACCACTGCTCTGGAGGTGGCTCCAGCCAGCCAAGTTTAGCACTTCTCCCAGGACCGGTGGTGTCCTTCACTCAGATGGGGATGTGTGGTTGGGTGCGTGGATCCTGCGTTTGTTTCCCTGCAGGGGTCAGTGCCCCAGCTCCACCTTAACCCCTGAGCAACTTGGGGCAGTCATTTAGCTTATCGGAGCCTCAGTTTCCCCAGCCATCTGATGGGCCAACACTGGGGTACGTGTAGAAGTGGCTTCTGGGCATTGACATTAGGCCATGTGCTCACTAAGTCTTTCTGGGGTGGGCCTGCCCATGGCCCTCTCACCAGGCTCTATCCTGGAATGTAGGGGAGAGGGCAGAGGCCTTCCCTCTGCCCACCAATGCCAGGCCACCTAGAAGACACTGCTTCCCCGTCTGGAGGCCGTGGGTTGGCAACTGGTGGCGGTGTGGTGTGTACCTACTGTGTGCAAGGCCACAGCACTGAAGAAGGACCTGCCCCTGTGGGCCGTAGTTTTGTGGAGAAAGTAACCAATACAGCACTAGACAGCTGGGGCGGAGGAGGCTCCCTCCGTGAGGATCCGAGACCTGGAGGAAGAGGCTGGGGACAGTGCACAGCCGTGATGGAAGGAAGTCCTGAGACCCTCTGGTTATCCAGAGTGGTGTGGAGGGGCTGGAATCCACCAGGTGGGTGGTGGGTGGGACATGGAGCCAAGAGAAGTGAGGACCACTTCAGAGGTCTAGCAGTATGTGCTGCAGGGGGCGGTGAGGCGTGGGGCTGTGGACGCAACTGGACACGGGCCATGGCCCCAGGCTGCGGGAGAGAGCTCCCTAGAGGAGTGGACCCAGGGTCCAGGGGCAGAGCTCAGAATCCCAACCTCAGACCCTGAAGAGAAGGGCTGTGTGTGGGCTGGAAGATACCACGGGAGAGGGGCCAAGACACCCACCTGGCAGAATCACGCAGCAGACCTCAGGGCTTCTCCATGCTGACCAAGAGGAGCGGGGCCCACCTCCCACCCCCAGCCAGGATTCCGGGAAGGGCTGCCCTGTTCCTGGCTCCAGAGCTGATGGTCCCAGGGGCCTGGAGGGAGGGAATGTACCCAAAACAGTTCAACTCGGGTGTGGAAATGGGGGTAGAGGTCTCCCTGCACTGGGGCAGTGCCACCCTCCAAGGCCCCATGGCCCCTCAGAAGCGGTGCCAGCCCTGTGGTGGAGCGGTTAAGTTCGCGCCCTCTGCTTCGGCAGCCCAGGGTTCTGCCAGTTCAAATCCTGGGCGCGGACATGGCACCGCTCATCAAGCCATGCGGAGGTGGTGTCCCACAGTCTCCAACTAGAAGAACCCACAATTAAAAATACACAACTATGTACCGGGGGGCTTTGGGGAGAAAAAGGAAAAAAAACAAAGCAGAGAGGGCTTGGACGCTGGCCTCTCCTTGGAGCTGGTCCGGGGGAGGACCTTCTTGGGTCTCTGGCTCAGGCCGCCCTGCCCAGCTTCCCTCTCAGTCGTCATCCCAGTGACCCCTGGACTTTCCCGGCCAGCCTTGAGTTTTGCCCAGTTCTCACTGTGAGGCACTTCTCGCCCCTGCTGCGTCCAGCAGCATCCCCAAGGGCTCAGTCACTGGGGGCCCTGATGGTCCTGATGGGGCCACACCTCTCTGCGCTGTACCTCCAGCCACACTTCCATGGGATGGGGTCCCATGTGCAGAGAAAACGACAAGTCTTTGTAGGTCAAATTCGGTCAGCTCCCCATCCCTGCTTTCCCCTCTCCCAGTGCCCAGGCCAGGGCTCCCCTCTCCTCTCACTCCTCCCACCCGGGGCCCTTTGCATGTGCCCTTGGGCAGCCTGGGCAGCCTTGTGCCCTTCCTGGTGAACTCTGTGCCCAGATACCCTGTCACCCCTCTCGGTCCTCATTTTGAGCTGTGTAAACAATGTCTGTCCCCTGCCCCCTGTAGGGCTGGGTCTGCGTCGACCCTACTCAGTGTGCTACCCTGTGCTGGTTCACATGCCAGACACACTGTCGGTGCTAACTATGGTGGGAGGGAGCACAGAGGTTGAGGGCTGGACAGCATGACCCAAGGTGGCTGTGTTCTGGGGAGGCCCTGCTCTGGCTTCTCGGCCTGGGCCTGGGTGAGGGGCAGTCCCAAGCCTCAGCCCAGAGGCTCGAAGCCCTGGCACTAGCTGGGTCCTGAGCTGATCTCCTGCCTGGGAGTGAGTGTTCCTGGGGAGACACGCACACCGCCTCCCCACCACCTCAGCATAGATCAACCCCTTGTTTGCGAGGTGGGGTGAGGTGCAGGGCTGGCTCCTGGATCCAAGCCAGGCGGGGCCTGCACCACACACTCCAGGAGAAAAATGCGGAAGAGGAGCGGGAGGGTGACGTCACCCGGAGTGCTCCACCCGCTGGGGCAATTAGCGGGGGCGGGCAGGGCCCGAGTCAAACCCAGGTAGACCCCACAGCCTGAGGAGACCGCGTCGGACGCTGGTGGGACCCGGGTTAGTGCCCAGGAAGGGGGGCCGCGGAGGGCAGGGCTGGGGCCCGATGTCAGGTGTGGGTCTGCGGCAGGCGCTGGCTCTGAAGTCGTGCGGGTGTGTGATTCGCATCGCCGCGGATGTCTGTGGATCAGGCTGTAGACAAGTCGGTGGATCCTGGGGGTCCCTGACTCGGGGGGGCTCCTCAGTGTCCCAGGTCAGTATTGTAGGCGGACCCCCGAGGGAAGGGGCGGCGGTTGCCCAGACACCAGGGCCCTCCCCTCGGGTGGTCTCGGAGCCGAGGACCAGGTCTCGGGCCAGGGTGGATCTCCGGGGGGGAGTGGGGTCCCGGGGCCAGTGTGGGCCTCTGGGGCCAAGGCCGGGGCTCCAGGTCCAGGGACGGGGTATCAGGTCCGGGGGCGTCGTTTCATTGGACCATTGGGCAGGGGCGGGGTTTCGGTGCCTGGGGTGGGGTCTCGGGGCTGAGATCCCAGGCCCGGGGTGGGACTCCGGGTCCAGGGGCGGGGTCTCAGGGCCGCGGAAGGCACCCGGGAGTGGGCGGGGCTCCAGGGCCCGCCTCGAAGGCGCGGCCGTTCCCCTTGCCCACGATTGGGCCGCGCGTGCCGGCCCCGCCCCGCCCGCTTCGCCCCCGCCCACCTCCACTAAAAATACCGCCTCCGTCCCCGCCCTGCGCAGTGTCGCCGCCTCACCGGGGGAGACCCCGAGCCAGAGTGACCGAGGGACCGGCCGCGTCCAGCTCCAGAGCGAGCGGCGAACGCGCGGTGTACACGAGGCCGGCCGGCCGCGGAGCCCCGGAGCCCGGCGGCCGCCGCGATGTTCCCCAAGGAGGCGACATGGAACATCTCGTTCGCCGGCTGCGGCTTCCTCGGCGTCTACCACATCGGCGTGGCCTCCTGCCTCCGCGAGCACGCGCCCTTCCTGGTGGCCAACGCCACGCACATCTACGGCGCCTCGGCCGGGGCGCTCACCGCCACGGCGCTGGTCACCGGGGCCTGCCTGGGTGAGCGGGGTAGGCGGGGCCGGGCGGATGCTCTTCGTGAGCTTAGAGCGCCCCCATCCCTTCGCACAGGGAGGCTGGCCGGGCCGCCGGTGCCGTGGGTGCCACGGGTGCCGTGGGGAGACGTCTCTGCCCAGGCCGAGGTTCCCCATCCTGGGCGCCGATCGGGGGGCGGGGCCAGGTTTGTTTTGCTGGGACGGTGCCCAGGGATTGGGGTAGAGCCCGGCGGGCTTCTGGGCCCGCCTCTGGGCGCAAAGCTTTCAGGGCGGGCAGGTGCAGTGAAAGCTGTCATTGGAAATAGAAAGTAAGCCGTGGGCGGGATTGTGAGAGGCAGGGGAGGGGCCTACGCCGCCTCCCTCGGCCCCGGCATCCGGCATCGGGCATCGGACTGGCTGCCAGCGGTCACTGCGTCCTGGAGCCCCGGGCCTAGCATAGGGTGGCCTCTGAAGAGCGCATTGGGCACTGTGGCCTGGTACCTCCCAAGGGCCCCTGGAGGAGGAGCCCCGCACGTCAGGCCTGGGCATGGCCAGCTCTCTTGCGCCCCTTTCTGCCTTGCACAAGGCCCAATGTAGGCCTAGGTCCCCAACTGTGGCCAACCGTTTTTGGCTCACTCCATGGAGTGGGAGGTGCTTCTGGACTCTCCAGCGGGGTACCCAGTGGGGTCAGGAATGCAGGAGTCTGTGTGTGCTGGGATGGCCTCCCCTACTCCCACACACTTCCTGCCGCAGTCCCATGGTGCTTATAGCACACCAAGTACTTCAGGAGTCCTGTGAATGTTGCCGAGCCCCCAGCCTACTAGGGCAGCCAAAGTGACAGAGGGGTCATCAGGGTCTTGAAGGTCCTGTCGGCAGGAGCCTGTCCACAGTTCTCTCCTGCCCCCTTCCAATGACCTTTGCCCTGAGGGGGGTGGGCTGGAAGGAGCATAGCTCTACATTCCTGGGACTTGAGGGTTCCCACTGTGGCCCTGCCCCTCCCACTCATGGAGGCCTCAGGCCAGCTCCTCTCAAACCCCCATGCTGGCCTCAGGACACACCTAGGTCCCTGGCAACTAGTTGAAAGCATGGCTCCCACAGCACTCCCCCAACCACACTCCCAAGAAGCCTCTTTCTCACGAGCAGTCTTGAGCAGCTGGAGCCCCCACAGAGTGCAGATGCTCGCCCCTCACTGCCGTTCTCATGACCCAGGTGGTGGTCCTGGAGGAGGGCACGGTCCTCAGCTCCTCCCCAAGGCCCTCCTGCTCCCTGATCACTCCTAGGCCTGCTCTCTCTCTGGCTTTGTTCTAGGCCAGTGCCCAGGGGCCCCCAAAGGGGCTGTTGGGGGGTTGCCTGCTCTTGGCTGCAGTGGGACACAGTTGCACTTTCTCAGGAGTGGTGGAGCCCCACTATTTCCAACCTCATGTCTCCTGGCCTGTGAGACCCCTGGATTGCACTGGGCTCTGTGGGTCTGGATCTGGCCAAGTGGGTGAAAACTTAGGCTGGTCAGAGTTGAGCCTCCGTCTCCCCCCGTTCCCGGGCTGGGTGCCACACCACACCAGACCCAGTGACTCATGGATCAGGGCAGGCAGTTGGGAAATACTGGGCAGAGGGCAGGCTCCGGCCCCAGCTGTCTGCCCTCCCAGGGGCCGGTGGCAAGAGTCTCACTTGTGGGCTGGGTCCCATGGTGGACACGGAGTCCTCCAGGGTAGATGGGCGGGCACCAGGTCTGGGTGCGGGGGAATCTTGGGCATGGAACCATAGCAGGTGTGCTGAGCCCAGGAGTGACAGCCCCTGTCTCTTGGCCCTGCTGCCCCAGGCGAGGCTGGTGCCAACATCATCGAGGTGTCTAAGGAGGCCCGGAAGCGGTTCTTGGGTCCTCTGCACCCCTCCTTCAACCTGGTGAAGACCATTCGTGGCTGCCTGCTGAGGACTCTGCCTGCTGATGCCCATGAGCGGGCCAGTGGGCGCCTGGGCATCTCCCTGACCCGTGTCTCAGATGGCGAGAACGTCATTATATCCCACTTCAACTCCAAGGATGAGCTCATCCAGGTGGGCCCTAGTGGGGCTGCATTGGGGGCGCAGTACGAGCCCCGAGGCCCCTGTTTATTGTTTTGTTTCTGCCCTGCCGGCAGGCCAACGTCTGCAGCACCTTCATTCCTGTGTACTGTGGCCTCATCCCGCCCTCCCTCCAGGGCGTAGTAAGTACCCCCCACCCCGGACATCTTCTTGGGTGACAAATCAGCTACTGTGTGGAATGCTGCGGGGGAGGCCATCTGTGCCCGCACGACTGCCCCTCACTCCTGCCACTGCCTGTTGCCCCACTTCCCCCAGGGTTACTCAAGAGCCAGGACTGCCTGTGGAGACACACACTTCCTGTGGCTGCCTCCCCTCCCCCTGCCACTCCTGGCCATCTGCTTAGTGGCCCGGCGGCCCATGGCCAGTGCCCAGTGGGTGAAGGGCCCAAATGAAATAGCCACTGGGTAGGGTCTGTGGTGGCCCGGTGGGGCAGCCTGCTCACCCTGCAGGCCCCTCACCGCGTGGCTGTGGGTTCCTGCCGCAGCGCTACGTGGATGGCGGCATCTCAGACAACCTGCCACTCTACGAGCTCAAGAACACTATCACGGTGTCCCCCTTCTCGGGCGAGAGTGACATCTGCCCGCAGGACAGCTCCACCAACATCCATGAGCTCCGGGTCACCAACACCAGCATCCAGTTCAACCTGCGCAACCTCTACCGCCTCTCCAAGGCCCTGTTCCCGCCCGAGCCCATGGTGAGCCCCATGGCCTGCACAGCCTCTCCTCGCTGTGTCCTGGGGGAGGAAGCTGCCTGGATGAGCACTCCTGAGTGACCACAGTGAGGGTGAGGTGGTCAAGGTGTCCTCTTCTGAGCGCTGGGCGAGAGTGCTGTGTCCTGCACAACCTCTCCACTCGGGGGCAGTCTGTCCAGCCTCTGTCCAGCTTTGATCTTGTCCTGGATCCAAGGTAGCTTGGTCGTGCCGAGCGGGGACTCTAGAGGGGCAGAGCAGGGCATGTCTGGCTCCCTTGCTCCAATTTATCCATCCCTCTGCCTCAGGTGCTGCGAGAGATGTGCAAGCAAGGCTACAGGGACGGCCTGCGCTTCCTGCGGCGGAATGGTGCGGACGCCGCCCCGCTGGGGAGCTGGGAGCTGGGAGCTGGGAGCTGGGAGCTGGGAGCGCGGCGTTTGTCGGGCCCCTTCGGCCAGGCGGGTGGGCTGGGCTGGCAGACGGCTCTGCACTACTGCCCCCTGCCGGCCCGCCGGACCGCGGCCGCGCTGATCGCGTGTTACGTCCTCCCTACCCAGGCCTCCTGAATCAGCCCAACCCGCTGCAGGCGCTGCCCCCCGCCAGCCCCCATGACCCCAAGGACGAGGACGCCGAGGTGGCTGAGGCGGCCACGGAGAGGGCTCGAGTGGACGGCCACTTGCAGCTGCCCGGGGAGGATCACATCCTGGAGCATCTGCCTGCTCGGCTCAATGAGGGTGCGAGGGGGTGGCGAAGGGGGAGGGGGAGAGGGAGGGAGTGGGGAGAGGAGGGTGGTACCTGGCCTGCGGGGATGCCGGAGGACGAGGAGCAGAGTGGTCCTGGCCTCTGCCTCCCTACCCGGCTGCTAACTGCCCTCCTGCGCCCCACCTGCAGCCCTGCTGGAGGCCTGCATGGAGCCCAAGGACCTGCTGACCACGCTCTCCAACATGCTGCCTGTGCGTCTGGCCACGGCCATGATGGTGCCCTACACTCTGCCGCTGGAGAGCGCCGTGTCCTTCACCATCCGGTGCGGCGGGGGCTGGGGGGCGCAAGGATCATCCAAGAGTGGCGGGCACCCGGGGGAAGAGGCAGCTGGTTGGGGGCGCTGCGGAGATGCCGGGTCAGGGGTCCCACAAGCCGGGGCACAGACTGGGGTCGGGTGCGGGGGGTGGGGGGGTGGTCGTGAGGGCTCAGGCATAGTCCCTGAGGCCATGCCTCCCACCTTCACCCTAGCTTGCTGGAGTGGCTGCCCTATGTCCCTGAGGACATCCGGTGGATGAAGGAGCAGACAGGCAGCATCTGCCAGTACCTGGTGATGCGCGCCAAAAGGAAGCTCGGCAGCCACCTGCCCTCCAGGTGAGCCCCTGACTGTCGTGTCCGCGGGGAGCCCGCAGCCTCCGTGGCCCCCACTAAGGCCCTCCCTCCCTCCCTCCCTCGGCCCCTCCCCGCCCGCAGGCTGTCAGAGCAGGTGGAGCTGCGCCGCTCCCGGTCGCTGCCCTCTGTGCCGCTGTCCTACGCCGCTTACAGCGAGGTGCTGCCCAGCTGGATGCGCAACAGCCTCTCGCTAGGGGACGCGCTGGCCAAGTGGGAGGAGTGCCAGCGCCAGCTGTTGCTGGGTCTCTTCTGCACCAACGTGGCCTTCCCGCCGGATGCCCTGCGCATGCGCGCCCCTGCGGAGCCTGCCCCTGCGGAGCCTGCCCCTGCGCCCCCGCAGCTCCCGCCCAGCTCGCCCCCTTGCTGAGCGCCCCTGCTCTGTCCTTCCCCAGCCCCCTGGGGTCCCGGTGCTGAGGGCTGGGCCCCCCAGCCTCCCTGCCCCGTGAGGCGGGGCCCTTGGGCCGGCTGCGATCCCCCTTCCCGGCCTTTCTTCATACCCCCTGCGGAATAAGGAGAAGGGGGCTTGGCTGTCAACCCCTCCACCAACCACTCACGTGCTGCACTGAGGAGGGAGAGGTGCCAGTATCCCTCCCCTCGCGGGGGCAGACGCCCCCTCACCTGTGCCTTAATCTCTTCCTCCCAGGCCCCACCCAAGGGCTGGGGAGGGCAGGGCCGGCACCTGGGGTCTCCTGGACCTGCGAGCCCTGCCCGAGGCCCCCACCCGTCAGCGCAGTATTACTCCTGAGGACTTTGCGCCTGCTCCTCCCTCCGCATTTTTCATGTTTTGCTGAAGAATGTGTGTGAAGAATTATTTATTTTCGCCCAAGCAGATGTAATAAATGCGACAGCTCACCCGTCTCCTTGGCTTGTATGTGACTCCCTTCTCCCAACACCCTCTCTGCTGACCAGTGTCTCTATAGCTTCGGGACAGGTCTTCCCAGGTCGGCTCCATGAGCCTGGCATTCCGGGCCTGGGGCTCTCCCCTAAAAGCGCCCTTGGGTCTCCCGCTTCCAGCCCACTCCTCTGGCCAGGAGCATACATTTGTCCCTTGCTTTGCCCTGAGGCCTGCTGGCTGACCCTTGGGCACAGCTTTCCAATGGCCAGCGGAAATATTTGGGGACCAAGCTCCTGGATAAATAAAAGCTAAGAAATATTTACCGAAGGTGGCATCTGCACCTCCACTCCATGGTGACACAGGGGGCGTGGGGCCAAGTTCAGGGTTGGACAGCTGCAGAGGGTGAGGCTGCTCAGCTGAGCACTGTCGACCTGGGAGCCTCGGGGGCCCGCTCCACTTTGGACATTTCGCCCAAGGCTCTGGGAGGTTCAGGTCTCCACTTGTCATCACAAACCTCACTGGCCAGGTGCGTACACCTTGTTCCTCTGTCCCTTTCCCCTCCACAGGGTACCCACCCTCCTGCCAATACACAGGAGAGGTCTGGAATGTTAGGCGGGGCGAGGTCTGAGCTAAAGGGGGCTGCACCTTGTTCTGGGGGAGACGTGGTTTCCCGAAAGCGTCCTCTGCCCTGGGCAGTCTGAGGGGATCTGGCCAGCCCTCTTTGGTGACCACAAGGGCCCATGGGGTGAGGGGTGCTGGTGTGGAGCTGGGCACTTGGCTGGCTGTCTGGAGCTCTTAATCCTGCCCGGTTCAGCCCCCACCTGCCTCCTCCCTCCAAGGCGTGGGGCAGCCCCCAGCCAACAATAACGGTGGTAGTGGGACTGCAGGACTGGGCGAGCCGGCTGGGCAGGTCCCAGGTGTGTGTGTGCCAGGGGCCGCCCCCCTCGCCGTCTCAAGGTCTTGTCCTATAGGCCCGACCTGTTCTAGTTCAGCAGGATCCCAGGCCCCTGGAAAGGCAGAGGTTTCCAGTCCCCAGCGCTGCCGAGGTGGCACTGTGAGGCCAGCCCCTCCAGGTGGGTGCAGGGGCCAGGCTGAGCTGGGAAGCGGGACCCTTGGGAAGAGGGACCCTTGGGAAGAGGGTAGGATTTTCTCCCCCAACAGGAAGGTCACACACAGGCCTTCCCCGGTGGAACCATCGGGGCTGTGCCCCCGAAGGAGTGCTGGGGGCGCCTGCGAGGTGAGGACCTCCTGCCTCCCCCACTCACTCACCTCACAGGTGCACAGGCATTTATGCTGTTGATTTAATTAAATACCATTTTCTAGTATATTACATGTTTATTGTTTTAAAATGGGAAAAATCCAAACGGGAAAAGGATAAGGAAGAAAGTAAAGTCACCCCACTCAGAGAGAACCACTAAAAATATTTTGGTCTATTTCCTGCTTGGCTTTTTCCTACACACACTTTTTGGCGCCTTAAATCCGGATCCTCAGGACAGCACCCCTCTTTGCTGTGGCCCTGCTCAGGAAGGGTCCCCCGTTCCCCGGGGTCATCTCTGCCCCATCGTGCGCTTGGGCTCTGCCAGGAGAGAGACTCGGGCCTCGGGGTCGGGGGGCCAGGCGGGTGTGGGGCCAGAGCTGGCCGCCCCGGCAGCGCCGAGAGGCGGGGACACGGTGACAGCAGCAGCCGCGGCTCCGCCCGGGGCCGGCCCACGCCGGGGGCTCGGTGCCTGCAGGGCAGCGAGAACCGCTCCTGCACGCGCCCCCGGCCCGCCGCCTTTCCGGGAGGAGCGGCCGTGCGTGCGGCAGGTGCAGCGGCACAACTCGCAGGTAGGCGCCTCGCGGGTCCGCCGCCCGCGGCCCCGGCCCTCCCGCCCGCCGCAGGGCACGCCGAGCCCCGCGCGCGTCTCGGTCGGGGACTCCGGGGCCCCTCGGGGCACGCGGCGGCGGGGCAGGGGCGGGCTCGGCCCCCAGGGCCCTCGACGGGGCGGCTCACCGGCCCGGCGGCCCTTCCTCTCTGCTCCCGGGCCCGGCGGCAGCGCAGCTTCCGGCTGGGATGGACCTCGGCTCCGGTGGAGCCCGCCAGCCGCCAGTGGCGCGGCGCAGCCGCCCGGGTGAAAGGACAGCATGAGGGGGGGAGATGACTCTGGCTCGGGTATCCCCTCTCGCCCTTCTTCAGAGCTGCTCTCTTAGGAGATCTGCCCCACCCCCCAGTACTGGTGGGGAGGGAATAACAGTCCTGGACTGAGAGGAGAGGACCCCAGAGTCCCAGGTGTGTGTGAGGGTGCCGCGGCGCTGGGGGTTAGCTCTGGGAAATCCCGGGCCAGGGCACTGTGGGAAGGACAGGTGGCTCTGATTAGGGGGCGGGGCACCCCGGTGGGAAGGGAGGCCACGAGGAGGTTCCGGGACTTGGAGGGGGTTAGTCTGGTGGAGGGGAGGGGCTCTAGTGCTAGCGGGAGTGGCTGTTAAGCCTGACAAGGGCCTTGGAAGGCACCAGAGCTGGACCCTGCACCTGCACTCCTGGGGCCAGGGGCCCGGTGGGAGGGGTTGTGGGGGTGGGGAGGTGGAGGGGGAGGAGCGTCCCTCGCCTGCCAGGTAGTTGAAGGTGAGAGCCACTGAGGCCCAGACTCTAAGGCTGAGGACTTAGCTGGAATTGGCTAAGTGCTCCTAGCGGCCCAGCCTGGGCAGCATGGGTCGCCAGGTCCCCAACTCCAGGACCTGCTCAGCTCCTCCCCCGTGGACCACTCCCTCACCCAAGCCCTCTCCCCTCAGCTGCCAGGAGCCCCCTCATCCTCATTGTCCATCACGAGGTCTTTTACAGCTATTCCGATAACTCAGATCACCCCCTTCGCACATTCATCCTCTCCTGCACTGGCTCCCTCCTGGGTCCCAGCCTCTAGCATCCTGGGCAGCCCCCACAGGCCCTGAGCCTGCATCACCCCATGGTGACACCTGTGCCTGCAGCACTACCCCCATGCGGGCCATACCATCCCCAGCTGCCCCTCCTCTCTGGACCTCCGCCCTGCCTTCTGCCACCTTCCATCCTGGTGCAGGTCTGCTCATTCCTGGCTCTGTACCGCCCAGCTCAGCCCTCAGACACCCTCACATCTCACCCTCTCGCTGCTTTCCCTTCCCCTCTCTCTTTCTGAGCTCCGCTCAGGCCCTGATTCCTCCTTGGCTTCACAGCACCCCACGGCCGAGACCCCAACTCCATGGCCAGCCCTGGGAAGCCCGGGGCTGGGGAGGCCCAGGAGGAGGAGGGAGAGGAAGAGGGAGGTTCCGTGGAGCCACAGGCAGAGATGCTGCAGCAGGCCCAGGAGCTGTTTCTGCTATGTGACAAGGAAGCCAAGGGCTTCATCACCCGGAATGACCTGCAGGTGAGTCCTCCACCCCCAGAGACTGCTCTGGCCAGGGACTGACCTCGGCTACTCAGCCCTGCCATTCTTGCCCGGCCAGGGCCTGCAGAGCGACCTGCCGCTCACACCCGAACAGCTAGAGGCTGTGTTTGAAAGTCTGGACCAGGCCCGCACAGGCTTCCTCACCGCTCGGGAGTTCTGCCTTGGCCTGGGTGAGCCTGGCCCCTGAGCCCCCCTCTGCCGCCCTACACCACCCCACCCCTGAGACCCTCCACCGGTGCATGTGGGACACCGTGAGGCTCACAGCCCACACAGATGGCAGCCTGCGCCACTCCATCACCTGGGTCTGTACTCACAGGCGCCACGGGGAGCCCCTCAGCTGCTGTGGCTTGTGCGGAGTTGACCCTCCTGCTTCCCCACCTGCTCTCCTGTGCCAAACCCAGATGGGGCTGGGAGCCAGGCATGCCTCATTCTGGCCGGAGCCCGGCTGTCACCTCCCATTCCCAGGCCAAGAATCGGACCAGAATAAGGAAGAAAAACAGGAAACTGGGCTCAGAGAAAGGGCAGGATATGTTTGTGGGGGGATGGGGGAGAGCTGGGTAACCAACAGCCCTCCTAATCTCTCCCTCCCACGCCTGCAGGGAAGTTCGTGGGGGTGGAGTCGGCTCAGGGTGCACAGCCCACCATGGCTCCCGAAGAAACCTTTGAGTCTGGCTGGTCAGAAGTGCAAGGCACCGAGGGCTCTCTGGAGGACGAGGAGGAGGAGAGATTCTGGGCTGAGCTGGAGCAGCTGGGGGTGGCCCGGGTCCTGGGCGAGTGAGTCTGTGCTGGCCCCGCTCCCAGCTCCCTCGTCTGTTATCTGTCTCCCTCTGCATGCTGCCTGTCCACGTCGCCAGCTGTCTGTTCCTGCGCAGGGTCTCTAGGCCAAGTCTGGCCCAGTCGTTCCCTCTCAGCTGCGACTACCTGGGAGGAGCCGGGCGTGATTTCCCGCAGAATTTGCATTTCAGGAGGCAGCAGTCAGGGCTGCGGGGAGGAGGGGCGGCACCCGGCACATGGCCACGTACAAACGGGCATAGCCCCGGATACACACGACACCTGGCTGCCCCGCGCGCGCACAAACCCCAGCAGGGGCGGAAGCACCACGAGAGAGATGCCTTGCATGCAGCAAAGGCTCCTGGCTTGTCCAGGACTGCAGGAGTCTCCTGAGGCTTACCCTTCGGGGTGGGGTAGGGAACCCTCACTTCTGCTTTAGCCCCTGCCCGCTCCCTCCAGGCAGTGGGCGGTGCGGACGCTCTGGACCCGGCTGCAGCGCGAGCGACCCGAGCTGCTGGGCGCCTTCGAGGATGTTCTGATGCGCGCGTCGGCCTGCCTGGAAGAGGCAGCTCGAGAGCGGGACGGCCTGGAGCAGGCGCTGCGGCGGTGAGGGCCAGGGGCCGGGACGGGGCCTGGGGGCCGGGTGGGAGGCCCCGGGAGACGGAGGAGGCGGGGCTAGGGCCTGTAGTACCGGCAGGTTCTAAACCGCTGTCTTCCCCCGCCCTCCCCCGGGGCCCCGGTCTCCTGAAGGCGGGAAAGCGAGCACGAGAGGGAGGTGCGCTGTCTGTACGAGGAGATGGAGCAGCAGCTTCGCGAGCAGAGCCGGCGCCTGCGGAGTCAGGTGGGCGCGCGGCCCCGCCCCCCGCGCGCGGCCCAATCGCAGTCGCGCGTGTCTCCCTGGCTCCGCCTTCTCCGAATTGGTCCCACCCTGGTCCCATCCCCCGCCCCTGCCCCTCCGGAGCTGGCGGAGGCTCAGGTGCCCCTCGCGCGTCCCAGGATCTCCCCCGGGAGGAGCAGAGAGGCCGCCTGGAGCTAGAGCTGCAGAGCCGCGAGCAGGAACTGGAACGCGCGGGCCTGCGGCAGCGGGAGGTGAGCGGCCGCCGGCCCGCCCCAGCCCACAACCCCATCCCCACCGTCACGCGTGCACTCCCTTTATCCTTGAGGTCCCCTGGGCCTCAATGTCCCCAGCTCCGAAATTGTTGGGGATCAGGGGCAAACACAGCAGCCCGGGGAAGAGGAAAGGTCCTCTTTAGCCTCGATCCCCCCACACCTATCCAGTTGGAACAGCAGCTGCAGGCCCGGGCCACCGAGCAGCTGGAGGCGCAGGAGCAGAACGCCCAGCTGTGGCGGGCCAACGAGGCGCTGCGCACCCAGCTGGAGGGGGCGCAGGAGCAGCTCCGCAGACTGGAGGGCGATGTGCAGAGTCGCCAGGAGCAAACCCAACGGTGCCTGGAGGGCGGGGCTGGGGTGGGCCCTCAGGGGCGGGTTCCGGGGAGGGGGTGGAGCCGGGGGGCGTGGCGGAGTCGGGGTCGCACTTGGGGTTCAGGTCTGGGCCGCTTCCATGCCTGTCCCATGTCTCGGCCCACCCTCAGGGTCTGCGTGGGATAGGGTCCTCTGGGGGTCATGGGGCACCCGAGGGAGCCTCCCTTGCATCCAGGTCACCACCTACCTCCCGCAGAGACATGGTCGTGGTCTCAAGGAACATGCAGAAAGAGAAGCACAGCCTCCTGAGGCAACTGGAGCTCCTCAGGTGCGGTCAGGCCCAGGCCAGGGGGGAAGGGGCTCAGCGCATCTCAGCTAGGGAGCTCCTAGCTCCCAGACATTCCTGACCATCGCCCCATCCCACTTCGAGGAAGTCCTTCCTTGAGTCTGCCCTCCATCCTCATACTGTAGCCCCAGACAGATACCTCTCTTCTGGTCTGAAGGAGAACCAGAGTCCCCACGTTCCCCACCCAGGAATGCTGCCCCTTGAGGCCTCTCAGAGCCCTTGGACTCCTCTTCCCCAGGGAGCTGAACACGCGGCTACGAGACGAGAGAGATGCCTGTGAGGCCAGGCGGCTGGGCAGTGGCCGCAGGAAGGCTCTGGCCACGGCCCGCCTGCCAGGGCCGACCTGCTGTTGCTGCTGCTGCTGGGCTCGCCCCCCCAGACGTGGCTCTGGCCACCTTCCCAGCGCCCGCTGACCAGCCCAGAGTGACTCATTGGGCGTTACTGGAGGAGCTGCCCCTTGAAGGTGACTTGTCATGGCTGGGGCCTGCCCATCCAGGATGTGGGCTCTACCCAGTGGACTGCCTGGCCTGCCTGCCTGCAGGCATGAAGGAACTAACCCCAGGGGTGGTCAGGGTCTCATGTGCCCCCATGCTGGTCCTCATCCTGTCCCACTGTCCCTATCCCATCAAACCTATGTCTGTCCAGCAGAAAAGCCCCCTCCTCCAAATAAAGTCCACTGACTGCACTGTGGATGCCTCAGCCTCCTGTGTGCGGGAGCCACAGCACTTGCGTGGTACATGCATGAAGCGTCCATGGTACACATGTGGCATGTGCGTGGTACATGCATGGTACAGGTCCACAGCCCCGTGGTGCTGGTGCTGTGGGTGTCTCCCGTCCTGCCCCCAAGCCCTCACCATCCATCAAAGTTGAAGCCTCAGGGGCCCTCTGCAAGGATGAGGAGGGGACTGAGGCCGATGGTCTCGCCAGGAAGGCCCAGGCAGGGTCTCCTGCCCACTCCTGGCCTCCATCGGCTCCTCTCTCCCCATTCCAGTCCTTGCACAGCCCTGGGGGGGCCAGCTCAGTCCCTGGAGTCTGGTGGTCCTGAGAGGAGCCTCCTGGGGTGGGCCTGAAGTTGCCTCCCATGCCCTTCCACCCCACCTGGGGGAGCTGCCCGCTGGAGCCACAGGCAGGGAGCTGGGGACCACTGCTGCCCACTGTCCAAGGAGAGATGCTCCAACTGATCCTCAGACTCAGACGGCCCCCCGTCTGGCTGGGGATGAGCCTGGTGGGCTAGGAGTCCCTCTGACTCCTTACTCCCACTCTCAGCTTCCCAGTCCAGCTGATCAGCAGGCTCTGCTCTTTCTCCCTCATCCCTTCCCCCACTCCCAGGCCCGATGCCCTCCAGACTGGACTCCCTCTCGCAGGGACCCTAGGGTTCCCTCCACACTGCACCAGAGAGGCCCTCCTCCTGCATCTGACTGTTCGTCCAGATCCTCACCCCAGGCCGGCATCTGTTCTGTCGACCCCTGTAGCCTCCGGTGGTTCCTGGGTTGGGGAAGAGAGAGGGGAGTTGCGCCGGGGTGGGCGCGGTCTTGGACACAGTCCAGCGTCTCTGCCGGGTTGGCCGCCGCCTCCCGGCTCCTCCGTCGCCCGCGGGTGTGCGCCCCCGGCTGCAGTCCGCTCGGCCCCCGCAGTCCCTGGTGGACCCGCGGCGCCGGCCCCAGCCAGTGTCCCGCCCCGCGCAACGAGCCCTGCCTGCCAGGACCTGCCCGCGGCCGCTGGCTGGGGCGGGGCCTGCGGGCAGGCGGGCGGGCCGGGCCGGCCCGGGGCGGGGCGGGGGGCGGCCCGCGCTTCTCCCTCGCAGGCCCCGCGCCGGCCGCGCATTCCCGGCGCTCAGAGCCGCCGCCCCCGCCGCCGCCCGCCGACTCCGACGCGTGGCCGGTGAGTGCGCCGCTGGCCGCGGGGGCTCAGTGCCCCGAGCCCTGCGCTGTCCGGCCCGAGGGCCCGGCTGCGGGCGCCGGGAGGGCCGGGAGGCCGGGCGGCCGGATGGGGAGCAGGCGAGGGTCAGGCGCTTCCCCTCCTGGGCCTTCGGACAGGCCTGGCGGCCCCTTCAGACCAGAGGCTCCCCACTCCTTGTCCCCGGACACCGGTCCCCTCCCTCCGCCGCAGGCCCGCCCACCGTCCGGGTGCAAGTGGGCGGGCCGTCGGCCTCGGCCGCGTTGAGGGGCGGCGGCGGCGACTTCATTGCGGCGGCGCGGGGATTCCTCCCCGGGCCTGACCGGAGCGGGGTCCGGGTCCCCTCCTTGGGCGCGGGCCGGCCTGGGGCCCGGTGGAGTTGCAGGCGCTGGAGCGGGGCAGCTCTGTCCCAGGCCGCGGAAACTATTTCTGGCCGCCCTTTCCCCGGGGAATCACATCCGCCAGGCGCACCCGGAACGAGGGGCCCCTCCTCAGCCGGCAGCTGGTGCGCGGCCGTGGGGGCTGATGTGTGTCCGGAACTAGCCTCCCCAGAAACCTGGGACCTCAGATCAGGCCCAGGGGCAAGTCGGTGGGGTGTGGGCTCACAGCCTCCAGCTCCGTGTAGGGTCTGCAGCCACTCCTGCTTGGTGGGGGAAGGGGCAGTGGCAGGTCTGGCTAAGACCGCGGGTGGGGTGCCTGGAGAAGGCGTGTGGTCCATCCCAGGATCCAACTTTCCAGCAATGTCTTCTGTCCTGCCCCGCCCTGGCCCAGACCAAAATACCGGGCCTGGCCGCTCCCCTCTCTGCGGCTGGGGGTGGACACTGCCTGCTGTGGAAGCCCAGCTCGGGTCCATGGCCTGGGGCAGCCACAAGGAGGGGTGGCAGGAGCCTATCCGGCCCATTTGGCGTGGGCCAGACCTGTGGCCTGTCCCTGCTCTTCTAGCGGAGTCTCCTGGGGAACTTCCGTCCACCTGTTCTACAGAGGAGCTGCCTGCCTGCCAGGTGAGGGCGGGGTGGGGTGGGTACAAGTCCAGCTCTGGGTGGCTCTGTGCCTGTCTGGAAACGTGGCTCCAGGTGCTGAACTGCCGTCAGTGCCCCACGGGCTGCCCCGCCCTCCCCAGTGCAGACGCCTCACCACAGAGCCGGGAGGGTGGCCCTGGGTGCCTCTGGGAGGAGCACAGCCTGTAGCTGCACTTCTCGCTGGCAGTGGTGTGGCTGTCCGCTTTCCGGTGATGGGGACCAATGAGGGAAGAACTCGCAGGTCTAGGGAGTGTGTGTCTGCCAGCCCTGCCTGCCCAGCACCCCCCATTCTCCCTACCCTGGCTGGGAGGAAGGAAGGAAGCCCTACTCTTTAACAGAAGCCTGAGGGGCTTCCCTAGGGCCACATGGCTGGCTATTGATGGGCAGACCAGTCTGCCTCCAAGTGGCCTCTTCCCCTGCAGTAGCCGGGAGGTTCCTGCCAGCCTGTGACGTGGGGCCCGGGGAATGCTGGGGGGGCGGGGGGCAGGCGGGGCCTGCATGACCTCACCTCCAGGTGCCTGCTGGGCTTCCTACCCTGGCTGCCAGCAGGGGTGAGTCAGCCAGTGATGGCTGGGGGTCCTCCATGCTCCTCATGACGTGGGCTCTGGTCAGGGAAGCCAGGCCCTCTGGCCTTCCAGGGCCTGGCCTTCAGCTTGGCTGTGGGCCCCAGACGTCTGCCCTGGCTGCAGTGGGGGTGGGGGCTCCTGAGCTGCCCTCCCAGGAAGTGTCCTGGTTCCCATGGACATTCTCCCAAGGCCTTCACCCAAGGCAGGCGGTTGGCTGGACCCCAAGTCCCTGGGCCGGCCTGGGCATCTGTGTCCCCTCCTGCTGTCCCCACCAGTGTCTTGCTGTCCTCCCAGTCCAGGCCTGGTGTTGTGGGCTATCTGACCTCCCCCGCCTCCCAGCCCCAGGATGGGTGAGTTCAACGAGAAGAAGACGACATGTGGCACCGTCTGCCTCAAGTACCTGCTCTTCACCTTCAACTGCTGCTTCTGGGTGAGCAGCGGGCACGCCCGCCCATCCCATCCCGTCATCTGCGGCTCTCTACCTATCGTCTCCTCCCTCCCATCCCTGGTCCGTGAAAGGAGCCCTGGCCTGGGGGCTCAGCCCTGTCTCTCAGACCTGGGGCCAGATGTGGTGACCAGTGTGCACTGCCCACAGCTGGCCGGTCTGGCGGTTATGGCAGTGGGCATCTGGACACTGGCCCTCAAGAGCGACTACATCAGTCTGCTGGCCTCAGGCACCTACCTGGCCACAGCCTACATCCTGGTGGTGGCTGGCGTTGTTGTCATGGTGACCGGTGTCCTGGGCTGCTGCGCCACCTTCAAGGAGCGGCGGAACCTGCTGCGCCTGGTCAGCGGGGCTTGGCCAGCACTGGGGGTGGGGGTGGGGATGGGGGCTACTGGGGCAGGGGCTCCCCACCAGGCTGCCTGGTGCTTGCTCTGGGGCCCTGATAGGAAAAGAACAGGACAATAGGGGTTGAGTGTGACACTGCAGAATAGCCTTTGCTGTGTTCACCTGGGGGGTGTCCCTTCCCACCTGCCCAGCCCTGGGAGTCCCCCCATCCCAGTGGGCCAGCTGAGGGAAGACACCAGCTCTGAGAGAAAGCATCAGGGGGCCTGGCTGTGCCCCAGCCTCCACCTGCTGCCTGGAGCCCTACTCTGTGGCCACTTGGGAGCTGAGGGTGGGGGCTCCGCTCTGTTGTGCCTGGACACTACCAGTCGTTGCGGAATGGGGGTGTCTGTGTCCCACCCTGCCTCATCGAGTCCCTGCCCCCCAGTACTTCATCCTGCTCCTCATCATCTTTCTGCTGGAGATCATTGCTGGCGTCCTGGCCTACGTGTACTACCAGCAGGTGAGGGCCCAGACAGGCCCCGTGGGGACACGGACACAAGCACACATGGACAGGCACATGCACAGGCAGGGTGTGCACATACAAGGATACATGTATATACACTGGAAAGGACATAGACACGCACATACAGGGACATGCACATCCACACACAACCCCCTTGTACTCCAGAGCTGACCATTGTGCCACTAGGCCCTGGAGGTGGGGGCTGGGTCACAGGAAGGGTGGACTGCAGGGTTGGGCAACCTGCCTGCAGCACCCAAGCTGCAGGTGCCCCCAAGCGGGGGCAGGTGTCCATGGGATCTGGAGCTCCCTCCCTGCCCTGCCCCTCCTGGTGGCCACTGGGTGCCTCTCCTGGCCCAACCGTGCCTGCCCCTGCTCTGCCCCACCTTGGAGGGTCTCAGACTTTGTGGCTGAAAGTGTCCCCACCTCACCCCCAGCTGAACGCAGAGCTCAAGGAGAACCTGAAGGACACCATGACCAAGCGGTACCACCAGAAGGGCCACGAGGGCGTGACCAGTGCGGTGGACAAGCTGCAGCAGGAGGTTGGTGGCTGGCACAGGGAGGGGTGTGCATGCCTCTGTGGGCCTCCCCAGACCTGTCCTGTCCCCACTGCAGGGGTGGGTAGTGTGGGGGCTCAGCCTGGCTGTGTTCCCGCTGCAGTTCCACTGCTGTGGCAGCAACAACTCCCAGGACTGGCGGGACAGTGAATGGATCCGCTCGGGCGAGGCAGGTGGCCGTGTGGTCCCAGACAGCTGCTGCAAGACTGTGGTGGCCGGCTGCGGGCAGCGGGACCACGCCTCCAACATCTACAAGGTGGAGGTAGGCTGGCAGGAACCTGGGGCTCCGGAGCCCCCAGATGCTGGGGGCTGGTGTGGCTACACCCCAAGGGAGGCTGGGGCTGTGGCCATGGGGGGGGCTGGAGGACTTGCCAGCCTTCAGCGCCCCACCCCCACCCTGCCAGGGCGGCTGCATCAGCAAGCTGGAGACCTTCATCCAGGAGCACCTGAGGATCATCGGGGCTGTGGGCATCGGCATCGCCTGTGTGCAGGTGTGGGCAGGAGGGCAGGGTGCTGTGGGGGGGTGCAGGGACGTGAGGCGACTGGTGGCCGTGGCCCACTCATGCCAGCTCTGCGCCACAGGTCTTTGGTATGATCTTCACGTGCTGCCTGTACAAGAGCCTGAAGCTGGAGCACTACTGACCTGCGCTGTGCTGGCCCTCCGCGCACGCTGCAGCTTCTCACCACCGCCCGTGTGACTACTGAGCTGACACTACTGATGGCCAGGGAGCTGGGGTCCCGGGGGCCCCGCCCTCACCCCTTTGCCAGGGACATTGTGTTCTCATGCCTCTACCCACCCCGCCACCGTGACCTCTGGGGACCCGCACTCCCAGAAGGAGCTTCCAGTGCCTTCTGCTGCACACCAAAGTCTTGAGGCCTGAGGTAGGCCCCCCCCCCCCGTGGTGAGGAGGGGCTGCAATTCTGCCTGTCCGCTGTCTGGGTGTGGCTGGTGGGGTGGAGCCACTGGGTTCTGAGAATAAAGCGCCCCCCACCCACAGGCCAGCTTCTTTGGGGTGGGGTCAGGAGGCCGTGGGGTACTCCCTAATGCCTCTGCTCAGTTGGAGGGGCTGGTTTGGGGGTGAGTTGGACAGAACTAGGCTGGGCCACCCTAGGGTGCTCCCAGCTGCCTGGATACACCCCCAATGGTGGCCAAGGGAAGGCCGGGAGGGGCAGGTGCAGATGTGTCTGCCACCAGGACAGTCCCACTCAGTAACTTGAGGCCTCTCCCTGAGGCTCCTCCCCCATTCTGTGCCTCTGCTGCTGCCCCTGCTCCTGGCCACCCTGCTCCCTGAGCCCCCGTTTCTCCCGCTGCTCTCAGCACTGTGTAAAAGGCCACATACTCACATGCTCACTGTCTCCCCTTCCCCGGGGCAGGGGCTTTGTGGGTTTTATTCACTGCTGTGTTACAAATGCCTAGAACTGCTCCTGCCACTTAACAGGTGCTCAATAAACGTTTGTGGAACAGACGAGTGAACTCTACGTCAGTGAGAGATGGTCCTGGTGCTTGGGGCCCTCCCATCCAGCAGGGTGGGCAGACCCATCACCCAGTGCCATGACACAAGGGCAGGGGACTGGAAGGGCAGCCAGTTGTGAGCTGAGAGCTGATGGGGTTCAAGGAGGAGGAGGTCAATGGCAGGGACACTGAGCACAGGCCTTGAAGCAGAACCTTGCCCATTCTGGGAGGGAAAGATGGTGGTGTGGCTGAAGCCCTCAGAGAGAAAATGTGGACAGACCTCGAGACGCCTGGACCTGCTTGTGGTTCTCAAAGATCCTCTGGCCACTGTGTAGGGACCAAGTACAGGTGAAAGTGGAGGTGGGAGGGCGTGGAGTGGGACTTCTCAGGTGCGAGCTGTGCAGCAGGGGTGCAAGGCCTGGGGCGGGGCAGGACATGAGCTGTCAATGGCAACCGGACTGGAGAAACCAAGAGCGCTGGGCCTGGAGGGGCAGCCAGGGCTCGGCCACCATGCCCCACGGCTTGGGCTGTCCACCCCTGGGCAGACCTTGTCATCTCCCGACCGGTTTCCTCATGTGCACTCGGAGGACCCTGTTTCAGGTGTCCAGGTATCCAGGCCGACCCTGAAGAAGGTGCCAGGAGAAGGCTGCCTCCCTCTCTCCTAACTGCATACTCCTACCCGCCAGGGTGACAACTTTCAACTCTGTGGCTCAGCCAGAGTTGAGCTCTCTGGCCGCTCCACAGGATGAAAGCTAATGCCCAGGACGTGGGGAGCTCGGCTAGCCCCAACACCCAGGAGACCCTCCTCAGGGCCACCCCCAACCTGCTATGGGGGTCTCAAGGCTGGTGCAGAGGCCAGGCCCTGCTCCTCCCCGTTGGCAGGAACTTGGCCAAGGGGAGGGGCCTGCAGGGCTGGGGTGGAGCCTGGAAGCCTGTGGCAGCAGGACCCTCAGGATGGACAGCCAAGACCACAGTGGGCACCCTATTCAGAGCCCAGAAAGTCTGGTTCTTGAGATCCTGGGAGAGAGAATGTGGGGACCTCTGTGCTCAGCCTACACAGAGCACAGAACCGGGTGGTGGGGATGCCAGTGTGTCGTGTCCCTGCCCCCCAACAGCGTTCTTGGTTGTCTGTGGCTTGTTGGGTTGTGACAGTGCACATTCCAGAGGAAGAACCCCCAGGATGAGCAGCCACCGCCATTTGGATGGCTCTCCTGCCTCCCGGGCAGTGAAGGCTGCATTCAGCCTCAAGGGGCCTCAGGCACGAGGCAGGACATAAACGCAGGTGGCAGGGAGTCCCACAAAGCCAGGCCAACTGTTAGGACCTCCTTGTGGCTCAGCCAAAACCTTTACTAGAGAGTTCTTTTGAGAGTGGGAGATGCACACCCACACAGCTCGGGGCAGGCATCGCTTCCAGCTACCCACACCTTGGTGGAATGGACCCTGGGCAAGTGGTCAGCATGGCAGGCGGGTGGGCAGGCTCCTGTGCAGTCACTTCTCCAGGGGCGCATAATTGAGCAGCTTCTCGATCAGGTCAACGTGGGCTAGCAGCATGCGGCGGCAGCAGTAGCGCTTCAGACCCAGCGCGTCCAGGGCATCCCTGCCAGCAAGGAGAGTGGCTGTGGTCAGTTCACCCTGGCAGACGGAGGGCCGTGCCCAGGCCACAGCAAGTCCCACTCAGCTGCTGTGGGATCTTTCCTCAGCTCTGCTCCCAACACCAGGGAGAGAGCCGCCTCTCCAGGGAGCACCTTCTCTCATTTCCTGAGCCAATTAGAGTTCCCAATTTCCCTGGGACCTAGCCCCAGTCACTCTCAAGGCCTGAAAATTTCCACATCACTGCCTCCAGTGTGCAGAGATGGCAGCTTGGGGAAGGGGAGGCCAGGCTGGGAGGTCCCTGCCTGAGGCATCCCAGGGAGGGGATCCTGTGCGGGCTGCCAGCCATTCACCGGCACTCTGATCACTGGCAGCCTCATGAGGGCCTGGCGCTAACATGCAGCCCACCCATGGCTTCCCCGTTCATCCAATACACTTGCACTGAGAGCCTGTGGTGTGGTGGCACGCCCCAGGGGTTCAAATTTGATCAGGACATGGAACCGTCCAAACAGGGGTGAAGGGTCAGCCTGTAGTGGGGAAGAGAGACTAGGACAGGCATAGTGGTAACTGCAGTGCTAAAGGGCAAGCACAGAAAAAGAACCCCACCACAGCCTGACGAGAATGGCTATGTGGTCAGGAAGCTTGTCCTACGTCCTAAAATGCAAGTGGATTTGCAGGATATGGGGGTGGGCGGAACAACAGAGAGATGATGTTAGAAAGCAAGAATAGGAAGAGGAGGCTGAGAGCCGAACTGTGGTGGAGAGGCGCTGTGGCCCGCCAGAAGGATACCTAGGAGTCCCCAGGACACCAGTGCCTTGATGCCCAACATCTCTCCTCTCCCCAGGCTGGGGAAGGGTGTGTGTTTGGCAATGCTGTCCTGAGGGCAGGTCAAGAGAGCAGGGCTGGAAGGGACCCCTGGTCCGCAGGGTCACCTGAAATCTGATGAGTGTCCCCACCCACCCCGCAGGCTGGGACGCCCCCGACCCCGCTCCTACCCCGCAGGCCAGGACCCGCCCCGCAGGCCGGGACCCCTGACCCTGACCCTGACCCCGATCCCGACCTCGTCCCGTAGGCCGGGACTGCCCCACCCCTCTCCCCGCCCCGCAGGCCGGGAGCCCCCTACGCTGTCCGGCCCCGCAGGCCGGCGCCCGGGTAGCCTTCCCTCCCGCGCCGGCCCGCGCCTCACCCTTCGGTGTACTCGGCCTGCAGGAGCCCCAGGTAGGCCTCCCACTTGTTGCCGACGATCTTGCCGCAGGTGAAGCAGCGCACGGGAATGATCATGGCGGCGGCAGAACTGGACGCACTCCTCGGCCCGGCGGCGCTTCCTCTTGTGGCCCCGGCCCCGCCCCGGGCGCGCCCATAGAGCGGGGGGGGTGGGTGGCAGACCCCGCCCCCGGCCGCCGCCAGCCCGCCCCGCCTGCTCCGGCACCGCCGGCGTCCGCTGCCCGCCGCAACGAACTGCCTCCGCGCGGGTCAGAGGTCCCGGGCCCCGCGCGGCCGCGGCGGGAACAAGCGGCGCCCCCCAGCTGCTGCTTTGGTACGTTCCGGCCTACGGCGGCCGCGCGGGGACTTAAGGGCTCGGCGGCGGCAGTTCGCGTTTCTCGTGGCCGCATGACTGACAGCTGCGCGGCGGGCAGAAGGCGCGCGCAGGTACCGCGCCTGTCTTGGGGATGCGGCCGGGGTCCCGCCGCCCGCGGCGCCCCAGCGGGACCGGGGCCGGAACCAGGACCGGGAGCGGGCCCAGAGCCGAGCCGGCGGGGAGTTCGTGCCTCAGCGCGGAGCCCTGAGCCGAGCCGCAGCAACAAGTGGCGGAGCCGGGGCCGGGGGCGCGGAGACTCGCGGCAGGGCGGAGAGGGGCTGACCGGCTAGCGGGGCCAGCCTGGGCGGGCGGCCACGGCGGGTCTTCCCGCTGCCCCTCCCGCCCTGCCCGGACGGGGGTCTCCCTGCCTGCAGCCCCTGCCTGTGGCTGCCCGGGGGCCTCTGCTGCTGAGTTTGGGGGTCCCATTCCCAGCCGCGGCCCGGCCCCTCCGGGCACTGCCCGGCCGGCTGGCCTGCGCAGTATCGGTCCTGGCCGGGTAGTTAGTTACCTGCAGCCCCGACGGCTGAGGGCGCGCTGGGAGCGATCCGGCCTGTGGCACGCTCGCTTGGCCGGCAGCTCCTCCCCCGCAGCACCGCCTCACTCCGCTTCGGCCCGCGTCCCTCCTCCCTTCTTGTCGGGGAAGGAACAGGGAGGGGGTGCGGGATGGGTCTGCACCCGCAGCAGGCTAGGCCGTGCTGGGTCGCCCGCGTGCTGGGGGCGTCGGACTTCTGAGGACCCATAGGGGAGCGGCGGCTGGGGAGGGTGGTCACAGAGGGTGTCGTGGAAGAGGTGCTCGTGAGCTGAACCTTGAAGAACACAGGATTTCACCAGGGGCGAGCCTGAGTGTGTGTGAGGGGCGAGACAGATCCTGGCAAAGGGAGCCTTTGGGCAGAGGCCTGGAGGCCGCACCTGCAGAGCTGTCCAAGGAAACAGCTTTGCACTAGCTTCAGAATAGGTGGAAGAGCTGGAGGTCACGGGGCAGGAGCCACGGAGGATTTGAAGGGATGGAAGGCTGTGTCTCTGAAAATGGGGTGGAGTGAGCCCGGTGACCCTGGGCTGGGGGCTAGGGGACAGGCAGTGTGCTGTGAGAGGCGGGGAAGGCTCCCTGGAGGAGGTGAGCTTTGGGCAGTGGTGGGTGGATGTGTGGCAAAGTGGCACCTGTGACTTGGGTGCGTGTGCAGACTCTAGGCAACTTCACTGGCCTGGGGCGTCTGGATCTCTGATCAGGATCAGTCCAGTGTTGCGTCCCAGGCATCAGCTACCACCCCTCTCAGGTGGATGATGGACTCTGGCCTCAGTTGGGGGGCAGGGAGATGGAGGGTCCTCTGGGTTCTACCTGGGGCTGGCCAGAGGTGCTGCCTGCCTGGAGTTTATGCCGCCACCTTCGCCTGGGTCCTGGACAGCCTCCCCCGTGGCGTTTGCCATCCCCCACCCTGCCACGTGCAGAGCCACGAGCCGAGGCCACTTCCCTTCCCTTCCCTCCCCCAGGCTGACTGGACGCACATCCTGTCCCCGCCAGAGGAGCGGGATAGGGGGCCTTGAGTCACAGTGGCCTGGGGTCAGACTCGGGCTCAGCTGCAGAGGCTGGCAGCGGCTGGTGGCTGTGGAGGTGAGGGAGACAGGAGGGGGATCCGGGATGTCAGCTGGGTGGACCTTCAGGAGCTAGTGGGGGTGGAGGGCTTCCTGGAGGAGGGGCCCAGGGCCTGCCCCACCCTTGCTCCTGCCCAGAGCCTGAGCAGTTGTTTACTCCAAGAGAGTGAGGGGAGCCAGCCTCCCGCCCCGATCCTGGCCAGAGCCAAGTTGACATTCCTGGAATTCTGAGCGCTGTGTGTGGATTTGGGGGCGGTGGCTGGCCTCCGCTTCCTGAGCTCCTCCCTCCAGCTCCCTGATTTCCCAGGAGAGGCCATGGGGAGCAGTGCGGCTGCCCCCGTCCCAGCCCGTGTGCATACTCCCAACACACGTGCACGAAGGCTCCTTGGGGCCCTCGATCCTCCTGTCTCGACTCTGCCGTGGCTCAGGCCTGACCAGGCTGGACCAGAGGAACCTGGGGGAGCCTCAGAGGTCAGCCCTGCCCTGCGGCCTGGACCCTGGGTGGCCGTGTCCCTCTGTGTGCATGTGTGTGTGTGTGTGTGTGTGTGTGTGTGTATGTTAGGGAGGAGCAGGCTGGGGTGTGGGCAAGGCTCTCCTCAGAGTGGGCAGGGGCAGGAGGGAGCCATGGGTGCCTAGGGCCCTGGTGGTTGGGGGTGGGGCTATGCCTGCCTGGAAGCATAGGTGGGGGGTCCTTGCTTCTCCCCTGGGTGCGTGTGGAACCCAGGCCTCTGGGGAGGGGTGGAGAAGGGGACGGGAGAGTGAGGCTAGGTTTCTGAGCATGGAGTGTCCTGCCCCTGGTGGTGGGGGCATGAGGAGGGAGGGCGGAGCTCACATGTGGTTTGGAACCCGTGAGCCACGCTTCCTGCTGGAGGGTCACTTCAGGGCAGATGCAGACGGGACAAGGGGAAATCAGCAATTGAAGTTTGAGCTGCTGAGACCCTCTGGCTGAGCGTTGCCCTGGAAACAGGCTGGCTACAGGGGTACCCTGGCCTGGGAGTGGGCTGAACCTGCCCCCTGGTCCTGGATCCCAGCCTCAGTTTCCCAATCTGTAAAGTGTGGGTGGAACCAGAAGCTGCCCAGTGGGAGGGTCCCAATCCTGGCTGTTCAGGCGTGGGGTGCCAGGCTTGGCCCCTAGCCCTGCTTGCTTTGGGTAGATGTGGGCTCACACAGGGGATATGCACGGTCGAGTGGGGTCCATGAACATACATGTTTGAATGCCTCCCTGGGGTCAGGTGGGGTTACCCCCCTGCTGTGCCCACACTGACCCTCTCGGCTCTGGGGGCTGGGGAGTCGTAAGTGGTGGTATTTGTAGGTATGCTTGAGGCCAAACTGGCCTTAACCTACAGACTGTTTGGACACGTCTGGGCCGATGGCATTTGGGAACGTCACCATCTGTCAGCCTGGCTGCCCGGGCCCCGTGTGAGGCTCCCTGAGGGTACGCCTCTGTTGGGGTCTGGGGGGCGGGGGAGTGTGTGTCTGTGCAAGGTGGGTGGGCACACACTGGGTACCTGAGGTAGGGTGCTCCTGGAACCTGCAGTGGGTGGGAGGTGCACCCCAGGGTCCTAATTGTGTCCCCTCCACCCCAACCTCCACATGGCCAGGCAGAGAAATACCTGAGGGTGGCAGGAGAAGAGGGAGTTCTGGGGAAGGCTTTGAGCTTGGGGTTGGCCTCAGTGGGCCCAGGAGGAAAGACCGGGGGCCCCTTGGTGGCCTCTTCCCCCTGGGACCCATCCCCTGGAGTAGGTGTCCCCCAGCCCCGGAGGCTCCCGTTTGGGTGGGGGGATAGGACCCTGAGCAGGCTCTGGGTGTGGGGGGTGCCAGCCTGCCGCTCCCCCGGGGTGGGGGCCTGGGTGGGTGCTGGGGCCTGGCAGCAGGAAGGCGGACACCACAGGCCTGTTTGTGTTGGCGGGGCCCTCCCAGCTCCTCAAAGCCGCCTCAGAGCTGGCTTGGCCTGGGGGCCCAGAGCGGGCGGGCTCCGCTCTGCTTTCTACCCTGAGCTACTCCCACTGGGGTGTGTGCTCCCAGGCCAGGCCCCTGCAGCTGCTTGGCTGGCTGCTGGGGCTCAGGGTAGGCTAGGCCACTGGCAACCGCCCGTCAGCTCCCGGCCTCCAAGTCTGCATGGGCAAGCGCTTCTTCGGCTTTTGGGGAGGTTTCTCTTTGAGCAGGGTCTTGGTCTGGCCAGGTAGGTGTGGCTCATGGTCCCCTGGGGCCCCAGCCCGGGGCCCTGGAGGGTCCAGAGGCACAGGCCAGGGTGGGCAGGCTGTGGGGGTGTTCGTCTTGGGGTTCTCACTCAGTCCCGTCCCTGTTGCCTGCTACGTGTGCCATTCTGGGGCACACAGACATGCCGGGCTCTGTACTCAAAGGAAGCCCAGGGCCGAGATGGGGTAGGGAGGCTTCCTGGAGGAGGAGGCTGGGCCTGGGTGAGTCAGGGAGCCAGCCCTGGGCCTCTCTGGCCCCTGCACCCATGCCCCAACTGCAGGGTTGTATCTAGGCTATGCAGGATGGAGGTGGGGGGCCCTGGACTCGTGAAGGGGCGTTGTAGGGGCTAGAAGGGCTGCAGGTCATTCACAGAGGGTCCAGGGGCTGCCTTGGGGCTGGGAGTTGGGAGTATGGCCAGGCAGTGGTCTGGTCCAGGCTCAGCTTGGTGTTGGCTTGGGTCTTCCTCACATGTGAGGGCCCAGGAGGGATGGGGGCCATGAGAGATGCTGGTGGTCTGCCCTTTAGGACCTGCCCAGGAGGCCCAGCCACTGATGCCCGGGTCTGGGGGTGTCGGCGCCTGCAGATCAGCCTCAGGCCTGTGCGAGTGGTAGGGTGTGATGCGTGGTTTTTGGCTTCTGGAATGTTGCTGTGGGCTTTGGGTCCCTTAGCTCCTGGGGAAGGGCTTCATGGAAGAAGGTAGGAGGGGCGTGTCCTTACCACATCGCCCTTGAGGTTTCACTGGGCCCAAAACCCCTCCCGGGACGCTTCATCCCTGGGCACAGCACTTGTTGAGGGTGGGGGTGCGGTCCCAGGGTACCAGACCAGGTGCATCTTCTCTCTGCTGTGATGGGTGCTGTTACCCCCTAACTGAGGTTCACGGGGACCGGTCTCAGTTCATCTGCAGGGAGGAGGTGGGACTCCACCCACTCAGTGGCGTCCTGTCCGCCCCAGGCACGGGTTGGAGTGGACCAGTGGGCAGTGGGCTGCCCATGAGGGGGTGGGCACCTGCCACACTGGTGTTTTGAGCCTGTGCAGCCCCCTCCTGTCTTTGGGCTGCTGGCAAGACCACCTGCCCCATCCTCCAGGCTGCAAGGAGTCCCTGGTCTAAAGGGCAAGGTGGGAGGGCATGGCTGGGATGCCATCAGGCCCCCCATGTGAGCTTGTTGCCCCCTCCCCTCCCTGGCTGGCCGGGCAGGGCAGCATCCCCCTGTGAGTGCCAGTGGCAGATGAATAGGCCTCGTGAGATATCGCTGCTGGCTCTCTGGGGAGAGCATTAGGCTGGTGGCTTAGGGCATCTGTCTGCTCCGAGCAAGGAAGGGGTGGGGTAGAGAGCCTCTCAGGGGAAGTCGACAACACAGGCTGGTCCCAGGGGTCTGGGACCTCTGGGGGGTGGCACACCACTGCATGCCCTGAATCTGTGTGTAAGTCCATAGCTCCGAACATGCGTGTTCTCTGCGTGCACGTCCCCTCTCTGTGTCTGCGTGTGCAAGCCTGCCTTCCTGCCTGCACATCTCAGAAAGCTGAGTGGCCGGAGGCTGGGGATGCAGCCTCCCTGGCCTGGGCCCTGGTGGGTGGTCTGGTCCCCTACGTCTGCTGGTGTACCCCATCCGCCCGCCGGCCACCCCTCTGTCCCTGTAGGGACCTGGTCCTGAGTGGAGGGCTGTTCCTCCCCTTGGGCCTGCCCTGTGTCTGGGAGCTCCCATGGAGGTGGAAGGAGGTGTGGCGTGGCCTGCAGCCTGCCCGTGTTTCCTCTGCAGAGCTCCAGCCTGCCTTGGCTGTGCTGACCGCTCACCCACCCGCTGGCCCACCTTCAGAGGCGCTGAGCACCGCCTGGCTTCTCACCTGTGGCAAGCCCAGGTATGTCACGGCCTGGCCAGGGCAGCACTGGGCTGCCTCCTGGTCTCCCCGATGCCTGGCCCAGGGGCCTGGCCCACTGGACGTACCCCTGGTCCTGGGACAGACCGAGCCAGCCAGATGTCGCCTCCTGAGTGTGTCTCATTGGGGCCCCACCTGCTAGAGGAAAGGGACTCCTGCGGGAGAGGGGCTGGGCTTTGGGGACAGGGTCCCTGGGCTGCAGCCCTGGTGCACCCATGTCCTTTCTCTGATTGACCCTCGTGTCCTTGGGTGGGTCTTCCTGATTCATCCCAGATCAGACTCACCTGCTCACCTAGGGTGATGCATGCAGGGTTTTGTAGATGGGAGAGGGGGTGGCAGGAGTATGGGGGTGCGCTGGAACGGCATTGGCTGAGCAAGATGGAGCTGAGGGCATCCTGGTTGCTGGGCCCAGTGTGGGAACCCAGGCAACACCCTTGTCTGCCCCAGTCCTCGCCCCGCACCCCGGTGTGATGAAGGGGTAAGGGCTGAGCCCATGGCCCCCCTGGGGAGCCCTGCCTGTCAGGGCTCCCCTCCCAGCTCAGCTCATCTTTGTCCTTGGACGCCTTGCCTTGGGAGTCAGGCTGCTCCTGCCCTGTCCCCACCCACCCCCGGCCCCAGTGACTTCCAAGAAGATAGAGCTGACAAGCTGGCTGCAGGTTTGTTTATGCTGGCGGAGGCCTAGCTGTCCCTCCCAGGGTTGTCTGACCCTGGGCTGCAGGGGTGCTGCGTGGGGGGTGGCTGGCTGTGACCCCATCATGGGGGTTGGTGTCTGTGCAGGGTGTGTGTGGTGGGGTTTGGTTTCTCTGAAGGGGGGTGTCTCCTGCTCAGCCCTGGGTCCTCCCTCAGCCTCTTGTGCCTGAGAGTGCATTCCAGGCACACGCCCTCTCACACTGACACGTGCAGGGACCCCCATGGTCCTAAGTGTCCAGCCTCGGTGTGGGCGCTGGGGCCTGGCTGAGTTGGGCCACTGGGAAGATGGCCAGAGGCTGCTGGGAGTCACCAAGATCTCGAGGGGTCACCAACTGCCACTTGCTCCGTGTGACAGAACTGCAGATGATGGTCTCTGCAGGGGCCTGGATGGGGTCCCTCCACTTCCTGCTTCTCCACTCAGCCTCTGGTGCATGGTCACAAGTGTGTCCCTTTCTTGTGGCCCCGGTTCACCAAAGAGCCCTCGGGGGAGCACAGGGTAGAAGGGCCACAGGAAGCCCCAGGCCAGCAGTGTGGGCCAGGCAGGGACTCTGGGGCTGTTCTGTCCCACCTCCCCACCAGCGCCAACTCTGCTCAGAGAGGACTCACTGGGGCTTGAGCTGCAGTTCCCTGCAGAGTCCTCCGGGGGCAGCAGAGGGCCGGTGCTAGTGGCCCTCAGGGCCCCTCAGGGCTGCCAGACCTCACTGGACCCCCAGCAGTCCACACGTCCCCCAGACTTGCTGCTAACCCTCCAGCACCAGGCAATCTCTCAATTTGTCACTTTGTCAGCATCGCCAGTGGGGCCCCTCCTTCTCCCTCACTGAGCCCTCCTCCTTTTCTCTTGTCCCCTCTCCTCCCTGCTCCCCTCCCACCCCCCTCCCTTCCGCCACCCTCTTCCTCATTCCTCTCACTATTCTCCCCTCTGAGCTCTGCTGCCTGACTCTCAGGGGCCTTCAGTGAGTCCTTCCCTCTTTGGACTTCAGTTCCTGCGACCGTCCCATGGCGTGGACACTGCCAGTAGACTGCCATGATGGGCGGGTAGGCCATGGCCACAGCCACTAGCCCAGGGTGCAAGGGCACAACCATGCCTGCAGTGGCCTCTCTCCCGGAGGCCCGGGCTCCCCTGCCTGAACCCAGAGAGGAGGGGTCTCAGGCCCTCCTGGGCATCTGGGCAGCAGGCCTGAGCTCAGGGAGGAGGCATGGAGGCCACTTGCTGATGTCTTCCCCTCACACCAGGGCCCCAGAGACTGTGCTGCCCCCACCAATGGGGTGGGTTATGGGGGCACAGCTGTCCCCATCTGCGATTGTGGGCATGTGTGAGTATGCCTAGGCTGTTCCTTGTGCGTGTGTCTGCACATCAGCAAATGTGCACAGCACCAGAGCAAGGGGCACTGGGGCACATTCCGGGGTGTGCGCCAATCACCGTGGGAGTCTGCGAGCCTGGCTTGGGTCCACGTCAGCCTGTATGTGTGTGTGGATGTGTCTGGGAGGGCGCAGGGTCCGACTTCCAGCCTAAGCTGTGCAAAATGAAATTTGGGGCCCCTTGGTCAAAAATTATCAAGCATTTCAAGACTGGCAGTGCAGCATCAAATCAGCAAGGGGTCCCATGTGACGGCACATGTCACATGCCCCTAAAGCCAGTGCTGTTCCCTGCCCAGCCAGACAAGAGCAGGGGAGGGGGCTGGGAGGGGGCGAGGTGAACAGCCCACCCTGGCTGGGTGGAGGAGCGGGGTGTTGCCAGGAGTGGAGCTCTGGGCAGGAGCTCTGGGCCAGCATTCCATGGGGCCTGTCTTCAGGTCCCTACAGATCACTCCTGCACTCCTGGGTGTTCCTGCCCCTCCCTTTAAGTCTGAAAACCTCTGGGACGGGACATGCCTTGCACAGTGACCCACCTCCCTGGTGCCCAGGGCTCCCCTGAGCCCCATCCCTGGCCCCTCTCAGGGTCTTGCTCCTTAAACCGCAGCTCTGCCTCCTCCCTGCCACTACTCGCCCCCCAAGGCTGAGTACTCCTCAGCACCTCTCCCCATCCAAGAGGTGAGCTGCGGGACCTTTGGGGTCCCAGCGCAGCCTTCGCTTAGCTCAGGGTGGAGGTGGGGGGAGGCTACTTAGAGAGTGTGCACCCCAGCTGTGTTCCGGGTCTACATTCTCCCCAGTTCTACCTCGCTCTGGAGTCGGAGGCCTCGGTCGGGGACCAAAGCCGGAGCCACCTCAAGTTGCCACCAGAGAGCAACTGGGTCACCCTCTATTTGCATAGTGCTTTGCAGATCTGTGCGGTCAGAGGTCTCCAAGCCCGGCCCGGCAGCGGGGGCCGGGCGCAGTGCGGCCGCGCGGGGAGGCCGGGGGCCTCGTCCCTGGGGCTGAGAGCTGCCTGGGCTGCAGCCCCCGACCCCCGGCCCCCGACAACGCTCCCCCTGTCCTTCGTGAGCATCTTCCTCCCCGGCGGGGCGGGGACCGGGAGAGCCAGGGGCGCCGGCGCGGGCGGAGGGGCGGGCGCGGGCCGGGGGCGCGGGGCCGGGGCTGCGATTGGCCGGTGCGGGCGGCGCGGCGGGGAGGGAGGGGTCCGCGGGGGCGGGGCGGGCGCGGATTGGTGGGTGGGCGGGCGCGGGGCGGGGGCGCGGGGCTGCGGCGGGCGGGCAGGTGTCCGGGGCCCGCGCGGGGTCCGAGCGGAGCGGGCGCGGGGCCGAGCGGGCCCGGCCGGCGGGATGCGGCGTGCCGGGGCGGCGGGCGCGGGGCGCTGAGCCCGGTGGCGGCCCCGGCGCGATGCGCCGCTCGAGCACGGACGAGTCCACGTACCGGCGCAGCCCGTCGCCGGAGGGCAAGGAGCCGGGCTTCGCGCGCGGCGGCCCGTTCCGGCGCTACAGCAGCCTGTACGGGGGTGCGGACAGCGGGGGCGGCGGCCCCTTCTTCGGCCTGCACTCCAACCCCGGCCCCAAGGCGGCCCAGGCGCGCTACACGTCTCCCAAGGGCAACAAGTACGTGGTCTTCTACCTGGACCTCTCCTTCATCTTCCTCCTAGAGCTGAAGCGCTGCAGCATGGCGCGCGGCTGCCTGCAGGGCGTCAAGTATCTCATGTTTGCCTTCAACCTGCTCTTCTGGGTGAGTGGCGGTGGGGACCCCGGGTGGCTGCTCCGGGCTGGGGGGGGGGGGGGCGAGGAAGGACCTAGAGTCGCTGCGCTGGCTGGGATGGGGCGCGGGACACCTGGGAGGTACATGGGAGTGGTGTGTGTGCCGGAGGCTACTGCTCCTGCTGGGGACCAGGGCTGGGCCGGCCATGGGGAGGATTTCCGCTACTGCGAGGTGCAGCCGGGCCTCTGCACTCTGGGCGCTGTCCCGCGTCCTCTCCCGTCTCTTCCCGAAACCGGACGTGTCCTGCACCTGCGCGCCCGACACGACGGTGGGGCACTGCCCCTGCTTGTGCCGCGGTTCCGGTCCTGGTCGTGGCCAGCAGTGCGCTGGGACACAGGTGCCTCCCTTCTGTTCCTTCCTCTCCCTCCGTGCAGTCTGCGTCCTTTCTCTCCCCTGCCATCAGACTGACCCACAGGCTCTAGGGACCTCACTTCCCGAGGGGATGCAGGGGTGAGCTGGTCCCCAGTCTCCGAGGTGCTGGGGGAAAGGAGAGGAGGGTGTGTGCACCAGAGAGCACTTTGGCTGGGCCGCACACTGAGCAGGACCGTGGGCCGTCGTGAGTGCCGGGGAGGTGTCCGGCTTCCCTGCCTCCCGTACGAGTGGAGGGGCTTCCCTAACTTTTGCTGAGGTGGACTGGGTTTGCTCAGACAGGACGCACCCACGCCCAGGGTCAGAGGTGTTGGTGCTACAGGGTGGCCCCTTCCCCCAATATCAGGGACAGAGTTGCCCCCGGCCCGGTAACTGCAGGGTGGCTGGTGGGCTGGGGCTGTGGGAGGTGTCACACCTGACCAGGTTGGAGCAAGCCTGATCAGGCCTGGGGCTCCACTGGCCGGGCTGCAGGAGGCTTGCTGGAGAGATGATGCCAAGGTCACTTCCTGCTCCATGTTAATTCCTGGGCAAACTGGCCCTCCACAACTGGGAGTGAGGAGGCGTGGCTTTAGCTCCCCAGGGTTCTAGACTGGAAGGAGGCTTCATTTGCATCTCATTTCCATGTTTATTTGCATGTGGTCCAGTTGAGGCCACATGCCTAGAAACCTGGGTCTGCTTTCTACACATCCCTTCCATCCTGGTCCCTGGCTTTTTTCTCCCTAGCTTGGTGGGGAGAGTCAGGGTCACTGGGAGGGGTGGCCAGCCTGAGCTGCCTGTGGGGTGTGACCCCAGGGGACTCCTGCTCCAGATGTTCAGTTCCAGAAGGGTTGACCCTGAGTGTTCTCTGCAATGGAGGGGTGAGGCTCTGGCCCAGAGCGGAGGCTGGGAGCCGATAGCAGAGGAGGGGCGGCCGGAGCTCTGCTCTGGCATGTGAAGGGGATGTTGACCAGGTGCAGTGGGCACCAGTATGGTTAGCACTGAGTGGCTGGCAGAATCAGCATGTCCTAGGAAGTATGATAGGAGATGGCTGCAGGTGACAGTGTGACCAGAGCGGGCAGCTGTAGGTGTCGCCTTGACGGTGGTGGGCAGTGTAGGTGGTGGATTGACTGGGGGGATGAATGGGAGTGGTCAGGTCCCAGGAGGCGCACAGGACCTGCTTCTCCCCTCATCCGCCCTCCTCTCTGACCTAGCCGCCTTCCTGCAGGGAAGAGGAGGGGGCCTCCGGTGGGGCTGTGCTCTGAGAGCAGCCCACCCTAATGGGTCTGCGGGTGGAGCTGTCTGCCCTCTGAACCCCCAGGAGCCTCCCTGCCAGCTGCAGGCAGACACGCTCCGCTGATCCCTGGTGGATGATGTCCTCAACCCGGAAAAGAACAAAGCAGAAACCCCTTGGGACCCTCTCCTGGGCTGGAAAATCCAATTCCCCTTTATTATCCAATTACATCTCCCAGCCAAGCAAACTGGGCCCCTTCTGCTGGCCTTGGCCCCTCCCCACCCCAGCCTGGTGCCCAGGGGGGGTCTGAGACTGGGGGGTCTGAGAGGGGTCCCGGGCCTGCTCACGGGAAGCAGGCAGAGGTGAGGGGTGGTGTGAATGGCCAGGAGCCCAGGCGTGACATCCGCCCTGCCTTGTCCCTGTGCAGATGTCAGTTAAGCCCTTCCTGCTGGTGACAGAGTGGGGGTGGGGGGGTTAGCACCCTTTCCTGGGACTCCGGCTTCTTGCTGTCTAGGGTGCTGGCCCCTCCAGGAGTGTTTTTCCCTCCCACTTCATTTCCTCTGATTGAGAGACCAGAGGACAGAAGCCCTCTGGAGTGTCGTGCCTCAGTCACCCCACTGGAGCTAACTATAGGGGTCGGGGCTGAGGTGGTGGGAGGGGTGTCCCTGAAGGCTGGACCTCAAGACCTTTGCCTGTGTCGGTCCTGACCCTACCCTACAGGGCCAGGCTTGGCCACCACGGAGCGACCTGGCCAGTGTGGAGGTCGTTGGCCAAAGCCGGGGTGGAGGTGAGGGGAGTTGTGTCTTGCAGGGCAGCCGTGCCTGTCCTGGGGTGGCTCCCAGAGCGGGTGGGTGCTGGGAGCCTTGGGAGAGGGCAGGACGAGGGAGCCTGGGGTGCAGGTGCTGGTGCAGGCAGGACGAGGGGAGGGCCCCTCAGAGTTCAGAGCTGACCTGCCCCCAGACCCACACCTGCCCTTCCACAGCATACGGGGACCTCACTGGGCAGGGCCAGCTGTGTTAGGGACACAGTCACCCTCCTCTGAGGCATGCACAGGTTGGGGACAGCTTAGGGCCAGGGTCCCTGAGACAGGGCCCAAGGTGTCTGGTGGAGAGGGCTGTGTGCTGGGCCCAGGAGTGGGTGGGGTGTGCCACGTGAGATGCTGGCCTGGGGTGAGGGGGTGGGAGCCCTCGGGGTGGCAGAGAGGAAGGAGGTGCTCTCCCTGCCCCTCCCCTGCTCTGGGTCAGGGTGCTCAGGGCAGGTGGTCCCCGGTGGTCCTGGAAGTGGGCCTGGGTGGATGCAGGGCTGAGGGAGCAAGGTGAGGGTGCTTCTGTGGCTCCCCCGTGGCCAGGTGCCACGCCTGGGCCTCAGCTTTGCGGGCCCAGCTCCTCCCAGATTTGGATCAGCCGAGCCAAGCGCCCCTCATCCCACTACTCCCTGGAGGCATCCCTCCCCACACCCCCTTCCACCTCCGGGCTGCTCCCCGCTCTGCCTCCTCCTGCACGTGTGCTCAGGGCTGGGGAGGGGGGTGTTGAGCGCTGCCTGCCAGCCCACTTCCTGCTGCCCAGGCCACCGTGGGACCCAGGTCCTGCCCTCCTCGGGCCCTCAGTTTCCAACACATGGGGGCCCCGGGTTTTCCCCTTTGATGAGCAGCTGACGATACCCAGCTGGCCCTGCCTGCTGTTGCTGGCCTCTGGGCAAGGCACCCTGAGACTGGTGGAGGAGGGACCCATGGTTAGCAAAGGGCTCTGCAGAGCTGTGGGCTTCCACCTCTCCCTGGTCCTCCCTGCAGTTGGGGAAACTGAGGCACGCCATGGATGCCCTGCCCGAGGTCACAAGGGTAGGGCCAGCGAGCCTGTCAGACCTCAGACCTCACGGGTTCTCCTGGCGATGCTGGAGGTGTTCCTGTGTCCTGGCTCCAGTTTCTTCCTGTGACGGGGTGAGGCACAGGGGCGGTCCTGCTTCCTGCCACGATCCAGGGTGGGTGGGCAGTGGGCATGAGCAGACTCGAGATGGGCAGAGGGAGGGTGGGCAGGTTATGTGGTGGGACCGGGCCTAGAGGGTGCCTGGGAGCAGGTGCTGGTGTCCACACGGGCTGAGGGGGTTGCTTGGCAGTCCTGGTCAAGTCAGGGGTCAGGATGCCACAGGAGGCTGTCCTGCACGAGTTCTCGTCCTTTGGCCAGTGGCTGGCTGACTGGACAGATGGAGACTCTGGGGCCTGAGGATGCTGATCTGCTCTGTGGTGGCAGCGCCAGGTCTCTGGGCCCTAGTCCCCACCTGGGACCCTGCCCACTGCACCCAGCTCCCCAGGCAGAGCCCTCCCCCTGTGGTGGGGATGGCAGGCAGCTGTGCCATAAACAGCAACAATTCGTTTCTGAATAAAGGCCCTGACTCTAGAACCTGGTTGCATGTGCCTGTCAGGAAGTTGGTGGCTCCCCTGTTGGGTTGGGGGTGGCAGCGGCTGGTCAGGGGCCCCTGCCTGCCCAGCTGTGGGCTCCATGTAGCTCTGGCGTTGTCCTGGGTGGCCTTCCCAGGCCTGTCTGCCCAGTGACCCAGGCGGGCTCCAGGGGGCCTCTGTGCAGGTCCCCAGAGTCCAGCCTGCTGGGAGGGAGGGCGTGGGGAGAGAGGAAGGCCAGCCAGGCCTCTGTGTGGATACAAGCTCCTAGACATAAAGCAGAGGTGGAGTGGGCTGCAGGTGGGCTTGGGGCTCTCTCTGGGGTAGAGAGTTGTGGCCTTGGCTGCTAAGGGCTGCACCAGGCCTCAAAGGGCAGAAGATCATGTGGTGGGAGGGGGCCTGGGTCCCAGCTGCACCTGCCCACCTGTGGCCCTGGCCCCAGTCTCATGGGCTGCTGGGGAGCACTGGGCATGGCGTGTCCTCCTTGGCTGCCCCAGGGATCATGGCAGTGAGGAGCTGCCCTTTGGGGCCTGGCCTGGCGGAGGCCCCTCCCTCTCCACTCCCCAGTGGCCCTGCCTGGACCTTGTCTCTCTTTGATGCCCCTGTGCCCTCCAGCAAGCTTCTCCTGCCCTGGAGAGTGGACTTGTAGCTTCTCGGAGCCCCGGGCCAGGCCTACTCTGCTCCCCCTCCCCCATCCCTCCTTCTTGGACACCGGCCTCAGGGGCTCCTTGGTCAGTGGGGCCATCTCCCAATGGGCTGGGGCCAGGTCTCCTCACCTCCGAGTTTGGGAGCACCTGGGGGGCTCCTGGGGTGGTGGGTGAGTGAACAGGACCTCTGATGATGTGGGGGCATTGTGGGGGCTTGCTGGTGTTTAAGAAAATTAGTTCCAGTCAATTACATAGATTTTAAGTGGACAGCACTGTGAGTTGTCACCCAGGTAGCAACATCAGGCTGAGGCTGGGAATATTTCCTCAACCCAGAGGGTACCCCGAGCCCCTTCACTCAGCTCCCCCAACTCCTGCCTGGAGCAGCTGCAGACCTGATTTCCAGCACGGTGGACGAATTTTGCCATTCTTGAGCTTTATAGATGGGGTCCCCCCGTGGCTGTTCTTGGCTGGGAGGAGCGTGTCACCCCACAATGCCCAGCCCCCACCTCAAGGCTGTGCCTGCTGCCGGGCGAGGGGTTCTGGACGAAGGCTTGGCCCCTGCCTCCACCCTGTTCCAAGGACGTGGCCAGCTGCCCGGCCATCTGCCACGCTCGCTGAGCCGTGTGGCCGGAGGGGCAGCAGCAGAGGGCCTGGAGGGGGATGGCATCACCAACCACATGGTCCCCACCCGCCCAGCTCTGGTCCATACTGAAAAATACACAGACAAGAGAAGAGATGGCAGGAAGGTGGGGCATGAGGCAGGCACTGGGCTGGGGCTGGGCTGGGCAAGGTCAGTGGCCGGGTGCATGCTCATGGTGTGTGGGTGGGAGACAAGGAGACCACAGCTGACAGTAGGGCTGCCATGGGGGACCCCGACGGTGGGCTGGGCTCCTCTCCCAGGCTGTCGTGGGGTGAGGTCTGCTCCTGGACTCCACCTGGGTTTCTGTCTGGCCGGGGAGGGGGGCCCAGGCAGTGAGCGAGTGGGGCTTAGGGAGGTGTGGGGGGAAGTCAGGGTTGGGGTGGGGTCATGGCCCCCCAGCTATTGCTGCCCCAGCCAATCTGGCCCAGGAGGGACCTGGAGCTCCTGGCCCTGCTGGACTCGCCCCGCTTGCCCTGCGTTTGGAATCCCGTGTCTGAGTCTAATGTTTCCTCCTGTGCTTGGAGGCTGTAATTTTCCTGCCAAAGTGTTTGAAAAGCTGCGTACGCAGAAACATTTTCAAAATTACAGGTAATTTTATTAACCACGTGAGTGCACTTGGTCAGTGTGTGTGTCTGGTCTGTGCGAACGTGCTTGAGCATGGAGGGGCTTCGGGGCTTGTGGGGGCAATGGGTCGGAGGGCAGCATGTCTGTGACGTTTGCCTGCGTGTGACAGCGTGTGTGTGTTGTTTGGGTGACACCGTGTGACAGCGTGGGCTGTGTGTCTGTTGGTGTGTGTCTTGGCGTGTGTCTGGGTGACAGCCAGCTGTGTGTCTCCTGCCGCGTCGGGTGGAGGTGAGAGCATTTTGTGGAGTGTTAATTAAGGAAATATGTTTCTGTCAGGGCTAGGGGCGGGGGCCCATCCCTCCCAGGTCCCCCAGGATCTGGACTGACCCCCCTACTCCCCACACTCGCTCTGCCTGGCGCCCTCCTGGCGCCCTGTGCGCCTCCCCACGGGGCGAGGGAGCTCAAATCGCTCAGATCGGCTCATTTTCCTGCTGACGGGAGCCACCCGCCGCAGTCCTTGAAGGCAGAGCCAGCCAGAGGCTGTTCAGGTTTTAAGTAACAATTCTCCCCTTTGCACCAGGCCCTCCCCTCTACTCAGGGACCTGCTGCCAGAGGCAGGCCCACCCACGGTGGCCCAGGCTGCTCAGCCCCGAGCTGTGACCCTCCCAGAGTGGGGGCTGCTTGGTTCAGCAGAGGTGGGGAGGTTGGGTGGGGTGCTGTGAGCCGGGCGTGGGGCCTGGGGTTGGCTGGCCCAGCCAGTCACTGTGTCCCCAGAGGGCCTGACTTCTAGTTTCCTCCACAGGGAGGTGGCCCGCTCTCCCTGCCCTCCCTGACCCCGGTTCCTCCCCTGCCCCATTGCTGGTCAGGGGCCCTGGTGCAAGTCTGCACAGTGTTATTTCTGTATGCAGTCGTCCCCTGGGTGGCCCCAGCTCCAGCCTTCCCCCCCCGCAACCCCGCCATGGTCCTTGGAGATCCTAAGAGACCCTGAGGCCATGGGGAACCGGTGTTGGGTGTCCCGATGGGATTAAATGAGCCAGTGCCTGTCACTGCCTCCTCTCTGCATCATGATATCACAGTGGTGCCTCCCGAAGGCCGGCGGAGACACCCAGGGGTGCTGGTGGCCCACTCTTGCTCCCTCCGCATAGCCTCGCCTGGGGTCAGCACCGCGGACAGCACCACCCTGCTCCCCTGCTAGGGGCCAAGCCTCCATCCCGTGCAAGGTTGTAGCCCTCCCACAGGTGGGGGCACACACATCTCCTTACAGCCAGCAGATCCCACTCCGCTCTGGGCTGTGACTAAGCCAGCTCTGCAGTGAGGACGTACCCTCTAATTAGGTGCATCACCTAGTGTCTGTGTCCCCAACTTGGCCCCTGGTTCCTCAGGCTCTGGGCACACACCGAGGCACATGCGCCCCAGGAGGCGTGTGCACCACTCCCCTGGGCGGGTCCCCTGGCCCACTCCCACCTCCGAGCCTTGTCTGAGTCTCCTGGACCTGCTGTCTGGGCAGCCGCCTCTGGCCGCCTGGCCTCTGGAGTCTGGTTACGGCACCGAGTTTGATCAGGAGCCTGACCCGAGCTGGGCGCTGTGCACAGGCCTCAGGGGTGCGAATCCTGGCAGCAGGCAGAGGTTCTTGTCACCGTCTGTGTGGGCCCCTGTGGGAATTGCCATGGCTGTGCAGCCATTGCCAGGGGCACGTCAGCCCCTGCACCAGGGTCTGCCCCATCCTGGTGCCCAGAAGCATGGGCCGGGCCCTTCCTGTGCCTGGCCCATCAGTTCCCCCTGCCCCCTTCCCGAATCCCGCCTGGAGCCACATCCCCCACTCTGCCCTGGAGAGACTCAAACAGGCATGATGACCCTCCCACCAGAGGAGCCTCCTCTTGGGGCAGGTGGCAGCCCAGCAAAGCTTCCCCAGGCCCTGCCCTGAGCCAGCAGCATCCAGAAGTGTTTATAAGTTTTATTTATTTATTTATTTATTTAGATTTTTTATTTTTTTCCATTTTTTTCGCCAAAGCCCCCCGGTACGTAGTTGTATATTCTCAGTTGTGGGTCTTTCTAGTTGTGGCATGTGGGACGCTGCCTGCTGCCTGCTGCCTGCAAGGGAGCAGGTGAATTTAACCACTTGGCCACTGGGCCAGCCCCTGTTTATAAGTTTTAAACAGAAGCTCTTATTTTTTGTGGAAGGAGCAAAGAGGGGCCGGGGGGGTGGGGCGGACAGGACCCTGTGAGTGCCCTGGGCCAACTGGATCCCCCGCATTGGGCGGTAGTGAGTATTCTAGCTGGAGGGCTCTTCTCCGAGGCAAGGCCCAGAGGGACCCCAGACGCTGGTAGGAGGCCTGGGCCAGAGCCCAGCCCCCCAGGAGCTCTTGGCTGCTCCTGATCTTGGGCTGGGAGTTGCATCCCCCTGTAATTGCAGCCTCCTGCTAGCCTGGCTTAATGCATGATGTGCATGCTCCCTGGCGAGCCAGCAAGAATGGAGGGCAGCTGCCATCACCCACCCCACCTCCACCCCTGCGGCCAGGGCTGCTGTGCTGTGGGGGAGGGCGAGCGAGTGCACATAGGGAGGGGGAAGCCCTTCTCGGATGGAGGTCTCAGGGCCCCATCGGGCCTGGCTGAGTCGTGGGGTCCCTGCCAGGGTCGGGGCCCCAGGCCTGGGAGTTGGGCCAGTTGGGGGGGGTGTGTGGCTGGCCCTGACTCCCTTCAGCTCTTCCTCTCACTTATGGGTGGGTGGCTCATCTCCTAGCCTCTGTGTACTAGTCTGGGGGGGTGTGCATCTGGCCATCGAGGCCCGGGAGGCTTTTGGGGGTGATATGGGGCTTCTGGTGGCCCTGGGTTGACACTGTGTCCCCTGGGGTCTCGTGGCCCAGCCTGTCCTGTGGTGTGCAGGGTGAGAACTCTGCAGATGCCCTGGGGGCCGAGCCTGTGGGTCCTGGGCCAGACGGTGGGGAGGCTCCTGGTGGGGTGGGGGTGCCAGGTCCCATGTCTTCTCCAATCCTGGAGTGGGGCGGGGGCCCCCAGGGCTGCCCGGCCTGCCCCAGAGTCCATCAGCCAGCAGTCCCCAGGTGGTCTCCTGATGCCCAGGTCAGCATTTGTGGGGGCTGCCCACCACCAGTCCGTGCCCCAAAACACATTCCCCCATTTCATCCTGAGGTGACCCAGAGCCCAAGGCCTCAGTCTTGAGGACTGTGGGCCGGAGCCTCAGCCCCCTCGGCCAGTCCTGGCCCACCCTTGCTCCCCAGGCCGGGCAGCCCTGTCACCATGCAAGGCCGAGAGCCGTCTCTGGATTCATCATCGCCTTCTCCCTCTTCTTCCTGTTATTTTAATTGACTTTTGTAATAATGGGCAATTATGAAATTCAGTGAAAGCCCCAGTGGTGGAGGTGGGGAGGCCGTGAGGGCCGGGGGGCAGCTTCTCTTCACTCCTGTGCTGGCGCCCAGGTCGGGGCCCGGAGGTGCTTTGGGGCTTATGCTTAGTAGGTGACAGCTGGGGATGCCCAGAGGGGCCCACAGGGATAGTGGCCGCATGGGGTCTGGTGTTGGGAGTCCTCAGGCCACCACCGGGAAGCCAGGTTTTAGGAAGAGCGAATGTGTCTGGTCCTGCAGAGGCCTCTAAGGTGGGCTCTCCCTGGACTGCTCAGGTTCCAAGGGGCTGTAGGGCTGGCTACAGCCCAAGGGCTGCATGGGAGACAGGGCGCAGGCCGGGCTCTGGGGCAGAAGGGGATGCTTCCTGGAGCCGGTGGCGTTCAGTGGGGAGCCCTGGGCCCCTGGCAGGGCTGCCTCAACAGGGTCATTGAGGCAGGGACAGGCACCCTCGTCATGACCCAGGTGGAAGAGTGTCCTCAGACCACCCCCTCCTCGTCAACCACAGTGTGACCAAGCCCTGGTGTCCCGTCACTGTGGCCATGGATCAGGGGTGTGTGTCAGGACAGGACTGGGATGGGCACCTGACCCCCGGAGGTCAGTGGGGTGGGCGAGGGTGCACCCAACTTGGATGCCATCCTGGGCTCCCATGGGGACTTGGTGGGACTCCTGCCTGCTGTGTCCCTGGGGCCCAGGGTGTGCAGACAGCGGCCTCACTGCCCCTCTCTCTCTCCCGCCTTGTGGTCCCAGCTGGGAGGCTGCGGCATCCTGGGCGTTGGCATCTGGCTGGCTGCCACGCAGGGGAACTTTGCCACCCTGTCTGCCTCCTTCCCGTCCTTGTCGGCCGCCAACCTGCTCATCGTCACCGGCACCTTCGTCATGGCCATTGGCTTCATGGGTTGCATTGGGGCCATCAAAGAGAACAAGTGCCTCCTGCTCACCGTGAGTACAGGGGGTGGGGGCACGGCGAGTGGGGTGCCGGGGCCCCCTGATACATGGCTCCCCACATGTGCAGACTCTCCGTGGGGATGGGGACAGTGTTGGGGCCGGGTCACTGTGATGGCCTTGGCAGCCCTCTGGGTGGCTGGGGGCCTTGGTTGGGGTCTTCCAGGCCAGGCTGAGGCTGTGGGAGTCAGGTGTGGGGGGCTCTCAGAGGTGGTGCCAGAGCTTCGTGAAGGCCTCCCTTGATAGGACACAAACACGTGTGCGCACACATGCCCACCCCATACACGTTGCGCAGTGTGCCAGGCAGGGCCCCTCCAGCCTGTAGTGGGCCTGTTTCGTCTAAGACGACTCCTCCCACGATCCCCTCTGCAGCTCCCGTCCCAGGCCTCTCAGCTACCCAGGACCCCCTGTTGAGAGACCTAGAGCCCCTGCCTCAGCCTCGGAGACAGACTTACAGGCAGGATGTGTTTCCCGTTCTCGGGAAGGTGAATCACAGATCGTTACAAAGGAGGAGGCTCCTGGCTCCTTACCTATGAGCATGCCCAGCAGAAGCCTGGGCGGCAGGCTTGCTCTGGTCCTAAACCACCTGCTTCCAGCGTGTTCTTTGTCTGAGAGCCCTTGCCCGGGGTGGGGCCTCCCAGGTCTTGGAGGGCATGTCCCCCATCTGCACAGTTTCCCCAAGTGTCCAGCATATTCCAGATGTGCCCATCAGGGCTCAGGGCTCGGATTCCTCAGAGCAGCAGCTGGGTCCCCAGCTGCCCTGCTGGGGGGCTCAGACCCCTTGGACAGAGAAGGAGGCTGTAGTACATATGGAGCCCGACCCTGGCCTTTCCCATGGGGTGACCCGGAGTTCACAGCTTGGTGCCTCCTGATAGCAGTGTGGGCCCTGAGTCCTGAGCCCAGATTGAAAGGAGACCAGGTCAGGGACCGCAGGAGAGGACAAGCTGCTCTCCTGGCCTCATCCAAGGGCCATATGGGGCAGGGCTGGGGCTTCAAAGAGAGCTGTGCCCCCCACTTGTCCTGGCTCCTATCCCCATCCCCTCCTTTCTGGAAGAGTAATGAGGTGGGAAAGGCAGGGCTGGCACAGGCTGCCTCCACTGCTCAGCATGGCCCTGGTCCAGGGCCGAGGTCGGGGCTGTGCCTCTTGGGGCGTTTGAGTGGGGGCTGCCGCCTGGTGGGCAAGGTTTGTGTGGTCAGAGGTGGGGGCTTCTCCGGCTCAAGGTGGCGTCCCCCCATCTTGGTCTTGCCTGAATGGGCTTGGGCCACCCTTGGCTGCCCTGAGGGCCAGGGTCACTGTAGCCCGACCCACCCCCTGCCAGGTCCCCTTGGGCATCGTTCTACCTGCCTGCCCACCACAGGGACACAGGCACGGAGCACACACGTGTGCTCACAGACGTGAGGCTTGTGCTCAAGCTTCAGCGTGACAGGACGGCCCCTGGGACAGAGACTGGAAGGTTCTGAGGGAGGTGGGCAGCATCAGGGGAGCATGATGGTTTCCAGGTGTGGGGACCTGGCTGGGGGTCCTGGGCAGCACTGGGTGTCTGTCTGAGGTTTGGGGCCCCGCCCTTGGGAGGCTCCAGGGGTCAAGTTGGGGTTGCTGAGGCATGTGTCCCCCCCCAGTTCTTTGTGATGCTGCTGCTGGTGTTCCTGCTGGAGGCCACCATTGCCATCCTCTTCTTCGCCTACACGGACAAGGTACAGCCATCTCCACCCAGCTGGCTCTGGGTGTGGGGCTCCATCCTCACCTTCAGCGAGGAGCCATGGTGCTGTGGGTGACGAGGGGTGGAGGGACCCCGTGCTCCATGTGGATGGACAGTGGCCCCTGCATCTAACCAACTGGGGTCCCGGGGCCACGGGTTTGGTCTTAACCACAGCCACTGGAGGCCAGGCATGGAGGGCGACGCCGGGGCCCTGGAGGCTCCGGGAGGTCTCTGGCCCTTGCGGGGCAGAGCAGTCTCGGTGCCAGAAGGGAGGGCTGTTGAGCGGAGCTGTGTGCTCTGCTGAGGTGAGCTTCCCTGGGGCTGGGCCAGTCCTGGGCTGCGTAGTAGGGATGAGAACCATCTCCCCTCCCCCATTTATTTATTAAATCCTTTGTTTATATCAGGGCTCATTTGCATGTATTTTATTCTTTGGGTTATAATCCAAGAGTATGTTATTTTTTGCCACAGGGAGCTCTTCCGGTTGGCCCCCTCTCCCTTTGGCACGCCCCCCCTCAATGCACTTTTTGGGGAGCGCTTCCCTCTGGCTCTGGAAGATGCTCCAGGCCCGCCTTGGGCATCTCCTGCCCGGGCCCTGAACCGGCCGTTCCTCCAAGGGGCCCTGGTTCCTTCACTGGAGGACGGTCTGAGGAACCAAGATCTGGGCACAGGTGTGCTCCTTGCTTCTAGGCCCTCAGCTGATGGCACAGAGACGTGTGTGTACAGACATGGCCTCAGTATTTCTGTCCCTGGCCTCTGTACCTGTGCATGAAGCTAATGTGAGTTTGTGCCGGTGTGTCTGACTCTAATCTACACCCTTGTGCTCAGTGCCACAGGAGGCCCAGGGAGACGATGGGGGCAAAGTCCTGGGCGCTGGGGGGCTTCTGGGAGGTGACTCCAGGGAAGGGACAACGGGTGCAGGAGCCTGGAGCTGGTGTAGAACTTGCATGAGGGAAGTGGAGCCTGGTGCGAGGGTGGCCCTGCTGACCCCGCTGCACTTGCAGATCGACAGGTACGCCCAGCAAGACCTGAAGAAGGGCCTGCACCTGTACGACACCCCGGGCAACGTGGGCCTCACCAACGCCTGGAGCATCATCCAGACCGACGTGAGCGGAGGGGCGGGGGAGGGCAGAGGCATGGCGTGGCTGGGGCGTGGCCGGGTGGAGGCGTGGCGTGGCCGGGGCGAGGGGCCTGCCCCCACCGTCCCAGCCCCCCTGCCCTCTCCCGCAGTTCCGCTGCTGCGGGGTCTCCAACTACACGGACTGGTTTGAAGTCTACAACGCCACGCGCGTGCCCGATTCCTGCTGCCTGGAGTTCAGCGAGAGCTGCGGGCTGCATGCACCCGGCACCTGGTGGAAGGCGGTGAGCCTGTGCCCTCCCCACCCACCAGTCCTGGCCCCGGGACCTGGGGGTGGAGGGCCAGCCTCTCGGCCCTGGTGACGCCTACTCTTCCTCCAGCCGTGTTACGAGACGGTGAAGATCTGGCTCCAGGAGAACCTGCTGGCTGTGGGCGTGTTCGGGCTGTGCACGGCACTGGTGCAGGTAACACGGGCAGCGTCACCCCAGGAGCCTCCTGGACCCACCCAGCCCCCCACCCCACATCCCCAGGCAGAGGTGGCGCTCATAGGGGATGGTCAGGGATGACCTCCAGTGGAGATGACCTTTGACATCTCAGGGACAGACAGCCACCCCTGGCTACTGAGCAGAGAGCCCTGCTCTCTCCTAGTGGACAGAACCCCAGACTGGATGCCTGTGTGCTGAGGGCCCATGTACACAGGGCCAGCCCTGTTCCTACAGCCCCAGGCCTGGTAGCCATGGTGGGTGGTGGTCACAGGGCTGCCCAGTGCAGATGAAGGGTGGGTTGCCCAGGCCTTGGTGCCTGGGTCCAGCCAGCCAGCCCCTAATCCCCCGCCCCTGGCCCCCGCGGAAGTCTTGAGCATCAGCACTCTGGGGTGGGGTGGGGGCTCTCAAGGCCGATCAGTGGCAGCAAACTCGAGCATCAGAGCAGCCCCCATTCTGGGGTGCACAGACAACGGGTCACAGGCAGTTCAGGCAGACACTCTTAGAGGTGGTCTGGATGGACAGACAGGAGCAGGCCGCTGGGGGCCTCCGGGCAAATGGGGAGGGGGCATGTGGCCCAAGGCCCAGGCTGGAACTGATGGGCCCTGAAACAGGCCTCAAGAGCCGCCAGCAGAGCCCAGGGTGGCCAGACCCCAAGGGAAAAGTGGGTCTGGGGGCTGAGCCCTAAGAACCCTCGGGGTGCCCCTATGCCTATGGTAGGCAGGCCTTGTCCAGAGGCTCAGAGAGGGTGTGGCTGTGATGGACCCAAATTGCTGATTGTAGGGGAGGCATCCCCAGAGAAGTGGGGTACCAGGCCATCCGGGAAACTGTGGGGTGGGATCCGAGGGCCCAGGCTTGTCCGAGTCAGGGCACCTGCCATGGGCAGGACCCCTTCTAGGCTCACAGTTCCCTGGAGAGGCCTCGCCCAGTCCCCTCATGTGTCCACAGATCTTGGGCCTCACCTTCGCTATGACCATGTACTGCCAGGTGGTGAAGGCTGACACCTACTGTGCGTAGGCTGCTCGCCGTCCGCCACCCCCGCTTCGCTGCCAAAAGATGTCGCCCACCAGGGAGACGACCACGTCCCCACCTGTCTCTCCTGCTGCAGAACTCTGCGCCAGTCTGGGTGTGGGGGAGGGAAGGAGCAGGTGGCTGGAGCCCCCAGGACCCCTGGCCAGGCCTGTGAGCACCGTGCTGGAGGCGGGAGCCTAGTACTGGCCACATGCCTGGGGCTGGGGGCAGGAGGGGCTTCTGGCGCTTTTTACATCCATGGATTCTCCAGAGCAGTGTTTTTCCCCTGCGCCCCTGTCCGGGGCAGGGGGTTGGGGCCACACACGGGTTGGGGTGGGGGGTGAGGGGCTGACCACTGGTCCTGGTGCTCAAGATGGGGCCACAGTCCCGTCATCCACATTCCCCTTGGGGCCAGAGCAGGCTCCAGGTGCATCTTAATAAAGTATGTGGGCAGCAGCCCCCCACCCTTGTGTCTGTCACTCTCCTGACCCCTAGGCAGACCCTGTATGGCCATGGTCCCCCCACTGATAGGGGTCTGGTGCCTGGAGTGGGTTTCCTGGGCATGTGCAGGCCCAGGTGAGCTGTCTGGGCCAAGCAGATGGTGGCTCTTGTGCCCAGAGGGGACAGCCAGCCCCAAAACCTCCAGGAAAGAAGTGGCACAGGGGCTCTGAGGAGCAACCCTGAGTCTCCCTGAGCTGTCAGTGGCTGTCCTGGGGGTGCCCTCCCCCCCGGCCCGCAACCACCTCCATCCAGCCCCTGTGCTAGGGATGTTCCCCCAACCATCTCCATCCAGCCCCTGTGCTGGGGACAGCCCCCCACCCGCGACTATCTCCATCTGGCTCCCAGGCCTTGCTGCCCTCCCCCAGGGGTGTCCTCCCCCAGTGGCATTCAGCTCCATCTTTCCCACTATCTTTCTTTCTATTCCTGTTTGTTTGGTTTCTGGGAGCTCTGCCCCTTAAGTGTTACTCTGTATGGATTTTGCAGATAAAGTGGGCTGTCAGGAGCAAAGCACTTGCACAGGGCCCAGAATTAGAGAAATGGTTAAACTGCCTCAAACCACCTCAAAGACAGGGGTAGGGCTTCCTGAGAACAGGACTGATGGGCAGTGTGGAGGTCCATGCATCTGGGGGTCCAGGTTGAGGGATGGACCCCTCCCAAGAGCCTCACTAGCTGTGGGGCATCTGACCCCCCAAAACTGCAGCCCATATTCTCAATTTCTAGCCCCAATTCCTGGGGGTCTGTGGTCCCACCCTCTAGGACAGCCCCTCTGCATCACTGTTCTCGTGTGGCAGACCCACCTGGTGATGCCTGGCCAAGCACTGCCTGTGGCCACAGACACAGCTCAGACTGCCCGGGTGCTGGTCCCTCCTGGCCCTCGGTCCCTCCCTGATTCCTCCCACATGTCCCACCCACACTGCTGTCCTCACTTCATGGAAGCCACCAGAACCCCAGGGGATTTACCAGCAGAGCTCATACATGGAGTTAGCGGGTCTCAGGACACAGTTAACACATCAAAACCAAACTGATGCTTATGTAGCAGCAAGTGACCAGAAATGAAGTGAGAACAATCGCCCGTCCAGCAATGCTGTCCCCCACTTGACCCCTGCCCTGCCCTCTGGCCCGTACCCAGGCCCCCCATTCACGTTTCTCTCCAACTTGGTGGGATGAAAGACCTCAACCTCCTGCCTCCCCCAGTCCGTTGTTCTGTGTGCCCAGAGTCTGTACACAGCTTTGCAGGACCAATGGAAACGACCTGCAGACTCAGGACCTTCTCATTCACAGCCTCCTATGTGGCCCTGTAGACTCCAACCGCCTCTGTGTCCAGCCCTGACTCAACTTCCCCCACGGCCCTTGAGCCGCCTTGGCAGCCCCTGCTCCACCAGGGTCCAGGATGTGCAGGGCCCGTCCTCCATGTGGTTCTCAGGCTCACTTTCCTCCCCACGTGGATGCCTCTGGAGGTCCCATCGCGGGACCCCTGTCCCAGCTCCCCATTGCCAAGCTGAGAAACCCCTCGTGCATACCCAGAGTCATGTCACCCACGTGGCTCTCCATCCACTGACACGTGCACTCACACTGCTGGGCCCTCCCAAACTGACCTTCCTCCCACACACCCTACACGCCCCCAACTCCTCTAGAAACTTCCAAACTCACCAGAACCCAACACCTGCCCCTGGTGCAGTGGCTTTCTCACTCCCCACCGCCTGGGCCTTCGAAGCTGGGGGGAGGGAGGGCTGGCCTGTGCCTGCTGCCCTGCCCTCTGGCCCCTGCCCACAGCCAGGGGGCCATGTGGGGCTGAGGGCATCAGGGAGACAGACCAGCCCAGGGAGCTCTGAGCTGTGGCCCTAGATGCTGGTCAGCATCCCCCTGACCGACCCACACAGAGAGAGGCGCACAAGTGAACACTCAGTCATACACACGTGCTGGAGCATGCACGCACACATGTACACACGCACACCCACAGCAGCTGAGTGCAGTGACTTCTCAGCATGGCCCTACTTCACCCCCAAACTCCTATCCGTCCTTCTGGTCAGGCCCAGCCCCATCCCCCAACCCTGGATCTGGGAAGCTGCGTCAGCTTCCTAGAACCAGAAAGCTGCCCTATGCCACCCGGAGAGCAGGCCTGGATGGGGGCAGCCCCAGGGGCCTGAGTGGGCTGAGGGTGGGAGTAGTTGGCAGGGCCTGTCTGACCCACATCCCACGCCCACACTGGCAGAAGTGGGGTGCCCAGCTGGGCTGGTTTCTGTCGCAGGCCCATGAGGCTGGACCTCCTGCCCACACCTGAGCAGCAGGGTCCTTCCTGCCAGTTTTTCCTGGTTTCATCCTGGAAGTGTGGCCGCACCCAAGGGCAGGGGAGCGGCCAGCAAGCTGTCGTTTCACAGTGACCACGTGGCCCACGAGCACCAACTGGCCACCAGGGGTCCTCCTGCTGCCCTGCTGTCCAGGGCTTGGGTCCTCTGGGGGCAGGGCCGGCTTCTCTCAGCCCTGGTTTCTGCAGCAGCGCCCCCACTCTCGCCATGTGGGGCTCCTCTGCATGGCTCTGCTTCAGCCACAGCAGGCTGGTGAGTGGGTAGTGGGAGGCTGGGCCCCTTCACAAGGCCCTGGGGTGAAGCTGGGTGGAGCTGCCCCTGCCAGGGGCCTGGAGTCCAGCTGTGGGAGATTCCAGGGTTCTGGAGCTTCCAAACCCACAGTGAACCACAGGTCACGTGGAGCAGCCCGGACTCTGGGCGTCATGGGAAAGGCCCCGCCAGGCTGCCTTGAGGGGTGGGGACTGTGGGTCCTGCCCCCACCCAGCAGATGGCAGGCAGCCCGTGAGGGCTGGGTGGGAGGGGCCTGTGTTCCTGGGCCGTCCCCAGCCAGGACTGTCCCTCTCCACGTCACTGTCGAGGGGGCCAGGGTTCAGGACCCCTCTGTCCCGGCTCGAGAATCCAGCAGACACGGTATGGAAAACAGAGCAGTCTGTATTTTGCACGTCAATCTGTCGCTCAGAAAGCACATGTCTGCTCCAGAGCTGGGCCTAGAGCAGGTCGTAGAAGTAGTCCAGGCCCTGGCCCAGCTCCCAGATGGACACCCCGACACCCAGCTCCCTGGCCAGCGCCAGCCGCACCTGCAAGGACTACAGGCAGAGGTCAGCATCAGCCTCCACCTCCCGTCATCACCGCAGACCCCCGCACGCACCCAGGCCCGAGCCCCTCGTCCCAGCGCTGACCCCCACTGCCCACCGCAGCCTTGCTGAGGGCAAGGGTCGCCGTGGGAAGGGTCACGCCTGCTGCCCGCAAGCCCAGCATCACAGCCAGTCCACACGTACCTTCAGAGTTGGGTAGAAGACGATGTGCCTCCCGCCGCGGCTCCTGCAAGAGAGAGCAGAACCGCCTGCCTTGCCGCCACCTCCCCCTCATTCTCCCAGTTCCTCCCCACCTTCCAGCTGAGCTCTCAGGGCCTCCAGTTGCAAAGGCCCCTCTGCGGGTCCTACTCTTCAGGCTGGGCTGGCCCTCGGGGCCAGAGGTCAAGCTCGTGGCCCGGGGACCCCTGGCCAGCCTGGGCATGTGCCTCGACTCTCACCCCAGGGCCTCCTCCTGGACACTCACTTCTTGTACTCGAAGAAGTGCTCAGCGGCCTGGCTGTCCCACACCATCCGGGGCCTGTGGTCCTTCAGAGTCTGGATGTACCTGGGGGAGGCCGGGGCTTGGGTGAGGGAGCTGCCCTGCCCGCCCGCCCGGCACCCCAGCCCCCCAGAGGCCTCGCTGACAGCCCCAACACCAGACAGAGCAACAGTGGCACAGTGGCGGTGGCTGTCATGGAAGGGGTGTGGCCACCCAGGGGCAGCAGGATTCTGGGGGCTGTTGTCCCTTGATGGTCTATGGAGTGCCAACAGCACACTGGGCTGCGTGGGAGAACCAGGTGTGCACCCTGGACACAAGGAAATCCCAGGAAAGACCATGGGACCGGCCTGGAATATTCGGCCTGGGGCAGCTGCAGGACGGGTGCCTCACACTGCAGCGTCCAGAGTCCTCGCTGCGGGGGCAGGGGGGAAAGACACCCAACAGAGGGCTCCTGAGATGAGAGCGGAAGCCCCGACAGCATCTTTAAGCTCTCTGCCGTGTTCCACGACCTGAGTTCAGTGCACGATTGCACCAAGGCACTGGTGTCCTGAGGAACAGCTCACTGGGTCATCTCTGCACCAGGCGCATCCGGAAGGGCAGAATGAGGGTGCCTGCGCTCAGGCGAGGTGCCTGCTGGTGGATGGGGCAGGCCAGGCGCTCGCAGGGACTGCGTGAGGCACCGCAGGAGAAGCAGCAACTTGTGCAATCGGGGGTGGCGCTTGGGGCACGCCACAGGCCTCAGAAGAGGAACAGGGCCTGGGGGAGCTCTTGGAGGCCCCCCAGGCCCCCACTCCAGCTTTCCGGGGACAGCAGGCCAGGGCAGGGCCTTCTGGGCCCTTCCAGGGCCTGGGCTGCCTTTGGCCTGCCTGCCTCGCTGCGGATACGGCTGCCCAAATCCTCAGCAGCCCCTCCTGACCACCAGGAGCCAATGGTTTGAAACACCGCTCCCCTTACCCCTGCAAAACACACAGAGATGACAGGTGGGATCCCAAGCTGCCTCAGGCCAGGAAGACTGGGGTCCAGCATACTCCATGTCTTTTTTTCTTTTTTAAAGGAAGATTAGCCCTGAGCTAAAATCCGTGCCCATCTTCCTCTATTTTATATGTGGGACACCTGCCACAGCATGGCTTGCCAAGCTGTGCCATGTCCGCACCCGGGATCTGAACCAGTGAACCCTGGGCAGCCAAAGCGGAACATGCAAACTTAACCACTGCGCCACAGGGCCGGCCCACACTCCATGTCTTGTAAGGCACATTCAATATCTCTCTGTGGTCCTCCCTGGCAGGCAGCTGACGACTGGACACAACTGGTACCTGCTGTGGGACGGTGGTGCCCTGCAGCCCGAGGGAGGAGGCACAACCTGGGGCCTGTAGCCTGGGCTCCGAGGAGGGAGGAGAGGCGGCGGGTGGCTGTAGGGGCCCTGGTGCTCTGGGCTGTACTGCAAGACATTTGTGGGACCGTAGGGGATCAGGACTGGACAGAGGAGCGGGGCATCTGAGGAGGAGGTGGTGGTGGTGGTCGGCCATTTCAGGGGACGCAGATGCCCAGGAAGCACCAAGTGGCCCATATGGATCTGCTCCCCATGGGGTCTGGGCCAGGCACAGCTGTGACCCCCATCAACCAGCTCTAGCCATTGAAAATTATTGGATTATCCTTAATTAAAACACCGCTCTAGGTGTCATTAATGTCATTTACACCTTTCGATCCAATGTCTCCTAAGTGGCTCTCTGAGGAGAAGCTGGGATGGGCAGGGCAAGTGGGAGGAGGGAAGGCTGCGCTGAGGGGCAAGAGTGGGCACCCGACCCAGCCACCCCCTGAGCCCCCGGTCCCATCCCAGGGTCACGGGCAGATGCTGTAGGGTGGGGTGCCCCTGGGTCTATAGGGAGCTCTGGCCACATACCCCTTCTCTTGTGGGGGCCTCTGTGGTCACCCCTCAAAATCTGCTCCTTGCCAGAGGACGTGAGGCTGTGGTGGGGGCAGCCAAGGCTGGGGTCTCTGTCGAGGTCCAGCCACAACCCCTGAGAGCACCTGAGCCCTTCCCCCTGGAGGCCTCGGCCTGGTAGTGCCACGGTGGGGTGCACAAGACCCCATGTTCGCCCAAGTGCAGTCCTAGGAATCAGTGCAGTTCTGGGAATCGCCAAATGGTCCATGGAGATGCGGAGAGGCGAGAATGGGGTGTGAGCCCGGGGAGTGCAAACACCCCACCAGGTGGGTCGGCTCCAGGGGACAGCAGGGCCACAGGGAGCTGGGAGGCAACTACAACCCGAAATACGAGAGGCAGAGGAGAGCCCTGCGCACTGAGGACCGGGTGGGAAGAGGCCAGAGGGCCGAGGCTGGGAGGGGTGCAGAGAAAGCAGAAGGAAGACAGGAACGGAGGTGCTGACATCAGCGCTGAAGGAAGCCCGGAGAAGGAGGAAATAACGGAGAGAAAACGCTCAAGAAATAAGGGCTGGGCACTTTCCTAAACTAAAACAAAAGCCCACAGCCACATATCGTGTGATCCCATTTCTATGCAATGTCCAGACCAGACAGATGCACACAGAAGGCAGGGTAGTGTCACCAGGGCTGGGGAGTGTGGGGTAAAGGACACGGAGCTTCTTTCTGGGGTGATGTAATGTCCTGGGATTAGAGGTGGGGCCTGCGCAACCCTGTGAATGCACTGAGTGCTCCTCAACTGTTCACTTTGAGATGGTGAGTATTACAGTATGTGAATTAGATCCCCTCAAAAAAGTTACACAGCCTCAGACCGAAAGATTCAAGGAACGCCACACGGAAATTATCAATGGAAACACACTGAGGGATTCGCAGACGTCAGAGACAAGGAGAACCGTCTACACATTTCTAGGGAGGGCAGATCAAGTGTGACCAAGGGAACCTCTTGGTTGGGGGTGGGGAGGGTCACCCCAGGGAGACCAGCTGAAAGCTTCTTTTGGAAAAAGGACTCCAACAGGAGAGAAAGTCAGGGTGTGCAGGCGCAGGGCTGGCCACAGCCCCGAGGAAGAACAGACATCAGGGAGGACAGAGGGACAGAGCAGGACACGGGGGACTCCCAACCCAGAAGGAAACTCCAGCCCTGTTGGTTTCCGTCTCTGTCGGGGGTACCTGTGGTGTCCCTGCGCCCTGTGCTGTGACCCCCACAAATGAGAACTGACGTGCACACTTGCATGCGCCAGCTGAGCTGAGTCTAAGCCGCCCATGTACCCCGGGGGGAGAGGCCCACCAGCGCTGGACCACCACCCTAGACGGCACCTGCTTCCGAGGTGGCCTGACCCCCTGGGCTGGGCACCCAGTGGGGGGACACCTGCCCTGCTGGACAGAGCCCTGGCTGCCTGCCAAGAAGGACGGCTGTCACTCGGCACTAAGCACAGTGCAGCCCAGAGGAGGCCATCGCGCGGGGCTGGGGGCAGGCCGCACCGGCACTTCTCGGATCTGCCCAAGGGTCTCCCGAGCAGCAGACCTAAACGAGAGGTTTCAGCCCAGCATTCCCGGATGTTCTGACACGTGCATGGAGCACAGCTCAGACTGAGTGTGCAAGGAGGCTGGTGAGGTGGCCCCAGAGCTCAGGGGGCCAAGTCTGAGGACTCCCTGGGGCCAGTGTTGACAGGGCAGGGAGCGAGAGCCTTTGCCCAGATAAGCTGCCCACACTGCCAGGCCAGAGGCCCAGAGAGGCACTTGAGCCGCTGGAGAGGCAGGCGCAGGGCTGGGTGACCCGCCCTCCCCCCGGCCCCTCAGCTGAACTACTTGGCCACCTCACCGCACCAGCTTCCAAACACATAGGGACAAGATGACATGGCCGCCGTGTGGGTGAGCACCCACAAAACCCATGCCCCAAGGACCCCACGGGGTGCCCGGCTAACAGGCCTTGCTGCTGCTTCATCCCCTCGGTGACTGAGTTCCCTCTGGGAGGCCCTGCTGTGGGGTGGGGAACACAGCCCCTAGGGCGGATCCCTGGGGAGAGAGGATGAGCAGGTGGCTGTCCCAAGATTCCACCCAGGCTCCTCATAGAGCCCCTGGAAGTGCCCGAGTGTGCATGTGTGGGGCAAGGCCCAGGCACCACGTGGTCTGGCCAGTCTCACCCTTCTGGGTCAGCTGAGTACACTGTGACCAGCATGGGCTCCTCCTGGGCCTCAGTTTCTCTCTCTGTAAGGAGGGGTTTAACTGCAAGTGCACAGGGCCAGAACTTGTGGCCCACCGTCCCTGCCCTTCCTGTAGCCGGGGGCCCTTGGGAGGAAGCACCAGACAGCCTTGCTAAGGAGCTAGGGCCTGGCACCTCACCTGCGAGTTCACTGCGTGGGTGTCAGAAGGGACGCCCCTCCCACTGTCCACACAAAGGTGCGCCGAGGGGTGGGTGCAGCAGGCAGGTGGGCCTTCCAGACTCCTCCTCTGCCTTAGCCCACAAGGTGTCTCTGCAGACGCCCAGAGAGGTTGACAGGCGGGCTTCGGGAGTTGGGCTGCAGCCTCCACTGCAGGAGACCCAGGTGCACCCTGTCCCCGCTCTGCTGCCCTTAGTTTGGGCCTTGCCCCCAACTTCCCCTAAATGCTCCCTATTGTCCCCAAACCCCAGCCTGAGGGCTGAGTAGACACAAGAAGCACACCCCGCCCCCCCCCCCCCCCCCCCCCCGCCCCGCTCTCCACGGGCTGAGCCACTCCCACGGTGCCCTGCTGGGCAGAGGCCACAGAGGGGTCTGGAGAGAGCCTTGAATAACCCACCAAGACACGGACCTGTCAGACCCTGGCCTGTGACAGGGCCCGAGGGCGATGCGGGGGCAGCCTTTTCACCCATGCTCCTGGGACCAGCTGAGCACTCAAGAAAGGAGGAACCCTTCGGACATGCCCTACACTTGAGGGAAGGGGAGGGGACGCAGACCCACTGGAGGGGGAGTTAGGGGAGGGGAGACCAGCAGGTAAGTGAGGGGCCCATCTGCCCCAGCGGGTTCCCAAGAGTGCCAGGCACTGGGAGAGGCTGGGCTCAAACAGGGAGGGATGGGAAGTCTGGGTGTGCAGTCAACGACCAGGCAGACCTGCCTCTGCCTCGCCCCCATACCCTGATATTGGGAGGGGTCCCCGCCAGCCCAGAATGCCCTAAACTCCTGCCGGCCAGCAGAGCAGAGGGCCCTGGTCCACGGGGATGCTGGACCCACATGCCCAGTGACCTCTCCTTGTTACTGTTCCTGCTGCAGCCTGAGCTGCCCACTGCTCCACCCTGACCCAGGGCCCCTTGGGCTGTGCCCTCCCCACAGGTGGCTGGCCCTGACCTGGCTTCCCCAATGGCCCCTGCAGCATGCAGCCAGAGCTCTGTGTCCCCTTTGTGACAGTCTCCCGACCTGGGCCTGAAAGGGGAGCGTGGAAGGGGCAGGGTCTCCCTAGCGCAGGCCCACACAGTGAATCCAGGGGCGCCTGGCTGCCACCCTTCTGTGGGTGATGTGAGGAGGTGGCCCGATGCGAGACAGCAAACAGCGGCAGCAGAGGACACACCTGAGAAACGGTGCAGGGAGAGAGGAGCGGCTGGGCCCAGCCACCAGACCAGGACACTCGGAGGAGGGCCAGGAGAGGCCTCTAGATCAAAGACGGGACTGCGGAGTCAACACCCGGCAGAAGGAAAGGAAGGTCAAGGCTTGGAGACAGAGAGAAGGGCCAGAGCCACAGAGGGACACAGTGAGGCCACAGTTGTGGGGCCAGGGGCTGCTGCAGCCTCCAGCCCCCACCTTCCGGTCGGGAGTGAGATCCTGCAAGGGACTGCGATGCTGGCAGAGCAGCCCTGCCTGTGCAGTTCACCCACCAGCTCCCTGCCCGTGGGGCTTCACAGACCCGCTGCCCCCGCATGGCCCTGGCCCAGTACTGCTGTCTGGGGCTGGCAGGTCACTGGGACGCAGGCTCACAGGGAAGCGTCCTTCCCTGAGCCCGTGTGCCTGTGACCCTAGGTGCTGTGACATTTGAGGAGACTCGAGCTGGGAGAGTAGGGCCTGCTGGGGCATGGCCTGCTCTTAGGGACCCTTGTGGCCGTGCTGCAGCTGGGGCTGGCTCTCGCTGGGTCCCCAGGAGGCCCCCTGGGCAGAGGCTCAGCCGCGTGGGGGGTGTAGGCCCTAAAAGTGCAGAAGGGGTGCCACCTGGATTGGTGCAGGGCTCTCATGGGCCTGGGCGAGGTCTCGGGAACATCCCGGCCACTAGGGGAGCAGGACAACCTCTTGGGATGAAGCTTTTGCAGCCACGGGGACCCACAGACCAGCACCCAGACTGGTGCCCTGGGGGCCATGTGTCTATAGGGAGGGGGGGTCCCTGGCCCCTCCTGGGGTGTTTCACAGCCACCCAGACTCCTCAAAGTTGGGGAGTACCCAGGTCACACACACAGGCCTGGCTGTGGTCATGATGGGTTCTGCGTGTTGTCCAGGGATGGTCAACAGAGACTGGGGGGCTGGGAGGGAAATGCTGAACGTGCACAAATGGGCCCCGCAGACCGGGCCCCTGGGGCCCCTTGGCAGGCACAACGCTGGCCTGGCTGGTAGACGCCAGGAGACAACACACCACCGGCCTGAGGGAGCTGGCCTCCAGCCCCACCATGGGGTCCTGGCTCTGTCCGCAGCTGAGCAGATTGTGAGGCAGCTGATCCCCTACTGCCCCCAGAGGGGACCAGGGATTCCTGCCACAAAGGGTCTGGGTCTTAGCTGGAGAGGTCGAGAAGGAGGGGGCAGATAATCCTGGACAGGTCACCTGAGCTTCTGTCGGTGAGGGAGCTGGAGAGAGCCCGAGTGGCCATGGGCTCACCGGCACCCCACACATTGCCCGTCACCCGCACGGGGATCAGGGGCCATCACAACAGGTTCTCAGAAGCGACTGGCCGGGGTGCACGTCATGGTGAGCCATGGTTCTCGGGGAGGTGGACCTGAGTGAACATGCTCATCCCCTGCAGAGGCAGCCCTCCCCTCCCCTGCCAGACACAGGGGTCAATCCCCTAGGCTCTTCTGCCTGGCTCACCAGATCAAAGGGGTTCGACTCTGAGATGGGGGAGGGCTGCCCAGCTGTGGGGGAGCTCCTGACCCACACTTCCCAGGGTCCCCTGCACTCCACATGGTCCCATACCCGTGAGCACACATATCAACCCTGCTCTGCAAGCCGGGAGGACGATGGCCTGGAAGAAATAAGGCTGTGGGCAAAAGAAGTTTGCAACCCACAGGAGCCAGCTGGGGGCCCTGCCTGATGGGTTCCCCATGCCCGAGGCTCACTCTGGGGGCGGGCGGGCAGATGGTGGGCAGCAGGTGAGGGCAAAGGCGTGGGCTCTGGTCCAGGCTCCTAAGCAAGCTGGGGACTGGAGAGCAGACAAGTCCAGGAGGCAGGTGCCTGGCCCAGGGGGGGCACGTGTGGAGGGGTGCGGATGGGGCTGAGGGGTGTCCATGTTTTCCCTGGGCTACAGGGGGCAGCTGCAGCTCACAAGTAAGGTTTCAGTGAGGAAGACAGAAATTCAGTGCAAATGGCAGAAAATATGAGCAGAGTGAACCGCATCTGAGCTGAGGCTGATGTCACTTAAATCACCACAGCTCAGACAGACGAGCACAGGTGAGTGGCTGAAGAGCTCAGGGAAGAGGGCGAGGGGGACCGGATGGGGAGGACCCTGGGGCCCCCAAACGGTGGCTCATATGACCTTGTGCACTGTGACTGAACACTGTGCTGAGCTCTCACGGCCTCCCTGGGTGGCAGGTCCAGAAGAGGGGCCGAGTCAGGGGTCAGAAGGTATGGCCTCAGGGCCTGCTGTCCTGGGGAGAGCCAGCAGCCCAGTAGGCACTGCTCCCCCAGCTCAGATACTCAGCTGCCCTGGAAGGCAGGAGCACCATCCACTTGCGGAGGGGGTTCTGGGGGGCAGCCCCATACCATGGCCCTCCCCAGAGGCAGACACGACCCCAGGCCAGCTTTGAAAGCCTCAGGCTGGTCAGTGCCCCCCTCTGTCGACTTGTCACAGGCCTGTGATCTCCACCTGGTCCCTCCCTCCTCTGCAGGACAGATACACTAGGCGAGACCAAGTGGGTGCACTGCCCGACCCACCACGTGCCCTTGAGGCGCATGAGCCCCAGCCCGCTACGTCAGCACTCTGCCTGCTCTGCCGGCTGGTTTTTATTCCTACCCTGAAGGAGGCCGGAATCTGCCCCCCACCAAGGTGAGGCACGGCGGCAGTGACCTCCAGCAGGACCAGGCAGGGCAGTGAGCACTGGTCCCCAACACACAGCCCAGCCACACTCCTGGGACCCAGATCTCCACCACCCTCTGCCCTCAGGCAGACACCAACAGTTACCAGTGAGGGGCACCTCTGGGAGGAGGCGGAGGGGCGGCTGGTAGCCTGTGAGGGTGATCTCTCGGCTAGGGGTGGCGACTGGGATAGGACACAGTCTTCCATCCCTGGCTGGGGACAACCAGAATCCCAATACATCAGAGTGTAGTCTATGTGCATATGCATACAGGGGCACATGCACATATGTGCACCCACACATATACGTGTGTGCACACACACACCTTTGTAATTGAAATTCCTCACAACAGTTGGGGGCTGGGCACTCGTGGCCAGTGGAGGCTGCGTGGTGCCTTTTGTCATCTGACCCACCAGCAGGACTAATGGCTGCCACAGCCCCACTTTGAAGCTATAATTCTTCACCCGCTCAGGTGGCGTTCAGATAAACTGTGTCCCCTCTAATTCCTACGTTGAAGTCCTGACTCCCAGCACTTCAGATGGGACTGTATTTGAAGAGAGGGTCTTTTAAGAGGTGATTAAGATAGAAGTCACTAGGGGGGGTCCTGATCCAACGTGACTAGGGTCCTTATAAGAGGAAGAGATCAGGACACAGACATGCACAGAGGGACAACCATGTGAGGACACAGGGAGAAGACGGTGTCTACACGCCAAGGAGAGAGGCCTCAGGGGGAACCAACCCTGCGACACCTGGATCTCAGATGTCCAGCCTCGAGGAGTGGGAGACAGTCAACGTCTGCAGTTCAAGCCCACGGCTGTGGTGTCTGTGCGGCAGCCTGAGCTGACTAAGATGGGGTGGTACCTCAAGGCCAACACCTCTGGCCTCCCAAGAGGCCTAGGCCAGCAGAGCCTGAGGCTAGAGCAGAGGTGGGGGTGGGGGCACTGGGTCCCTCTGGCTCCACACAGGCGGTCCTGGCTGGGTGACGCCTCCTCCAGAGCAGGAGAAAGCACCTCCCTATTCCTGGCCGACTGGTCAGCAGGCGCCACGGCCGGGCTCCCGGAAGACTGAGGGCTGGTGCTGGGAGCCCGAGCTTCAGATGAAACTCCACTCAACGCCTCCCTGAGACAGATGCCCCGTCAGGGACATGGGGAAAGATCAGTGGGCCACTAGCAAGGCTTCCAGAATCTCCCCAGGAATCCTGTGCCAGGGAAGGGCTGTGGTAGGGAGGGGCAGCACACAGAGCAGCCCTGACCAGAGGACAGACAGACCTGGGGGGCTGAGGGACACGGAGGCCGGGCACCAAGAGCCCCACTCCGCTGCAGGGAGGTGGGGTGTTGCCCTAGCAACTGGCCAGCACCATCTCAGCCCTGGGCTGCCCCAGTGCAACACCCCCAAGAGCTGAGGAGCTGCTCCCTGGCCTGCCTGGGCCAGCTCCACACCACTGTCCACACCACTTCCCCAGGCCCTTCTAAGCAGAGGGGCAGGCCCAGGTTCAGAGATGCAGAGCGTGCCCAGCGTCAGCGGCCAGGAGTGGAGTGGGCACCCCAGGACTGCACCGGACCTCTGACCCCAGCACCAGCTGTATGGACATGGGACATGGTCCTGGCAGGAGCTCCACTTCTCCACCCCTGCCTCAGAGCATGGCTGACCCTGACATCCAACCCACAGAGTGGCCCAATCCAGGGGCAGCTGAGGTGAGGGGTTGTCTCAGCCCCTCATGGGTGTTCCTCCTGGTCCTGGTCCCTCCTGCCTGGGCTGATATGCTGTGTCCCTGGCAGCAAGCAGGCCTGAAGGTGACCCACAGAGATTGCCCTGAAAATGACGAGAGAGCTGCTGCGTGCGTGCTCAGGCGTGCCCAGATTGTGGTCTCTGGACTCACGCCCCATCAACAGGACCAGGTTCTCGAGAAAAGCAGCCAGCTCACATGGCTTACATGAGAAGATTTTAGGAATGCCAAAACACCCAGCACAGCAAAATTCACAACGTCAAGCATCCAACCCAAGAGCACAGGATGGCAGAGGGCAGGCTGGACAGGACCATGGGAAGGAGAGCCACCAGCGACTAGACCCAGAACAGACCCGACGTGGGAGCAGCAGGCAAGAAAGCCAAGCAGCTGTTACAGCTGAGTGCACTGGCAGAGTTTAGGAGGGACACAGAAGACGAGAGACTACCCAAAACAAACTGCTGGATGTGAGAACTACAACACGTGAGAGGGAGAGGCACGAGAGAGGATCAGTGGCAGAGCAGACACGGCAAAGAAACGGTCAGTAAGCTTGAAGACAGCAACAAAAAGGGAACAAAAGAAAACAGAGAAAAATGTCTAAAAAAATAAAATGAGTGTCAGTGAGTGGGCAACAAATTGACTGACCTAATATACACGTATTTGTAGGTCTGGAAAGGGAAGAGAAAAAGGGAAGAACAGAAAAAATATTCGAAGAAATGGCTAAAATTTCTCCAAATTTGATAAAAAGTATAAACCCACAGATCCAAAAAGCTCAATGACAACCAGGTACAAGAAACATGAAGAAAACTACACGAAGGCACATGGTAATCAAACCACAGCGGGTGCTGGGGTAGCGCGTACAGAGCAACAGACATAACTACCACGAGTGGCTCGCAGAAGGACCGCAGCAGGGGGACGGTGGAGCGATGCTGTGAAAGTGCAGGAACAAAAGCTGCAGCCCAGAATTCCACACCCAGCAAAAACGTCTTCCAAAAAACCACGCAGAATAAGCTGAAAAGAATCCAACACGACCAGAACCACACGGCCAGAAACGTAAAGGGCGTCCTTCAGGCAGAAGGAAGAGACACCAGGGGGAAGTCTGGATGGATACCAGAATGCAGAGCCTCCGGAGCGGCAGTTTCATGGGGTCCTGGGTCAGGCCCACTGCCACTCTAGCTGGGAAAGTGGTCCACACACCTGCCGATGGGGGAAACTTGAGGGGTGCCCCCAGCTCAAAGGGCACTAGGACAGTCTCCGCCAACGTGAGAGGCTCAGAGAGGCTCCACTGCAGGTGCCTGGTGGGTAGGGTCAGACCCCACCAGGTCTTCTCCCTTGCTCCACCCAATCGCCTCCGGGAGACATGCAGACCCACCAGCACAAGGGCCTCGAGCGCGGGGCAGCACAGGAAGCTGCCTGGTGCAGTGAGGATCCCCAGCTCACCTGGCCCCGATGACGGGCTCGCGGGCATCCCTGGAGGCCGCATAGTCCATGCCGTAGAAGTTGAGCCCCAGGAGGATCTTGCTCCGCCACTTGGACATGGGGTCCAGGACCTGGACGCAGGCTCGCACCCAAGACAGTGGCGCATTGGGGCCAGGCCTGCAGGGGTGAGGGAGGAGCAGGTTTCAGTGGCAGGCAGAGAGACTTCAGGCCATCCACCTCAAGCGCCTAAGTTGGGGCAGGGGTCCACGCCCACAGTGGGAAGGAGAGGGCAGCACTCAGGCCTTCTGTGGTGCCTTCCTGCTGGACACCCATGTCTGTATCTTCCTCTGTGGGGAGCAAAGCAGCTGAGGTGAAGGCCTGCGGTGGACAGAGGCAGCAGTGGGCAGCAGTGTGACACTGCCCACACCCAAGGCTCCCCACGGGGCAGTGACCCCTGCCCACAGGAGTACCTTCTCCTCAGCAACAAGGCAAGCCCAACGACAGTGGCCACCACGCAGTAGCCAGGGCCAGTGATGTGAGCGGATGCCCCAGGATGGCATTCCCATGGGGGCTTCCCACTGCCATGTGCCCCCAGAATGAACAGGCTGCTCAATGCGGGGCCCACTGTGGGCTTGGAAGAAAGGACCAGGCCCTCCACATCCCTGGAATCGAGAGCTGACAGCAGGCTGGTGGGAAGCCAGGTCTCCTCTCCCTGAGAGCCCAGTGTTCAGGCCCCAGAGTGGGTGGGCATCTCTGCTCTGAGTCATGGAGTCCACGGGGCACCACGGCACCCACACTCACTGCTGTGCTGTGGGGTAGTCGTAGGTCATCAGGCTGAAGCCGTCCAGCACGGGGGCCAGCTGCTCAAACTCCTTGTGTGTGAACATGCCCAGCTGGTCAGTCCTGCAACAAGACAAGCCCAGCTACTATGGCCCATCTCACATGGCCCTGTTGGCCCCTTGGTCTGCCCTTCTCCAGCTGACACCTGGGCCCAACTGAGGCCAGAGCAAGCTGGCTGTGGGGGCTCCCAGCTCACACCCCTTTCTCCCTCCACTCTGGAGGACCTCAGATTACTCTCCCTGGAAAGCCACTCAGCACCCGGCTATAGGGGGCAGTCCCCAGCTTGGTCAGGGCCACACTCCAGGAGCAGCGGTGGGACTGCGAGGGCCAGTGGGCTGAGCCTGCTGTTGGAGGTCAGCAGAGGATCATCTCCTTTCCTGCCCCCTGTGCATCCAAGGGTGGGATCAGCCCAGCTCCAGGAGAGCCCTATCCCTACCAGTGGGAGCGGGTGCACCAGGCCAGCCTTACCCCATCTCAGCGGAGGCTCTGCTGCCCACACGGCAGTGGCAAGCACAGGCTGCCCTTCTTCCCAGGGCCTCGGGCTGGGGTGGGCAGGAGCCCAGGTGGCCCATCTGCCAGACACACCCTGTCCGCTGGCCTGCCTGTTCTGCCCGCAGCAGCCCCTAAGACTGCCACGTCCCTGGGGGGCCATCCAGTTCCCTGTCCACATGAGCGGAGACAGGACTCCTCTTCTCAGCCGGCAGCCTCAATCCTAGGGCAGGGGCATCCCACTGCTGGGACCTCAGAGCTGGTCACCTGTTCCACGGGACCCGGGCGACCCTGACACACCCCATCTCAAGGCTGCCTAGGCCAGCCACCTTTGTGGGGAGCATCCAGGATGCCAGGCCCAGGCCCCCCCCAGACATCAGGCGCCTGTGGGACCTGAGGATAAGCAACACTAGCAGACAATGACCCCACGAACCCAAAGCCCGTCCGAGTGGGACAGGGCAAGAAGACTTGGTGACAGGCACCAACCACAGCAGGGAGCTTGGGGATGTGTCTGGGGAGCAGACACTTCACTGGGCAGTGACAGCCACACTCCCCAATGGTCACAGTTGAGACCAGCCCCCTAAAGTCCAACCCCCTAAAGTTGGCAGGAAGATGCCAGGCCCCAGCAGATGGTGTGTCCCTCCCTGGTTAGCCCCAGCAGAATGGAGATGGGCCACAGCTGGCAGCTCTGGCAGGGGCATGGCTGTGACCTTGAGCACAGGGCTCAAGGTGAGCATGGCCACGGGCCAGCAGAGAAAAGGCAGCCCTCCCCATGCGCCTGCACACAGACCCCTCCTGGAACTCTTGTTCCCTGTGGTTAGTGCCCAGCCTGGCCTGGCCAAGGGGAAGGATGAGCCTAACTCCAGCCCTTGGTGTGGCTGGGAGGAGGTGCTGAGTAGCTCGTTTGTCGGTCGGGCTGCTGTTGGCAAGTGTGGGGAGCAGGAGAGTTGCCAACAGGACAGCTCCTGGGCACTGCCAGCAAGAGCCTCCAGAGAAACCACGGGGCTGGCTCCCCAGCTGCCAGGGAGCAGCCCAGGCCTATGCCTCGCAAAACGCACACCGGCTGGCCCAGGTGGCAGAGAGGGGCTGGCCCAGCCAGGCCCAGGGACCATTAGCAGTGCCTGGGCCCCTCGCCCTCAGTCCCAGCTGAACTGACCATGGTCCCTTCCCTCCAGGTATCCCCCTCAGCCCCTATGAGGAGGGAGCTTCCTCCCTTGGTCACTGCAGGGTGAGGAGCAGGTGGTCCCTGCTCACACCGTCCACTTCTGGCCCAGGTGCCAGGAACTCAGGACAAAGATTCTCAGGCAGAGAGGGCGCCAGCCAGAAACCCACCCTTCCGGGGCAGGCCCAGATCGGCCCTTCCTGAGGGCAAGTAGAAGTGAGTCTAAAAGACTCAGTCTCTCAAATGTGGGGACTTACAACACGTCTTCAAATGTTCAGGTGCAGGGGCATGTGAGGACGTGCTGAGGCTGCTGACACAGGTCCCAGAGCCCCGGTGCCCACGCCTGCACGTGCTGCAGCACACCACCTGCCCAGATGGTCCTGGTGTTGACCGTGAAGAACCTCCCCTCTCCCAAGAGAGCACAGCACTTACCCGGGAGTGACAGCCGGTGGGATGACCAGGATGGCCAGCAGCCGGGCCTGGTGCAGCGCCTCTGCCACGTGGGTGAGCATGTGGATGAGGCCCCTGCACACAATGGAGAGGAGCGTCAGGGGTGGTCAGAGAGTGGCTCGGCCGAGACATGCTGCAGGGCAGGTGCCTCTTCACAGGCACCTTCTGCTCTGGAGGCACGGGCTCCAGTGTGGCCCCAAAGAGAACAGCACAGACACTCAAGTACCACGCCAGCCCAGCAGATCTTGTGGGGGTCACCCCCTACTCCAATTGGGCCTGCCCAGAACCTGGCTGTCCCGTCTTTCCTCGTGCTCAGGGTCTTCTTGAAAGAAGGGTGGAGAGCAGAATGGGGAGTCTGTGCAGCACCCCATCACCTCTGGTTCCCCAGACACACAGCCTGGTAAGGGGGTGAAGGACCCATGTGTGCTCAGCATGCTGACCTGCTGGCGGCTGGGTCAGCCCAGGCCATGAAACCCCGGAGGACACACTGAGGGCCTCAGAGCACCTCAACAGGTGCCTCATGACCAGAACAAAGGGGCAGCTCCACCACCTAGAATCTTGCGCTGAGGAGGGACCCTAACCTAGCGTCCCCAGGAGCCAGCCTCAGCTGCCCAGCCTCCTCGTGTAGCAACCCCTGGCCTAGTGGACGCCTGGACACAGAGCTCTGCCTGCTTCGGTCCCAGGCAAGAGTTCAAGGAGGGGGGCACCCTCAGTCCTGGGACAAATAGAAAGAACACCAGGGGGTGAGCACCAGGTGTGCCCCTCCACTCATGCCTGGACATGGGGGAGGAGTGTCTTAGTGGGCAGTGTACCACCACGTGGGGGGACAGAGAGGGAGGTGGCATTACAGGCTCCTCTGGCCCCTAGAGGAATGGGAGAAGGCAGTGTCTCAGAGCCAGCCAGCGGGACGAAGAACAGCTCAGCTCCAGGCATAGCCTGGGAGCACCTGTCAGGACACCCCCGAGCTCCGCACACCGCGGACAGCATGTGGGACACCAAGTGTGGGTGCTGATGAGCCTCAGCCCTGCACACGGCCATGCTGCTAGGGGGTCAGTCTCGGGATGGCCCCGCACTCTGTGTGTCCACTCTGGCTGGGCCCCACCGTTGCTGTGCGTGGGAGGCCCTGGCCCAGTGACTGGCCCTCAGTCCTTCCCCACAGTCCCTCAGGAGCTGCCCCCATCTGGAGAGCAGGCAGTGAGCCCCCTGGCCCCGTGCGGTGCAGGTCAGACAGAGGGTCTGGGGCGCCAGGGACTCACACAAGCAAGATGGGTGGGGCTGTTCGGGCCATCCCTGCACAGCCAGGGTGGGAGCCAGTCTCCACCTCCAGGCCCTGCTCGGCTCCAGCTTGCGTCTGCAGAGCACAGGTGAGGGCAGGGTGGGGCCAGGTGCTCGGGCTCCTGAGCCCTGCTTCTCTGGGGAGGGGGCCAGGATGGGGCCTGGTGCAAGCAGACTGCTGGACCATAGCAGCTTCTCAGAGCCTCCTGATGGGGCCCAAGCCCAGTGGGAGAGATTTGGTGCCACAATGACTCCCCGCAAGGAGGTGGTTCTGGCTGTAGGCAGCCAAGTGTGCCCTCGGGGGAGCACACAGGCTTGAGGACGCCGGCCTCCCTCTCTAGGCTGGTGTCAGTTTTGCCAGGAACTGTCATACCATCTGTCGCCCTTAGCACCCGTCACTGTCACTTGCCTTCCTGGCTTTCAGGACTGTCCTGAGGATTGCGTCTTTGTGAGAAGGGAGGGGTGTTACTGTGCCCCTGGGGCAGCACCCACCCAGCCAGGTGTCTGCTGGGACTGAGTTGCAGAGGCCAGGCTATGGTCACCAGTGTGCCCGGTGAGCAGGCCTGCCACACGCTGAGTATGAAGACAGGAGATGGGGCCTCCCATCAGAGAGGGGAAACACGCCCACCCCCTTCAGCTGCTCAAGCTGCCTGCTCCTCTCCAGAGGACTTTTGTGGGAGGGAAGTCTGGGGGGGAGTCCCCTAGGTGACGGCCACCTGCTCCTTAGCAATTGCCAACGGCCTTTCCAGGCTGACCTGGTGCTTCTGGAAGGAAACAGGGCCCTCCGACATCTACTCAGAAGCCTAATGGGTGACGGGTGGGGACGGGAGCAGCAGCCTTGTTAAATGTCCCAGTCACGCCTTGCCATGGCCAGGCCTGTCCTGGGAGGTGGCTTCTGGGCAAAAGTGTGCCTGAAACCATCTGCCAGGTTGGCTGGTGTCTCCCATGCTCCTCAGGATCCTGGACACTCTGGCCCCCTCCATACTCTACTTCATCTTTGCTGCGGCTCAGGTGACCTGCTGTCCCCTGCCGGCCCTCCCTGAGCCCCGAGAGTATGAAGCTGTCTCAAAAGAAGCTGCAGTAGCATCTGTCTCCTGCTCTCCCTTCTCAGAAGGTGCTGGAAACTCACCTCTGCAGGGCTGCTGCCACCCAGCAAGGTGGCAAATTCCCAAATAGGGTACCCCCCATCCCACTCTTCCTCCAGCCTCCTTCAGGACACCTGGGGTCAGGAAGAGCACAGAGCAACCCCACCCCAGAGACACTCAGAGACCACTCACACGTGTTTCTGGCTCAGCAGCTGGCTCCAGACCTCTACCACAAAGCCGTCAAAATGCTGGCTCTGAAAGGAACGGGAGCAGGGAGGAGGGTCTGAAGACCTAGGAGGGATGGGTGGGAAGGCAGACATGGACCCAGCCGCCTCCACCTACCCAGTGAGGTCACAGCCCGAAGGCCATGCTACAGGCCTAGAAGCCACTCTCTAAAGGGGGCAGTGAGGGGGTCCCCACAGGAGCCAGGAGTAGAGATGCTGGGGCTCTTGTGTGTCCTGTCCACTCATGTGCCTCCCCTAACTCCAAACTCTGGGGGCCTGAAGGGCTCCCCAACTCCTGCAGCCCAGTGCTGGCCAGCTGGGGCAGGTCCCCTCCCTGGAGGGCAGTGGGCTGCTGGGTGTTGCCCAAAGGAAGTCCCCCCAGCCCGGGGAACCCCTGCAGTCAAGAGGGTGCCCCATGCAGCCAGTGTCAGGCCCCACAGAGCACCAGGCCTCACCTTGGCGACCTGAACCATGGTCTTGCTGAGTTCTTCGATCTCGTCTTCACTGTCCATGACGTTCCGGAAGTCCTCATGAGTCCAGTCCTCAAACAGGAGCCGAGGGACTGGGGGGACAGACCCACACAGAGACCATGACCCTCCTGTGCTCGGCCCTGGCCCCTGGCCTGCAGAGCGGTGACCATACAGGCAGGCATCCAGCGTGGCTGTCTCAGCACCACATGGCCTCGAAAGGGAGGGGTACCAGGGATGTTGGGGAAGGACAAAGATGCTGACCCCTTTCCCTTTTCACACACCAGGTGTGAGTGCCCCGACCCCAGCTCAGCCAGCTCCTCGCTGCCCGGCTCCTGTAGACCACCCTCCATTTTGATCTGACCCGAGGGCTCCCCGTTGCCTCCAACTGCAAGTTCCCACCCAGCCCCTACCCCCATGCTCCTGCTCAGCTGTCACCTGCTCCCAAACCTCCCTCACTCCACTCCCCAGACCCTGCTGATCCCACCACACTTTGGGACGGTGTCCCTCCCTCACCAGCTGTGAGCTCCAGGACAGAGACCTCGATAAATGCTCATTGAGTGAATGAAGAAGAAATGGGAGGACAAGTCCACAGGTGTAGAAGGCGCTGGCTGTGGTGGGCTGAGCCCAGGTGTGGGGGGCGGGGCACAGGACCCCAGCTGGACCAAGGGCCGTGAATGCCAGGCTGAGGATGGGTTCATTTCTGAGCAGTCAGGGGAGTGACCGATGTGCTGGGCAGCACAGCCTGTATTACCAGGCACAGATGAAGACCCCAGGGGCCATTCACCCACCCACAGGGAGGTCACACCAGCCAGGTCCTCCACCCCACAGCATGTGGCCTAAGGGCTGGCTGCCCTGACTGCCCAGGCCCCCTGGACTCACCTATGCGGAGGCCCTTGGCCTGCTTCCGGACCGCCCGCATCCACCCTGTGGGATGTGGAGAGGACAGTCAATGAAGGGACACAGCCCCTCACTCATGAGAAGACCCTGCTCACCTCCAAGGAGGAAAATGCAGGGACCACGCAATGGGGGTGCAGAGGTGGACTGAGGGAGAGAATCCACAGGTCCTGTGCCCAGCTCCTCCTGACCCCGCCCCCCTCCTCCTGACCCCACCTCTTCTTCCTGACCTGGGCCCCCCGCTGAGTCCATCCCCTTCTTCCTGACCTCCCACCTCCTCCTCCTACAGAGCAGCCAGTGTGGCTCAGACCCTATGGCCAGCAGGGCACAAGTGGTTGCATCTGGGGTCACCACTCCAAGGCGTCTGGGACTGTTTCCCAGGGTTAAGGGGTATCCAGAGGGCCAGGCCCCAAAGCTTCCCAGTCCTCTGACACACTGCCCTCCTGAGACTAGGGAAGTGCTCTAGGTCTCAGAACTCCATAACTAGCTAACACATCCTCTCTCTGAACCCAAAAGGGGGATGGCTGTGTAAACTCAGGTGCACGCCCACAGAAAATGGCTGTCAGAGTGTCCAGGCCCTGGTCCCCTCCCGGACTCCCCTTCCCTGGACACCTCCTCCTGGACACATGTGCAAACTGCCAAGGGGGATGGGGGTGTGGATCAACACCAGGTGGTCATCACACTCACATACATACACTCAGATATACAAAGACACTCACATGTGTTCATGCTAACATACAGATTCACACTCATTCTCACAAACACATGTTCATTCTCACATAAATATACCCACATTCTCTCTGATACACACACTCTTATCCTCACTCAGATACACACACTCACAGACATGCACTCACACCCTTCTGGGCCCTCGGGATGAGCACAGGCGAGCAGCAAGGTAAGAACCTTGGTCCACGTCATGGAGGCCCGTGACCTCGAACATCTCGCGTCCACGCCTCTTCAGCTGTAGCCACACAGGTGAGATCTGTGTAAACTTGCCCCCGAAGACCTTGGCGACATCGTAGCCGTGGCTATTCCACTGGCAGAGGATGGAGAACAGGTGAGCCCCTGGCAGCTGCACCGCAGGGAGCAAGCCCCCAGAGGACCCCCAGCATGATTCTTGCTGCTTCTCTGGGAGGCATCTCTCCCGCTGCACCTCCACAGTGGGGCCCAAGGAGGTGAGAACACAGACCCCAGTGATTGCTTTGCCCTTGGGACCTCCCTGTCCACCCCAGGGCCCAGCTTACTGGAGTGACGTAGCCCAGGACGTCCCCAGGAAAGTGCCTCTCCCGGGCCTTTGCCGAGCAGTAGCTGCGATGCTCAAGAACCACATCCTCGGCTCTGAGGTCTGTCACCACCAGACCCCGATCTTGGACGGGCTTATCTGAAAACTGAGTCTGAAATAAAAGCAACAGGGTGAAAGCCATCAGTGTCCACGTCCTTAGACAGAATGCAGAACCCCAGGAACAGCAGCGGTGCTCTCTGTTCAGCCAGGGACTGTGTCTGGGATCAACATGGTGCTGCTGACCGGGAGACTGCAGGGAAAGGCCCACCCCTGAGGAGCTGACAATCCCCGAAGACTCACTCTGCCTTCCTAGGCCATCCCAGAAAAGCAGCACAAAGACAAGGTGCAAACACAGCACGGCTCTCGTCTGATTTGCCCAACTGCCATGGATATTACAGAACGCAATGAGGTAGGAGGAGAGTGCAAGTGTCAAAAGAAGCAGAAGGCAGAGTAAGGACCGAAACCTAGACGTTGCCACAGATGATGGGCCCAGTGGGGGCAGGTGCACCCTCAGGTCCCAGCGCCAGAAGCTGCTCCCTCTGATGCCATCCAGCCAGAGCCCCAGGCTAGTACAGGCAGGCCACCAGAAGAGGCCAATGCCCCAGGCTCCCAGCTCCGTGGCCGCATCAAAGGCCTTGGCACATGGCCCCAGAGAGCAGGAAGAAGGCACGATGGGTCAGTCAGTCCCCAGACCACTCCTACCTTCTCTAGCAGTGTCTTGGAGGCAGCCTTTTTGGCATCTGACTTTGACAGGGTAGTGTGAACAGAGCTGCAGGCCAGAGCAAGCCAGAGTGTGCTGAGCAGCGCTCTCATGGTAGGTAGGTCACAGCCGAGTCCAACCTCAGGTTCCAGGGGGCTGCAGAGATAGAGAGCATGGAGACCACCAGCAGTGTGGGAAGTCCCCTCTGCTGATTGGAGCACTCGGCCTAACAGGAACTGGGTCCTTGTGGCACTGAGCTGGGCACTGGCCCCAGGACAGAGCCTTGCCCTGGGCCAGCCCCAACGGCTGGAGTCCAGCTTCCAGCACTGCTGGGCTCCTGGTTCCTCTCACACCCAGAAAGGGGCTTCCTTGTTGCCAGCCAGAGAGCCCTCCCCCACTGCCTAAGTGGCACCCTGACAGCTGGCCATACAGGAAAATGTTGGCTCCCCACTTCCCTCTCAAACCCAAAGAAATCACGGCCACTGCAGAACTTAAGTGCAAAATAACAGAGCCACAGGAAGAACTAGAGGAAAACATGAGTACCTGTTTATGTAAACTCAGGGTGGAGAAGACTTTTCCAACTATATTAGCAATGGTAGAGATTATGAAAGAAAACGCCAATACAGTTTACCACATAAAAACGTAGAGCTTTCATTTAAGAAACAAAAGCACAAACAAAATAATAAACCAGAAAACAAATGCTTAGAACATTTTAGACAACGAATTTCTATGAATTATCTATCCATAACATGCAAAGAACTCTTACAAATTGAGAATAAAAAAAACTCCAATAAAAAAGGCCCTGCTACAGGGGCTGGTCCCGTGGCCAAGTGGTTAAGTTCACCCGCTCTGTTTCAGCAGCCCAGGGTTTCACCAGTTCAGATCCTGGGTGCGGATATGGCACTGCTCATCACGCCATGTTGAGGCGGCATCCCACGTGCCACAACTAGAAGGACCCACAACTAAAAAAATACACAACTATATACTAAGGGGATTTGGGGAGAAAAAGCAGGAAAAAAAAAAAAAGGAAGACTGGCAACAGTTGTTAGCTCAGGTGCCAATCTAAAAAAAAAAAAAAAAAAAAAAAAAAAGCCCTGCTACAAAAATAAAGGTTGCAAAGAGGCGTAATACACAGAGATACCTCTTAATACAGAGATACCTTAGCCCCAGAATCAGCACTTCTGCTTCACTAGTAATCAGAGGACTGGACACTGAAATAAGACAGCCCTTCCACCCATTGTTTGCCAGGACTAAAGATAACGATACTATCATGAGAACTGGGGCCAGCAGCACCTCTCCTGAGCCACTCCTGGGAGTTCAAGTTGGGGAAACCTTTTTGGATGAAAATCTGGTCATGAATATTATACTTTCCCACACTTTTCTTTTCTTTCACAAATTCCGCTTTGGGAAACTTCCCACCTACAAGGAAAACACATGAGGATGTTCACTGAAGTGCTGTTTAAACACAGAATAACCCGCACTTCCATATGCTGGAATGTGGACAGGCACTGTGATGCTTGTGACTCGTGCAAACATCACAAGATGTACATACATAGCATGATCCCATCTTTATTTAAATACTCTATGTGTACACCCACAGAAAAAAGTACGATGGGGGACACTGACAGCACATAAGCAGCTGCCTGTCTGCTGTTTGGCTTTCTCTGTATCTTCTGGTTTTCCTGTACTGGACTTTTATTAGTTGCACAGTTCATTTTTAGGTCCCGGACCTCCCACCTCCCGTCCCAGCAATTCTGTCTCCTTGTGTTTCACCCTCAGGGCAGCTAAGGCACAAGCAGGCCCAGCTTTAAGATGTACAGGTGTGAAAACCATGCCAGTCAACAATCTCAGGGCCCAGGCAGCGTACTGCCTCCAGACCAGCCAAGGGCCTGCTTGGCAGCAGAGCCAGAGAAGACCCTGCAGGCACCTGGGGACTGGAGGCTGGCCAGGCCCCTTGCCCTGCAGGTGAGTGTGCATTCCCCCGGGGACACCAGAGGCCTGGGCAGGCATGGTGTGCCCTGTCAGGAACTGGCAGAGCCAGGCCCTTCATGGTGCCTGCCCCTCCACCCCGACAACCTCCAGGCCAGGAGCCTGTTTTCAGTCCCTGAAACCCTCCTCTTGACCTGCTTCCCTTTGCAGAGTGGCACAGGCTGCCCCATTTTTGGCTGTCACTTCCCTGTGCAAGATAGGTGCTGCTGATGCAGACTCGGGGGGCCTGGGCTGCCTCAGGCAGCAAGTGCCTAGGTTGTGGCACCTGACAGATCCACAGCACACCTGTGTGGAATTGGGGGAGACCAGGGCCTGCCTGGGCGTGAGCAGCCCTGCAGCTTCCTCCCCATGAGGCAGGGAGGCACAAAGGACCTGACTGGGCCCTGGGGCTTCGGAGGAGGACGTAAGGGACAGGCCTGTGCACCAAGCTGCTGGCAAAGGCAACTCCAAGGGGACTGTGGGGGAGGGATAAGAAGACCCACACCCAGATCTCTGCCCTCTGCCCTCTCCCCTCCCCACCCCACCAACCCCTCACCTCAGGGGACACTTTCCAGCATCGGAATCAAGGACAGCAGCCTCTGCTACCCCAGCCCAGCCCCGCCATCTTACCACCACAGCTGTGAGACTTGGCCTCCCTCGGCCATAGCACTGGGGCTGAGAAGGGCTCTCGGGGAGGGGGCTCCAGCCGTGGGAGGGGCAGGTGGCCCAGAATCACCCAGAACTTGCCTGGCCAGGCTGAGACTGCGGCTGCCAAGTGGTGAGGGGCCCCCTCTGAGCAGCCTGGCCACCACAAGGCCAGAAAGACACCTGAACAAATGTGCTTCCAGAATGAGGGGCTGCTTCTAGACCCAAATGCATGTGGGGGTACAACTGCACCTGCTGGCAGGAGCCACAGGGAACAGGGGAAGGTCCCACTCTGCTGGGCACCCCATTTTTGATTCCAGCCCCCTCAGGCCCCCTCCATGACTGCAGGCTCCTCCTCTGCTCTGGGGCAGAGGGGTAAGAAACCAAACAGCATGGTCCTCCAGAAGCACCCAGCAGTAACCTGGGGGTACGCCCCAGCACCCCTCCTGCCCTCTGTTGACAGCCTGCTGTCCTGCACCCGGGCGGCAGGGCGACCACCCACTCACCAGGAGACCCTCTGCCCATGACCTGCCTGACCCCTGACCTGAGATTTCACCCCATGGGGAAGGATGGAAGAGGAAAGGGTGGAGATGGGGCTGATCTGGAGGAAGACAGGCCCTGCCAGCTTCTTGCCCGATGGAGGGAGCGATGGAAGGAGAACCAGACTGAGCGCCAGGCCTGGGCCAGCACTGCCACTGCCTGCCTGTGCCCGGTGGGTCAGCTCTGGGAGGAGGCACAGCAGCAGCAGGAAGCAGCACTTGGACCTGGGCTGCTCTCTGACCAGACGTGGAACTTTCCAGACTGACTCCCAGACACTTCGTGGTGGGGACCCTGTGTGTGAGCTGCAGGACGTGTGGGGCTCCCAAGCTGCAGCAAGGCCCTTGTCTGGGCACCTCCCATGGCTCCCACTGTGCACCGTGCACTTCGGTGAGGTGTCCACCCTGCCATCCTGCCCACAGGCCCTTCACAGAGCCGACTTCTGGGCTCAAAACGTGCTGCTTCTCCACACACTGATGACGTCCTTTGGGCAGAACCGGCCCTGCAGAGGGAATGCAGTGTGTAGTGACCAGCTCACACCTGCGGTCACCTGGAAGGGTCATGACAAATGCAACCCAGAGAGCCTTTGGAGGCGGGATCTCGGACCTGCTCCGTAACAGCCCCGCTGTGCCCGGGGCTCCAAGCTCCCAGGACTGTTTCAGCAGCGTGTTAACCACTGGACAGCAGGTCACAGCAGTGACTTCCTCATGTTTCCTATCGAGACCACAATAAGAAAGAGTTTGTCACGGCCCAGTACATACGTGCATGTCACGTGTGTGTGTGTGTGCATGTGTCATACGTGTGTGCAGAGTGCAGCAGCTGGTCAGAGATGACCCTGCTCTGGGATGCGCTCTGACTGATTCTTTTCTCTTTCATTTTTCAGAAACCGGTTTTTCCCCATCAACTGGGTCTCACGATGCAGTGATGTGCAATTCGAGAGATGCTGACCGTCGTGCCCTGAGTGTCTGCCACCAACGCCTGGCTAGACTCGGGCGGGCTTTCACTAACCCAACGCTGCTGTTCCCCCAGCAAGTGTATCGGTCAGTCACCCGCGTTCCGGTCTTCGAGCACAAGTTCTGGAGCCAACTGCGTTCCTGCGGTGAGGCGAGGGTGAGGCGAGGGCACGCGCGCTCTCGGAGGTGAAGGCGCGTAAGAGGCAGGACGACCACAGCCCCAGGCGACGTTTATTGACCACGCGCAGCGTCAGGCCCCGTGTGAACCAGTCCTCTCCGCGGCCCCGGGACAGGGACCGGCGCTCCTCCCGCGCACAGACGGGAAACAGGGCAGCGCCCCGCTCCGCCTCGCCCAGCTCAGCCCCCCAAGCCGGGGCGCTCGCTCGCTCGGCCTCTCATTCCCGCACGCTCTCGTCTACGCTGGTCCACGCGGCTCCGCCCGGCCGCCCCGCACACTCTCTCAGTCCCACCGCGCAGCACCCGCGCCCTCTCAGCCGCCCTCACACCCCCGCCCTCCACACCCCTCCCTCACACCCCCTCCACCTGACACCTGCCCGCACACACCCTCCCTCTCTCACACCAGTTCTCCCTCACACCCCCTCCACATCCCCTCCCTCACACCCTTTCCTCACACACCCTCCCTCTCACACCCCCCTGCTCTCCTTCACACACCTCCTCACACCCCCTCTCCCTCACACACTCCCTCTCACACCCCCATCCCTCACGCACCCCCTCCCTCTCACACCCTCCTCCACATCCCCTCCCTCCTCACACCCTCTTCCTCACACACCCCTGCTCTCCTTCACACACCTCCTCACACCCCCACCCTCTCACGCTCCCTCTCTCTCCCACACCCCCTCCCTCTCTCACACTCGCTCTCCCTCACACCCCCCTCTCTCACGCGCTCTCTCTTGCACACATGGCTCTCCCTCACATCCCCTGCCCTCTCACACACGCTCTCCCTCAGCGCCCGCTCCCTCACACCCCTGCCCTCTCACACACGCTCCCTCAGCGCCCGCTCCCCTCACACCCCTGCCCTCTCACACACGCTCTCTCTCAGCACCCGCTCCCCTCACGCATCCGCTCCCTCTCACTCCCGCTCTCACACACACCAGCTGCCCCTTGCACCGCGCCCGCCGCGCGCCCTCTTCGCGGAAGGGAACTGAGGCGGTGCGAGGAGAAGCAGGCGCCGGGACGCGAGGCCCTCACGCCACCCGGGCCGGCCGCCGCGGGGCTCACCTTCATGTCCCGGAGGCCGGCCGGACCACTCTTGCGCGGGGCGGGAAGACGCTTGCGAACGCCGCCGGAAGTCCCGCCCCAAGACATCCGCGCGCTGCGGCCGCGCCACGCCAACTTCCGCCGCGCCGCCGCGCACGGCACGCTGGGGCGGGGCCGAGGGAGGAGCCTGGTCCACGGACTGGGGCGGGGGTGGGGAGAGGTGGGCCGAGAGGCGGGGCGTGGACGGGGTGGGCGGGCCCGAGCGGGGGCGTGGACGAGGGCGGGGCCTTGCGCCGGGGGCGTGGCCATGGTCGGGCGGGAGGGTCCGGGGCGGCGGGCGCGAAGGAGCGGGAGGCTGGGGTGCGCGGAGCCCGGCCCTCGGCGGTCCTGTGGGCTCCCGGTGCGTCCATGTGGTGAGCGCCCCCGTGACGGGCGCTCCGGGGAGCGCGACGCCCTCGCTTGGGAGCCGGCGCGGGGACCGGGCTCCGGGGCTCCGGGGGCGCCGCGGTCCCCCTCGGGGGCGCCGCAGCGGGTCCGGGACGCACGCCCCTCGCCCCGCGGCGCACGCGCTCTCTGGAAGGCCCGGGGCCCTGCGCGACGTCTGCGCTGCGGCCACGTGGGTGACCACCAGGGGGCGCCATGGTCTCCAGGCCTGTGCCCCGCGTGCTAGGGGCCAGCACGGGACCGACCTCCTCACGTCCCCGTTCTTCTCTCTCGGGCGCGGGAATCACTTGTCCAGGCCTCCCTCCTGCCCCCGGGCCGCCCCTCCGCCTAGCCCTCTTCTGGTATCCCCTTCATCTCTCTGGGTGGGTGCCTCTCAGTCCTCGGCTTCCGTCGCCATCCACGGGCCACTGGTGTCCACCGCGCAGTCCGGAGCAGGGACACGTGCTCTAGGCCCTCTGGATGGCCCGTGGACCTCGAAAATCCCAGATATCCGAGACCCAGCGCTGTCTGTCCTCGCCTCCTGGACCGGCGGCACCATCCTGCGGATCTCACAAGCTGGAGCCCCACCCCTACCCCGGGCAAACAGAACCCGTCCATCTCAGGCCCCAGCGAGAGGCTTCGGGGTGCCTCTGGGATGGATTAAACGCACCCGTGGCCAGTGGTTTTCGTCACAAGGCATTTTACATTTGATACAAGCTGACGATGCCCCCTCCCCATCCCTAGCTGTTCCCAGCAGTTCCCTGCAGAAAACCGCACAGCCAGCTGGTCCCCACGCTGCCTCCCCTAGGCCAGCCCCAGGACGCGCTGCACAGCTGTTTCCCCATTTCTGCTGCTTGAGAGGCTTCTCCCTGAACTGAACTTTGTTCTCTTTCTTCCTAGTTGTGTTTCCTTCTTTCTCTTCCCCATATTTCCTGCCAGCTGACCCCCACAGTCATCGGAGAGGGGGTTGGGGCTGGTGCGTGTGCTGAGCCACGTCATGTACCAACTGTCAAGTGTCACTGGGCAGCTCTGTGTTCCTGGAAGCCAGCTTGGCCCTGTGGCCTGACCTTTGGGATAGTGACTCCAAGTCAGGCAGAGCTCTGGAGAGGGCCCCAGTAAGCCACGCTGGATGCCCTGAGTGTTGTGCAGTCTTAGGGAATGCTAAGGAGACTCCAGCAAGACCAAAGTTCCCTTAGTGAGAAAGGCATTTAGTCACCGTAGGATCTCACTGAGTTCAGAGGTCTTTGGAGCTAAAGAATTGCCACATCCACTCGGGGTTCACTCTGGGCCAGTATCGCAGACCCTAAGAGCAGGTGGAAAGGAAGGGCGGGGAGCCCAGTGCCGGGACCCTGTGCAGAGCTCCCTCTGGGCAGGGTTCTGGGACCCTGTGGAATTGTCAGCACAAAGCTGTCAGCCTCACAGCTGGTGTAGTTGATGCCAAGGGGCCCCAGAAGCTGCATTGAGAGCTGACTTCTTTGAATGGATACGTGTCTTTCAGCTACAGGAAGATTTAGAATGAGGCGTAGAAAGGTCTGAGGGAATCAGAATGAGAGTGTTATCATCTATGTATTAAGTGAAACCTGACACATTTAGTATTTCATGTTTCTGGAACATTTAAGACAACTTGGGATTCACCAAGTTTTAAATTTTAATCTATTGAGTGTATCGATTTTTGAAGCACCAGAGATTTTGTTGTCAATTTAGACAAGCTGAAGTACTTAAAAAGGATGTAAAAGATATTTAACTTATAAATTTAGTTTGAAATGTTGAAAATGCTTAATTAACTGTGTTTGTAGATGGGACCAAATATCATGTGAAGATCCCTTAAGCATCGCTTTAAAATCTTCTAGGCTTATAAAGGGAATAACAGGGTTTGTAAAATTGAACTTAACAGATTAAAAAATTAGGTTTTGAATTTATAACTTCAATGTATTGAATCCTAATTATGTAAATTTAATACAAATGTGAGTATAAACCTCTTGCCCAGGCCCTAAAACTAGCCCTCAGCCCCCATTCCTAGCCTTCTTGCTTATGGATCAGCCTGCCCTGCCAGTGCTGGGTTCGGGGTGTCCAGGTCAAGGTCCAGGCTCTGAGCTGTAAGCCCAGGTCTGCCCCCCTCCACTGTCTTTCTCCTTCCCCCCTGCCTGTGTGCAGGGGGCACTGGAGGACAGACAAGGGCAAGGACAGGCCCCATGGAGTGAGGGGCCTGCAGAGACAAGCCCTCCTGCTGCCAACTGAATCTCCCCATGCTCGGGACACGTGCAGGACCAGAGTGCCCTACCCCAGGTGCACCTGGCTGGCTGAGGGTCCCCAGCCTGAGGCTGCCTCTCTGGGACAGCCTTGAGGGCATCCCTGAGTTATTATGGGGAGCCCATTTCATGGCCAACACCCCAAGAGCACTCGCACCTGGTTGTTGGATGTGCCTAGTGGCTGTGGGGTTTCTGAGGACTGGACTTCCGTCTTTCCCGGTTGGCCAGTGCTCCCTAGGAGGGATCAGGGTGGGGGCCCTGACCTTGCAGGCAGCCCTGGGCCTCTGCTCATTTGCCGAGTCAGCACAAGGCAAGGCCCTTCCCGGCAGGGCCAACTCGTGACTCGTCCTGTTTTAACAGGATGGCCTTGGCTGGGGGTTGTCCCAAGGGCAGGGCCCAGGCCACTATCACTGACTGTGTCCTATCACTCCTGGGCCTTGAAACATTCCTGTTTGGAGGCCGGAAGCCCAGGAAGAGGGACACACATCAGCATTTCCTGCTCCCCTTGCTCGTGGATGGAGACATCCTCCCTGGGTGCTGGATAAGCAAAGTCCAGAGCAAGATGAGAGAGGGAGCGGGTGTGCGCACATGCAGCAGAAGCTTCCAGATATAGCTCCAGAGCCAGCACAGCAGGTTTTCTGTCTGTGTCCCACGTGTGGGCCCCCCCTCCCCCCACAGCCCACCTGGCCTTGGCCAGGGTGACGGCTATGTCTTGGGCATTTTTTGCTGTCTAGCATGTAGGTATCCGGTTGCTGGCTGGGCAGGTACTTGGCCCCATGGTGGGTGTGTGTGATGGATAGGTGGCTCTGCACAGGGTTGTGTGCTTTGTGGCATCAGTCATGGGTTTTGTGCTTCTCACAACCCACAACCAACCTTAAAATACCCCTATAACAAAGTAGAGGGGCAGAGTGTGTATCGATGAGGCCAAAGGGGCAGCGTTTCTTTGTGGCTATAGTGGGGTGAATGGTGGACCCCAAAAGGTTGTCCATGTCCTAACCCCCAGCACCTATGGAGGTGACCTTATTTGGAAATAGAGTGTCTGTAAATGTAATTAAGGATCTCAGGATGAGCCCTAAATCCAGTGACTGGGCTCCTTCTCAGGGAAAGGAGAGGGAGATTTGAGACACACAGACACAGAGGGGAAGGCCAGGGAAGATGTAGGCAGAGATTGGGGCCCTGTAGCCCCAAGCCAAGGATCCGGGCTGTCACCAGAAGCCAGGTGAGGAACAGTCTCCCTCAGAGCATCCAGGGAGATCCAGCCCTGCCGACACCTTGATCTCAGACTTCTGGTATTCACAACTGTGAGAAAATCTCTATCTGCTGTTTTTAAGCCACCACTTTGTGGTAATTTGTTGCAGCCACGGGAACCCACTACAGTGGTGCTGAAAGGGGCCTGAACTGATATTTTTAAGTATGTTTTCTTTCCTAAAGCTATTTTTTCTCAGGCTAATCTTTTTTTTTTTTTTAGGAAGATTAACCCTGAGCTAACTGCTGCCAATCCTCCTCTTTTCGCTGAGGAAGACTGGCCCTGAGCTAATATCCATGCCCATCTTCCTCTACTTTATATGTGGGACGCCTACCACAGCATGGCGTGCCAAGTGGCGCCATGTCCACATCCGAGATCCGAACTGGTGAACCCTGGGCCACCGAAGCAGAACATGTGCACTTAACTGCTGCGCCACTGGGCTGGCCCCTCTCAGGCTAATCTTAAAACGGGTGTATATTCCATCAACTCACCCTGGCCGGGCCCTTAGAGGAAGGAGCTGCGGTGGATGGATGTTGGCCTGGGATGGAAGCCCTTGCCACAGAACATCCAAAACCATGAAGTCCATTTGGTGATGGACAGCTGGCTGGCCGCAGGCATGGCTGGTCTGGCCTTTAACATCAAGGGGTGTATTTTTCAACAGGTAACTTAGGGAGACTGGAGGTCATGGGTCCCCACTCTGGGGTGAATAGGATGCCTGATCTGGCAGCATCCTGTTGGAGGGTGCAGCATAATTTTCATAGCCACCTCCTCCAGTCCTCCCTGGATGTCACCAGCTGCATTGCTCCTTGTTAAGCCCCTTTGAGCCCTGGGTGAGTGGATGCAAAGTGGTCTTGATGACAAGCCACAGGATAGGATGGGGGCATCCCAACATGCCCCAGGCCCCTAGAGCACCCGTGGGCATGGGAATAGGTATTAATTAGGATCTGGGTTTGGCAGAGTTCAACAGAACCCCCAACCACAACCAACCCCACAGTGGAGAATGTGGTGCTCATCTTCATGGTCCAAGATGGAGCTCCAACTACCAAAACCCTGTTCCAAGCAGGTACGAGGGAAAAGGGGCTGGACTCAAAATCAGGTCCGCAAATATGCTCACGTCACCATCTGTTATGGAGTGAACTGTGTTGCATAAAAGTTCATACATGGAAGTCCTTGCCCAAGCACCTCAGAATGGGACCTAATTTGGGTCATTGCAGGTGTCATTAATTAAGATGAGGTCATACTGGGGTAGGGTGGGCCCCT